GACGCAGTAAAAGAGACCAAAGTACACTCGATGTATCGACTGTCAGTATCAATCAACAGGGGGTACCTCGTACTCACTTATCCCGAGGTCCAAGGCCCCAAAAGTCTAGACCCAGTCATCGAATCTACCTATCGATCACAAGCAATCAAAGCAAAAAGGACATTGGAAGACTAAGACCCAATCACCGCCCAAACAGCCGTGGTTCAGCCACCGCGGAATTCCTTCAACATACCCGGGGGAGCCACATCGACGATCGCACCCATCCAGGCGGATACCTCTATCCCCACTAGTCAACAGTAGTTTAGTTAGAGCGGTAGCGATCATTACAAAATAGGGCTAAGGGGTCGTTCCGTCGCTTTGTTTCCGTCTTTTTGTCTTCTGTTAGCCATCACATTACGTCTTCTTGTAGACCCCATAATTAGACATGGCAACTCCCTTGGAAAAGGGACAGGGGGAACGGGATGGGCCGCGGAAGACCGGGAAATGGCCGTGCTATGGTCCCAGCTTCCAGGAGACAGGGTCCGGGATTGCGGAGATTGATGTCTGATGAACACTCACTTTGACGGGATTTACAATAGTGTAGGTCCAAGCTATGAAAGACGGTGATGGGAGGCGCGAATCCCGGATCAAGGGATGACTACTCGTACTACTATTGTCGAACGCTCTGTCCGACCGTGGGAATGCATTGACCAAGGCGGATATGTGTCCATCCTGAATATGGCAGTTTTCCCTGATTTGGTCAATAAAGGAGACGATTTTATAAGGACAGCAGGGTCCTGTCTCTTCACAAGTTCCTTCTAGAAGGGGAATATGTGCATTGAATTCAAGGGTATGTTGCATCTCAAGTTTATTGATCGATAACTGTTTGATGACGACGACTATCTGTCCATTCCCTCCCATGTTCAGTAGCTCCTCCTTCATTCCATTACCCGTAGGCCAAAGCCACCGGCGACAGAGTGCAGGTACTTCTGTACTACTAATTAGCAAATATTGATACCTTGATGGCTTGATTGATTGATGGGAGATTATCAAGGGCGCCGCTGCAGCTGCAGCACCCCAGCATTCCGGGATCACCATCCAATCCCCCCCGACATTCCAGATCGACAAGACCCAGATTCGTAGGCCCATGATGCCGGATTCAACCCTGCAGTTCCGCCCACTTACAGCTCTTCATGCAATGCATGTATTATTTAATTACCTGGCCCACTATCCACACCTCCTCGACAGTCGACACAAGTACCTTGACCTACCTTGCTCTGCACAGTGTACACAAACAGACACACCGCATTACTTAGCCAGTAATTATGTACCCTGTATGCACTGCACATTGCACACATACAAAACACACACACATACACATCTGTGCGGGGCAGGGTACATACATTACCTTGCCACACGCCATACTCCAGCAGCATAGGTGCCAAAGGAGCGGTGATTCACCGCTCCCTCCATGATTGGATTCCAGCCCGCCATGCCAGCGACCGACGGGAAATGAAGGGTTTGATACCTGTTGATGTATGAAGGAGCTTGGATCGCTCAGGCATTACCGACTATCAGCCACATTATGTGGATGACCTGTGGCTGCTGCATCTGCGACCGGGGGTGGAGGTCTTAGAACCTCAGTAGCTTAAGTCTGTCAATCTAGGGCTGTAGCTTCCAACTCTCGTTCTGGATATGGAATCCGATGCAGTCACCGCAGCATGTGAGGCGACTGTTGGTGCATATCATTATACATATGGTCCTATGGAGCAGTAGCACTGCGTGGCTCTGGACTCTCTGGAGCTACCACAGTATGGCCCGAGCGGAGAGTCCGAGCTCAAGCTCAAGCTCTCGCCAGTATGGGGTAGACCAGTTGTAGAACATGGAGCGCGTACAGTATGTATGTCTCGCCTGTATTCTGTACATAATATTCATAAGGTATTCTTCCTCACGTCTGAAGACAAGCCAGAGTCAATCCCACTCTCCGCACTCCCCAGAGTTTACCAGTTCCGTACCACTACCCCATACATTCCAGAGAAAGACAAAGTACGTATTCCCGCCGCACGGATCTCCAACTTCGTGCAAGGCACTTCCCGACCCAGGAAAAGAGGATACATAGAACGGACCTCCTCGCAGCGGAAGCTGCTTCCAGCCCGAGCTACAGGCCCAGTAGTTTCCAGGAGCAGGCGAAAGTACGGAGTATCGCGATCCCTTCCGTCCGCAAAAGGGTCCCGGATTCCAAATCCCAGGTTATTTCACTAATAATTTAAAAACCTTGGAGCGAGCTTCGCCTTTTTGCAGCTTCCTCGGACGATCACTCGCTGGATAGATCATATTGTTAATCGTAATTCCATGTGAGTTCGGGGAATGGGAGATATGTGGCGAGCACAGTCGGCGACTCCCGGTGCAATCTGCGATGAATGGACTTTTTCGCTATCGACTGGAGTACCTAGCAATAATGATACCTGGTTTACTCCTTGATGGTCATCGTTATCGGGTGCGGCCAGCCACACTCGTCATTAAGAGTGATGTCGATGCCTCGGTCTTGTTCATATGATGGCAGTGAGCTTGTCCACCGGTCGCATCCGTTTTCCGAAATATTCCCGTCTGCTGTCTGGTAAGGTAACCTCTCTTGATGTTGACTGACGTAGTCGGTGATATTATCTTGTTTGGTTCGCTAGTAGCTTTACGGAGTACTCCGTAGTATATCCTCCAAGCCGCATCAACCGAGGTAAGCATCGACATCGGATAGAAGAGGGTGCTCGGAGAACCGAGTACTCTGTGAAATCACTTATTCCATTTGACAGCAGAAGAAGTGGCAAACAGCTTCATTCATGTGTAAAACCACCGAATTCCTAAATATTTCGCGAATTGGTGCTCGTCATCCGATACCTTGTTCAGCTGGCGTATCGGGTTGGAGTATACGAGCAACTAGGGAAGTATCAAGAAAGCATGACATATTACTACTGTGATATTGTTCAAGGGTATCCTTAATTCTAGTCATTTCTGTGTCAGCCCAACATCCGTCAGCAAGGACTACATTAGTTATTATAGTGCTGTCTCATATCACGCCGAACCAATCTCACCCACATATCCAGTATGGACTACGACGCTGAGTACCCCGTAGATATTTATATCATCGCCCGAAACCCACCGAAACCCCATAAGGCTGACTGCTGACTCGGCGTCTTCTGGATGCTTCGATATCAGTACTTTATAGCACGAATTATCTACAGAGTAATACGAACACCACCACGTCATTATTTAATGACATCGACACTTGAGGCGTGGTTGGCTCAAGTAAAGTACACCTCAACCGCCCATGTAACCGCGACTGGGGCGAAGCTTCAAGCATCCCGACGTTTCGCCGAGACGAAGGGAATATCAACTGGTAGTTAGGTGTCTTACTGTGCTCCCGCGCGTAGGGTCCAGGATCCAGGGGAACTGAAACTGAACTGTATCTGAAGTAGCCTTCATCTGGCCTCCCGATCCATCCTTCCAAAAGCTTCGAAGCAGCAGGTTAGAGAGAGCAATCGAGCTATTCATTGCTGCTCGTACATTGGTTTACACCAGCTATACGGAGTAACTATCAGTTGTTGATCGCTATATTAGTTATCAGCACTGTAGAACTGTAGATACATGTTGGGTGTACTTGTTGAGCATCATTTCCCCTGATTCTGGGGCAGCTATCTCCCACTTCAATACTAAGGTTTTTCAGGGTTGCTCCCATACGCAGTTCACCTACAAAAAGAGTAATCAAAAGCAAGACAAAAAGTGATCAATACTTAAATGGATTTGAATAGAGTCAAATCTTCTGCTTGTTTCAGTCTGTTTGCATGATAGGGACATTAGATGGCCTACATGAGTATATTTAAACACCCTTACCCTTCACTGAATTCATCACTCAACTCAAAACTTCTGCTTTCTTACGCTTTCTAAGTGATTATCAGCTCTTTGACATCCAAGATGAAGCTGACTTCTGCTGTTACCTTTTTCTCCATTATATCAGTTGCCTTTGAGTGCATATGAACTAATATTTTATAGTATTGTTACCCCGATGAGGGGGAAATGGGCATGTGCAAGGGAAAAACTGAGGCGATACCGGATATTTTCAATGCACTGAGGTAAATCTCCGCTTAATATCAAGTTATCACATTGTCCTTTGTCTGCCGGTGAATGAGAGTGTATAGAATGCTAACTGATGAAACAGCCTTTGGACAGACTTCGTCAATTGGTGTCAACCCTATGAAACAGACGAACGGCTCACTGTATATAGGTGCTTAACAGGAGCACTTAGCTGTTCTTATGGATGGTGGGTTTATAGGACAGCATGCGTCAGACAGAACCGCTGGCAGGGATTGTATGTGAATTATGGAGGTGGGAGCAGGGGTCTGGATGTTCCAGAACATTTCTGGACGTTCTACTCCCTGTGCTCAAGAGCGAAAGTGGGGTTGGATGATGGAGACGGTTACCGACTCCGTACATCAAAGAATGGAGATGATGCCTCGCTTGACCTCAATGATATGGCGAAGAATGGACTAGATAGACGTCAACGGCGTGGGGGAATTTTCACCAAGCGCTCTCTCCGCTGTGTTTATTCCACGTGTAGGTCTCGAGCTTGGGATAGGTGTCTTTGCCGTTGATAGAGAAACTACCAGGTTTTTCAATGGTATCATATCAATATTCATTCTCGGATTCAATAGTAATAATGCAACGAGCAAACTAGAACCATCCATCTCCGACTGTTCCCATCCAGTTTTCTGCTACTCTGGAGTGCAATGTGTTGGGTTGTCCTCCGTATGCTTACGAAGGATTCCGATCCAAGAGACCAAGGCGCGTGTCGGTTGATTCCAACAGCAGCGATGATGCCGGAAACAAATACTCCGTAATCTTATCCTTTGAGTTCCAACCACTTCCATAATTCAGTCCAAGCCATCAATCTCCGACCCTCTACGCGAGATTTTCGACCGTTGTTATTTCAGCCAGCTCTCCGTGACTCGAATCGGCGGTGAATGGCCTAGGCGCTAGATTCCGGTTAATCGCCGGATGATTCTGGATCCCCGCTTCGAATGGAGAAAGGTGGACAGTTCGCCCGTGCAGAGAAAGGGCCGTTCCCCCGATTTGCCTTTTTGGGCGCGGTTAAATGGTTGTTTGTGAGTTTGGTTCGGAACCGAAAGTTTCTAGCTGGAGTTAATTGTTGTAGTCTTGTAGAACTGGTCTCGTCTCGAGTTCCAAAAGCGATAGTGCGGGCTGTTAGACTCCCTTCCTTCGTTGATCGTCGGTGCGAAGGAGCAGCCCAAATCCTCTTTGAGCGTGAAAGTCAAAGGAGAGTCGTACTAGGCTCAGGATCATTGGTACTACGTATCCGCCAAATGTCACCCCCTGGAAGAAGAGTTCATCAGGAGCGGTGATGGCCCCAATGTACGACCAAGGGAGAATTGAAACGGCTGCTTGGGACGGCATTACGCATTATCGGTGGAGACGTCCTCGTCCCTATGAACTACTCCTGATCTGACCACAGGCTTATTGGAGCTTAAAGAACGCCATCCTGAAGCGGGCTGGAGCTGAAAGCATGCAAAATACTATTCGAGACAGCAGCGAAGGATTTATGCCCACGCTACTCCGTATTGCCCCTATTGTCGTGGTCGTTCCACCCCCAATTCCTTCTGCTCATCACTCCTGCGAAGTCTCTATCCTTACTCCCCTGGATCCATCCAGGGTGAAGGTGTCACTGTTACTCCGTGCATGAGCGAAGAAAGACTTTGGGAAGGATGCTCGTGCAATCTGGGACCGGGGAAAAGGCGCAGCCTGTAAGCTTTGGGATCACTCTATCTAAGCTTCAGAAGGATGCGCGTTTGACTATTTCGGTAGCTAGAACGTTCTGCTGATGACGCAAGCTCACGTTCTCCTGAAATGGCCGTTTGCAATCGCAAGAACCGTGAGATTCGTCTATCCAGCAGCTGTTGGTGGGCTATAGGGGATCAAGACTCATCTTGAAGGATTATCGATAGAGAAAATGGAAGAGGACTATCTACGAAGCAGATATCAGGGGGATGAGCCACAAAGTACCCGCGAAATCTGCAAGATGGAGGATCCGCTTTTAACAAAGTCCGCGACAGGTTGTTCTAATGTCGAATCTGAGGATCATCAGGGCTCTGGCCAGTCACCGAGGATTTAATGTGTCGTGTGCGAATTCAGATTGAACTTTTTGCGATAGTATGAATCCGTCATGACCTTGAACTGTGACATTGAGATCCTCAGACAAATCCGTCATCATTGAGAAAGCCTGCGCAGCGTCCAACTCAGGATTCAGAAAACACTCACTAAACTGAGGCGTATGCCAGCTCATCCATCTACGAAGACCCACAGCTGATGAAGTAGAAGCTATACTCGATGTACAGAAGGATTGAGTATGCCTTGCTTCGTTGTTCCTCCATGAGTTGGTGCTTTCGTCTTCCAACATGGAATGGATTTGAAACTGCTTAGGGATGACTGCTTAGGGATGACTGCTTAGGGATGACTGCTTAGGGATGACTGCTTAGGGATGACTGCTTAGGGATGAAGATGTCTCACTACTCAACTAACCCCCAACCAAGGTGCTCATTTGTGATCTTCATCAAAGGCTGACGACCACGATGGCAACCTCTCATCAGTTCAACATTCTTGCACGGAAATCGGTGACGTCGTTGTCCGCATCTAGCTTCAAATCGTAGACCTATTTCCTTGGGAGTATCGGGGAATCATCTTTGGGGTATGGAACTAGTTCGTAAGCCTTACTCTCTTGCAATGTGTCCAGTTGCGGACGCATTGCAGACTCCCAATGGTGCTTAAATGGATCTTCCTTGGCTTCCCGGTACGGGCGAAGGATCTTGGTGCTGTCAGGCACTAGGCCCAAGCTGTCTCTTCTTCGCTTTTACCCCTGTCATTTGTTAGTAATTTTTTCTAGGATTCACACTGGATGGCACAAACATCAGAAGTTTGCGTACGGGATACGTCTCCGCACAACGTTCAAATGGCCTGCTTCTCGCTCCGTCAGCTTGGATGACAGGAGTCCAAGCCTGTGACCAATTTTGTCAGCTGCAGCAATGGAGACCTCATAATTTCATGCAAGTCCAGTCCACCATGGCCAGCCAGGGTCCCATTCCCCCATGAACCACGAAACCTCCTCTAGAGGCGCCAAGGTGACCCTCCCCATCCTCAGTCCAGCTGCACTGGAACAACAGGGACTGTTCTGCACTATGATCTTTGCACACCACTGCAAAGTGGACTGGCAGAGATGCCTTAAATCGTATTTCTGCAAGCGCGGTAGGTGTCGATTTCTGTTGCTTGCCGTGTCGTATATCATGGCAATGAATGACGAGGCGGGGTGACGATGGGTACACATCCGTTGCCGGCTTTGTTTTCCATATGATCGAGTAAGGTCTTCATTGCTGCATGTCGACTCGCCACTGCCTTCTCTAACGCCACCCAGATTATGGTTTCGGTGAACATACCAACGCCGTCGTCCGGGGAGCGGCTGGGTAGCATGGCCTGATCTGCAAGTTGTTTGTATTCAGGGAACCAGTTGACCTTGCTGTTGTCACCTCCCTCTTGCATGACTCCGGCGCGCCGGAGGCCTGAGTAGAAGATGGCCAAATACCCGCAGAGATTGAAGGCTTGATTGTACAATGGGGTCGCTGTGAAGAACCACACATGCTCAGCCTCCAGACGCGCGACTGACTGGCGAACCCGCGTCCGGATGGTCTTGGCTGCGTGGCCTTCGTCGCAGACCACGCGGCCAAACCATCCGGACAGGTGGGTCGGAGACGGAGGCCGAGCAGGCGCGGAGGCTGGGGGCGCACCACGGGGCAGAGGCCCGCCAACCGCGCGGACCCGAGCCTTTAAGCCACTCTTTCCTGAATGAATCGGGAGGAGGATATGGAATGTGCTTCTGTTGGCACCTTCTGTGATGAAGATTTCACGGCGATCTTGGGAGATTAAAAACATCACATGGTAGATTCTCAAGTTTTGTTGTACTACCACGATGTGCTAATAAAGCATTAGTTAAGATATTCAATCAGTGCAGACTAGTACAGTTACAAAGAAAGAAGAGTAATAGCTTACGGCATTCTGTAGTTTGTGATATGGTCAGCTTAAAGAAGTCATATGGTAGTGACTGATCAGAAAGTTGGTTTTTCACTAGGACTTATCCAGCTCAGGATCCCAGCCGGCAACTTTATCAGAACGCAAGGAGCATTTCGCACCCCGATTGGCCCAAAAGCAGTTCGCGCAAGAGCCCTTGTGGAGAGCGCGGTCGGGAGCTTACTGTCCTTGAATGAAGGTAGTAGGAGAGTTTCATCCTTCAGGCATGCAAAGTATTTGCGTGCCTCTTGAAAGCTACGGTGCCTTGCGAACTCTTCATGAGGGAGGCACTTCATTGACTCCCATGTCTATTATCTGATGAGATGTCGTTCTAGGAGAACCAATGCAACTGGTCCTCGCTGCAACGGACGTGTCCCCTGGCTTCGGCAGGAAGATATTCTGCAGGTCACATCGCGGGTAGCAGATACTCGGCAAAGGTCACCGCTTGAGTACTTCGCAAAGAATAGTCCCTCTCTTGACTCTATGTCGATGCTCTTCACGTTATAGTGAAAGCGTGCAAGGGGATTAGGGCAGGTAAAACCTATCGAACCTCAAACGTGTGGCTGTCAGACTTTGACCTGTCGTAGTAAGTCCAGTAGGTGATCCTGCTGCTGTTGGGATTCGCCTGTACTCTGTTCGACTCGCGAGGTTGGATTATAGCACCTCGGTAGCTTCCGTATTATCTCAGAAATAGCGAGACAGTTGGGAATAATTGGTATAACTGGTATCCAGTTCTTCACTGGACGTGTCCCACCAGCATTTCCAGTGGTGATGCGATCATGTCTCTGCGGGCGGGTAACGTCTCTCTGCCTAGGCCATCTGATGGTTAGATTATCTTTGGCACAACCGACCTGAACGAAGATCGGAGTGCTCGAAGGCACTAACCAACGTAATCGTCGCTTCTGAAATCGTCGGAAGCATAACGGGGATCCAGTCTTCATCCGGGTCGAAGAAACGAGGTACCAATCGAGGATCGTTGCCAGATCGTAAGCGTAAGTGTCACCGGGGGCCGCCTTCACAGCCAACGCCTCTCCTGTCGGGTCTGATAAATCGGCGAACTCAGTGTCACTCTGAGAAGATTGGCTTATTGCATTTCACAATGACCAGGACGTTGATGTGCGCGGCCTCGAATCATCCAGAGATCCTTATCTGGGAGTAGACAGGGGTATGACTCCGAGAATCCTACTTCGAAGAAATGGTAGGCAGAGGGGACTCCTGTATTTTGACATAGAGGTCGGGTTCCTTGAACAACAGACTGCATGGAGATGCGAATGAGTCAAATCATACAGGACTCAGTCAGATATGCAAGAAGCTAAAGAGGACGTAACCCACCAGTGTTAGCCATGAAATCCATATCCTCCAATTAATCTGCAGTCAAGAACCTCGCCGCAGCAGCTGGTTCCTGGTAACGTTCCTCGCCGCTGAGCGTAATCCGTGTGATTTTGTGTATCCACTCCTTCTTCCTGTCAAGGTAGTTGGTTGCGGACCTGCGGTACTCCGAGAAGAAAAAGACGGAATCTTGAGGCGCTATAAACACGTTGCACAGCTTTGAGTGGGGATCTAGGTCGCTGAGGGCGTACAGCTTGAGACCACCCAAGGGATCTCGTAGGTCAAAGGCTCATTAGGCCGCTATTGCGGACCGCTGCTGGTATTGACTATAGCACCGCTCATCCGAGCACTGTATGGGAATCGGAGTTTGTTCGCGCCAAGCTCAACCAGAACTCCTCGGATTTGTTTCTTGAGATCTGCTGGCATGGGCCAGCGGAATAGCTCCTTCCAGTCCAGTGTTGATGGCACCTTCTGGGAAAACCGAATGTTCCAAGTCTGCCAGGGTATCCAGCAAGTTGTCAGCGTATAGTGCATCTACAGTGTAGTGCAGACAAGTAGCCAGGCATGGAGCACAGCTGCTAGGGGGCCCCATGGAAATAGCATGACATCAATGTCTGCGTGGAGCTGCCCCGTGAGCCTAGTGACTCTGTCTGGCCAAATGTCTTTCTTAAAGAACGGCTCAGCTGTTTTGGGTAAGTCGTAGAATTCGTAAGGCTCTTGATTTCACCTTGGAATTTTCTGGGACCAAGCACTATACTGTTCAATAATCCATGGCATTAGTAAGGTCAAGTCCTAGGGACGTGGAATCATTGGTTTATCTTCCTCTGTGTCAGAATATCAAATCCAAGGCTTCCGTCTTGCTGTCGCAGCAGTGGATCAGGTTGGAGTTAATGTTCGGGATACTTGCTCCTTGGGCTTTTCAAGCTCTTCTATTTTGGATGAAACCAGTCAGATGGCCTCACGCATTTTCTTGATCTTAGCTGGGAGCAGTTCTGGAATAGCCTCGGTGCCACGTATCCAGGGTGCTAGATAAACAGGGTTACTGTTATGGATGAAGGTTTCACCACTGTAGACTGTCTCGCAGAAGTTGTTTATATCCCCTAAATTCTCTCTTTCCGCCCACTTGCGGGCTATGTCTGGGACGCCAAAGCTTATAGCAAGGTTCGCCGCCCACAGGCGTCTTTCCGACCTCTACTTTATCATCTGCTTGTTGATCTCCTTGTCTGTCTTTAGGAGGTCGTCGAGGGTATTCTGAAATGCGATCTTCGCAGCGTGTAGCTGGTTCTTCCGGTCTTTATAGTGTTTCGCAGAAACCGCCAAGATTGAAAACTCCAGCGTTTATTCGCCAGCTGTGTCATGGCATCTTTTGTGGTCGATGTCGGCCACCTGGTAATTGGGAAGAAGGGCAGCCTGAGATGCTGTAGCAGAAGATCCAAGCGCGAGATATATACCTATGGGCCATCAACGCATGTCTCACTTTATGAAAGGAAAAACAGTCTCTGGAATCTTACCTTTGGACCATGCTTTGTAATTATGCACTATCCAGCTTTCTTATTACACAAGGGTAGAGTATATTGAAAGAGATCGTATATTGCTGGTTGAGAGAGCAAGACCGCAATAGAAAGGGGAATTGGTAGATTCACTTCCGGCAAGAATCAAGCTTTTAGTGAATAATTTGACGTCTCATAAATTAACCAGGTATTCCGCTTCACTATCCTATCCTTTGTCTGGGCTAATGTGAATACGAGGCCGATCATCCATTTGTATGCGCGATTTTCCTTGACAAAATGCCTCATCCAAAGTAAACATAACGTCGATCTTCTCTTGATTGAACTGGAATCTATTTAGTGCATATACTCAAGTTAAACCCTTTACTATGTGCCATGCCTCCATCCAAACCCCCAGACACCACCCCCTCCTGCTTCACCGACACCCCATGACGTTGTCACCACAGCAACCGACGACCTCCCCGGCTTTGGGCACTGATCTCGGCGCGGCCGTGCGCTCGTCTGTGGGCGGAGAACTCCGCCCATTTACCAATCTGATGTATACGTCGCGGAATGAAGCTGTCGAGCGACTGGTCGGAGAGTGTATGGGGGCGCAGCGGGAATGCAATCGTGGCGATGAGGTTCGATGTCTCGGGTATTGAGGCTTGTTCGCAGGTGTGTGCGTATGGGACTGGCTTGTGTGGTGGAGAGGATTGAGGGGTAATGGGCTAACTTGCCTTGTCTTTGACTGATCAAGCAGTGTTACAGAGTTTGACTCGATACTGAAGAGCCTACTGGTCAGAACTTTCTTGCGGGCCTCTTCATCAAAAGGTTCTGTATAGGTATATACGATTAATGGGGTTCTTCATCTAGTTCTGGCGTACTCGCAGATCGAACTATGAGACTGCGTGAGAGAAGAATACGACACAGGATTGAACAGTGGTTCACCCGGAGACTGTCAGCTTGGAGACTTCATTGAAGGGAACGAGCGATCTGAGTTTATTATCAGTGACGATACAGGTCTTAGATCCAGTCTTGCACTTCCCACAATAATCACATCCAAAACCTCTGAGCCAGCGCACCGAATTTTTCATCATCCTCTGGGCTCCATTTCAAATCCTGAAAGTCCCTGTACAGTGGAATGGTTTCCGAGGGTAAAGTCAAACATGACTGAAGTGCGAGATGCTGCGTAAGTCGGAGGAGACCCTTCGAATGCTCCGATCGCCGGGCTGATACACGCAGTGCAACACAAAGGCTGACAAACGCCTCTTTGCTCTCTGACGTAGACAGGTCCTCCAGCAAAGTGAGCAGCGAGATCGTTATCCACTGGCTGAGGGGCGCAGAAATACGGTCCAAACCCCATAGTCGTCGACGAAGTTCAACTAGTCGAGCTACTTCGTGCGCCGCGTGAAGGCGCATGGCTCGGGCTCTTGCATTTGAGGGGTACTAGTATTGCTCATTCGTACACTTCCGAAGGACTTTTGCGGAAAGCCGTACAGTGAGATCATGATTGTGTGGTAGTATATGCTATACCCAATGAGTGACACGTAAGCATTGTCAAGGGTCCAATTGATAACACTCACTGGGTGCCGAGGACCTGCGGGGAAGACCTTTCTGTATCACTCAGCCGCATGCACGACGGTACATGGGCCTTCCAATCTTCAAGGCGCTTGAACGAGGCTTCGACACTTTGATCTACAGCCTCGGGCGAGAGATACTTCCAGCTCTGGGAGAGCAATAGACATATGTCATTGACGATCAGAGTCAAGCTGCAGAGACTGTTGATCAAGCACGATTCATGGCTGGTAGTAGCTGGCTGGGAGTTCGGATATGGAGCCCACTGCTCACCCGCGAGACCCTCAACATGGAACACCAGCGGACGCGCACATTGCGGAACCCCAATCAGTGGCCCGCGCCGGTAGGTGATCAGATTCTCCCTAGACGTTGCAATGACTTAGAACCGCCCGGTCTGACGTGAGAGTGCTCGATCATCCCACACTCACAAAAGAATATTGTACACCCCCAAATTGCTATGCTACAAACATTGTCGTACTGCTGCTCATTCCCGCTGGGTTTTGGCGAAGCAGATGTCTTAGAAGTGGAGAAGTTGCGTAACGCGTCCACTATTCGACCCTCATACACTCGAGCTAGGTGGTTGTTACCGAACGTACACGTGCTATCAAAGGTTAGACGCAGAAAGTCTAAACAGAGAATTTGCGGGCCAGGATAACAGATTATCGTTCTCGTTACCATCTCCATAGAACGGCTAATCCCTGAATGGTGGTCAAGCTGAGTCGCCCCTCCTCCTCATGGAGCCTCTGTGCTTGCTGATAAAACCATTTAGCCAGGGAATGAGAGCTGTCGTTCATGTAACTTCCGTTTTCGGAGTGAGAATCATCCAGTAGTGCCTACGATTCCGTCATAAGGATCATCATACCACGGAGGACACCAATGGATCACTCACGCAAGCGTCAGCTAATATGGCGTTCACCAAGAAGGGTGAGCAGTACTGACACACCACATTCCCTGCCCGCATGTCTCGCAGGAAGAGGCTGCGGTCAATACACGGAAACATGGAATGATTCCAAGTAAACCACAGCGAAACGAGCTCTGAAACAAACGCATTGTTGCACTGGATCACCGTCCACGGCTTAGCGGGAACGTTGAAAGAACGAGGGTGAGCGACCTGCTGTGCCTTCCGTGACTCAAAGGCTGGCCCTTCTACGTCAAGGAGAAAGTGAATTTGACGCCGAAACTCCGTCATCTCAGTTGTGTCCTCGATTGTACCTAGTTTCAGATGGTCCGTTATATACTCGCGGATTTCTTGCAATGAAGCATGACTCCGAATCATATTCACAAGGTGAGAGACATGGCGTTCATTGCTACCTCGAAGGGCGCTCACGAGCTGAATTAGAAGTTCTTGGTCTTGCTCCATCATTGCTGCCTTGCGCTTCAGAGCCCCTTTTCGTCGTAGATCATTACTCTCGTCAACAATGCATTCGATGGAATTTTCGAAACAGCGTGCACAAGGCCGTCCACTGTCACACTGCGTCTGGTCAGTCATGGCTTCAAGCAAATCGATGGAAGCTGATAGGAGGGTATTATTTTGATCACCAACAACTGATAAAATTCGGCGCCTGAGTCAGAAGAACTCGCAATTACCTTTTGTTTTCTTTCCCGGCATGCGACACATGCTCTTGTCTGCTTTCGCCTTGGAGGTAGGGACATTGCGTCTTAGATTAGTTAGGATAACCAAGAAACAGCATGTATGTGTTGAACTTGTGAGAAGTCAACGCCAAGTTTGTATGGACCGGTGGAGTGCCTGACATGTTGGGACTTGTAGTTTGAAAGATGGAGATAGCATCAAAATTGGGACACATCATTGTGGCAATGCGGCTGATGTGTGAATGTATTTGCCGCACCTCGCCCCAACATGGATGGAAGAGGTACTATCAGAGTAGATTGATAAACCGCTTGAAAGCAAACCCCCCTAGCAGCTCCAGATGGCATTGGGTGGATGGATGAAATATCCGGTGCATTATCCCCTTGGGTTGCAGCTCGCAGATCATTGCGTCAGTCATCCTCAAAACTTGGAGCTGACAGCTGAGACCTGCAGCATGAAAACTAGTAGATACGTAACAACCAATCACTTTTAGGCCCCACAGCCGTCATTGAGGGGATTTACGAGATAATATGAGTCCATGACTGTCATATGCCTTCACAGCCACTGGAGGACGGGCTATTTGTTCTTATATTGACTCCGCATCTGTCGTGTGTCTTTTGCAGTTCATAAACCGATACCTCTTGAGAAAACTCACCCTTTCTTATGATCTACCCATTTTCTATCCGCAATGTCGGATCCCTTCAAGGTTCGTTACTTGGCTCCAGCGTCGAGCTCAGATGGCCAAATACAGCCGGCGAAACGCACATTGAAATCCATTCGAAGTCGTCGTAACGCGTCCTTGTCATGTTCAGCATGCAGGCTTCGAAAAGCAAAGGTTGGCGTCTTGAAAGACAATAGAGTGGCTCCTGTTTCTGATAATCTCTTCAAATAGTGTCAGGGCGGACCTCCATGCGAAAATTGCGTGAAATACAAGACGGAATGTCGGAGAGAGGAAGACAAAGATGGCCGCAGACAGACATCCCTGAAACGAAAGCTTATCGAACTTGAAAAGGACCGCCATCTTCTCGTGCGCCTACTCGAGACCATTCGCGTCGAAGAGGATGTTAAAGTCACGCAGCTGCTCAATCTCATTCGCAGCAATGCTCCGCCGGATGAGACGCGACCTTCGGTCGCGGAGGGAAGACAGCCGTCGAGACGCAGAATCCGCCCCGATACTGGCCAGGTTGTAAACGAGGACATTTCATCTGCGCATGACGCTATTGAACCGCGGCCTCGCCAAAACATCATGGCAATAAGGAGCCTCTGTAACGCCACATAATGTGTCTGCTGAGTTGGGCATCGGTTACTGATGACGATGAGCCTCCTCGAACCGACTGCTTCAGAACCTTGCACTCATAAAGAGAATGACCAGGGGGCGCGGTGCCCACATCAAGGAGATCAATTCCGGCACATACCAAGTTCTTACTCTCTTCATTGACAGTGTTAGCGGTATCATTCCAGAAGCATCGACCCCGTTATATGACGATGAAAAGCCTCCTGTCAGCGATCACGCAGTGTCCTCAGTTTCTTCGATAACCCTCAACAGCCATTTCCACAACCTTGCATCTGCGACAAATAACCCGCTTTCCCTCTGGAGGTTCTGACTGACCGGATGGTCATCCTGGACAGTTGGTAGCGGAGGATTAGGGGGTGCATGATTCATATTATCCTGGCTGTGAGGACGCGCAGATACGCCAGGAGAGAAGTCTTCGAATAGACTATGATCTAACATTCTATGTTTCCCATATGTCGGTAGCACCTCATTAGAGCAGGGATCTGGACACCAAGCACCAATATAAGCACCGGAAGAGGAGCTTGACAGATACTGGGTAGTGTATAGACAGTGGGCTCCGCGGGGGCATCTGCAGGAAAAAGGGCAGACTGCATTATGCCGCCGCCTCCAAGGGGATTATGACCTCCAGTCCCTGGCGGCAAAGAGTCCGCAGCAGGGGGAACTGGGATCAGCGCCGGTGCGTGTGAAGCATAGCAGAGCTGTGGTTGCCCAATGGGGGAAGTAAGATATTGTGACTTCCACTGCGAACTCAAAGTCAGCTTCCGGGCAATGGTACTCCTCATGACATTGCCCCCAAAATATTCTTGCTCCATCTTTCGGATTTTGTGTGGTGGTAAATCTTCCTGTTGTGCTTCAGAGTATAATTGTCTGTATCGAGGAGAAGACCGTTGCTGAATGAACCAAGTTGCTAGGTGCTTTTCAGGTCCGTAGGCTCCATTCCAGAGAGCAGCAAAAAGACCATAGTCATTGATTGAATCAAAGCTGAGAAACCGAGACAGACACCATGATGTCGTATTCTGTTGTAGAAGCTGCAAGGCTCTGAGGCTGGAATAATCATCGGCTTTGCGCCCGACAGTTGACAGAAGAGCGCTCTTGAACCCCGTCCCGGAAAGAAGCAATGAGATCTTCACTCAACTAGTCCCCGAACTGTGGAAGTCCAGGTGGGGCTAATATTATTGCGTCTGGAACGGACGAGGAGAAGGCCCAATCGATTATGCACGTTATGTTATGGTCCTCGTCAACGTAGATGTTGTTAACATTCAAGTCAGGGTGCCATAGTGGGAAGCCTCCCAAGCAAGGACCTCGTAAATTGAGTGTCTCTATCTTATCCCGGAGAGCGTCGCCAGCAATAACGTAGTCGACCCTGTTCTCAGAAGAGTCACATTTCGCTCCAACCGTCACGAAAGCACTTCATAGATTGTACGATTTTCTTGAGCATCAGATTCGTAGTCACGAGAAGGGATTGGTGCGGTGAAACAATGGTGTGATCGCGGCAGAACTTCAGCATGCTGTAAAAAAGCAGTAATAAGGCTGTCATAAATTGTGTTTCAGAGGAGAAAGGCCCGAAAGGTACTTCCTCTAAGGTATACCTTGCTGCGATACATGGCCACGTGAAAGGCATTCTTTCACTTCGAAAGCGCCCCCTTCCGCAAAAAGCGAGCCAATCCCGTCAAGACGTACATGCAGAAGCTTTTGAGTGATGGCGCCTAATTGACGAAGGACCTTGACTCTCTTATGCTCAGCTAGCTCTGGGTGATTCGACCCTGCTGATATCCATGTCTCTGATAGCGGCTGACCGGGGGCTTTGCTCATCAGAATGTATGGGATTCCAATATCATTGTAGTAAGTAGAGCTTGTAGAGTCAGCTGAGGTCATATGCAAACTTAGAAATCTCATACCTGTAAGCATAAACCTCCGGAACTGGTATATCGCTCTTCAATCTGAGATAACGTAGAGTAGCTGCCTAGCTGGCTAGAAGCTTCAAACTCAGTTCCGACAGAATTTGGTGATGGGGAGACCTTAGCACCCATTGTACCCATCTTCAAACGAGACAAATATGGCCCAGTTGAAACTTCCAATAGCTGGGCGCTCATTCATATCGCAAGTGCACGCAATCCTGTAGATGCTGCGCCAAGAATGAGCTGTGCGATCTGGATATTTGAATGAAGACGGATGTTAGGAAGAAAGAGGATGTCGGTGATGTCCAAATGTACCTACCTAATAAGCAAGTTGTTTGGCCAATAACTAAGCACTGTTTACCTGCTTCGTCCAATCTACGAGTTGTCGACTGACTTCCGCAGTCATTTTAGCAACCGACATCGACCGATCGACCATGGCTCATATGCAGATGTCAGTAGTCAACGATACTACGTGCCTCATGATGGAACAAATGAATGAGCTGGTGTGGTCCGGTCGAACGGTCAAAGAACGATCATGGAAGTAGGTGGCCATAGCGAGAACGAACCAGTATTTTCATCTTAGCATAGTTCCCTAATGCCTCCTAGGTATATAAAAGATCTCACACAGACCTGCTCTCAATAAGATTGTTCTTGATGAGTTTGATCTCAACATCAACAAATGCCAGAAACCTCAAGTATCCTTCGCCTCCACCATGTGTCAAGTCAAGGTACACAAGGAACGCTCTCATGACCTCTCTTGGTGCCAGGAAGTGCTTTTCAAGGTTCTCAGGTGGACGGCCATCAAAGATCGAAAGACCATGGAGTCTCACACACTTCTCAGGGATCAGTCCCTCAATTTCAGCCTCAGAACGGTGGTACTCCTCGATGATATCTTCATCCGACACACCCAGCAACTTGAGGACAACCGCAATGAAGACTCCCGCCTCGTCCTTTCCCAAGTCATCGTAAACAAGAAGTGGGAGGTCGAATCCATCCCGGATGTGTGCAAATATGGCTCTGTACGCAGGGGCAGACACGGTACAGTAGTGCTCATAGATCACCATGAAACTTTCGACTACGTCGTAAGAAAGACGGCTGAAATGTTTAAGGAGTATTTTTCGGCTCTCTTCCCAACTTATGGCGGGAACATGCTGTATGGTAATGCCTTCGATGGCAATGGTTGCCTTGTTGGAGTCTTTGTCTGAACAGAGGTCGAAGATGTCTCTGATACCGAAGTGATCTCGCAAAGCCTGAACTCCAGCGTGGGAGACGTTCCTCAGATTGGCTGAGCGGAAGAGATATCCTCTTCGCACGAATTTGTTGCCGGCCAATTGGTAGCCTCCAACGTCTCGGAAGTTGTATAAGCCTAATATCTGAGGAGAGGAAGATTCCCGTTCCGGTTCCTGGCTCGAACCGCACAGCATTCCCTTGATTGTACAAAAATGGAGGTTCTCTTTCATGTTGTTGCATTTGCTTGTGAGTGTAATTGTCGTGCTGGAGACGGAGTGCTGCGATCTGGTCAGTCCAGCAGTCTGCGCCGACCTTTATACACCCCTAGCTTTTGCAGGTCCTCTCGAACTATTTTGTACCACTTCACTGATTCCTTTTGTGGCAGCCGGTGCAAAGGAATGGAACTCAACATTCGACCTGCTTATACTGGCAGCAGTCTTGATTGAGGTACCCTGCACGCCTGAGATGCAAGTTCCAGGACAATGGATCCCTTGACGTCAGATAAAGTCCTACTGAAAATGGCTGCGTACCATGATGATATTGAAGCTGCCGTTACATGGTGTTCGTCATCTCTGTCCTGATGTCCTCGGAGATATTATCGCCCCCCTTGCTGGCCATGACGTATAGAAGAATGTGGAAGTACATACCAGAGGATGCCTGACAGATATCGCTTCGTCACTCTTCGCCGACTGCGAATATCTTCATCAGTAGCCTGGGTGTTGTCGCTTTCGAAATGTCCTGACTGCATCTTCCACAATGCAAAACAGTTACGTGGCCCGTCCCGCAAACTGGGGATTTGGGACAACCTCCTTGACATTAGATCGTTGCTTCAATGTATGAGCTGAAGAATCATGAACCATATTCCGTCCCATAGATATCGTGAGCATTCGTCTCGCCATAGTCAGGAACCGAGTAATTTCATCACAATGACTGCAGTATCCAAGAAAGTACTAGATACAACACGATATAGTAGACTGACATATGCAAAGGCATGATATTATGTTGATAGTGCTTGCAAGATCAGGTCATCTGGCTGAGTTCAAACTAGAAAAGGTGACAACTAGCTCACAAGTTGTGAATGTACTCTTACAACGCACTAGATCAAAGTTAGGCTCAACTCACAATCCCATTACGTCGCTTCATTTAGCTCCTCTCTATGAGGCAGAACTTACCAGCCTCCTCGAAATGACTCGCAAAATAACGCTTGCAAAAAGGCGAAGGATCTCAGAATCTACCAGCCTTCTCGAAATGACTCGCAAAAGAGTGCTTATCAAAAGGCCAAGAGTCTCAGAGCCCAGCGAAAAAAATACTGATGATGGAAAGTTGGTTGATTTGACGCGTTGCGATGCAGCGGAAAATGAAGCCGCTGTTAAGGCGAAGGGGCTTGTTGACAGGTACTGAAAAGATACACTATTCTCCTTGCAAGTTGCAAAGGTCGACTGATAGAACCAGCCAATTCCTCAACCCTGCATACAGCGATCTGTCTATCATCTGCGGCGACAAGGTCTTCCCAGCTCATCGAATCATCGTCTGTCCTCAGTCAATCTACTTCGAGAATGCCTGTAAGGCAAAGTTCGAGGTACTATTATCCTTGTATACAAGCCCAGGATTATTTGAATTAAACTGACAACATTCTTACGTATAGGGAGACAAAGGAGAAATCGAAATAAACGACCGGGACGCGACCTTGGTGGAAAAGATGCTGCAATTCGTCTACACAGGCGATTATACTTGCGATACTCCTCCAGAAACAGGAGAACTGGTGACAGCAACGCACTTATCTCCCACCGTCGACGCGAAAGAAAAGACCGCCCAAATGATTGCTCCTGATTCACACTTTCACGCTCAGATGTACGCCCAAGGCGACTATTTTCAGATCGAGGGTTTAAAAGCTAAGGTGAAGGAACGCTTTGAGAAGACCTTCCTCAACACCGCAAACGAACATTCCTTTGCCGCGACTGTCATCGAAGTGTATACCTTGACAGCAGAGGACGATCGGGGCCTGAGAGACATTGTCGTCCAGCTGACGAGAAACAATCTCCACAGCTCAGGACTGGGCAAGAACCGATCCTAAGTGCTCACATTTTGCAACTTATTCCTCAATTTATGTTGGACATTTGCGTTTCCACTATGGACGAATGTGCTAGGTACCAGAAGCACAGTCCAGCCTGGGCCAAGCAACAATGTCTTTGTTTTGGAACAGTCGAGGAGAATTGATTAATTGGTCATGATGTGGTCAGCAGGGCTAGGGAACGGTGAAGATTTGGACGTGATAAAACTTGACGTATAGCCCTTTCCAGTTAGAGTGATTCTTTTGAAGATAGTAACACAGTAGTCAAAATGTATCAAGAGGCGTCGGTAAAGGATCCACATCAAATTGCAGTTGAAAGACACATAGCTACTAGTTAGTTAACTAAGAGTTTGTCATCAAAACTAAGGTTAGTGATAAGCAAACTTAAATTGAAATAGACATCTAACCTTATTATACGTCCATACAATGTATAAACAGAACACGCCCAGACGCCCAGTCGAATACTTATCCTAGCATGCATGTTTCATTGATAATGCTTAAGAAATGCGACCTTTTCCCTTTTTGGGCTCTTATTACCTAACCGCAATCTGACGGAGACTTATAGTAATGCTGACACACGGTGGAGAACTATAACTACATGAAGAACGCAGAGATATACTGACGATAATATAGAGGAGCGATTGGGAGCTATATAAAAGCATAGAATCTCCTTGCCACATTCAAAGGAACATTCAACAATCAAAGCACTCTCTAACCCATCATCTCACTACCTGCAAGAGTCTCACATAACTATCAGACTATCCTCCATCTTACAACATGCATCTCTCACCCTGGGCCATTGCCACTTTCGTTACCGCCGCTACGGCGGCTACTCTCAAGGTCAACTACTATTCCGACGGCGGCTGCTCCAACTACATGACCTCGCTCAATCCAGGAACCGGCTTTTCCTGCTACGACTACGTCTGGACCGGCTCCAACAGCGTGAACATCGCCGACTGCACGTTTCCGAATGGAAAGTGCGCCTGCACCTTTTACACGCAGCCGCACTGTAAAGGCGCGCAACAGACGGTGGTCTACGGTGGGGACAATTGTGCGTCGAACTGGGGCCGCGGATTCTATTCTATGAAGTGCAGCGTCGAGCATGACCAATGAGGAGAGCGGGCTTATCACCGACCTGCAGGTCTCGGGACCGGTCTTGCAAGCCATTGATGGTCGGATGGAAGCGGGTGTGTCATGGCACAGGAACAGGAAAATGAGCGTGGGTAGTTGGCAGAGCAATGGAGGCGAAGGGTTGGACGTGATATTACCTTTTAGTCCTGTTTCCTGCTGTACTGAGCATATGACAACATGCTTCCGAGAGATATTGGTTAATGGATGTTGTCGGTACAAGTCATGTACTCAGTCAAATGGCCTTTAGTCTGTATAGGATTGTACCATCTACTCTAGTCATATGTGAGCTTACTACCTCTGTCTCAACTGTGCATTTGTCCTCTTGCTCGTCGTAGCGTCTGTTTAGCCGCAGTCCAGAACTGTAGTACTCTCTCCTCATTCTGCCGCCTTATGTAAATGAAAGAACTATAATGAACAACGAATAGTATTCAGACACTTGCTCAGATCCATAGTTACATAACTTAGCGGGGCATGGCAAGAGAACTGCTCGGTGTTTGCTAGTACCAGCGTAGAGACCAACCTATGCGACGTCCTCATCTCTTTATCAAGTCATCTGGTTCACCGCCGGGGCTATTCCCATCAGAACTGTCTTCGTAAACACGAGAGAACCACTTACCTTACACTTCCGTTACTAACCCTATCAATTTCCACAGACCCAGTGCTTGATAACATCATGCACATACGCAGCAACGTGGTCACAGCCAATCTTCTGATCAGCTATCCTCGTACAACCACCAACACGCGAACCGTCATCACTCCTATACAAGCCAAAGTCATCGGTGCCGCAATTCGCAAGGTGGTCTATACTATGTAAGCCCGACATAACTAACAGAGCAAGATTAGACTTACAAGGCACGCTATCGATGACAAAGTTGTGCCCGCATGGGTTCTGGTAGACGGGGGCAAGGAGGTGGCCATTACGACACGGGTCTTTGCCTTCTTTCCAGGCGACGGCGTAGTTCTCGTCCCAGTTGATTTGCTCGCCGGTGCTGATTTTGATGGCGGCTGTGCTGCTGACAGCGACGACAAGAGAGGTGAGGATAAGCTGGGAGATCTTCATGGTGGATGTCCGAGAAGGAAGAAGCTTGTGGAGTTTTGAGCTGTTTTGATCGGTGAAGAGCGAGAGATGCAAGAAGCAGAGGGCCAGGAAGATTTATACCTTTCCAGCGACATGAAATAATTTGGATGTAGATTACTGAACAGCTGGTAGAATAAATAGAGATTACTCAACAGCTTGTTAAAGATTACTCAACAGCTTGGTAGAATAAACCAGTAGTTTCTTTCGAAGCAGATGAAGCGAGAGAAACAGGACAGGGACAGCACATGTCCAGACTGTCATTCGTTGCATATACATCGGTGTTATGTAGGCGTTGACTACAGCCTTGATCATCAAAGTGACGATTGTCCTGCAATGAGCGCTTAAATCTGATCCGCTCATAGAGATCTCCATGACAGTGACAATCGAGTCAATGCCACCTCCAGAAACGATTCATGTATGAGCTTGGAATGACAAGCATCAGAGACGGCCACGCCAGCTATTCTAGATAAACAACAATGAACGTTTGACAGAATCTATGAGATCCATAATCGATTAGATTGGTCTTGTGGTGGACCTATGGAGGAATACTTGGCATTGTGGCGGTCAAGTAATCCTCGGAGAAATCGGGGGGCATCTCAGGCTCTCGGCTACATATTAGGGCTGGAATGCGTATTTTTAATCATTTAGCGTTTACCCGTCGTGTCAAGGATGGAACTTAGCCCAAGGAGGATGGTATAGCGCTTCCTCTTGCCTCAACTAGATTGACGGCTTCTCGCTCTATCCAATTTGGAGAAAGATGCCACTGTCTCCTATCCTATCTTTGGGAATAGCTCTGCAGAGATCCTATAGCAGGCTGTTGTTATTACTGCGGGGAGCCTTTACCTGAATACGTTTGACGCTTCAACTCGGGCAAGCTGAGCTTCGATTAACCTTAGATGTTACGTTTCCTCATTCTGACAATAATGGATTCTGGCAATAATGGCAATGATATAGAAGTAGAAGCAAAAAAATGCAAGAGATGTGTTGAGAACATGAGACACAACGAGAGATGATATGAGATGGATGTGAATACTTGTCCCTATATTAGTCCAGGACGCGGATTAAGGTTAGGTGGACCATTCTGGCCAGACTCCATTCGCCGGGGCCACGTGCTCTGATTGAAAAAGGATGGAGAGTTCCTTGCCACATTTTTGGGTCTTTTTGACGCAAAACAGGGTGGAGGACTAGTTTGACTTTCTTTATTATTAGTTTTATTACTGCCGGGGTCCAGATCCCGTGAAGGACTATCCACCATATTCTTTGCGTATTATTCGCAGAGCAAGGAAACATCAAGGCTATCAACGGCATTGCTGGCCAATAATAGGTGCTCTCTTATAGTTCCCGCCATAACAGGGAATACGAAGCACACTGTATCCACTTCCCCATCTAGTTCATGAAGGAGACCAGGAAGGATCATCAAGGATCATCTCACTCACAATTGGAGTCGGCGGTCGTCTTTAGAATGTTACGCCGACGGCCACTTATCACTATCTCTATCTCAGAAAGATCACAAAATGAAGATAGATCTCTTGCATTACTGTCTGAATCTCTTCTTTAAACCGATACATCAAACCGCCATCTTTCGACAGATCCACTGCGGTGAGAATCCTTTCCCAAGTGGGTGTTTTTTCTCCGAAGTCATAACCCAATTCGGCAAAGGTTGAGATGATCACAACGGCAGAGAAACTATGCCAGCCATTGCCCCTGAATCAGCAAGATCTTCACTCAGAGGGACATCTTTGTCGACTACTCCGTATTAGATCGTGCCAAAGATGTCAGTTTTTTGTCATGGGCGACAATGGCATCGCGATTTCCTCCTTCTGCATCTACCTACCTCCCACCCACCTGCCCCTCCCCCAGGCCCTTGATCTTCACTTCTACACTATCTACCTCCATGTCCTGCACCGCAGTTCTTGATGATGGCAGACGCATCAGGCGCTGACCGCGGCTGGATTCTCCACGCGGTCTCGTGGCCGCTGTTCGGAATCTGCGTTCTGATCACCGCTACCAGATTCTGGGTACGTGCGCGCATCCTTCGGAGCTGCGGCTGGGACGATGCATTCATCCTGCTTGCATTAATCTGTGCCGCTGTCAATACTGTACTGGTAACTCTGAGTATCATGCATGGCACTGGGCGTCACATGCGTGATCTATCACACGAGCAACAGATCGCTTCAGTAAAGTACCAGCTGCTTTCCCAGGGGTTTCACGTCATGTCAACAAATTGGGGGAAGGTGTCGGTGGCCTTATTTCTGGTTCGCATTATTTCGGGGGTGAAGCAACATAAGCGAGCCATGTATGCGGGGATGATCTTGCTGTCTATCATTAATATCGGTGGTGTCTACACCATCTACGGGCAGTGCACACCCACTGCAAAAGCTTGGGATAATGACATCAAAGGCACCTGCTGGCCAGCGGGAGCACAGAGAGATTACGCTTTTTTTCAGGGCTGTACGTATGGCTGGACAGACTTTTCTCTTTACGATGTTGCTAACCGGGGACGCTGTAGCTGCTTCTGCATTCAGCGACTTGGTTCTGGCGGTATATCCTCTCCTTACCATCAAGGATTTGCAGATGGCCACCAAGGTTAAATTTGGGCTCGGCTTCGTGCTCTCGCTGGGTATCGTGTTAGTCATAATTCCCAGTCTCGTTTTGCTGTATGCTTTTCTCTAACGTCATACCTGATAGCGCAATGGTGGCTGCTATTATCAAGACCGTCCACTTGGCGGCACTGTCGGCTAGAGCTGATTATACGTGGGATACGCTCACTCTGACAATCTGGGTTGCAGTCGAACAATATCTCATTATTATAGCCGCTTGCATTCCTGCACTCACGCCTCTTTTCAATATTATTGTGCGTCGAGTAACCAGCAGGCGGTCCAAATCCAAATCAACTCCCAACGAGCTGGGAGCAAGCGACCGCAAGTTGAGTCGCCCTCAACCCTACCTGCCTTTTGCAAGCGTAGGGCGAGAGTACGTCGAATATCCCATGACCTGCGTCGGGTCAGCGAAGGATTCCAAGCGCCGTAGCAGTGACAGCGAGGCGCTCATTACCATCGAGCCTAATTCACCGACTGGGATCCTCAAAACAACCGAGTTTCACATCCAGGGGTTGGTACGATACGGTGGAATGTGACGATCATTTCATGTATTTCAGACTATGCCAAACTATTTCTCATTAATGCCAGAATATTCAGAATTACGTCCGCATGCACCACGCACCTATCTATCCAGTTACCAGTGCAGGGAGTGATGACTCGACTGTCTCAAGGTCCCAGAATATATTGTGTTAGAGACGCCGTCACTCTAAGGCTACTGGGAGCCCAGTCTCCACCCATTCAGCACCTAGCTGACTTATACCAATGGATTGTACCTCCAGCTCAGCTATACTAACCTGCACTCGTTGTGCACTTCAGGTGATCATTCATAAGGCAGCATGTCTTCAAGGGCGAATAAATCTTCTATCCGACATCTACGGCCGTTGTACTGCATATCTTCGCATAACCACAGATACAGTTCGAATATCTCCGAACCGGCCATAACTTGTATATGTCTCAGGACTCCATCGTGATGCACAGGGGGCAAACACCAGCACCTCAGGGAAGTCTTGTCCGGCGCTACAGCTTTTGCTCAAGAGCTCTCAAAGAAACTTCGGGTTGGTTGCTCTTTTTTCGCTGCCTCCTTGAGCACTTTCGCAACCTCCACTTTGTCCAACATCTCAGCGCACTGCAAAGCAGTCCGCCCATTTGCATCTCGAATGCTGCAGTCTATTCCATCAGTGACCAAAAACTGGACCACCTCTTACATTTCCAAGCTCCGCCGCCTTATGTGCTAGGATTTGGGCGGGCAATCGTGCCCAACACAGATAGAAGCATTCAATCTGATTAACCTGCTATCGATGTCAGTATAGTCTCTAAGCCATGATGTGATGGGACTAGGCTCAAATTTGAGGCAATATAACTATGCGAGTCTTGCAGAACAGGGACCAAGCCCAAACCAAGGTCTTCTTGTACGGGAAAGACATTATGAAGAAAGTGGTGATGAACATCAGATTGAAGATATAGCTATCCACGGAACAAACCCGGAAGACCCGAAGGTATAGACCGTGGTTCACTCGAAGCTTGTTTAACAATTTTTGGGTCTACTTTTCTGGTGTTTATGAGGGACGATCCACGGTTAGCATGGAGTTCCGGTGTTTGGGAATTTCTGTCAAGCCCAAGGTAGACCAGTGGGGGGTATTTGGACAGGAGGAAGATAAATTTTCTCTATCGATTTATTTTATGTTGCCTAGTATTTTGGTAGAAATGTTTTATGAGCGGCAATGCTCACAAGGTTAATACTGGTATTGTTGCATAGTTCTGGGATGCATAAATATAATCCAACAATTGATCTGACGCCATTAGAGGATAACGCATAATAGATGGCATGAGATAAAAGAAGATCCAATTGGTTCGTCTGTATAGTATTGAAAACGTTTGTACAGTGGCGAAGAAAGATAATAAGCGGTCAACCAAAATTGTATAGCCCAAGTCAGGAGAAATGAAGAGTCAAAAGACGCCGAGTTGTCCTATGTATCCCATGGTATAGTAGCATAAAATTTTTACCAGAATCTGTACAATCATTAGTTTAATCCACTGCATCAAATATACTAAACATACCTCATGACATAGGGGCAGATAGACTCTCCACCATAAGAGGTCCAGATAGCCTGTTCTCTGACAGGAGTGCCAGTCTTAGCAGCATTGATCATCCATCCGTCCCGGATGAAGATGCCAACGTGGGCAACCTTGTTCTTGCAGTCACCACCAGTAGCCCAGAAAAGCAGATCACCCTCCTTAGCCTGTGCGCGAGGAATCCGCTTGCCCATGTTCGAGTTGTACTGCGTCTGCGCCGTGCGGGGAATGGTCTTCTTCAGCGCCTGGCAGACGGCGTACTGAGTCAACCCGGAGCAGTCGAAGCCGCCGCCAGAGGGACCCTTGCAGCCACCGCCACCCCAGACGTAGGGGAGGCCCTTCTCCTTCTCGGCCGCGTCGACGATGGCCTTGCCGGATCCGCTGCCGGAGCCGCCGCCGCCGCTGCCACCGTCGCTACCGCCGTCGCAGTGCTTGGTGACGTAGTTGGAGGAACCGGTCTTTACGTAGTAATCAGCGACGTAGCAGCCGTCGGAGGTCTTGTCCCAGAGCTTGTCGCCCTTGACGTCGGTGCCGGGGGCTTGGCAGACAATGGAGACATCGTGGCCCTTGGGGTAGGACTTGACGACGGGGTGGTTGGTGCCGGGCCCGGAGCGGCAGTTGACGCCGTCGCCGGTAATGGGGTAGGCGCTGACGGAAGGAATAATGGCTGCAAGGGATGCAGCGACGATGGTGAGGTACTTCATTTTGGTGAGACAAGGGATGCGAATTTGAGATGTGTTTTTGATTGAGGGTGTGATGATGTTGTTGATGAGGACTCAGACGGGGCAGATCGTACCTTTTATAGACATTCAGCTATTGCCGCTGCTGCTTTCTTCAATCGCTGAGATGCTCAGGGTCTGTTGATCGAAGGAGCACATCTCGTATTCCTACAGAGTCCAAACATGAACTCTCGTGTTCTCCAGATTCAGGGTCCAGGAATGGGGCCGAATGTCGTATCCGAGGCCAAGTTTAGAAGCGTTACGGAGTTACATCGACTAAGATCCTGCAAGTGCCCGGCTCGTAATGCTAGATCGTGTTCCTGGCATCGCAGGAGAAGGAAACCACTAGGAGTTAAGCAGCAGGGCATGCTCTAAAAATAGATCTAAAAATAGCATCCAAGAGGACACAAGCTCTGAAGCTTAACTCGTCAAGGTCATCCTTCTCGTTCCTCTCGTGTTGCAGATGAGTCTGCAGATCACCACAGCGAATCATCGCCGAATACGAGATCAGACCATCACAATACCCCAGGGGTAAGTTCCATTAATGTGATTTAATCTGGCCTAATAAACCAGCTTGATCCGTATTGGTTTGAACCCTGTTGTGTGGAGGTCATCATGTTGCATTGATTCCTTTTTGAGAGTCATTCAGCGAGACTATTTGTGAGCGATACAAGGCGATGCCCTAGTTAAACTAAGTCAAGCAACACACGAAGCATTTCTGGCTTCTTGACTGGAATCTGAAGGAATCTGAAGTTCTTGGTTTCTGTCGAACAGGTTCTCGACTCTTTCCTGGGTGCAATGCAACCTCGAAATAGAAAGCCTTGCTCGTATTTTGATTAAGTGGCTCACTGAGCCTGCGAGTCTCCAATTGAATCAGCTGTTCCTAAATCGGTAGTATTGGTAGAGTAAATCTCCGAGAGACGATGTGACACTCGAGAGCCATTGCAAGCTGAATCTTTCCTTTCGATCCTGGGGACTCTCTGGGTAGTTAGACTGCGTTGAATGCCTCGCCAAACCGAGGCTCAATGGTATTCAGGTTACCCTCTTGTCTCTTAAAGAACCGCAGCAATCGGGCTCCCAAAATCTAAAGCTGGGAAAGACGGAGTCTGGTCGCCGTGAAAGTGGTGTTCGTGCTCCAATTGCATGGTGTATCGATTGCTGCTCTCCGATGGACTCATTCATGAGTGTCGTTCACAGCGACGGACGAAGCTCGTCATTCGGCCAGGCCATCCGGACTATGTCTCGCCTTAGAAGTACTAGACGCGCTGAAGGACCGGGTGTTTTGGAGGGACGCGCTGGACGACTGTCGATATGAGCTGGAGAAGGAGGTGAGACGCCATGACGTGGTGGGATTGACGCGGGAGAGTACTCTGTTGCTTTATACTGGGAAGTGGCACCCTAGAAGACGTTCACGATCTATTGGAATCCTACAAGCTGGTCTTGAAGGAGGGGTAGGGCCTGCAGAAAGACATTACCATCTACCCAGTTTGTTTAACCATTGTTGGATCAGGCAGTAAACACCAAGCTTGTACTTGCTTCAGGGAGGATGACAACCCAGTGACGGCGAATGAAGTCATCCCCACCCAAGCATATATATAACCACTTAGCCAACGCATCTAAGAGGTACTTCCAGTCAGCTAAACAACTACGAACAATCACCAACAGCAGCATAATCAAAATGCCTCCAATTCGGATTCCGATCTCTCGGTCGCTGAGATCTTACACTCGTAAGTGACAAAGTGACCTCTCATCATCAACCAGCACTGACAGAAACCAGACGCTCGATTCCTCGCCACAAAACCATCCGGATCATCTGGAAACCCATCTCCAGCAACCCCAGGCTTATTCTATCAACAAGGCCCGCGGAAGGGAGGCGGGGCACTCGGACGAAGCAGATACACGGTCGGTGCAATCGCCAGTCTCGATGCACAGGGCAAACCCCTCGGAGGCGCACGAGGGCGAGGAGCAGACAAGTGCAGATGCAATGATCAAGAATGATCCCAATGAGCCGACAGAGAAGAAGAGGAAGAATGTGGAAAAAGCGGGGAGCAGGAAGATGGGGCCGGAGGATGAGCAGAAGTCACGGAGGCCTAGGGTTTAGGATGAATATATCTACCTCGTTCATTATGTACATTACTACATTAAGACCATTGAATGCAGACGATTGATGATCTATCTTGGTAGTATATGTGCAAGGGAATGTAATATAATATTGCATAGGATGAAGCTAATAATCGATGGAGGAAGATGGATGACATCACCGTTGCGTAGTGTATATCTTATCTTTTTCTTGTCTCTTTTTTTATCTGACAGCGACAGATCAAGATATTCTAGAGGCGAATCATGATTATTTTATTTTAACTCTGACCAAGTCGTAGATCTTATTCCTCGGTGATGCCATTTCTACTTTACTACTTGTACATCTACTGCTGTAGATAAACACGACTGCAGAACTGCAACTCTACTCTCCTAAGAGCACAGCAAAATGGGATTTCTATCAAGTGCTGCATCAGACGATAAGCTTACCCTCAAGGATGCTGGAGGGAATAGTGTAAGCCAAAGCCTAAGTCTACTGTCTACATCTATCAAAAACTAAGGGAAATAGGCCCAGGGATCTCGACCCTCGCAGCAAGACCAGTACACCATCCTCCTCCCCGCGCAGGTTCCCTTCAAGACAGAAAAGACTCTCCTCTTCCTCGGAGTCTACGACGGACAGTAAGTCTCTACGTATCTACGCGACCATGAAATTGTCGGCTAAATACTGATAATCTGACACTGCAGCGTAACATCCGACGTCTCCCTCCACGCCAAGCAACACCTCCATCGTCTCATCCTCGAATCCCCCGACATCCAAACAGGCAACTACGAGAAAGCCATCGAAGACGCCGTCCAGAAAGAGGACAGCCTCCTCCTCGACCAATTCAAAGCAGGGAACGAGGTGTTTGGCAAATCCGGCTCGACCTTCTCCGTCTGCCTGGTGGATCTCACGGATGGGGTTCTGATTGTGGGAAACCTAGGCGACTCGCACGCTCTGCTCGCAGAGCATCATCCCAATGGCTGGGAGGTGGTGAGTACCCTTTATCTTCTTGTCAGACGGTGCTAATGCCATGGTAGAAACGCATCACGAAAGCACACAAACCGGGCTCCGATGCTGAAAAGGAGCGTATCAAGGAGGCAGGGGGGGTGGTGAATCGGGAGCTCGGGTCCCCGCGAATAGGTATTCTTCATTCTCAGTGTATCATTGCCAGTCAATTGCTAATTAGCAGGCGCCCTGAACATGTCCCGCGCGCTCGGGGACCTCCAGTACAAAGCGCCGCTAATCAACGCGGATGAGCCCTTCTCGCTCGAGCAGGAGATTGCCGGTTTCAACCCGGACAAGGAACAGGGGGATCTACTGTCTAACCGACCGGCGATCTCGCGGATTGAACTCCAGGAGGACAGAAAGTACATCGTTATTCTTACGACGGATGGGGTGACGGATGAAATGGAGGATCGGAGGATCCTTGATCGGGTGGTAGCGCATTGGAATTATGGGACGCGGGCCGAGGGCGTAGCGGGCAAGATCACGACGGAGGCGACGGGGGGTCCGATGAGTGATAATGCGACTTGTGTATGTGCTTTTATTTATGGGAGGCAGCATGATTCAACTTAGCATGGCATCGCATAGCATAGCATCCGATGTTCAGCAGCCCCTAGACTATGAACATGGGATATGGATATACCCCGGCTAATTACTGCACTTCTTGTCTTGTTACCATCTATAAATCACTTGATACGCCTAAATATGCGAGGATCATATGTTTGATATCAGCTCCACTTTCGAGACCAAAATGACATCACACCAGAACCGGAACGAACGTCATTCTTTATCTGATAAACAAGATATTTTATAACCTATTGGATATGAGTCTTGAGAGGTGTGATAATACAGAAGCCCTGATTGCATGATCAATTTGCATGTGATTCTCCTGGTATAATACTTAGCTGCCATCAATCGCCCTCACTTCAACATCATCGATACATACTCAATTAACCTCCTCACTCTGAACCACTGAACCCCACGAAAAACCACCCTGAACCACAAAATGCCCAGCGTCCCAGACCTCATCCCCGAATCCGACCTCAACGACTCCCAAATCCAAACAACTGCCCCAAACTGCCCCGTCACATCGGAACGTCCCCAGCAGCATCCACCGCAGCCTCCATCCCTAACCCAGCCGTCGCGCGCGCCAACGCCGCCATCTCAATCGACAAACCCAATGGCGACGCAGACTACATTGCCAAATACGGCGACTTCGTACGCCCCCCCCCCCCCCCCGCGCCCCTTTCTCCTTCTCTAATGGAATCGAACTGACGAAATAGACCCCACTACAACAACACGTCCTCTTCTGGGACCGCGATCACGACGGCCAGATCTACCCGCTGGACACCTACAACGGCTTCCGGGAGCTAGGCTTCAACATCCTCTTCTCACTGCTGGCGGTGCTGATCATCAATTTGAATTTCTCGTATCCGACGCGGTTAGCGCATTCGGTTATCCCGGATTTGTGGTTTAGGGTTTATGTTGACAGCATATACAAAGCTAAGGTGAGTTTTTTTTCCTCGTCTAGAACAAGGATGGGGCTGACGAGAGTGATGCAGCATGGATCTGATAGCGGGACGTATGATCCTGAAGGACGGTTCATCCCGCAGCATTTCGAGGATATGTTTGCCAAGTATGATCGGGATCAAGACGGGGCGTTGACCCTGGGAGAGCTGTTTGAGATGATGCATGGGAATCGGTGTGCGGTGGATCCGTTTGGGGTAGGTCTTCCTTCTAGTATTTGATTTGGTTGAGGGTAGCTAAGCTTATGGCTGTAGTGGGGTGCTGCGTTCTTTGAATGGGGGACCACATGGCTATTGATTCAGCGTGATGGACGGGTTTACAAGGAGGATTTGAGGGGGTTTATGATGTATGTCATCTGCAAGGAGCGATGGTGATGACGCTGATGCTGACATGCAACAGGGATCGATATTCTGGAAGATCCGTGAAGAGAGGAAGAAGGGGGGTTGGAAGCAGGGTATGGTGTTGGAGGGGATGGTTTTGTGGGTGCAGTCAAGATGTACTGACATCCATAAATATACATATGTCATATGTATAAATGCATCGTGTATACACGCTTTGCCTCTTTCGTCCGGGCAGATTAGTCTGTTGGTTTGAGATGGCCTTGGATTGCCCATGTTCCCGTGGATCACAACCCCGTACCAACACAGTCTTCAATGTCTTGACATCGACTGCAGCCACCCGTCTGTATTGCATGTTGATCTGGACGTCGTGCTGGGAGCTGCTAGGCAGACTTGACCACGCAGGCCGTTGCTTGGGACTATACCACCCACGGGTTACTGACACACCTCGATCTCGTCGCAATCAACCGTCCCACCAGTGTGCGGAGCATGAGCCCGTTGCCGCTGTCACCGGTCCCCGTGTACGTATGCTGTTTATCCCTCGTTCTTCCCGACCAACGCCATGTAGCTCCGGGAGTTGAATCCGGTGGCACCGGCAGTGATATTTAGATCTACTGAATACTCAGTTCGTCGCCAGGCGTAGAGCATTGGGTGGTTGAAATAGTGTTGGCGTGAGGTTGTTCCTGGGAATTGATATACATGGACATGGTATTGGAGGTATCACCATGACGTAAGTTCTTGGCAATCAGATAAGGTAGACATCTCCGATTATAGAACTGCATAGTAGTAAGGGTAATAGATGTGATTTCACTATGACATTCTGCAGACTCAATTGCAGTTCATGATTCAGGTTACTTTCGGGTCAGCCTTGTTTTCGGTTGCGTTCCGAATAGAGAAACTAGGCTCCGCGTCAGCGTCCATGGCTTTCTCAAAGCTGGTCGTACCGAATGCTAATGAAGCTGTTCCCTGTTAATGCAGGGAAGTACACGGAGTTTCTCGGTATATCGTTGGAATCAAATTGTGCCTCTGATGTAGTGATTTCCTTCGGCTTGGACTATGTTTGGGATGAATTGCCCATTTTGCAATTAAAAATAAGCTCATCTATTAAGGATGACGTGCATTCGGCATTGCATATCCCGGCACCTCTAAGCCGGAAGTCAACGGCCCAGTTCTGCAGACGCTGTAGCCCAAACAAGCGTCATGACGCAGTACGACAGCAAGTTTAATAGCTGTGACCCCACTTGGTCGGTTCTTTCCAAGCTTGAATCAGTATTGATTGATAAGTCCACAGGGCTAGATTCATAGTCGTACGTAACATGACAATGCTGCTACCAGCTCGAGACCGCGGCTATAAAAGCAGTCAATTGCCCGGTGAACCGTTATCTATGAACCGTAAACCAACAGACCCCAAGACATCAAGATGAAGTCCCTCATCTGGGTACTTGCCGGCTCTGCCGTAGCCGTCCCACTTGCGTCCGACCCAGGAACAAAGGTTATTAGCATCCCCGCCATCGAGACTCAACCGCCCCGTGGGAACGAGCCCGGTGCGGCCCCTCCGCTGGTCAACAGTGCCACGACTGGCGTCACCACCCACGGTGCCTACTCTGGCACCCCTACCACCACCGGGGCTGAGCAGTATCCCTCCACACTGGCGGCCACCATTCCCATCCAGCCCAACCCAACCGCCACGTACTACAATCCCAATGGCAAGCTGACCGAGCCCATGCCCATGCCATACATGCCCGCCGGCGGTGTGGGAACGAACGGTACCGTCCCCGTGTACATGGTGCAGAGCGACTACGACTATCAGTCCGTCGCCTTGGGCGTGCACCAGGAATACATCGAGTTGGACCTTTTCCACTATGGTCTCGAAGTCTTCAGCGAGCAGGACTTTCTCGATGCCGGTCTCACTGTCGAGGACCGCCGCCTGATCGAATACATGGCCATACAAGAGGCCGGTCACGCCACCCTGCTAAGCAATATGCTGGGCGAGTCCGCCCCACGCCAATGCACGTACAACTATCCATTCAAGACGGTTCGCGAATTCATCGACTTCAACGTCAAGCTCACCCGCTGGGGCGAGTCCGGCACCTGGGGCTGGCTGAGCCATCTCAACTCCAAGGAGGTCGCGACCATGGTCGTCGAAGCGGAAGCCATCGAGGCCCGGCAGCAGGCTATCTTCCGCCAGCTTCTTGGTCTCCAACCCATGCCCATATGGTTCGCTGCTGGTATCCCGCAATCCTGGCACTGGACCCTGCTGGCGCAGTACATTTCGTCCTGCCCAGCGAACAACACTCGGCTGGTCTGGCAGAACTTCCCCAACTTGCACGTGGTCAACCAGGCCAACCCCAACCGCATCAATGCCAATGCTACCGAGGCATGGGAAGTTGTCGGCAACCGTACTGGTGATCCGAGCAACTCGACAATCCCAGCGGCCCAGTCCTGCGTCCACAACAATGTCACGGGATATAACTGCGGACCCGCCGTTAGTCGCGACAAGTACGATCCGCTCACATTCCCCGGACGCAAAGTCGAGCTTGCCTGGGATGAGCCAGGTCGTGCGGTGGGGCCGAACAACAGCTACGTCACATCCACGACGGCGGGCCAGCCCTCGTTCGTTGCTTGGTTGTCGCAGCTGAACTTGACCTATACCGAGTTGACGGTAACAGGACAGAATCGGGGATATACCTATCAGCCGGCGAGTGAAGTATTTGAGACGGATCCAGCCCTGAACGGCACGGCTTTTATTGCGCTCACGGACACGAATATGTTTGTCACACCGTACAACCTGACCATGTTGAATCCACATATCCGTGCTCTGGGATTGTACCAGGCGGGTTGATGTTATTCTGTAATATAGTGGACTTTGTCATCTGTTTGCAGTCGCAGAACTTTAATGTCAGTCGTATGAAATTTAACTTGATCAAATGAGTAGCCAGTCCCCTAATTGTCCTATACCTAGTACCCAATTCGAGGGCCTGTTCTCGTTGCACTTTTGAGTCTGCCAGTATGACTGCAGAATCTTCCCAGCGTTGACGGTGTTCAAGCACAGGGTGACCGTCCAGAACCTCTCCAAAGCTCGGGTGACAAAGTCGCGTTCGATCGAGGAGCGACACTCAAGACCAGCAACGAAAATGGGCCACAGGATGCACTTGAACAATGTGGTGTCCTCTTTGAGTGCTTCGATGGTGGCAAAGAGGTTTTGCACTACCTCTTCTTGAGAATTGTCTTGATCAAGAAGCATATCTAGGACTCTCTGCCCGTAGATGACAGCACCCAGTTTATAGCACTCGGCAAGAGTCGCAAGATCGTGGGTAGCATGCCTCGTGGATTGAGGGAGATTTGCAGCCCAAGAATGGGTATCAAAGCTGCGGACGGATTCCATCATGAATGAAATGTTGCGGATACAGGTGTCAGACACTTGTCCGGCACTGGCAAGATCTCGTTGGAGAGAGAAAAGCTGAACCGCGTTGAGAAGCTGCTCCGGACAGCCGAGGAATGACTGTTCGACTGTATCTGGACCCATTTCTACTTCATCCGCAGCAGGAAATTGCGATAGTAGATTCGGCCGTACAAAGGTCCCACCCAGCGTCTCGATTCTAGTTGGTGTTAGCATCAGAAAGGTTCAGAGCAGAGTGTACATACAGGTAAATCTGTTTAGTGATAAAGCTCCGTATTTCCTGCACTGTCCGGCCGGGATCGTTGACTTGTGACAACGACTTGCTCAAAGACAAGAGAGTCTTTGCGCCTTCCAGGTGGGCATTCCACCGATCGTTCCCTGACTCTACCAGATCGAGGAAGATGAGAAGGAAAATGCTCGCAATAGTTGAATCTGTTCTGCAAGACTCTGGATCACCGACAATTTGCGACAGGGCTTGTATCGCCTGATGTTTAAAGACAAGTGCATCTTGTTGAGCATTATCCATCCAAGGGATCGGTGCTTCGGTGCCATTAAAGGTCCGACCTTCATTTGCTCTGTGCCTTGCTGCGAGAGCAAGAACCGCACTGAGCAGGTGTGAATCCTTCACGGCAAGTGAGATAAGAGTCCTGAATGGATTGTGGTCACTGTCATAGACAATGAAGAGCTTGCATATACGATCATCATCTTCTCATTGTCAGCTTAGTCTTTTGGCCAGCTGGTTCACTTACAATAGTCGAGATAATACTTCGACACTCGGTCCAAGCTTGAAACGTATACGTCCCCTAAGCCGGCAGGCAAGTCTCGTTGACCTGGGCGGTAAGTGACAACGCAACAGAGATAACGGACAGATATTACCTTCACGTCTTAACTTGATCAAGCCTTGCTCACCCCCTGCAGGACTATCTAAGCGACTGTACGACACACCCTGCATCTTGCCTCGAATGGCGACACCCTTGACCCATCTGATGGGCCGTTTCTGGTGACATTCAAATCCGCCCTTTTCGCATTTTCTGCAGGGAATACTGGATCTGTCGCATTGTATTCGCCGATACCGGCAGGTGTAACATGCTTCAAACTCGACCATGGTGGACGACATGCATCAGCCGCGGATTTAGCAAAAAAGTTTTATTCTTCATCCCATAATCATCTTCTTCTTGACGAGTTCGACTCAGACACATCCATGCCTAATAGATAATGATAGTCTACCATATGGTGGAGAAATTGAGATGGGCAGAGTATGGACGTGGTTTCATGGATTTGCAAGACGGAGGATGCACGTGCCAAGATGACGGGGGTTCTGGACCTATCACGTGCTTATCTCCTACCTTATCTGCAAGCATTTCCTAATCAGGAAGCCCAGTTCTATCATGGCCAACATCAAATGCAATCTATAAAAAAGGCTACTTCTTATCCTTCAGTTCCCCCTCTCCTTCACTGTCTTCGCTATGCCCATCCCAACCTCCGTCCCCAGCTTCTCAAACCCCTCAACCACCCCTCCCGATCCCCGCGCCCATCTCCTGACTCATCTTAAACTTCCCCTGCAACCGCTCAATCCTCACCTCCACCCCGATAATGTTCTTCTTAAGAAGCTCCACATACGGCTCCGGCGCATTGCTCACCTCCCACGGGCCTGGCCTCTCACCCCCAGTATACCCCATAATCGCGGTCTCCGCATGCCGCGATAAATCATTCACCTGGCGCGACAGGAACGCACCCGTCTCCTCGGCCTTGGAGTCGCAGTACACCCTGATCTTGCCGTAGGCCTGCACGGCGGAGTAGTTCCAGGTGGGCACGACCTTGCCTGTGGCGGGTTTTGTGTCTTTGTAGAATTTGGGGTGACGTAGTGGTGGTGTGGGCCGTTGAAGAGGATGAGGACTTCGTCGGGGAGTTCGAGGGTTGTAGATTGGGTTTGGGATTGGTGCTGGGCCAGAGCTTCCATTAGGGCTTTTGCTTGCGGGTTTTGTTTGGCGATGTGCCCGCGGAGAGTCCCTGGGGCGGGATCGGAATCGGCATTGTCGGTGGGAGAGTCTGGAATGTCGAGGACGAAGGGGATGTGGCTCGATTGCAGGAGGGGGTACTTGAGGGATTTGGTGGCGGTTGTGAGGATCCCGAGGGGATTGTCGCGGATGAATTGTTGGAGGAGGGGGATGTGTGTTTCGGCGTGGACGGCGCGGAGATACATCGTGGTCTGTAGTTGGATGGCTATTGTCAGTTCGTTGCAGGAGACGGGGTTATATATCCTCGATTGTCTGATCGATGAGTAGAGCAATGCGCGGGATATCGATGGTATTCGATTGGCTCATGACGCCGAGTCAGATTGTGTCGGCACAGGGCGTACGCCCTCGGAACTGCTAGGAGTCGTAACTGTCACAGCAGAAGACATTACAAACGGCCGATTTAGAGGGGGAATGTCTGCACCATGATTGGTCCAACCAGATTCATCTCAAAAAAGCAGGTGGCCAATAGCAGAGATGGATCTCCGGTCTATTCCGTTTCCAGAAGTTGACAGGAGTGGGGGCATTTCCTACGGCCAATAGGCTCACAGTCGTTTCAATCAATCATTGAAAATCGTCAGCCACTTCCATTCTAGGAAATTCTGGGGAGTGGAGCTTGCTGAATTGCCACTACGTACTATCAAATGTGCTCTGTACCATACATCTTATAAATATGAGTAAACCACATCCTTTATGAGCATCTTAATCTTCTTACCATACTCACACCAGCAAAATGCCTCTTTCACAAGACAGCCACCCTGCCACAAAGGCACTCCATGCCGACGATCGACTCAACTTGGTGACAGACGTCGCACCTCCAATCCATCTATCGACCACATTTCGATACTCCAATGACCCCGACCAATTGATTCCGTCTGAGGATCCCATCGTAAGCCCCTCAAAAACCCACTACAGGATTCAACTAACAATTCCAGGCCGAATTCGACGGCAAGAACTACGTCTACTCCCGGGAGTTCGCACCAAACGCAACCCGCTTTGAGGCAATTCTCTCCACCTTACTTGGTAGCCACGCCGTCAGCTACGCCACGGGATTAGCTGCACTACACGCAGCCCTAGTCCTGCTGAACCCGCGGCGCATCTCCGTCGGCGAAGGCTACCACGGCAGCCACGAAGTCATCGGCGTGCTCACCCGTCTCACAGGACTCAAGAAGCTCCCGCTGGACTGTGCCGCGGAAGACCTGCAAGAAGGGGATGTGATCCTCCTCGAGACACCGGTCAACCCACTCGGCACCGCATTTAGCATCGAAGCGTACGCGCAAAAGGCTCACTCGCGCGGAGCCTACCTCATCGTCGACAGCACCTTTGCTCCGCCAGGTCTGCAGGATCCTTTTCTCTGGGGTGCGGATATCGTGCTGCACTCCGGCTCCAAGTATTTCGGCGGCCATAGCGATATGCTCTGCGGTGTGCTGGGTATCAAGCGTGCAGAGTGGCATCGTCAGCTGCTGGAGGATCGGGTGGCGCTTGGCCATGTCATGGGAAACTTGGAGAGTTGGCTCGGAGTGCGTAGTCTGCGTACGCTGGAGGTTAGGGTGCAGAGAGCGAGTCAGAACTCAGCCAAGTTGATTTCTTGGCTGAATGGCGCGTTGACGGCTGCGTCGCCGGTGCCGGGGAGTGAGGAGGAGACTGTGCAAAAGGTGCTGGTGAAGATATATCATGCCAGTTTGCAGGATGAGGAGTGGTTGAAGAAGCAGATGCCGAATGGGTTTGGGCCTGTGTTTGCGATTGTCATGAGGGATGAGAAGCTTGCAAAGACACTGCCCAGCAAGCTCGCCTTCTTCCAGCATGCCACAAGTCTGGGGGTGTTGAGTCGTTGATTGAGTGGCGGGCGTTGTCGGATTCCAGAGTGGATCGGAAGTTGCTGAGGATCAGTGTTGGGTTGGAGGATTGGCAGGATCTGAAGATGGATTTGTTGTCTGCTTTCAAGGCTCTTGTTGAGGTTTAGCGGTGTGTGGATTTCGTGAATTTGTTGTTAATGGGTTCTCTCTTATTCAGTATTCATAGACTCCATTCACCCACTGAGTCAGTTTCACTTGAGAATCTGCATTGTTACAAAGAACTTCATTCATCCTTTGAAACAAAGATTTACAAAAGGGTACTCCTTTGTTAGAGAGCTTTAGCCTCATCTATAATATTAGCTGTCCTCCTGTGTCCCAATCCTACAAACAGTAACCTCTGCATCTCAAATGAAGTACCCCACGCACATCATCGACCCCAACGGGGACGTGACCATAAAACTCCTGAACCCAAATGCTCCGTTTGCTGTATCTGAAGAATGGGACTATGGAGAGAACGGCGAATTACCCTCGTGGTTCGGATCAAGACAGTGGAATCCGTTGAACAACGAACAAGCAGTCAACTCGCTCCTTGACCTCACCATCGTTGATCAGAACCACCAGGATGAACCGTCAAAATCCGCAGCATCGGAGACTCATGTTTCCCTACTCGCGGAAACCAGTCTGACGAGAGTGCCAACTCGACGACAACGTCATCGTCCGCGGAGAAATGAGCGAAAGCGAATGTATTCTGACGGAATACGCACGTATGTCATACTTCCCTGGACACGAGTGCATGCTAAGTGGTCAGGGAAACCCGCATTCAACGACGAATACAGCTACCAAGTCTCCTCACGACACCTGATACTCGCGTCTCCATTCTTCCGCGCAGCACTGACAAAAGGGTGGAAGGAGGCCCACACCCTAGGCACACATGGCTCTGTCACATTCACCGTCTACGACTGGGACGATCAGGCGCTGTTTATTTTCCTGAATGTTATACACGGACAACACCGCGATTTGCCCTGGAAAGTAGGGCTAGAGCTCTTGGCGAAGATCACCGTCATCGCCGACTATTATCAGTGTATAGATGCCATTCAGTTCATGGCGCTGTCATGGTATGCCTTTTTGAAACCGACGTGCTCCGATCTTGTACGGCCGAGAGATATTGTCCTGTGGTTGTGGGTTTCGTGGGTGTTGCGCCTTCCAGAGCAGTTTCGGAAGGTTGGCGCAATGGCTATGGAGCAGTTGGACGAGCGGATGGATTCGTTGGGACTGCCTATTCCAAGGAGAATTCTAGGTGAGTTTTACGGATTTGGGTCATTTGCAATAGCTGATGGAGTTAGACGCTGTCAATCATCAAGAAGGGTTCCCTAGGAGCCTTGAGGAGGGAAATTGTGTACTTTTTTGGTGGCTTTACCGGGGGTGGACGCCAGTTGATAGACTGGGCTGTGATTGAGTACAGAGATAAAAGACATCAGTACATGTTTGTACAAAGTTTGATATCTGGTGGCCAGCAGAAATAGATCAGTAGTCGCCTAAGTAGGCATCGTTATGCCAAGTGAGCTTCTAGTGCTTACACAATAGCCAAGATCAAACTGACTGGCACAGGCACTGCATAACAGTAACCGGTAGAAGTTGACTAAACCGGAGACTCATTTTATCAAATGATGATCGACCGTCTCTCCCCCTCTCTGCAATGACACGGTAGTATCACCATACCTGCATATCATGCTAGGCCTCCTCCCTGCAGATAGATGCGGGGAATCCTCATGCGGTATATAATCCGCTTCCTACTCGCAGATAATTGACTCTTCAATGTTCAAGTAACATATCACAATGTTCACAACCAAATCCCTCCTATCTACCGTAGTACCGATAATGATCCCCCTCTCCCTGGGGTCAGCCTCCTCCCCCAATCTCCTCCCTACACCCCCAATGGGCTTCAACAACTGGGCCCGCTTCATGTGCGACCTCAACGAGACGCTCTTCCTCGAAACCGCCTCCGCAATGGTCTCAACCGGCCTTCTAGAAGCAGGCTACAACCGCCTAAACCTAGACGACTGCTGGATGGCCTACGACCGCGCCCCGGACTCCTCCCTCGAATGGAACACGACTAAATTTCCCCACGGCATCCCCTGGCTCGCCCACCACCTCAACACCCAAGGCTTCCACCTAGGCATCTACCAGGACGCAGGAAACCTCACCTGCGGCGGGTACCCGGGTTCCTTCGGGTACGAGGCCCTCGACGCCCACACCTTCGCAGCCTGGGGAATCGACTACCTAAAGCTAGACGGGTGCAACGTTTTCCCTCGGCACTCCCGCACCCTAGAGCAAGAATACAAAGCCCGCTACGCACACTGGCACGCCGTCCTAAAGGAGATGCACCCCCCGCTCATCTTCTCCGAAAGCGCCCCGGCGTACTTTGCCGACCCCACCAGTTTGACCTCCTGGTACGAGGTCATGGACTGGGTTCCTGGGTTCGGGGAACTGGCGCGCCACTCGACTGATATCCTCGTTTATGTCGGGGAAGGCAGCGCCTGGGACAGTATCATGGTGAACTATCACTATAACACGCTGCTGGCGCGGTACCAGCGGCCTGGGTACTTTAATGATCCGGACTTTTTGATTCCGGATCACCCTGGTTTGACGCTTGAGGAGAAGCGCTCGCAGTTTGCGCTGTGGGCGTCGTTTTCGGCGCCGCTGATTGTTAGTGCGCATATTCCGGGGCTGTCGGGGGAGGAGTTGGCGATTTTGAGGAACGAGGAGTTGATCAGGGTTGATCAGGATCCGTTGGCGTTGCAGGCGACGTTGGCAAGTCGGGGGGAGGAGGTTGATGTGTTGACGAGGAGTTTGGAGGGCGGTGATAGATTGCTTACGGTGTTGAATCGGGGGGATGGAGAGGCGGTGGTTAGAGTGCCGGTTGAGTGGATGGGGCTGCAGAGGGGCTGTGAGCATGTGGCTAAGAGCCTGTGGGACGGGGAGGTGCAGGTGCTGGAGGAGGAGATAGTGATCAGGCTGAACTCGCATGCTACGCAGGTGTACCTGATTGCTTTGCCAGAGGAATGCTCCATTGTCATTCCTACGGGGATTGTGTTCAATACGGCATCGGGGAACTGTCTCACCGATGTCGACGGCGAGAGGGTCGGCTTCGAGGCTTGCAAAGGGTCGGAGACGCAGATTTGGCAGGTCAGTGAGTTGGGAAGTCTACATCCGCTGTCGACAACGTCGCATTGCTTGACTGCAGGGAGTCAATTATCTGTCCAGTTGTGCACTGGACACCAAGACCAGAAGTGGACTTATGACATAACCGGCAATCTCAAGAATGAACACACCAAGATGTGCTTGACGGAGGGCAGAGAGATATCTGAATGCGGGTTTGAACGAGATAGCCAGGTATTCGGTCTGCCGAGTGGTGTAGACATCAAGTCCAGTTAGACAGATCTCAATAGGATAGTATCCGCCCGTGTTCGCGACTTCCTATTTGTATGGAATCTTTCAAGATTGGATCCCTTGATGGGTATCCCCTGTCACAACTGTACCGTCTGTATTCATCTTATATTTTGAAAGGATGACAAGCCTCCGATAAGTTGTCGTCGAAGAACCATAGATCAACAATAACTGACGGAAAACCAGAAACGAGAAGTACTATGCTTGTGCAGAATCATAACTCTTTTTCGGGTCAAAGGTCGGCCGTTGTCGGAAGAGATTGAACAGAGGAATGAATAGTCTGGGTTGAGCATCGCTGGTCTCCATTCCTTCAGTCTGCACCTGCTTGTTGAACCATGATCGAAGATCGTCCCAACTTATCCACCGCCATTCGTCACACTTCTCGGGCTCCAATATCTGAAACCACGAATTAGTAAGGAGACATCGTGGACAAGACCGGATGGTCCAACTCACCTGGGGCTGTGCGTTGTCTTCCTTGACCGTAGCACCGACATAGACAGTAATATAGTGCTTTCCTTCGGCCTTCATGACATCGTTCGTAGCAGTTAGGAAACGTACGTCATGAATCGAGAGGCCTGTCTCTTCGAGAACTTCCCGTACTGCGCAGGCTTCGAAAGATTCGCCGAATTCTAGATGGCCTCCGGGGAATGCCCAGGTACCTAGCCCACTGTCAGAACCCGCTCAAGATACAGAGAATAGTGGAAGACAGAAATACCGGCACCATGGCTTCCCTTCCTCTTGCCCAGAACGATCTTCCCTTCATTGTTCAGGACCACGACTCCAACTCCTACTCTTGGATTCATTATGAGCAGTCTGCAGCAAATTAGTGTAATGGACTTAACGATGTTTTGAGCGCAGGTGTGCCGTTTATAAGAACTGTCTGTAACACAGCCCTACACAGCCTTACACAGCCTTCGGGTGAGTCATGCGCGTAAACGCTGGGAGGTAAGGCTCACCTAATTCTCAGCCGTGGTTGAGAGAACTTAAATTCAGATATAGGTATTGGTGACCGAATCCAATCTCTTTTATATTGCTCAATGAGCTCAATTTTGGACAATGGTGAAGTTGATATGCGTGTGTTGCTGTTGGTGACCTTTGTGAAGACACTTTCCCGTTTTGGAAGGCAGTGCATACAAATCAAACATCTCCAACTTGTCTCCATAACAAAGAACCTCCATTCTTCATCATCTCCTCAGCTCCTCGTCCTTCATCTCAAGCCTTCATCTTATGCATTGCCATCACGGCCATCTGACATGGGTCTGGCTTGACAAACTGCTATACCAATCACAAGCTGAGAATCCGTTATCGCTTGCCCGGCCTGCTGTCGGCCATCTCCCGCACCCCGCTCCCTTCCCTATCGAGCAAGGCACTACATTCCTTATCAAAGCGCCCTGATAACGAGTAATTTCGGAGTCGGACCTTGCATCACCACGTCTGGACATGTGGAGATTGGAGACATCTTCCATATCGGAAGCTTCACCATCATATTTCCTGTCTCGCAGCTGGTGTCCTCAATGACAAGCGCAAGAAGTAGAGGGAGATGCGGGCCATGTTCTCTTCACATATCTATGACGATGGTATCACTCGGGAAATGAAGCGCCATGTGACTTCGATTTGCATGTACTCATTGTGTGCTGCCGCGCCATGGGCCGTGCCACTCCAGATGCAACATGGCTTATCTTCGTGACCCCGCATTGCGGTTGAGTCTGGCTAGAATCAGACGGGCAGTCAAGCTTTGTGGACAAGGCTTAAAAGAGAGGAGATTCATGGAACAGAATTACTATGCTTTTATTGTTGCATCATCCTCCATTGGCGAATTCTGACGAAGATTTTGGGCTCTGCTTGAAGGCGTCACACTCAACATGGCTTCTAAGGAGCAAGCTCAGGGTCATATTGTCAAGACATCCCACGCCGGAGACCATCCGGAGGTAGAAATCGGCCGCCTGGATGAACTTGAGGTTGATCTCGACTCCACCTTGAAGGAGGACCAGGAGTATGACTACGAGTCGGAACACTCCCCTTTTCCTGAAGGTCCGTTGTCGTTTGCGCTATGAATAGTAGATTCTTTACTCATTCGGAAGCTGTATAGTCCGAGCAGTTGTTCCTGAAACTGACGATCCACACATGCCTGTCAGTACTCTCCGGATGTGGATTCTCGGCGTCGTCTTCACCATTCTGGGTTCTGGGATCAATCAATTCTTCTCCCTCCGTTACCCATCTGTACACATCGTCTCGCTTGTTGCGGAGCTGCTTGCCTATCCATGTGGCGTCTTTCTCGCCAAAATACTACCCGTAACGACGATAAACTGCGGATGGTTCGGCTCTTTCGGCATAAATCCAGATCACAGTTTCAATATCAAGGAACATGCCATCATTGTGATCATGAGTAATGTCTCTTTCGGATACGGCAGTGCCGACTCGACCAACATCATTCAAGCCTCAAGCTCTAACTTCTACAACTTTGGTCTCAAAGCGGGCTTCTCGGTGCTCGTTGTAATCTGCGCGCAGCTGTTAGGCTTCGGGATCGCTGGTTTAGCTGCGCCATGGCTCGTGGAGCCCGCGAGCATTATATGGCCAGGGGTACTATCGAACTGCGCAATGCTGGAAACCCTTCATTCTCGCGCCAACTCCGTTGCGAATGGATGGAAGATCTCTCGCTTGCGCTTCTTTCTGTATGTCACTGCTGCCGGTTTCCTGTGGTACTTCTTTCCCGGGCTTATTTTCACCGCCCTTTCCTATTTTACCTGGATCTGTTGGATCGCGCCCAAAAATGTTGTTGTCAATCAGCTTTTCGGCATGCAGACGGGACTGGGCTTGAGTCCCATCACCTTCGATTGGAGCCAGGTAGCGTACAATACGAATCCCCTTCTATCTCCATCCTGGGCAGCCGTCAACGTTTTCGCGGGCTTCGCAATCTTCTTCTGGGGCGTCGTTCCTGCTCTCTACTACACAAACACCTGGTATACTGCTTACCTTCCAATGATGACGGCAGACGTCTACGATCGCACAGGGGCCGTCTACGACACAGCTCGTGTGGTTAGCTCCCAACATACCTTGGATATCGATGCTTACCAGCAGTACTCGCCTCCCTATCTAGGCGCCACATTCGCGTTCGTCTACGGACTCGCTTTCGCGTCGATCACATCCGTTCTTACTCACATTGCAGTCTGGCATAAGAGCGACATCTGGGCTGCAATGAAGGGCAAAAACAAGCTAGACATCCATGCTAGGCTCATGAGATCCTATAGGAAAACTCCTTGGTACTGGTATGCTGCAGTCATCGTGGCGGTGACCGCTATAACCATTGTGCTGGTCGAGGTATACGAAACCAAACTCCCCGTCTACGGCGTGTTCCTGGCTCTCATCATCCCAGCCCTCTACATGGTGCCCTGCGGAATCGTCCAGGGCATCACCAACGTCGACGCAAACCAGCTCAATGTCCTCAGCGAGTTCATCGGCGGCTACATGTTTGAAGGCAAGCCCCTGGCCAATATGCTCTTTAAGATTCTCAGCACGGACGTGGTCGGCCAGGGCGTCTACTTCGCCATGGACATGAAGCTGGGCCACTACCTGAAGATCCCTCCACGACTGCTCTTTGTCGCGCAGGGGACCGCCACTATTCTCGGAGCCCTGACCCAGGCCGGCGTCACCCTCTGGATGCTCGGCAACATTGACGGCATCTGCACCGAGGACCAACCAGACGGCTTCTCCTGCCCCAATGGCCGAACCTTGTACTCATCCTCCGTGATCTGGGGTCTCGTCGGCCCGAGGCGCCTCTACTCCGCCGGCAAGATCTACTCGTCTCTCCTGCACTTCTTCTGGATCGGTGCCCTCGCTCCAGTAGTCACATTCTTCCTGTACAGGTACACCAATCGCAGCATCTTCAAGTCCATGAATTGGCCTCTCATCTTCGTGGGCACATGGAACGTTCCGCCGGGTAAGTGGCTAGACCTCAATGCTGCAGTGCAACCAGCTACTGATGCGTTCTTAAGCAACCGGTATCAACTATTCCAGCTGGGCTCTCGTCAACTTCGCCTTCAACCATGTCATCAAGCGCCGCTTCTTTGCTTGGTGGACGAAATACAACTACGTCCTTGCGGCTGCTCTCGACACAGGCCTTGCCCTTAGCGGCATCGTTATATTTTTCTGCATCTCGTATCCTGGTGCCGTGTTTCCGGACTGGTGGGGGAACACAGTATACCTCAACACGGCGGATGGACAGGGAGTCGCCTGGAAACCAATGCCGGATGTCGGTTACTTTGGTTCACCGAACGGAACTTGGACTTGACGTCACGCCAGTATCGCTCTACAGCGGCGACAAAATCGGCATATATTGTTCATATACGCATGAAGACAAGCACTTGCCTACTCGGCTACGTTATTTCTATTGCAATCGTCGGACGAAGCTTGTTGAGAAATTATTGAATACATCCAGACTACCTCGGAAGTTTCCCATTAAAAACCGAACTAAAACTGCCATATCAAGTAAAGAGGAATAAAACAATGCCGGGAGAAAAATCGCGTTAAGGGACAATCGAAAGCAAGAATCCGGAACCAGTAGCTTGGTAAAGAAAGCAGCGAGCAGACCGGGTTTCCGAGAAGACTTTGCCAAAGTTGGTCGGTTCAGTCAATAGGAGAGTGACCTGCCACTCCTCGAAAAAAATGATACATCATGAAACATTTACTGCACGAGGGGTCAGTGTCTGTACGTCCACAGCGCATAAAGAAACCAGGGAAGCTTACAGAAATCTCGGCCATTCCAAGATCCTCACCACCGGCAGCAGGCTGCTGAACAGCGCCGTTTGTAGCGGCAGGGGCATTGGCATCTGCGGGGCCAGGATTCTCGTTGCTGGCAAAGTAGTCAACCATCTCGGCATCGAGCTCTTCGACGCTCTTCGGCTTAGGACGGTTCGAGCTACGAGCACCACCACGGCGGCCACGGCGGGCGCCACGGCCCGAGTGGTGTTGGCGGCCTTGGCGGCCGTGGCAGGCTTGGGCTGGGATTTGACTTGACTGTTCCAAATTAATAGAAGATCATCAGAAAAACGAAAGAGTAGACAACTTACGCGACACGCTCTGTAAGAGGCTTGGGAGCTGGCACGCTGGGAGCGTGGGAAGCGTCAACCACTACTTCAATCTATGGAAAGTTAGAGACGGTCGGAATGAAAACGAGGACAATGCGCCTCTCACCTTCATGGGTCTTCCATCAACAAGAAGGCCATTCAACTCCTTGGCAGCCTTGGCGGCTGTGTCGGGTTTGCTGAAGACAATCGAAGCAATACCACGGCTGGTGCCGTTCTGGTTGTAAGTAAGCATCACTCGCTTGACGGGACCTGCGGATTTTGAGAAGTATTCCTAATGGACGGAAAGATGATCAGTACTGCAGTCAAGATCAAGTCGCGAAACCTGGTAACGACGGCGGCATGAAACGAAACATCGACAATTGCGCACAACGGTCCCCAAACAGGTAGCACGGAGCATCAGCGAGCACACAGCGTTAGCGTCATGTTCCACCGGGAACCCGAATTTCCACCTCTACGATCATGAAGCGCCAAGACCATTTTGGAATCCATATCGACCTTCGCGGCACAACCCCCTTCAGATAATGGCCGGGCGTTTGATCCCTCCATGGCATGAACCGACCTCAGCAGCCATTCAGAGCAAGAGTGGACGAATACATCTCAGTGCCCTGCCGCGATGCAGATATCAAACGTCCACACCCAAAGGCGACCTGCCATCAACGAAGTGACAGTTCCTTGGCTGAAACCCCAACAAGGAACAGAGAAATTCTGACACAACCCCCAGTTTGCCCACAAGTGAAATAGAGATCATAAGAACAATCTCGGCAAGGCTGCTAGATCCTCAAGATTCACTGCGAGTGCGCCTCCTGCCCTAATAAACTGACGCACTTCACAAATAAATCGCGGTACCCGTCTAGGGTTCTGATTTCATTGCAAAGCCTTGCCTGCTACTGCTGTTTGCTGATGCGCTCGCTGATGCCCCCTCCATGCAGTGCGAAATCAAACGGGCGGCGAAACCGAAAAGTTTCGCCAGGGAAGGTATTTCAAAGCTCCGAGCACAGTCTGCAGCGTAGTGATGGAAGCGTATTGCTGATAATGCAAATTCGCCACTCAAACTAACACGCTTTTCGCAAGACTCCGGCAAAACTCAACCTCGACCGTCACGTAGCAGCAGTTTATAAAAGGCTCGTAGATAGAAGACGGGAAGGAGTTGGTGCCTGTGCAGCGGACCCAGCAATCACCACGAGGTTGACGAAGCGACGTGGCGACGGGTCCGAACGCGGATGGAAGCCGTTGACGCCTCGAAGGTCTCGAAAAACAGACATGGCGATAGAAACCCAAGGCGAAGGCCTCTCGATCAACATACCTTGATATTGGCCTCATTCACATCAGAGGGCTTGAAGGAGTTAGCATATCTGCACATTACAAGCTCGGAGCGTGAGTGGAGACTTACCAAGCCGCTGACCATGATCTTGCTCTCTGTTGCGACCGGGTGTCCACCCTGAGCGCCCTTTGCAACAGGTTTGGCGGCCTTTGCATTCTTCTTCACTCCTCCAACTGGAACGGCAGCACTGCCAGGCTTTGAAGCGGCTGGACGACGAGTGCGGCGACGAGCATTTTGACGACGGTTGACGAGGATCTCGTCGAGAGACTTGTCCAGCTTGGCAGACATTGTTGTTGAGCTCGAATGAGAGACCCGAATTGGAGAGTGAGAGGTTCAGGAGATTCACGGAGTTGCGACCGTGACAGATGAAGCACCACCTAGGTGGTTCGAGGCTTTAAAAAAAGGGCAGGAGAATAGGCTCAAAAGCTGTGAATTGTCGCTATTGAGCTTCGAGTATTAATTGCTGATACAATTATTGATGTACGTGATTAAGAAGCAAGACACGTTTGATGGAGGAGGTGATGCAAGACGATGGACGGTTGAGATTGATGGGCGACAGGAAGTTACGCAAGGGGCGGTAGGGAAGGAGGCTGTGTCGGGTTTGGAGCTAGGCCGCATACGGAAGCGGGATGTTGGTGCCTTAGACATCAGGATTTAGCCGTTCCAACTGAAACAGTCATCGCCATTTGCCATTCACTAAATCTCGAGAAGACTTCCTCGACGTCTATGCTAATGCAGCGTTATATTGGCTAAAAGAACATGATGTCTCCAAAACCGTTGGGAGAACCATTATGGGACTCCTCATCAGTGATGCGGAGTTAAACTACCACGATAGATAGAATCATCCTCACGAACAAAATAGAATTGTGTATCCGAGTCAGTTGCTGCCCCTAGGCCCAGCCTTGATACATTGCAATAAGAAAAAAGTCCCTAATGACAAACGCCGAACGCTCGCTCTAGCCCTGTACATAACGCACAACTACATCAATGAAAGAGTACTCCTTGAGTTTGAATCAAGACACTCCCTGGAGCACCAGCCTGAAGTGATCAATCCCTACATAATCAGCTTTTCAGAGCTTCCAATCGACCTCTCATCTGTTCCAGGGCCGCTTCTTGATCTTCCATCTGGTCCTCAATAGCCGGCTCTCCTTCTGCCGGTTCTTCGGCTTTGACGTCTCCGGCCTGGGAAAGCTTGCCCTGCAAGATCTCCTGTAGGACCTTGTCGACCTCCGCCTCGGCTTCATCTTCTTCTTCTTCATAGAGCTCATTGTTGGGTATCGCATCGTCCACCATCTCTTCAATGATGCCAGCACGCACCAGTTCCGTCGCCAGTTGCCGCATGGTTCCTGTCAATTCAGGCAGCCGGACCAATGTATTGACGTCCTTCATAATCCCAGTCGACTTTTTCAGACTGCCTTGGATCTTACGCATCGAAAACGCCTCGTTCACTTGCATCTGGACACTTTGAAGCTGGGCTCGGCTCGTAGTCAGCCGAGCGGACTGTTTGCGGATCCGAACAAGTTCCCGGGCAAAGGTCTTTGTTTCAGCAGTCGCCTGCTTTGCTTGTGAAGGATTTCGCTGAGCCCTGCGTGACGCATTCACGATGTATTGGCGTGTCTTGCTTTCCAGATTCCTCAACTGGGCAATGTCGCGGTCTAATTGACGGGTGTTGGCACGTATGAGTTGGTTGCATTTCCTCATCTGCAGATCGGAAAGTTACATTAGCACACCTTGGTAGCAAGTAGCCGTCAATAATCGTACTTGCGCTTGAGGATCTGGCCCGAAGAATACTGCCTTAAGAGTCTCCATGATGAAGAGGCTCTCTGTGATGTTATCCTGGATTATCTCCCTGAGATATTCCGTCCTTGAGGACCGAATATATGTGAGTTTATAGAATATAAGCAAGAGTTCGCGACTTCGTGAGCGCCCAAGGCTACGTTATCGCAAAAGGCATCAAGCTATGTTCCGGAACTTGATCGTCACTGTAAGTGGGGTATCGACCCGGCAGGCCGTTCGAACGTAATGCGCAAGGTGAATGCAGATGATAAGATAACAGGTCACCAATATCACGACGCCAAGAATGATATGGTAACTGAACTAATAGGAGTTGTGACTTGTTGAGGATTGTGTATCGGAGTACCCTTGAGCAAGATCGGTGTCACTCTCGTCAACAGACTGAATCCGGCGCCAACTTCGCACGTGATTAGTCAGCAAACCAAGACACTCAAATCAAGCCTCAGGCACACCAAAGACCGCAAACAGAGCAAACAACAGGCGGCTACCATAAGACAGTTCCAGTACTTTCTAGCACCGCTTCTGGAGGGACAAGCTACGCTAACCTCAGCTGGACTCCTTCACCAGCCTTTCTAGCCCCAAGTCTTCCTACCTATTATTGTCTGCTCTATCTTCACCTTGCTCTCTGCTCTAGATCTACACATCTGTTCTTGTCATCTTCCTCGCCGTCTGTTCTTCCTAGTATCCTACCTAACGCGGATCAATATGTCTCAACTCACTCCTGAAGGTACGTTAGCTTGTGGTCATCCCGTCCACCTTCCCCGCCTCGGCTTGTGTTGCTGGTCTTTGCGTCTCAATTGCAGCGCAGACACTTGAGCCTCAGTGCATATGTACCTGCCGCACTCTAAGGAAGCTCAACCTAGCACTTCCTCCTCGAGATGGTAAGCATTGCTGACGAATTCCTGTGCAGTTACATGGGCCCAGCGCTCATCCAGCTCAGACCCTGAGCGCAACTACCTCTACGTCAACATCAAGACTCCCGATGTCGCGAAGTCGGCCGCGGATCTCAAGATCACCGCTACCAATGTCTCATTCACCGGAGAAACCAACAAGGGCGTAAAATACCACGTCTCTCTCGACCTATACGCCGAGATCGACCCCGAAAACAGCAAGGTCAACCACACTGACCGCGAGGTCGAGCTGGTATTGCGGAAGAAGGAGCTTAAGGAGGAGTACTGGCCCCGTCTGGTGAAGGACACACAGAAGCTCCACTTCTTGAAGACTGATTTCGACAAGGTATGACGTTAACGCCCGTGAATATTGGCGGACGAAGGCACCTACTAACAATTGCTAGTGGGTCGACGAGGATGAGCAAGACGAGGCCGGCGACGATGACTACGCAAACAACTTTGGTGGATTTGAGGGACTTGACCAGGGCGGTCTTGGAAACATTGATTTCTCTAAGCTCGGTGCCAACCTTGGCGGAGGTGCGGAGGGTGCTGAGGGCCTCGAAGGTGCCGAGGGCGAAGAATCGGTAAGTCGATCTGATCCGAGCTTTGGCAACCGTACGCATCGCATTTACTAATATCTTATTAGGACGAGGAAATGCCCGAGCTCGAGGGTGACAGCAAGGCCGAGGGAGAGGCCAAGTCCTCTAAGATCCAGGAAGTCTCTTAAAGTATGATGGGAAGGAGCTTGATGATGATCTGTGAAGGCTGAATGCTGAAACACCTATTATGAACAAAATCGCTCTGTCATGAATGGGCTTTACTCACCTTTCGACTATTAAAATGAGGCTGTACGAGTCTTGAGTATACCGTTGGCGACTTGTTGGGGAGGCCTGAGATGCATAATCTGTGGACGATAATGTCTCAGGACATACCGCAAGTCTGAATGATATAATGAGATACGCTTCGCGCTATTGGATTACTCCGCCCGATAAGTTGCGGCTAGTTCTGCCATAGCTATGCTCGAGCGTAAATTCGTCGTAGTATGTTAAAAGTAACACCACTGGCCTTGTGGTGCATCAGACAAGTCATGACGTCCTAGAGCCTCGGAGATACCTCGATTTTCAGGCCACTTGCTGAGGTTGTAAATATCTCGATCATGGTGCCGACGGAAGTTCTTACCAGAAACCACCGAAAGATGGGAATAGAGAGTACCGGACTATCCAGTACGAATATTATGCTTGATAATGCCTCTGGCACGACCGAAAAACAAAAATTGTTCCGAGTTGGTCGAGTCGATGTTTGGTCGACCGCATTCTGGGCATCGAAACTCATTGGCGGAGAGAAGCCTTTCGAAGGTTGTGCCGCCACATTTCTCTGGAAACCCACATCTCTTGAAAATGTGGAGGGACTCGCAACCCAAGATCTTCCAAGTCCACCAACTCTCACGATCGTTGCACACCCTGCATTTGAGGTGTCAACCCACTTCTGTCTATCTGTCAAGACACTTGGATTGACCCTCTTCTTCTCTGTCCTTATAAATATTCGGTCGATTTAGTCGTTCAGCCTTGATTGACTGCGAACGCGGCCGGCGCCACCGCCAAATTCAGCGTGAATTTGTTTCGCTTTTCATAGACTTTTTGCAGATTAGAAAATCGCAAGTACATAGCCAAAATGCCGCCCAAGAAGCCTGAGCCGGCGAAGAAGAAGAAGACCTCGGTCGAGGACAAGGTTCGTGCTGTCGCTGAATGATGAATGGTTTTGGATTTGATTTACTGACTCTCTTCTTGGGCAGACCTTTGGTATGAAAAACGTATGTTACGGATTATCGTTGACGATATCATCCCCTTATTATTGAAAACCGCGCTGACCTAATATTCTCACAGAAAAAAGGTGGTTCCGCAAAGAGGCAGATTGCACAGCTCCAAGCCCAGGCAGCACACAACAAGACCGCCGAGGCCAAGAAGAAGGAAGCTGAAAAGGCCCGTCGTGAAGCCGAGAAGAAGGCCGCCGAGGCCGCAAAGAAGGAAGCCCTAGAATTGTTCAAGCCCGTGCAGGTTCAGAAGGTTCCATTCGGTGTCGACCCGAAGACCGTCTTGTGTGTCTTTTACAAGCAGGGCAACTGTGAAAAGGGAAAGAAGTGCAAGTTCAGTCACGATCTGAACGTTGAGCGGAAAGCGGCCAAGAAGGATCTTTACACCGATTCGCGAGATGCGAAGACCGAGGAGGAGGAGGCGAAGAAGGGCGACACGATGGACCAGTGGGACGAAGAGAAACTTCGCAAAGTTGTTCTCAGCAAGCACGGCAACCCTCGGACGACTACCGAGAAGGTTTGCAAGTACTTCATTGAGGCGGTCGAGAACCAGAAGTACGGTTGGTTCTGGGTTTGTCCTAATGGAGGCGACAAGTGCATGTACAAACACAGCTTGCCACCTGGGTATGTTTCAGTACAGGATTTCGAGCATGGTGACCCAAGGCTAACATGGTTATCTAGCTTCGTGTTGAAGACAAAGGAGCAGAGAGCTGCTGAGAAGGCTATGATGGACAAGTCCCCATTGAACACTCTAACCCTGGAGGACTGGCTTGAGTCAGAACGTCACAAGCTCACCGGCAACTTGACACCGGTGACACCCGAGACTTTCGCCAAGTGGAAGAAGGAGCGTCTGGATAAGAAGGCTGCAGAGGAACAGGCCCGCAAGGCCAAGGAGGCCACAGGTCGTGCTCTGTTCGAGAGCGGCAACTGGCGTGCGGAGGAGGAGAGCGAGGACGAGGACGAAGACGACGAAACCTGGAACCTGGAAGCCCTGCGGAGGGAGACCGAAAAGCTACGGGAGAGGAAAGAAGAGGAACGTCTTGCCCGACTGGCTGGTATTTCCGTCACGCCATCTTCGAACGACGAGACCGTTGCCCAAGAGGGCGAAGGCTGAGTTGATGCGACTCACCCAAGATTCTAACAACTTGGGCTTTCGAATTCGGGCATGGCACCTCCCACACTGGAACCGGCGTTCCAGGCGGATGTCCGGGCCCGTGATGGTGATCGTGTTGATAACCAGGACTGGGATATCTGCCGGGTGGGCATTAACGCTTTGTCCTCTGTCGTTTCCACATATGCTCTTGTGCAGCCACAGGATTTTGGGACCGATGTCCCAATGCGTGTATGGAAGGGCAGAGGCAGAAGGCGACACATGGTCGACGCAATCATGTGTGACGTGGATGCAGAAAACAGAGGCTGGCATTCTGTGTGCCGTTTTTGTACGTAGAAAATGATTTTGACTAGATTTAGCGCTACATCTCAATGCTTTGCATCAACCTAAAACGGGGTTCCATCAGTCAAGGTAATGGAGTCCCAGCGACTTGCTACGATTGTAGAACGATTCTTCTGTATTGATTCCAAACATCTACAACGACGCCTTCTGCCGCGCCAACCCATTCTCAAACATCAACTGCACAACATCCTGCGCAACTCCCCAAGATATCTCGAATCCCCGTCCCCCGCTCCATAGGCATGCACAATGGAGCGATCACCACCCACTCTCTCCGCCTCAATCCTCATTCCACCTTCCCTCGCCGGCCTCCGACCGACAATGTCACGGATGACATCGAACTGACCCCCACTCTCCGTAGTAAATGGGAACCATTTCGCCGCATTGGAGAGAAGCTGCTTCCTCGTCTCAAGCGAGGGCGTCGGATTCCAGTCGTGCGGTTGCTTGGTACCACCGATGATCGTCCCACCGCTCAAAGGCCGGGGAATGCAGAACGACCAAGTGCCGTCTGAGTTTTGGCGGGTGATGGTTACAGAGCAGGGGTTGCGGACGAGACACGTTTGCCCTGGTAGCCTTATTAGCAGCTATATCGGAAGCTCGAAGTGTTAGGGCTCAGCTCATACCTCGAATAATAAATGATTTAGGATCCCCGAATCCCAGCCCGGAGCAGTTGACGACCGTCCTGACGGTCCCGTTTTCCGTCCCCGGCAGCTCAAATGCCTCCATCGGATCGACGAGCGTATACTCTCTCGTCTGTCCACCGTTGAGGATGAACTTCCGAAGTAGATACGCGCAGTACACTGGCGAGTTGACCACGTAGGTGCGATAGCGCACGCCCCATTTCACCTCGGAGGGAGTCTCATCGGCCGTCAGGCGGCGGAAGCCGTCCAGATGCGCGTACGCGCTCTGGACGTTGGCTTCGTGTAGGTACTCCGGCGGCGGGGACTCGAGGTGTTCCTCGCCGTCGAGCAGTTGGACGCCTGATGACGGGTCCTCCGTTGCGAGTTGTTTGAAGTACTCATATGTGCGCCGTGCTTGGCTGTTTTCGTGTGAGGCTTGCGGCGAGGATCCTGGGACGGGGCGGTAGTGCGCGCCGGCCCAGGGGGAGGCGTAATTGAGTGAGGTGGTGTTGGGGAAGTCTCTGGCGACGATGAGGATGTTTTGAGAAGGGTGCAGGTGTTGTTGGATGTGAAGGGCTGTGGTGAGGCCGATTACGCCCGCGCTGGTATGAGTCAGTGTTACATATTCAAGTCATTGTGGATGTGGATTGGTTTAGATTCAGGAGAAACCGACGTACCCAATGACTACTATGGTTTCCTTGCTCATTTTGCGAGATACAGGTGTACTCGATCCAACGCAAAGGTCGTTCCTTGGTCTTCATGAGACCTCTGGACTGTGATCTTGCATTGTGAGACGGAGATAGATAAGCGGATCCCCACATGTTGGGGTCCCGAACAATTGCCGTTATCAGAAAGTGACGTTTGAGTCTCCGATCGTGGTTCCGCGGTATGAGGTTATTCAATTTTATTGTATTATTCTCCCCTTCTGTCAGAGTCTGTCTACAATTCTATGTATAGAGCAGCAGTTGTGGCTAGACCATGCTTGCTTTTGAATGTCGGAGCTTTTGACATGACAGTTCAACCGTCTCTTTGACCCCGCCAAATCTTATCGCTCTAGTGATTACTAGAAAGCCCCCATGGATCGGATCACAATCACATACGAGCAGAGGCTGGGAGTCTTATCACACCATCCTGGCTGGATATTGATTTTGAAGCTGCATATTTGGTCCTGAGGTCGTCGGGCATCTCCGCAGTACCTAGGAAGTACAGAGCACTTGACCATCACATCACATTGCATCGTAGGGAATGGCCAATTTGGGTATACCTGGTGAGCTCTGAGGTTCAAGGTTTACCTAGTATCTACTATTTGGAAATACTGTTGCAGCTTGTGCTGCCTCTCTAATTGATGCACCATAGAGAGATATACACTTCGGCACACTGCTCAAAGGAATCAGTTCCCGCGATCATGCCGACTTCGTTACTTCCCTAGATCTTCTCCTTTGAGCACTGAGGTAGCTACAGAACTGGGAGACGATCCTTTGGCCATTCGAAGCATCCAGTTATCTTCCTTGCACCTGTTCAATACGCGCCCAGTTGATCACGGGAGGGAGACGACAGGGCCGATATGCGCTGTGATTGGCTGATCCGGGTGATGAGACCTGCAGTGTGAAGAAACGCCTTCTGCATTGCTCCCAGCCAATCAGCGTTCGTTCTGGGGGTCCCTGGCAGCATCATCTTAGGCCCGTCCAGAAGAAGAATTCCTGTTAACATCTGACAATACGCATAATTCGTCCTAACCCCGCCTTGAAATGGTGAAAGTCTTTCACCGGACTGTTTGATCACTGGCTTAGGTTGCTTCTACTGTAGGCGTGCTCTTGACCTGTCTCTCATTGGAAATTAACAACAATACTTATCGTCCCCTGGAGAGAGGTAATGGCAATAATAAAAGACGATCATCATGCCAATGGGATGTCTTCTGTCCGTAAGTTATAGAAATTGGCTATTTTTGATTTAAATTCCATGCTAGCTCCAAACTTTCCCGGCTGCAAAGCATCCTATGATCGTGCTATGCGAAGGTCTCACTACCGCTAGGAGCTGCAACATCTCGCACATTTCTTCCGTCCGACCATGTCCGCTATGAGTTTGATCGACTTTTAATTCCTTTCCACTGCCTTAGTCTATCCTGTTAGCGCTGATTCCTCTCCTCTCCAAATACCATTCGGCTGCCTGTCTGTCCGTCCGCCCTCTCTAGTCTCGTGTCCTGTGTGCTGTGGCTGTACCGCTGTATGGCTGTCAGATATCTCGCTAGTGTGCGTACTGCTTTAGCGCTGGAGAGGTATCAAGTGCAATCAACATGTCACTGGATACACTCACTTTCCCTCATCTATGCTCGTCCGCTAATGAAGTCATGAAATCACTGTCTCCTCCCCACGATACAGACCAAGCGCCATCAATCTCCCTTGGCGCAAGCTGCCATTGCTTGGTGGCTGGTGAGTTCGATCATCGACTAATGTAACTTAGTGCCGCCTTCCAAACGTTTTGTATCTTTTCCCCATGGTCTAACTGATTATCGATGAGGGTCGAGTCGTAAGGAATGTCGAATCACACCCTTTCAGTCGTCGCTCACTTGCTCCATCACCAGAACAGTCTCCGTTGTGGACTCCTCTGAAACCCCTATTTCTTGGTTTCTTGGACTTCCAAATCCCTCCCGGTGCTTCTCTCATGTACTTCCCCCCTCCATATAACGTGGTAGCCCGCCTAGTGCATACGATTCCTTGTCAGTTGCCTGCATCTGCGATACCTTGCGGTTGCTGGCCTTGCATAATCGCAATTCTCGCCTATTTTTGAAAATACTTGACCTTATTTCCTCGTTATAGCTTTTTCCATTTTTCCGTTTCCCTCTTACCCTACTCCCACGGTGGGCCGGACCGTCTTGTCGGTTCTCTTTCTGCTTCTTCCTCTGAGTCCATGTCCCGAGACCGAAGCTTTGTACTAATTCAGCAGAGTGTATCTCGTCATCAAAGCCGCGATAAAGCTGTGATTAGCTGCATAGTACTCTGGTTGGTCATAACCGAACTGTTCTAAATTATCTCTCTGCGAGCAACACCGAAGCTGTGGGAATGCTGTTGAGAATTGTCTATACTGTCGAACAATACCCATTCTGTCACTCCACTTGCGCCAACACTTCCGGAAAACCTGCGATAGAAACATCGAACTCGGATAAGAGAGCTCGGCTCTGGTAGTCGCCGTACAAATACGAGTGGACGGCGAGACAGAGAAGAAAGAGGCGCTGTCTCATTCAGCTCGCACACGGGCAACTCAACCGCAAGTCCCGAAGAATGGTTGAATTGACATGGAACAGAAATCCCCTTCCTGAGACAAAAAGTACAACAATCAAACCAATGGCGCCTCCGATTGCGCCGCCGACACCTCAGTCACAGGCACCAGAAACCACCTTTGAGCCATGTGCGTCGACAGCCTCATTATTCCTCTATGCTCAAGGATCTGTGATCAATTGCCTCCATCATGATACCCTCGCACTCGAGAGACGGTTCGACCATCACAAGGCGGATGTCTCTTTCATATCTGTGGACAATGTCAGCGAACGAGGCTCAGGAAGATTAGTCGCCAGTTATGATACGGGACAGACGACGATTGTGTGGGACCTGTTTACCGGAGCTGAGCTCGCTCGGTTTGCGGCGTTCGATCACCTACGAGTAGCTGCTTGGATGCGTAATGGCAATGTAGCGTTTGGTAAGGAGGACCTTTGCCCTCACGACCGACGAGTATGCATGCTGATGAGCTGGAAGGAAACGGAAAGGGCGATGTCATTCTCTTCGAGCCTTCCACTTCGGAGCATGTTTCGACGAGGACTATCTTTGACCCCATTACAGCTTTGGCGCCGGCCTCTGACTGCCGAACATATGCCATCGGGTATGTAAAAGATCTTCAATTGGATGAGGAGGGTGTAAAGGACGACGGAGTCTTGGAGATGTACGCGGTTGTCATTGACAGTTCAGCTGACACATATCAGCTATCAGAACGGTTCCATTCTGATCGCCACTCTCCATCCCACGTTTACCATCCTACATACCATGTCAACCTCACGGGGTCCGTCACCCATCGTCTCGTTAGCATGGCATGCGTCGTCATCAAAGCAAAAGTCCGATATGCTCGCTACTCTATCCTTCAATGGTGATCTGAGAGTTTGGAGTATTTCAAAGCCTCCGGGCAAAGAGGCTCCGCGCGTTGTCAGAGTTCTCAAGCGATCTGACTCTTCCTCGGCTGAGCCTAAGTGGATGGCATGGTCAAAGAACGGCCGAATCGTGCAGTTTCTCGATGGGTAAGTGTAATCCATCCTAATCACAAGATTGAATCTCTAACCCGCAACAACTTTCAGGGAAACCTGGGCATGGGATGTCAAAACGAAACACGTCACTTACGAACCGATTCCGACGATAGAAAACCCTCGTGGTTTCGCTAACTATGGCCCGACTGCTACTCTTTTCACACTTGGCCCTAACTACACAGTGCAGCAGTACGATTTAGATAACCCGGGAATGGTTGCTAATGTGCAGCATATTCCTGCTGGAGCCCTTACTGCAACTTCTGAAGACCCGAGGGGAGCGCCTCTAGAACCACGAGGCTTGCAGGATCCACCGGATCTCAGAGAAACAGCGCGCATGTACGACGGCCGGCCACCTTTTGACCAGAGCGGAGTAGACACCGTACGGCAGCAGCGTGCAGAGATGAGCAGTCCAGTATCGTCGCGGAGTCACGCCAACTCTGTGAGCTCGAAAGCATCTTCGGGGAAATACAGGACGGTGCCATTTTCACCACCGAGTAGGTCGGGACAGACGGGTACATCGTTCTCGCTAGCTTCAGCAAGTGGAAGAGAGACTCCGCAGCAGTCTGGGGCCTCGTACACGTACGCCTCCTCGGTCTCCATGTCGTCGGTGAAGAGCTCTCGTGCCGGATCCCGACTGCGAAATGAGGTGCAATTTAGCCCAGCCGACCAGCGTATTGATTTGTTTCCATTCACACGTGCGCGCCTCAACGACGTACCGTATAGGAACCATCGCCCCATAGATGAGACACATCTCACGCCAAACGACCTTCGGCGACAGATGCTGAGTGTCGTGTTTGGATGGGATGGGGATATCCAAGACCTGATTAGAGACGAGCGTGAGTTGAGCACCTTCACAACATTGCTCTATTAACATCTCAATTAACCTTACGAGCAGTCCTTCGTCACCCACCCGGCAGTCACAGTGCCATTCTGTTGGCACAATGGCTCGGCCAATCCGACTCTGACGCAACCGCGGCTATGATCAACTCTGGACAGGCGACATTGACCGATTGGATGCTCTTGGCCATGAGCCAGATGAATGGAGAGTCGCAAGCGAACAAGGTCGGCCAAGCCTTTGCGCAAAAGTTGCTAGAGATCGGCGACATACATACATCGGCTACCGTTTTGCTGGGCCTGGGCGATAAAAACGAAGCTATTGAAGTCTATGTCTCTCAAAACTGCTACATGGAAGCTATTCTCATGACTTGTCTGTTGACTCCCACGGACTGGCAGCGCCAGTCATATCTGGTGCGCCGATGGGGTGAACACGTCGTTTCCCATGCTCAGCAGCAGCTGGCAATTCGATGCTTCATGTGTACCGGCGTAGAGCCTTCCGATCCATGGACGTCTCCCGCTGCTCAGCAAGCTGCTTCTTTTGCGGAAATCCTATCGGGAAGATCGCCGATGACATCTCCTGAACCACAGCCTTTGCAGCAACAATCGTCGAATTTTCTTCGGCCGACTATGAATTCACAGCCAAAGGTGCCGCCTAGCACCAGACCGAACGTGAAGACTCCAGCCCTCAAGCTGATCACGTCATTTGATTCTCAGCCCGGCAAGTTCCGATTCCCGGGTCTGAAATCAGACGATAGAACACCAACAAATGCCCCGGGAATTACACCTATCGCCGAGTCGGCAGTAGGAGGGTCTGCTATTTCCCCCGGAGGACTCGGGTCTTACAGGGCGAACAATATTCAAAGTCTGAACAATGCGATGAACGCACGGTCAGGCACGCCTGCGTTCAACAGGAGACGTTTGCCTTCCATTGGAGAAACGCCCGTTGATGTCCATCCACCCACTTTCTTGTCAAGTGGCTTGAATAACTCCGTGGAATATGCCTCGTCGGTGGAAAGCACCAGCCGGCTGCATGATGGAAGTCAAAGTCAGAATGAGGAGGTCCTGTCGTCTTTGTTGCCGTCTGCACGGTACAATCCAGAAAAAGACACGGTCAAGCCGAGTCCGCAAACTGCCGTTCAGGCGAACTCGGATAAATTTGCAACCATCAAGGGTCTTCCCTCCCCAAGCCCTGGTATATTCGAGGCCCTCAGGGAACGTTCCGACAGTCGAAACGGATCCAGAGACCGAAAGCCAGATGGTCTCCAGCTTCACCTGTTCCAGCCCGGTGCATCAGAGAGCGATTTGCTAGGTCCACCTAGCAGTACAATGAGTAATACTCGGAGCCCGGCCTCGACGCTAAACAGTTACAATTCAGCGAAAAGCCCCAGTGTCAGTGGACGGAGCATTGACCAGTACATCAGCAGTCTAGACGAGGCGAATTACCGCTCTCAAAAATTCAGTCGAGGAAGGCGAAACACGGATGATTCGGTCAGCCAAAGCTCAGCACGAAGGATCACTTCAAGGAATACTTCCCAGGAGACCACTCGAGGACGAAACGAGAGAAGATATATCCAGCCAGCTAAACGTTCACCGTCCTCTCCTGTTCCCATGTCCCCGGAGGAGATAGCTCAATACAGCAAGAGCACAGGTACCAAGCACCCTGCCAGCAAATCACGTAATGGCAGCAGAGTGAGGAAGCCACGCTCTCGACACTCATCGGAGCGTCGTCGGCACCGTTCTGCCAGTCGACACGCTGCTAGCCGAACGGCTGCAGACAAGACTGACCCTGCTAATCGAGGGCGTAGCATCGACAGACAAAGCTCCGGGGAGAGATCACCGTCTGCCCCATTACCAGTATCTCAAGCGGAGGATGCCTTGAGGCTGGTCGCTAGCGACAGAGAAAGGTTGCGGAGTCACCAACGCAGTAGCAGTCGACGTCCTGACAAGGGTGGTTCGAGAAGGGATGCGTCTCCCGAGAGCAGACATTCGCGAGGACCGTCTCGTAATCGTCAAGGCCAGGATACGAACATGAACACCAACACCGAACAGCTGACGAGCGGGTTGATGACAAGTGATATTGCTCAGACCGATGCATACTTACAAGAGAGAACCCGCGAAATGGAAGAAGTGCAGATGCAAGCTCGAAATGCGAGCGCTGCAACCTTGCCACCTACAGCACTATCAGAACAGAGGCGAAAGGAGCTCGCAGCTGCCGAACTGGAGGCCCGGCGGCTTTCACTTGCGCGCAACCCCTCAGCCCCAAACATACCGTTTCCTGGAGAGCTGCAGTACAGCCGAAGCCCCCTAGGCAGCCCGCCGCTGTCCAGAACCTCTGCCAACCAGCGTACACCGGCGAGAAGGAGAGCGTCGACCAGCAAGGCCTCGCCAGACTATCCTAGCAGCTCCGATTCTAACTCGTCGAGGTCAGGAGGACCACTTGGTCTGCCAGCAACTCCGAAAGCCATGCGTCACCCGAAGTATCCCAACGGCTACGAAGAGACTGTCTCTCCAGAAAACGTCATCACACTGAGTGACGCCCGGTACCAAGGCGAAGCAGAGAGAATCGGCCGTTCAATGTCCGTTCCGGTGCCGGAGCATCAACCCGGTCCCATGCCCGTCGACCTGCCAACCCATCCGAGGTTCAACCCCCGCCTCCCTCGAAGCAGGTCGACCAGTAGGAGCCGGAACATCGGTCACCGGCGAGAAAGTTCTCGAGAGCTGGGAGGTTCCGGTGGGTATCCGTATGGCTCTTCTCCAGTCACCGTCAGTATCGAGGAGACTATGGAAAATTCCATGGGCCTGAAGGAATTCGAGAATCCTCCGATCTTGCCAGAGCTGCAGCATCTGAACACTCCGCCGCCTCCTCCGCCTCCTGCTCCTCTTGGACCTGTCTCTCCACGCGCATCCTCCGGAACGATAGACATTGCCATAGACAACGAGAACCTGGGCAGATTGCTCCCTCGGGCTATGACAGCGGCGCCGGCAATCAATACGGAAACGCGGCCTACCATCGAGCGTCGGCGCACCTCGTTTGACCATCGGCGGGGCAAGAGCGTCAATGAGAGCTTCACGAACAAGATCCGAAATCTAACGCGCATGCGCAGCAACAGCCGCGGACTAGACAGTTGGACATCTTCCCGCGATTCGGGAATCCCATACGAAAGTGTACAAATGTCGGACGGCCGGATATAGCCCAGTCATTTCTTTGACTTAGCATATCTTGCCTGCTTGACTTCTATACCATGATTTGCTTTATATCTCGTTGGACCTATAATTCTTATGACTGATGACCTTTTTAACCATGCCTCGTTAATTAAACACCACTCCAATTTTCCAATCTGCGATGACTGAGCCTGTTTCCGTATCTCTAGTGATGATTCAATTGTTATACCCTCGCCTCTGTTTCACCTGATAGTTTCCACGATCACGCGGGTCACCTTGCGAGATTCGAGATTCTCTACCTGGTTCATGATGTGCTCTAAAGGATTTTCTGATTTTCTGAGACTGTACTCGCCCGCAAGGGCAAAGGAAAAGTTAGCATCCTACTGTCTTATTCAAGCGAATCTGTTGCATATCCTTCGTGAAATGTAGACCGATCTGTATCTATTCATGTGTAAGCCCAGCAATCTCGGACGGTTGAAGTCCGGCGCGAAAGTAGCCGTAGCATAGCAGGAAAAGAGTAGTAAAATGTAACTCTGCTAATGTGGAGTGATATGGTACATGTTAAGCTCATAATGCGTTGCGGGAGATTCAGTTCCGTCTTCCCCATCCCTTCTTCTCACCCCCCTCAGAGTCACCGGCCATGTTTCTCTCAGCCTCTAGCAAGCGGTCAAATTCAGCCTGAGCCTGTTCGCGCTGTCGCCTCTCACTGTCTGGCGTTGACGAACTCCCACTCCATGCTGAGCCTGGACCACTATCCTGTTCGCGCTGTTGCCTCTCACTGACGGACCGAGTCCACGCCGGACCTAGCCCGCTATCCTGTCCGCCCTGGGAGCCGGAGCTGGAGCTGGCCTGCTGTCTGATCCGGTCCCAGGCGCTTCCCTGCGAGCCACCTCCAGATCGATACTCCGTCGCAACGGGGCTTGCATCGTCGCTTTCGAAGAAGTCCGTGGCCTTGTTCTGATCAACAGTGGTAGCACCACGCATCGACTCCGTCGAAGACGAATCACCGTACAAGCGCCCCAGATTCCGATCTGGCAGATCAGCAGGCCTATCCAACGACGCTGACTGAGCTGACTCCCGCGCAGAGGAAGACGAGTAAGAATCCAAAGACCCATACGCTCCCGCACCCTGGCTATACTCTTGGCTCTCAGTGTATCCCCCTCCCGCACTGGCACCCTGACCCATCCCCGCCTCCACAGGCGGTAAGCCCTGCGCGCGCCGCTCCGCCGCCTCCTTGGCCGCTTTAGTCCTCTCCGCAACCCTCTGGACCCTCCGCCTGCGCACCTCCTCGGGATCCTTGTCTTTCATCTCCGCAAAAAACTGCTTCAGCCTTGGATCGCCCATCGTCTCCTTCAGATCGTGAAACATCCCCCACACACTCGTCATCACCGAACCCGCCGCCACCCAGAAGAACCACCGAAACGATCCCCAAATCATCAACTGTCTGAAATTCGCCGGCTCGATCGTCGAGTACAGCCTCACAGCCGCCAGCACCTGCGCCGGCGTCGGCTTCTGCCCCGGTTTCAAGCCAGGGGCAAGGTGCGCGACGACACCTGAGTTGCGTACACGCCAGTACACGTATGCCGTGCCGATGGCGCCGGAGTAGGGCGCGCCGAGGCGCTGGTGGTAGATGTATTTGCTGCCGTGGTAGACGAAGGCGTCGAGCTCGTCTTGCGTCGGGAGCCGGTTGATCATGACTTTGCAGGATTCGATGCGGTCGCGGATGTGTGCGCTGTTCTTGTGCAGCCAGTTGCGTTGGCCGACGAAGCCGAAGTACAGCGTGAATAAGTCGGGGCGGGAAAGGTATTCGGTCTTGAGCACGAGGGGATACCCGGGTATCGGGATGTGGCCGCTGTTGTATGACTTGGAGCCATTTTGAGATGGCGAGCCGGAGTTCTCGGACTCTGACTGTGGTGATGTGTCGTTGAGTACCATCTTGGATGGTAGAGGGATGGTGGTTGGGCTCCAATTGGTGCTTCAGAAGCTTGGGGATAGCTGTGACGGAGTGTGGAGAAAGTGGTGTCCGTGAGCTTTAGTGGTGTTTTGCAGATTAGTCATCGAGCATTCCTCCGGTATAAAGTTACTCTTATTTCTACAAACAACTGCTACTTGAAAGCATCAACACTGTCATCAACACGTATCATCACTGTGACCTTCTACCAACTAAATCTCTACGAAAGATAGATTGCGAATACGGTAGTAGGTATCTGCTCAGTTAGTCTATCAACATCACCAAGCCACGGAAAAATGACTAACCAGTTGTTGGACCAGGAGAGCCCGAGGATCCCTCCATTTGTAGATTGATGATTCTGGCGGGAGTCAGTGGTGACTGCTGGGCAGCATCTCATGCATCGTTACAAACTTACAAGTGCAGTGGCTTGCCAATATAATCCCTCCCATACTGGGTCGTGATGAGCTTGCCGTCAAGGTAGAACTTGACGGAGATGTTCTTCCCATCGACATCACGAATTTCCGTCTTGATCTTGTGAAAGTTGCCGGGGGAGGGGTAGTTAACATCCAAAGCTTTGACTTCAGACGACGTCTGTAAAAGCGACTGGTCAGCGCGCGTCCGCCACAAAAGCTTCAAGTGCATCTCTCACATTGAAGGTATTGAAACTGATATCCCCGGTTCCTGCTGCTGTCAGCCATACAGAGTCCGAGCAGTTTGTGTCTGGGGGTATAGCAAACCCTTCCATTCGGCAAGATCGATCTCAGGTGGCCACGTATTCGCTCCGTTGAGCCAGAACGCAGGCCAGGTGCCTCTAGCAGTTGGAGCCTGGAACTCAGCCTGGATGTCGAAGCCTGATCCGGCTTTGACGGCGAATGTCCTTGCTGAATGCACCGCACCGGATAGATAGTTTATCTTTCTACCTGACTTGGTAGGCGGCTGGCCGCTAACTGGTTTGGCAACCACAGTCAGGGTGCCTGAGCTGACGGAAATATACTCGTGGTCGGTTGAGCTGCCGACCATACGAGCGGAGCCATTATGATCTGAGCCCCAGGGGTACAGGTAGGCAAAGTATTCTTCCAGAGAAGAGTATGAATTGAAGCACGTAGAGGGGATCAATGTAGTTGCGGCAGAGGCTAGAGGGAGAAGACTCAGAAGGGTTAAGAACTTCATTTTGGCACATTTGAACTATCTTCAGATGAGGAGCGATCATAGTGCTATAATTGTGATTAAGCAGTAGTTCTTTTTATACTGGGCATGGAGTAATTCAGGCATCTCGGAAAAACTTGAAGCAACAACTGAAACAGAATTATCCTTCTGAATGACGATCACCTTCGCCAATACCTTCAATGAGATCATTGTCTCGAGAATCAATTTATTTGAAGAGAGTTTCCCCTCCTCATTCCCCCGGAGTTTTACTGCAACAGAGAGATCGGCCCGAAGGTTACAGCGCTACTACTGCGCACCAACTTTATCACGGAAAGAAAACAATATTAATGATTCATTATCATCAGCTGATATACGGAGTACTCCTTCGACCTCTTGGTTACCATTTCTCCACATATGGGCGAAGATCTAGCTCGAACCCGAATGTCGTGCGCGGCTGGGTGTGCAAATGCCAATACGACTCTGCAATCTATAGTACCAGTCAGTCATTGTCATCAATTCCAAACGAGGAAAAAGCATCTTACAGCGTCTGGGTCAAGTTTAGCGTCTTCATGCTCGAATGTCCACGCCTTCGTTCTGGGGATATCTATGACCCCATCGATAATGACGTGAGAGACGTGGACGCCCTTCGGTCCGAACTCTCGCGCCAGTGATTGCGCCAACGCTCGTAGAGCAAATTTGCCTGTTGCAAAGGCCGCGAAATTCGCAGACCCTTTCACGCTGGCTGTAGCCCCCGTGAAGATTAGAGTTGGTGGATGCTGCAGGCCTTGCGCCTGAAGCAGGAGAGGCAAAGCGCCTTTGGCGAAGTTGAAAGCTCCCTTTCTGTTTTGATTCAGTCTTTGGATGATTTCATCTGTCTTGTGATAAGAAACTCACCCTTGGTTCTCGAACCCCTGGGAGAATTCTTCCTCCGTGAGCTCGAGGAAAGGTTTGCGCGCAAATCCACCGCTAGGGTTGAACACGGCCGCTGCGAGAGGAACACCAGCGTACTGCTGGGAGATCTTCTCGAACGCAGACTTTACGCTTGCCGAGTCTGTCACGTCCGTACTGATTCCTAGGGCCTGTCCACCGCTAGAGTTGATTTCTTGAACAAGAGGTTCGAAGTTCGCGGGGTTGCGGCTAAGCACTATCACCGAGTATGCTTTGGCAAAGCGTCTGGCGATGGAAGCGCCCTGGCTATGTCTTAGCAGATGTGTCTTCTAGTCAAAGGTTGAACTTACCGTGCCAGGGCCGACTCCTGCGATAATAGCCAATCCTTTGGTAGCCATGTTGTCGAACGTCTTATATGCTGTCAATTGTTTAATCGTCACTTCTTTCGTCAAGTCAGAAATGACACGGATTCTCCCTTCATTATATCTCTTATGATTGGGATGTCGTGATTTACTTCGGGCATTGTTGATGCCGTGCTTAGAAATACGTGATGCATATTGATCAGTAATCGCGATGATATCATCCTTGCTACTTGTTTGCAATGCGACTTCGGATAATGTGTCCATGATGACTCCTCTCCATCGTCTAATATATTGGTAAAAGGATCTCAATTTCAATGCTAAAATGCTTTAAGCATATTCCAAAGGAAGTGGTTTTAGATTAGAGGTAGTTCGTAGTGATTCATTGTTCAAGTTGTTCAAGCATGGAAGCTTTGTGCCTGAGGCATCCAGGCAATAACTGTTATCGATAAGCTCACCTCAATCCCCCAGAAACTTTTTCCTCCCCATGCGCCGTCTGCGCAGCCTGTCGTCAACGTCTATTCCTATTAAAACAGTATCTCTAATAATATCATTTATTCTTACTGTCAAGTATTTTTAATATATACATCGACATGTCCAATGCCAACGGCGACACCCCACTATCCGATCTATGCACAATCTGGTAAGTAAACAACATCCCATCGCATCCATCGCATCAAACAACCACTAAATCTGCACCCTCACAGCCACATCAACCCCCCAAATACCGCTGCCCCCGCTGCTCAACCCGAACCTGCTCCCTCCCCTGCTCCCGCCGCCACAAGCTCTGGTCCCAGTGTTCCGGCGTCCGCGACCCAGCCGCCTACCTGAAGCGCAGCGAGCTCGCCACGGAATCCGCCTTCGACCGGGACTTCAACTTCATCACGAAGATCGAGCGGAGTCTTGAGCGCGCGGAGCGAGAGGCGGAGGGTAGAGGGATTCCGTTGAGTGGGACTACGGCTGCTGATCCGGCGGTGCTGGGTCTGGAGCATAAGCTTGGGCAAGATGGGTTGGACGCCGAGGCAGGGAGGAAGAGGAAGCGGCCTGAGCAGGGCGGTTTTGTGAAAGGTGAAGCTGGGTTTCTGCGCGGGGCGCAGACTGCCGGGGTGAGAGTTATCAGGGCGCCGAGGGGGATGAGTAGGAATAAGGCGAATGCGTCAAAGTGGAATCCTAAGTATGTCCCTTTCCTGGGGGGAGAGTGGTATCTGTGTGCTGACGGTCTGCAGACATAAATGTTTGAGTTGGACGGTTGAATGGATTACTGCAGATGGCAAGAAGGTGACGAGGAACTGCGTGGAATCGTGCACTCTAGCGGAAGCCTACGACCGCATCTACCCACAGCCTAAGGAGAGAGCAGGCGAAATTGTTCAAAACGCAAAGAAAGACGAGCAAACACTTGAAAGTACGGGAGATCGAGAGAAGGAGTCAGAGCCCGCGTCCAGCGAAAAGCAAACACAATCAGAAACCGTTGAACCTCCGTCGACAGCGCCAACTGGTCAACCAGCCACAGAGTCAACACTAGGCCAACCGTCCGGCTCATCCGAAAGCAAGCACGAAATAATCCCCCATCGTGGCGTCAGCTTCTATCTTCATCGTCCACGAACTGCTACCAAACAGCCAGTCCTCATCCCTTTATCCCCCAGCATGACTTTTACCTCTGCTCTCCGAGACCGTGCGGTTCTGGAATTTCCCACAATCTACGCTCTTCCCCAGCCTCCAGAGGCAGTACGCGCTGAAAAAGAGAACCCAAGTTTCATTCTGGAGGAAGATTATCTACGGACCCAAGGGCCAGAAACGGATCTGAGCGAAGCCATGTTGCAAGAAATTTCTGAAGATCAAAGCCACACTGGCGATTTGGATATCGGGAATATTGACGAAAAGAAAGTACTTGAAGTGTTGAAGCAGGATCTATGGGAACCGGTCGCAGCTGATGCGACAACACAATAATTAGACTCACACTTGCTTGGCTGGAAGAGCTTGGAGTTGGCTGGACACATCGTGTATATACGTCCCTGATATAATGTATACTGTCAGCTACATTCTCGCGAACTAGTCACAAGTGCCAGGGACACTCTCCCTTCCACTCATGGTATACGAGGGCGGACTAGTTGCTCTGGTGCAATGGTATAATGGTAGAGTCATGGCCGACGGAGGAATTACTCCACTCACGGCGCCGACAGAGATCGTTACCTCGAATAGGGTGAGGACAGGATGTAAATACGTAAATGTGTCTCGATCCGCTCGGTATCGAGACTAGAGCATCATAGTTAATCAAAGCTTGCCAATATCAATTAACGCAAAATATGAAGTGCGCCCAATAACCTCGAGGTATCTAAGTGGTATGTACTCCGGTCCAAGAATAAATAAACGTCAAATATAACAAACAAATGGGTATCCTTGCAAAATGTAACCATTCCAGGACGCCTTGCCAATGCTTGGTGGTTCTATCCAGCTGCTGCTGGACTAACTTGATTTAGTCCTGCTAAGTCCTGCTCGACTTGCCGTCGATAATAAGACGACAGAAATATGGTATGTAATATAAATCGTGGTGACTGTTCACGTTGAGCTCCTGTGACCTCCGTTCAGCTGTAGAGGTGGTCAGTCAGGATTGAAAGGGATTGTTTCTCTTCGATGGACGGACGATGCCATAAGAGTCAAGCTTTGACGCGAAATTGCCGCGTTCAGCATAATCCCAGTTGAGGAATGCTGTATGGTCACCCATACAAGCTAGACTTGCAGACGACCGGGCCTATAATGATTGATCATGGATCAAGTCACGTGGTCTACCGGGGGCGGTAAATCCGACCAGGGCAGCGCCATCAAGTCAATGGAGTTGTAGCATCGGAAGCTGTGTCTGGGAGATCATGTTCTTCATTCCGTGCAGATGATGGGGACACAAGCTCGGTCGCAACGGTGTTCGCCACTGTGCGAACTTCATCGTCCTGAGCCGATTCTGGCGCCTTGTTTTGAAACGACCCTTCCTTGGATTCTGTAGGAGACATATTTAATCGTTCGGATCGGCTTGGTTTGAGTTTGAGACGACCTTGCTCTAGTGCACGAAGGAGGGTACCGACTTCCTCAGACACGATACCTCGAAGCTTGCTCATGGCGTCGTCAGACACGTCTGAATGGACATTCCAGCCAAGTTTGTCAGATTCTTCCGAGACCAGCGATTTCGACTCCAGTGAGGGCCCAGTGATGAGCCTGTGTAGAGTGGTGGGGGAGACGTTGTTGGGTCGGCGTGGCATCTTGACCGGTTTCTGCTTGGAACTAGAGGAGACGGAAGCCAGATCCTCCTGTTGGCGCTCCCGCTTCGGGGGACGGGGATATGAGTGTTCGGCCCTTCACCAACTTCATTCCGAATCTTGTAGTAGACCAGACCCAAAGTTGCGGCGAGAGCTTGGTGTGCGGATTCCGGATACTGACGAACAGCCTCGGCACGCGTCAGATTTGATGGGTATTCACTGGATTCACTAGAATCGCTGTCACTGCCATATAAGTCTGATTGGTGCATGCGGCCCCAGTACTCAAAACCTCCCAGTTGATAGAATTCAGCGAGCTGCACAAGTCGGTTAACTGCGGATTATGTTAGGTACCATAAGACTCATCTTGAGTACAAATTCACTCACTCCTACTGCGCTTCTTCAAGCACCAGAATCTCCAGACTGTACGAGGGAAGTATTCGGGCCACTGAAGAGATCCATCTTCTTCGATAACTGGAACAGGTGTGATAGGGGCATGTGTGGTGTGAGCAAGGGAGTTGAATCGAACCCGTTCCGAGTGCTTCATGCGAGCCTCAATTAGGGTGAACCGATTGAACACTGCGTTCAGGTGACGCGACGTCTCGTGTTGAAGAGTAATCAGATCGGTACGTAGTTGACTGATAGCACCATGCAGTTTGCTGATTTCAATGCGGCATCCACAAACATCAGTCTGAAGCTGTTCCAAGTCGGCCTGGACCTGATCGATATTCTTCTGGAGACGGTTAACATCACTGCGCAAAAAGACCGTCTCGTTGCCGGCCTGGCCGATGCTAGATTTGAGTTGAAAAACGCCTGACTTGAGCTGGTCGACATCCGTCCGCAACGCAACCACGTTCAGATCAATTCGATTCGATATCGAGCGATTGGCTTCGAATTCTCGACGGATATGCTCGTCTTCACGGTTCCGTCGATCAACATAACCATCCTTGGTGAGAACTGTCGAGCGTAGCTCGAGTACTCGTGAATCTAGGAGGTTTAGACGGTCGTGGATTTGGGACAAAGAGGGCTCTGATAAAATAGGAGGCGTCACATCATGTCTGACTGAAAGTAGAGGACTGGATATTGGTATTGACATGCTCGATGTACGGGAAAGACTTCGTTCAAGTGTGGCAGTCATGTTGATAGTGAGGATGTGAGGATGATGACGGTCGGTAGAAGGGTTATAACGGATGACTGGGTAGAAATATGGCGTAAGTTCGAATTCTGCGTCAATATTGTACCATCTGCAGGTGCAGATCGATTTATATGCGAAGGATATCCATTTTGACGATATTTCGATGATGGTAATGATGGTTAAGTCGTAGGTGATGATGGATGACGATGTGATGGATGGACGGAAGGGCTGAGTGAGGAAGTTGGACGACTCCCTTTCTCGTTCCGGCTGACGCCCCCTCCTTTTTCATTTTCTTCGGTCGCTTGTTGCGTGGCACCAGCACATACGGCAACTCCTCGCCAACACCGGATCGCCGGACAGCGACCATCAAGACTCGCCATCTGTACCAGTTGGATTTCGACTGCTGGCAATTGATATTTTCTCCAAGATAATTCTATTCTATACATTTATCTAGCTTGACAGTGAAGAATCGTTTATGAAGTTTCACAACCCTCATCTATCCAATATTCGACCTAGGAGGAGCGACGAAATTGAAAAAGTTGGTAATTACTGGATTTGTGACAATACCGTTTTAGGACAGCCTGACGCCCTGGCCCCTCCCTTGCGTCCAGCTGACTGCTTGAAACCAATAATAACTGATGTGCGGCTGCCGCCTCAGAGGTGGATGACCGCCAATTGGACAACATAAATATCTGCTCGGTGTCTCGCTGCCTCATTTGAGGAACAGTTTTGGTATTTCTAATACAAGCATTACACCTTAATCCAAGTACAAGGGTACATGGAACAGGAACACCAGCAATGCCCACATTCAGGTCGACTCAACAATGGCTGAGTATATGGTGCAATCGAGATTGATAACTCATACTTTCTCATAGCACATCGCTCATGACTCAAATTAGCATCATAATGGATGAGTCAACCCATGTATATGTGTACGATCCTGAACTGTTCACCGGTTGACCAGTTGGCGATACAGACCAGTTGACAGCCTGCGCTGCTGCTAGGTTTACTGTTTACGCTGGAGATGCTCAACTTCAAGCGTCATGGTTAACATGAGTGCTAACTATGACATACTCGTGACACATGCAATGAAGAAACGTATACCCTCATGGATTCACCGACCTCGATTGGCCTGTAATTATGTGTGCAAACGTTCCCGGGTCCGAAGATGATTCCTGGGGGCACATTTTCCCATACAAAGTGGGCCAGTTCACCCAAGTGCTCAATGAAAGCAACACGAAAGCACAACCATGAAGGGAACTCGCTAGACGATAGAATTCAATACTTGCTATGGCTTTCGTCAATTTCGAGATTGGGGGAGTAGATTTGTCCGAAACAACAAGAGACGCGCCTGCCTCTCTTGATATATACTGCAAGATGCTTCCTCGCGGTTGCTCAAGTATCGGGTTGCGAGACCTACACCTCTTCGTTACTGTCGACCTAAGAGAGCTGTTATGACTTTGGTTATCTATTATCCTCACGTTGACCTACACTTCGAACGTGTTTGAAAATGAAGTTGTTCCTTTTCTCTCTTCTACCCTCGCTCTTGGCCACAACAGCCCTCTCTTATCCTGCTCCAAGTAACAGCAGTACCACATCTCCTAGACTCCCCCTTGAGTTCTATAAGCGCCAGTGTGACTGCTATGTTGTGTCCGGATCGGAAACCGTATACTTTGAGAACTACGCCTTCTGGGACTTCCGAAAGATCCCTTTGCCTCGTTACGGTAGCAATGGCAGCAAAGGCCGCGCCAACAGGAGAAGCTATATCCTGTCCAGAGCCGATAGAACTCACAACGATGAAGGCGATAACGAGGAAGAGAACGTCGGCCTTGGAGAAAACGAAGACGATGAAGAGAGCCGTAATGATGAAGAAAACACTGACGATGAAGAGAACGCTGACGAAGACGAGAACGATCACGATGGTATGAAAGCAGTCGGCGAAGGACTTGACTTGAGTACTCTCGTCTTCTCACAGACTGCGTTCGCAAGGGACTGGAAACCCCAAAAGTGGCACCGAAAAAGCAACAAATATGGACCTCTCCCTATCATTAACTCACCAGAAAACATATTCTTCGCGAGCAACACGCTATTTACAAATGATTCGGAGTCAACTCACCTCGTACTGCGCACGACACGGTTCCCTAACCACACGGCGACAGCCGAACTCGAATATCGCCTTCGCAACATCTTCCACTGCTCCCTACGAGTCCGGATGCGTGTCATGACAGTCGGCTCTGTGAACAGAGAGCCAATGCTGTATGGCCGCCCAGTGCCTAAAGGAAACCCTACGAATCAATCAGTGGTACCCGGAGGTGCATGTGCGGGTATCTTCACCTATCGTTCATCGACCTGCGAGTCCGACATCGAGATCCTGACTTCAGATCCAGCCAATATCGTTCGCTACGCTAATCAGCCTGACTACGACCCCATAACGGATGCCATGATTCCGGGGGCGGCCTCAATCGGTACACTTTCCCAGCCATGGACGAACCCTACCACGCACCGGGTCGACTGGCTGCACAATCTCACCAAATGGTACGCCGACGGCGAGATCAAAGCCTCCAACTCCTACCATGTTCCCGATCAACCGAGCATGATGGCAATCAATTTGTGGAGTAACGGGGGTGAGTGGACAGGCGAAATGCCCGTGGGACAAAGCGCGTACATAGGAATCGAGTGGATCGAGGTGGCCTACAACACGTCAACAAAGGTTAACGGCGCACCGAGCGATACTGTACCCTTTCTGAGCCACAAACATAGACCTTTTGCGCGATCCCCAGCCGCAGGACCAGAATCAGACCATGAGGGACCGGCAGAGAAAGTTGAGTTCATCCAAAGGAAGGACGCGGCGAGGCAATGCTTGAGGCCATGCTTCTTAGATGATGTTCGCGGTCCGTGATGACTCTGTCAATTACAATAGTCTTAATTCTTATGTAACATTCCTAATGTTTCCTCAGCCTTAAGACTAGCGGCGCTCTATATAAATCTACGCCACGTAGTGACTGCATCTCTAAACACCCAAATATTCTTGCCTCTCTATCCGAAACAGAAGAATGCTTGTCAATCGGTAGATTCATTTTCGTACAGTACTATCCTATACAACAAACATAAACAAGCGGAGGCAGAGACGCTGAAGAACGAGCTTTCATAAACCACAAAGCATGCTCAAGTCAGGAGCCGAAGCTTCGACTGACGGGGTATCAGAAGCCGAAAATGCACATATGCGCCAAACCCCAAGAATCATAAACGCCATGCTGGTATCTCCAAATCATACAATGCAGACCATTCCATCGTTCCATCATCCTGTCCCAAGCGCCCCGAAACATGCAACGAACATTGGAGGGAGGCGGCCCCGCCGGTCTATGCCGGTCCGTAATCATACATCATGCACCGAAGTGCTTCTCCTGGCTTCTTTCTCCCCTTGAAACGACAACGACCCTAACCCAAAACAAAACACAGATACTCATACAGAAAGGAAAAAAGGAAACAAATTTTGCTGCTTAGAGCAGCGGTTCTCCACCCCCACCGGTGGGGTCGAAATCACCCTCCAGCCCTCCATTCATCAGCTCGGCCACTATCTTACGGCGCAGGACGACGATGTCCTTAGCACCGTAAGATAGTGGCTCGAGACCGATGGCCACCGCCTTCGCGGTCGACAAGAGGAAGACGCCGCAGTCGCTGCCGTTATCCTGCTGAGGGGAGATGGACGGGAGGACTGTCCACTCCTCCTCAACATAACGGGATGCGAGCTCGGCACGGAGCCAGCCCTGCACCAATCCCACGTGGCGCCGGGAGAGAGAACCAAGGGAATCGAAATGCTCGATGGTTCTCTCTCCCGGCCTGACGACGATCAGTGTCCAATGGGCACTGTTGTGTACGGGGATGAACACAGTATCGACGTTCAGTAAAGCCTCTCCCCCGATTTTGGCCCGAGTTGCCCAGCGGCGTACCGACTGGTAGCCCTTGTCGCGCAGGTTTGAGAAGAAGAACGTGTTAAACGCGTGGAATCGGGGCTTGTCATGACGCCCGGCGTTTCCGTGAGAACGACGCAAGTAGTCGACGATCAGAGCAAGATATGAGTTGATGATTTCGTCGTTCAGCCACGCCATTGGAGTGTAGCAGGTGGCAAGATCTCTCTTGGTCAGAGGATCACCGGACAGGGTAGTGGCGATCTGACGATTGTTTGGCATGGACTTGATCTCCGAAACCTTCGCTTCCCATTTAGGAGGGAGAGGTCGTACAGCAGGGCCTTCTGGTTTGACTCGGGCAGGCTTTTGCTTCGCTTTTCGTTCCTCTTCGATCTTTCTCCATTCAGCCGCGTAAATAGACTCTGTACGACCTGGCGGAAGTGGCTTCTGAACTGGATAGAAAAGCCTAACTGCGGAAACCGGCCGCCCAAATGGAAACTCGGTACGAAGCCATTCATCATGTCTGGTTCGAAGTTCGTCGTCACGCGCAGCAAGTTCCGCTTTCTTAGCAGCTTCGGGAGCTGGGGGCACATTCTCTTTCTCTTCGACAATTTGTTGTTCTGTCCGTTGGGCAACACGGTCAATTTTAGGGGAGGGCGGGGTGAGGTGAGGGGCAAGCTCCGTTAGGAGGGCTGGAGCTGTGAGGGTAGGAGTTTCGGTCAAAGGCTCCTGGAACCGGACGCGCTTCGGTTTTGACTTTGGCTCAATAGTAGCTCGAGGCTGAATCAGTGTAGAGCGTCTCGGTTCAATGCGACTGATGCTCAATGCCTTGGCCGACGGCTGCAGGGGCCGAACTGCATCATGTTCGGTCGTTTCAAGTGCATGGGCCAGAGCGCGCTCACGGCGAGCGTTTCTCCAACGACTGAGTCGGGTGCCCGCGAGCAGGCGTCGTTTGAGCCGCGGACTGAGCGACTCAACACGGGCTCGCTTCTCCTTTCCATGTTTCTTTCGTCCCTCGATCGAAACGGTACGAGGTCCAGATGTTCCGATACGCTTTCGAGACTGTCGCGGGGTTCCAGTAGGCTTCTCCGATACGGAAGAACCGCGAACTTTCGCCAATGATTCGGTCTGAGAAGCAGCGCCAGCTGGGTAGAGTGGAATATCAAGAGACAGTTCTGGAAATGGATAGTGTTCGACAGTAGGATATCCTCTTTCCTTCCGCCATTGATGACTCTTAAGTTGCTGCCGTTGCTGCTCTGAAAAGTTACGGAGGTTCGCGCGAGTCGGGGAAGTTGACACAGCAGCAGCGGGTCGACGAGACGAAATGCCGCTTGGTTTGAAGAGCCGTGTGACAGTTGACCAAGCATAACTGAAAGCCTTTCTGACTACACGGCCCACAGTACTATTACGTGCATTGTAGAGTGTCTCCTGCCACGACCCGGTGGTCTGCTGGCCGTCTTGGCGTTCCGGAGACGCCGAACCGTTAAACGCGGTTGGGATAGGAAGAGGTGTGACTTGATGTGAGTCGTTACAACCTTTGCGGGCATCAGCAATCGAATCGAAGTGAGACTCCTCAGGCCAACTGCCCGGAATACGCATGGGACCATGGGGGAAGCTATCATGCCACTGGGGAATGACACCGCGGACTTCAAAAGGACGGATGGGGCCTTCAATGGGCTTGGGACCACGGGTGAACGAAGAGGGAAAAAAGCGAGAATGAGTGGGGAAATTACCTCCGGCACGTTGCGTGGTAGCCTGTGCTACATTCGCCTGGCTTTCAGAGATGTCGTGAACTCTGGATTCGGAAATAAGAGTATCTACCGCATTGTGCTTGGGAGACGAGGTAACGGCTGGGTTGGCGTTTCCAGCATGAATAGACAGATTGCCATCGCTATTATCGGTGACTGTAGATTCAGAATCAGCCTTACCGCAGGCTTCTCCATTTTGAGGGCCAGCAGCCATAGCCGGGGCGGTCCCGTCAGGCAGGACAGGAGACAAGCGGGAACCCTTTTGGTCCACACGACGGTATTTGGCGGAAGGGGTAACAGGGATGTTGTTGGAGTCGTCAAGGACTGTCCGAGGTGGGTTACTCGTAGCGCCCTCGTCAATAGATCTCTTACGAGGGAGAGACGAGAATCCAGACAGTAGAGACGCAGAGCGGTCGGACTTAGGAGCTTGACCTTGAGAGGGCATGTTAACTTTTTGAAAGTTGGTCCATGCAAGACCACGATTAGCGACGGAAGGGACCCTACCGGTCAAAAGACTGGTACCATTCACAACCCGGTTATTCCAAAAGGGACGCGTAGTGTGATTGAGACCGACGAAGGCAGAACCATTTCGCGCAGCAAAAGATATTGGTTTGGTTCTGTTGACGGGTGGCTTTGCGACTGCGACTGGATCGGACTTCATGCGGCTTGCAGCTCTAGACTTCGGGGAGAATGCAAAGCGAGGTCTGACGAAGGGGGAGTTGAGCAGGGGACCCCAGGGATACGGGTCATCAATTGTAGCAACATAGCGGGGTACGGCATTGGCAAAAGAGGGTCCGAGATGAGAGTAGGTCTGAACATGATTCTGCGGAGGAATGGAGCCAACAGGCTGAGAGTTGGTCTCTGGCTGCTGAGCAGGAGAGGACTTGATAGAACTCGTGTCCATAGGATCGAGTAACATGTTATCGATTTCTAATCGCGCGTGATCAGAAGGGAGCATACGCGCGTCTCTCTCGGCCTCGTCGACCTTCTCTAGCTGCTGAGTCGCGAAGACACCAGCCATTTTGGTGTCGGAAGTGAGATCTGATTGTAAGTTGATCTGGCTGTCCGGAGGTAAAGCTGTGAATAAAGACGCTGGTGAGGAACGCATAAAAAGTAGATATGCTGCAATGAAGATGAGAAAGAGGATGAAAAGAGACAGAAGGAAGGGAAGGTGGGTGAAGAGGTGGGTTGAGTCAAAACATAGAGGTGGACATTCACTGACCATGCGCACCTCCCAGTGTTTTGTTAACAGCTCAAATTGTTGCCATGGCGAAGAACACATCAGTGTGCGACGTTACAGAAAGCATCAATAGAAGCAAATCTGCAGCGAGCACTGAGTATAATCTCTCATTAGGAACCAGGCAGTACCACAGGAAAGGGATTGATAAGAAACTCAGATTTATCGCCGATGCGGAAGCTCTCACGAAGCTGTCGCGGCGCGATGAATCACGTGATGCGCTCTACATCAGAAGAAGCGCTAAACCAAAGGTGGAATGGTCCAATCCCTGCAGATCATGATGATGACATGCTTCTGATGATCTGTCTCAGCGCAGAGTTCTGAGGCGCCTGGGAAAAGAAGCAGCTATCGTCCTACCGCGCGCTATACCCGAGAAATGACCCAGACCATGTGGCCGGAGAATGAGAGGAAGACTCCATTATCCGATCGCAGCACTCCAACACCCCACCGTTCAATATCCTAGGATACTGGCGTCACATCATAGACCACATATGGCCGTGAGAGCCAAAGACTTGAGTGGTCTATCCAGGAATTGATCGCATATTCTCTAGAAGCGTTAACCAATCAAGAAATTTGTGAAGCTATCCAAAATCCGCAAGATGTACTAGATGTGGCTACACCCATCTCACTCCTTGTGAGTGAACAACCTCTCATGCCGCGAAGATGGTCTGAGGTGGTGATATCGTATCGTGGGCGGGTGGAACAGAAAATCAATATGACATTTCTAATCACACACTCTCTCTCTTGACATCGTGGGGCGTGGTCTATAAAGACATCTCCAGCTCCCCATCAAGGGGGCAGCCACCCTCCATGTTATTCTCTAATCCGACGATTTCTCAGAAGCATTGAGGCACTTCCACAACTGCACTTGCCATTCCCATGTCCTATTTCTTCGCCAACCTCCTTCTGGGGCAGTGAGTCTTCGTAATTGACCGTCACGCTGATCTCACTATACTAGGAGAAGGGCGAATGACGAACCTTGATATCGCTTCAGGCTAAGCTCTTATGGGCTTGATACAAATATCACGATGGCTGAACCTTCCTAGACTCAGGGCAGCTATGCTCCATCCAGAAAGGCAAGGAACTGGGTCAGTTTCTCCTTCGCTAAGGATATAGTGTCGTCGACCACCGAGGGAAATCCCATGCACTGGGCCGGCAACGCTTGCTGGTCATAGTCATGAGCTGTCATTAGTGCCGTCTGACTCAAAGCTCCGCTGTCATCCCAATCAACTAGTACTTCTCCTTTCAGCATAGAAAGAGCCAAGTTCTCCAATGACTGAAAAAGTTAAACGGTGCCTGGACCACTGTGTAAAAGGAAAGTAATGAAAGCATCGATTTGGTGTTAGTAAACTCGTTATTACCACTGCGAATCTAGGTTAGTTTGGGACAAGCACGAGAAGTCAGTCAGTAAATATACATAACCTTTATCAGCCCCTCATCAGCAATCAATAGAATACCGAAACCTAGTGACGCTGCAAGCCTCTACCACCATCCGCCCCGACGTATATGAAAGGAACTAATCCTATTTCGACGAGACTCTTTCGGCTTTGAGCCATTGATCATCAACGTAGGCATCAAGCACACGGGCTGATGAGTGATGATTACAAATTGAAGCCATGAATAAGCGACCGAAGATTCTGCCTTTCTCAAGCAACTCCCCATTTCATGTTCGTTTTGTCGGATCGGACATAGTGGTCATATCGGATAGAGTCCCAAGTAGAAGGGACTCACTCAGCGAGATTCGTCGATGAGCGATGAGCAGATCAGCCGAGGCTAGGAGTGGGACGTCTCACCAAACTGTTTTTCTAGAAACCTTAGCAATGTCCCAACCAGTGGTGATCCTGTTAGACCTTGACTAGTCAAAGCAGCTACCGGAGTTTCCGCGATGGAAGATTGTTCCACTACGAAGATGAGCGATCACGTCGGTTCTTGGCCGAGGTCAGAGGTCTGATTAGAAATACCCACGTTTTCGGCTTGATTAAGGGTTACCTACCTAGTTATATATGCTGCTCGCCTTAGATCAATGGGTTGTCTGTTCATCCTCTGTCTACTTTCTTTGATATTTTCAATTCCCTTCTACAACCCAGCGGGACAAGCGAGGTTTTTATACGAAATGGATACGCAGCAAGCATTGATCCTCGAAGAGGTCCAAAGGCCACTGGTACTAGGCAGGCGACCCATCCCTGAGCCAAATGGGAATCAAGTCCTTGTGAGGATCATTGCAGCCGGAAGTATGATTTGTTGATGCATTTATTTGTATGAAAGAAAAGCTAATAGTCCATAGTTAATCCTCATGACCAAAAGGTATCGTGGAGAAGACTTGTCGAACAATTAACTTTTTGTCTGATTCTAATCCCTTGTAGGGTCGAGATCGAGGTCTACTTGTGGAGAAGTACTTGCCTCATGCGATCCTAGCAAATGACATCAGCGGTATTGTCGAGAAGATAGGACCAGACGTCCAAAGGTTCTCCGTTGGAGATCGCATCGTTGGGCAGTCTAATATCCTGTCGGGTGGTCCTGATCAAGCTGGCTTGCAGCAGTTCTGTATCCTCGACGCAAACTTTGCTGCTCCCATACCACACCATATTAGCTTTGACCAGGCAGCGACATTCCCCGTCAATGCCATTGCGAGTTTTATCGCCCTATTCAGTTCGTCGGGATTGGGATTAGCACCAAAGTTCCTGGGCCACGACTTGGACTACGTGAATGAAGCGATTGTCATCATTGGAGGCAACTCTAACAGTGGGAAATTTGCCCTCCAGTTCTCTCGTCTCGCAGACTTTGGGAAGATCATTGCAACAGCCAAGGTCCGCAGCGATGGGGGCCAATCACTCCGCGACCTTGGTGCTACTCATGTCATAGATCGGGAGGCAGCGGATGTGGAAGATCAGATCCGTGCGATGGTTGGCGATGATTTGTTGTACGCCTTCGACGCGGTCAACGGTGGTGTCAGCCACCGGCTGGCGCTCTCACTTCTGTCGACCACGAAGAAAGGGTCTTTGGCAACATTGGTGCGTGGAGAGGCTGATCCTGCAATTGCAGCTACAAAGACGGCTGGCTTCAAGAAAACCAAAGTTCTCGGAGTTAGCGACCTGCACCAAGAGCTGGCTGCCAAGTTCTGGAGGGAGTTGCCAGGCTGGATCGAAAATGGCGAGCTGAGGCCGTTAGACTTTGAAGTTATTGACGGACTTGACGCGATGAAAGTCAACAACCTGCTGGACGACTACCGTGACGGTAGAGCGGTAACTAAGACTCATGTGCATCCCCATCATAGGGACTCCATTCTCGAATGATGTATGCTTTCACAACCTTGTGTATCAGGTAGCGCATTTGACATCGCACGTCGAGCTTGGTATCATAAGTTTTCATAAACGTCAAACTGTCACATGTAATGACTCCATTCCTAGTATCGCCAGGTTCCACGCGGAAAGCATTGAGAACAAATAGTATTTTACAGTGACAGATAAATGGTCCGAATTAGCCGTCAGCACAGACTAGCCGGAGACCGGTAGCTATACAGCAAGCTTGGTATGCGCACATCCTGTGGGTATAGGCTCATTTATGTGAATATGAACACATCACATCGAAGAGTCCAAGAAGCTTCTACTCAATGCGAGGCGGAATGTATGCTCGACGTCTTCTCGGCGAAACGCAGGGCAGCGACCGAGGCAAACGCCGGACTGAATAAGATCTGTTCTTGTCAGAGGGTAATAGCAATTGATCTAGGTTCACTAAGTGCATACGGTCAATGAATAGTCCCACATCCAGAACCCAAGAGCTGCTTGGATCGGTATAATTTCGAAGAAGATCTACATCCTGCGCCGGTTTTCGACATTAGTCAGTCATTCAAACATTGGTGAATGGTGGTAAACGGAAAAGCACCTGTATGTCTGCTCCCCATCCTCTCGACTGTGGTTCCATAAAATCCGCATGATGAGGATGGATATATCCCAGGGTTGATTCGTCCATGCCAATGACGTGTTGAGCATTGGCACCTGTTATGTTGGAAGGCCGGAATGCTGTTGAGGAACCACGTGGGGGAACTCTGCAAAATGCAGTATCCGCATCAAGGAGAGACCTTTCTCCTTGAGATAACCTTCCACATCATGTGAATCAAGCCACTCCCCATTGAGGCCAAGATCGGCCAGAAGGTCATGGTCGCTCTGGAAGGACTGTGGCTCTTTTCTTTGGTGTACAAAAGCACCCATAAGTTTACTTACCGGCAAGGCATTTGGAGGAAGGATAGGTTTTCCTGCGTGATCCCTTCGAGGATAGTGAGTCCCCGCGCCCCCTAGCAAGAAGAAAGGCATACCCCCATAGCTCTAGGGCTTCGTCTAAGCCACCTTCCAGAAGACCTTTCACCTGTTGAACTATGGAATCCGTGGTGGACAGAGTCAATGGGAGCCTGAACACCCGGCTCACATTGTCTGGATCGGAGGTCGGATCTACCAACAAATTATATCCGTTTTTCAGACAGGCTCGATGCAACAGGCGTTCAAAAGACGTCTCGCGGAAAGGGGCAGTGGAAGAAGATACAAGATGCGAGCGGCACAGAATATTAAGGAAAGTACTGTCATCTACCGCGCATGGCACTGATTCTAAACGGTTGACAATATGCAGGGTAGGTGTTGGTAAGGACGAATAACTTTGGGCTGATGTTTTACCTTGTGGATTGTCTTCTTGGCGGTAGGCACTGTTAAACGAGGGGATCGGACGAGCTCGATGGAGACCACCATTGACTGGTCTTGATGTGGCCGACTCAAGATCATCTTCTAACTGCTGCGAGTGCTTCCGCTGTTTCCTCACTTGGGTCATAGTTGATGCAATGTCATCTAATTGAATTGCACTGCTGCCCTTGTTACTTGAATTTGCAGCAGCAGAAATTGCAAGAAACTGCTTGCGTAATTGTTGCAGCTTCTGTTCGACAGCCGGATCAAAAGATAATATACCGGACCTTTCAATTTGATGGTTGTACGCTTGGAACATCCGATTTAGGTTCTGAATCTGTGTCTGCAGATGTTCAAGTCGACGCTGCAAAGACAAGGTTGCTGCCTCCTTGCGGTAGCGATAGGCTCGCTGTGCCAGTCGTAATTGTAGCCTTCGGTGCTATAATCTCTCAGAATCCCGCCGGAAAAGTAGACATGCATGTCTGAATCCTCTCAAACCTACCTCAGAAACGGGCACCTTAGTAGTACGCTTCGATGTTCGTTCCGCAGAGGAAGCATTTGCCCTGGATCGCTGCATGTTTACTCGAGGCGGATGCTAGTACTCTTCGCAATGATGGTGGCGACATTTTCGTCGCTGTCTTGAGAGTTAATGAAGTTGATATCAGGCGGGCACGATTTGTAATGGTAAATGGCTCCCGCACTCAGGCCCGTTTCGGCCGTAGGGTACGGCAGACGATAGCAAGTAGAAGTAAAGTATGACATAACCAAGGGTTGATATTAAGTTCACCGCAACATGTCGCCCACACTATAATGTACGCCACGGCTTTTTGGGGGGGACATCAGGTGTTAACCTGAAGGGAAAGGGAGAACCCAAACACGAACACCCACCTCTCGGGTCCGCATTCATAATGGCAGTTTACTGGATTCCGGATCCACACAAGGCTTCACAAGTTACAACCTGATACAGTCTGCGACAAGAGTCTAGACTTTTGGGGAAAGAGTGCGTTCCGCGGCGAATACTGAGAGTCTGAGACGGGAGAGGGGAGAGAAGCGCTGGAGTTGTGGTGCCTGCCTTCATACCCTTCTGTTTCCACCCATCAGATCGCTCAAGGCTAATCGGTCTGTCTCTACATAGTTTCCCAGCGTCAACAGTCATTCGCCTTGCCGAACAGTCTGGGTCCCTGCCTATCTTGTCCGCAGGGTTGAATGTAGAGAAGACAGGGCAAAGTTTTGAATGACGGAATCTACCTTTTTTTTAACGTCATATGGAGGGAACTGAAATATACACTCTGCAAATAAATAAAAAATATAGACCCATTTTACCGGTATTCTTTTTTCCAGCGGAGAACCGGCTCGACATCAACCTGAAGCTTCGGCTGCGATTACTGATCAATAAACTCATTTGTTATGTTCAAAAGCCCGGAGAGGAGGCGTCAAATGGGTAAAAGAACCCCTTGGCTTTCTGCATTACAGAAGAGTCAGGCCTCTCCATCATATAACTCATATAAGGCGCATTTCGCCTTTTGTGTCTCAGTTGTCTAGATCTTGTCACTGGCTGGCCTCGACGGCACATGCCATCTACAACGTCCTAAAAACGAAGATATGTCTCACCCGAAACCAACCATTCTTCTTATCCCCGGAGCCTGGCATCGGGGCAGCACTTTTGAACCAGTAGCAGCACTCCTACGGACACAGGGATATCCCGTGGAAACACTTACACTATTGTCTGTCGGCGGTCCAACATCAACAACAGTCGCCGATGATGCCGCCTACATCCAGGAAAGATACTTAGACGACCTGATCTCCCAAGGGAAAGAAGTGGTTGTGGTCATGCACTCTTACGGCGGTATCCCTGGCACAGAATCCGTCCAGGGCCGCACACGCAGAGATATAGCTGCACAGGGTAAAAACGGCGGAGTAGTTGCTCTTGTATACATGGCAGCGTTTCTCATCTCTGCGGGCCAGTCAGTCGATTCGTTTCTTCCAGACGGAGCAGCTTCAATCATGACCTTTGAAGTAAGTTAGGCTGGTGGTTCCATTGACTGGAGGATAACTGACATTTCGAAATCAATTAGGGCGAGAAGTCATACTGCATCGATCCGGTTCCCAAGTTCTACAATGATCTTGACGAAGACACGGCTAAAAAGTATGCTACTGAATTGGTTTATCACGCCAAACCGAGCTTCTTCACCCCACTCAACTATGAGGCTTATCGTGATGTGCCGACTACGTATCTCTTTTGTGAGAAAGACGCATGTTTTCCTTTGGCTGTGCAGCAAGCTATGGCAGCTATGCCTGGTGATGGGGTAGTGCGAACACGTACTTGTGCTGGAAGTCACTCGGCCATGCTCAGTATGCCGCAGGTTGTTGCTGATGTGATACAGGCTGCTGCGAGTGACGTAGAGGTTGTAAACTAGATTGAAAATTGATTACGAGGGCAGCGGGCTTCTTTCCATCCGTGGTTGGGACGCAGCTGGCGCAAGCTTTTATCAAAAAGTGGTCTCATTGGAGAGGATAGGGTGACATAAAATACCCGAGGCCCTCACTGTCGAATACACCTTCGGCTTTTTGCAGATACCTTAAAATAAGACGTCCTCTATTACTGAACAGAACTGTCCCCTATTCCGCGCTTACTCACAGTGACCAGTTAGCCACCCGTAACTAACATTCTTCGGCATGAGAACCTATAACGTATTTTACCATGGAAGTAACTCAAGGATTCCGCTATTGTATCACTAAGAAATTTGGCCCTGTAAGTTATAATAGATATCATTCATTGCTCTGCAAAACAATCTAAATTAGGCGAGACTTTATGAATATGCTAGATCACTATAGAGACTATATCTTAAAATCTTGAGCTTGGATAGTCCATGGTTGTTTGGATATGAAGTTGTTAGGTAAACGTCGCATTGCATATGGTGTTTCGAGAGTTGACCTAGCAGGGGGTGGCGACTTACCGGTGAGTTACCGGGCTAAGTTTATAATGGATGATACGGAGAAGCGTGTAGTCCACAGACCTAAGGTACTATTTGTCATGCGTAAATTAGCTGCAAGCCTACAGAGATTAGAATCTTCATAGAATCGAAGTCCTATCCATGTATTACAATTGCGGAAAGGGCGAAGAGACAACAAGGTTGGCGCTAAGTCTGAACCTTTTATTAAACCTAACTAGTCATGCGAGCTAGGCCGAAAGAGGAGAAAATGTCATCCAGCCTACAGCAACTACGTAGTCAACTACAACCCTGGAAGGCGGGTACCGTGTATTTAGCCGGGAAGCGCTAGGCTGGAAACGGCAAAAAGGTCATCTCACTAGGTCAGGATCTGAACTATGGAAAGACAATAAAAACTTAGTCTCTCCAACATGATCTTCAGAAGGCGGGTGCTTTGAAATGCAAACATATTCTGAGTATCACTCTTATCCATGGCGGGTACCATGTATTTAGCTGGGAAGCGCTAGGCCAGAAATGGCAAAAAGGTCATCACACTGGGTTGGGATCTGAACTATGGAAAGACAACGAAAACCTAGTCGCTCCGACATGATCTTCGGATGGCCGGTGCTTAGAAATACGAACACATTCCGAGTATCACTCTCGTCGACGGCATCCTGGATTTTAGGGGTTAAATCCGAGTGCTTTGAAATGCAAAGCAAAATTATGTGAACACGGGGCTAGAAGTTTGAAGCCAGCAAAAAGATAAATAGTTCACTGATGCTCCCAAAAGCTGAATCCTAAACTCATCAAGGCAATTTCCATTCAGATCATTTCCCAGTTTCGACTTCCAAAGTTTTCTATTCTACCACGATGTCCCGCTACGCAGAAGCTCATTCGAACCCCGCTGGTCCCGGTGACGCTCGTCCAACAGCTCTCCAGATTATCAAGGATGAAGCAGTCGAGGGCAAGCTAGTCGGGAAGGTGATCGTCATCACAGGCACTTCGTCTGGAATAGGGATTGAGACAGCTCGCGCTCTCTCTTTAACCGGAGCAAGGCTATTCCTCACAGCACGAGATCTGGAAAAAGCCAAGTCTGCTCTGGACGGAATCCTCGAACCAGAGCGTGTTGAACTCGTTGAGATGGACAACACTTCCTTGAGCAGCGTGCGTGCTGCCGCGAAAGCCATTCTCGAAAAGTCGAACGGTCAAGTCAACATCCTAGTCAATAACGCCGGCATCATGGCCCTGCCCAAGTTGGAGTACACCAAAGACGGCTTTGAAATGCAGTTTGGAGTCAACCATCTCGCCCATTTCCTGCTCTTTGAGCTCTTGAAGCCAGCTCTCCTTGCCAGCGCTAGCCCTGAATTCTCGTCTCGAGTCGTCAACGTTTCTTCTTCTGCCCATCATGTGGCCTCGATCAATGAATCAGGCAACTACAATTTTGAGAAGACTGAATACAACGACTGGGTTTCATACGGGCAATCAAAGACCGCCAATATCTATATGGCCAACGAGATCGAGCGGCGCTACGGTTCGCGAGGACTCCACGCTACCAGCCTCCATCCTGGCATGATTGCAACGGGACTTATGCAGTATATGGACCCTGCAATAGTGGAGGCGTTCTCAAAAGACGAAAACCTGTATAAAACGATGAAGTCGCCAGAGCAGGGGGCTGCAACGACGGTGTGGGCTGCGATTGGCCAAGAATGGGAGAAGAAGGGTGGAGAATATCTTGCTGATTGCGGAAAAACCACACGGGGCAACGACAATCATGAGATTGCCGGTGTAGGCTTCGCAGGGCATGCGTATGATGCCGAGAAAGAGGCTCGGCTCTGGAAAGACTCCCTGGAGATGGTGGGGCTGACGGATGATGAGTAGGCGACGTGAGACAGAAATAGTAGGAATGTTGAGGTTACCATATCACTGTTTCTACATGACAGTTTTTTGTCAGTTACTGGGCCTTCAGAAGATGTCAGGCTAGATAGTCAAGCAGGCACGTTTGATACAGTTCAATCCGCTCTATTTCATCTTGCACTGATGAACCATCTCAATATTTGGCCATGCAAGTCCTCGTATTAACTGCCATTTAATTCCAAAAACTCTTATAGTCTCCTTCTTTACGCCCTATCGTCCTGGATGCAGCATTTTTATTCTTATAGATGGGAGATCAGCCGCTGAACTACTACTAGGCGGAGAACGAGTCGCCCTCGGAAACACTTGCGTTTGTATATATGGGTTTAGGCTCGGAGTGTATTGTTAGAGCTACATAGCTGATCCTATACTCTGTTGGGAATACTCACAAGATACATAATTAATCCTGTAATATTTCTCATATGCCATAGTCTTGAGGATACCTAAGTGGTAAAAGCTGAAGATAAGGTACAATTACCGTAAAGGACAATGACCGCCGCTGTATTGTTTGCTTTCCGGCGTTGTGAAGTGCAAAGTTGTGAGGTCGCTTGATAATAAACCCAAAGGTCTGCCTGGACTCGTTTAGCTGCGCGACCGTAGCTTCCTACTGCACGGATTCTGATATTGAGAGTCTCCTTAAACTTAGCGCCGACTTAGTTACGGACGTGAGTAAGGTATGTGCCCCCCAATTGACAGACCAATAGCCACCATACTTCAAGGAAGGGTAGTTTATTTCCGTTTTGACGCCACACAATTTATATATCATATAGATTATATACCTCAGGACAAAGAGAGCGCAAATCCAGCTACAGACTCTAGGTAGATCCCTCAGGATACTGTAGTCCCTCTCACTAAGCTCGTCCAGGGCCTGCGAAAACCCTAGCGTTGCTATATAAAAGACCTCAAGCTCTCGCCAGTCTCCCAAGCTTTAAGGCGATGCTCTGTTGGCTCACCAGCCTCTTGTGGTTGGATTGGCCAAACGGGACTATCGGTCATTCTCCGTATGTTGGCGGTTTGCCAGACCCGACGCCCATATCCAAGTCGGAATCAATTAATCACTGGGTGAACCGCAGCTGAAATGGCAGATGTGAGCATGGAGGTTGCAGTCGAGTCGATACATGATCGTTTAAGCCTGACCCATAACACAATTAGCCATTGTTCCTCCCACATCTCCGCGTCCCCTCCGAGTTTGAACGATAATGTTTCAGTTTTAGATCTTTTTTTGCGTCATGCCTACCATTGTTTTGTACGAGACCGATATTAGATTGGCGAACATGTAAACTGTGCCAGTGCTAACGCATCTATCATCAATTTGACGCTGCGTGCGAGAGCAGTGGTGGCGGATAGCTCCTCGACATCGCGAGTCGTATAGGCTCCTCCCCCCTTTTCATCCTCCAGTGGTTGCTTATTTCCACCAACTCATCGCAGCCCTCCGCAACCCATGCCCATTTCACCAGAAAACCGGGCGTGGCCTCCCAGCTCTTCATCTCGTGCGGTTCGCCCCAGACAATGAGTCCCTTACGCCCGGCGGTCACTTCATCCGGATCACTTCCGGATGAAAGGGTCAGGGGCCGTTGAGTCTCAGGTATGTTAGTGGAAACGGGCGCGCCTCCTCGTCGCGGGGCCGGTGTCGAGTTCAGTAGATCACCGACGAGGTCCTGCATCAGCTCCCAGGGGTCGAAGCAGCCTTCGTATCTAATAAGGTTATCACGGACGCGGGGGAAGGGGATGACGTTAATCCAGGTAGAGTGGTAGCGAGTTTGTTGGAGGGTGGTCGGGACGAGGGAGGGAGGGATGTCCGGCTTGAGGGGTAGAGAGCCGTGTCGTCACGGCAGGGTGAGGAAATGGTGCAGATGGTTGAATGAGCGGGTTGGGTGTTAAGGGTACGCATATTAGAGATTAAGGCACGGCAGACGTTATACTGAATGAGATGGAGGAGGTGGTCCAAGGAGAGGGGAAAAGTAAAGGGCTGGGGTCCAGATTTACGGCCGGGTGGTTGGCAGTGGATGGCGATTCTCGGAGGACGACTGTACGCTTGGCTGTGGAGGGCGATGTGCTTGTGTACATGTGAGGGTACGTGTGAGGCGATCGAAGGAAGAAGGACGTGGTTGTTGCGCGCTCTGATGCTAACGAAGTTTCTTGGGAGGGAAAATGGTCGGATTCGTCAAGGCGCCAGCGCCTGATCTGGAATGAGCGCGACTCCTGAACATTCCTCGCGTCTCTGCCCTTGAGCCGCAGTCCTGTAGTGGCTTCTGAGTATAGAACGGTTTATGAGCGAGGGGCATACTTACGGTGTGCTCTTTTGTTCTTCCGGTTCTGGACCTTCCTGCGCTGCTGCTTGGCCTTTGCCTCTGCTTCCGCGCCACGATCGTTAGCGGCCTGTCTCGCTTGACTCTGGGGCCAGGAGAGCTGAGTCCTGGCATACTCCATCGTCTCGGTTTAGCGAAAGCCTAATTCTATGTACTGTAGTGTTCGAAATGTGATATTTCTAGAAATGAGGAAAGCAAACGGACTAGTCCTAGTCCTAGCTCGGGGCTGGGATATATTCGCCCCCGCTTAAGATACGCTAACGTACTAAGCCTATCCTAAGTTCTAACCCCGCAAACTGACTACCAAGCAATAATAAATCTAGAAATTCCTACCAGTAGTCAATCATGGCTTGATGCCAAGTATATATAAACGGATTTCAATCACTAACCGGCATCGGCCACAGTTTATGACCTTGGCCAAGTATGGCATGTACACGGGGCTTAAATCTACAAGTCACTTCACTTACACTTTGCTCCTACCAACCGAGAAAGAGATCATAGCGAAACCGACCGAAGATTGAAGGTAGGAAGAAGAAGAGAAGTGAGGTGAAATTGAGGAACAAGCTATTTATGTAGATGGACATACTCTCGTGATTTCTACAATCCAAGGCCTACTTTGTCGAAGACTATAGGCGCACCTTCTATCGTTACCCAAGCGATACCTAACATAGGGCAAATCGTAAGCAAAACCATCGCCGCAGCTATTTGACGGCATCACTCACCCGAATATACAACCAGTTTGGTCACCACTTCGACATCATATCGGACACGAGGTTTCTTCACTTGCGAGAAGACCTCCGTAAGATTGGGTTCCTTTTCCTCTTCGTAAGCAGGGAAGGGTTCGGTTGAAGGCTCTCGGTCTATGGCTGCTATGGCGCCAGGGCTGTGGCGTGAGATGCCAGTACCCATCATATGTTCATACTCGTCCCATTTGGATTGCTTTCGTGCCGATTTGGACGGCTGCGTCCCAGACACGGAGACATCTGCAGCGTCGCCGTCGTCTTCGGCAACAGAGTAATTGTGAGCCTTATTTGACAAACTTTCGCGCCTACGCTTCTCGCGATACGCCATAGTCTCGTACGCATCGGCCTCGGATTGAGGGCCAATGGATACGGCTCGGCGGCGCGGGTGGCGGATATTGGTGAGAATTGACGGAATATCCGCAAACGACGGAAGGACTTCATGGTCCTTCAGGTAAGCTGGAACGGTTTTGTACTGCCTGTCTAATGGTCAATCAATCTATCCTTCATTTTTCGAAGTGGAGGATGAAGACTTACGAAGCTCTAGTGAAGAATCGCCGGGGAAGCAGGAGACCCAACTTCTCCAACGCTCGAAAGATTGGAGGCAGGGTACGTAGGAGAAGAGGTTTCATGACCTCTCTCCATGTGAAAATCAAGAGGACACCGAGGACAAAGCGCAGTGCTGTCTTTACCAGACCTAGATCTTTGTACCGGAACGGTATCGTAGCGGGGGAAGGCTCGGACCAAGCGATGCTAGACTTCGCGAAATGCCAGCAGCCCAGTTGCACTCCAATTATTACCCCTGCAAAGGCCACACTGTCGTCGAAACACGGACAATCGTCTGCCGGTTCCGGGTGGATGCGGACGAGGATGATTATCACCAGGACCACCAGCGCGATTTGTTTCCCTGATGCTGAAAACACGTAGTCATCGAGCAGAGGTCCGTATAAATTTTGCACGAACGTTATCGAGGCTCCGAGCAAGCAACCAATAATGACATCGAGAAACCCGTGCATTCCACAGTAAAGGCGACCTAGTACAATGGAGCAGACGTAGGTATATGTCATGCATTGAAAGATCAGATTAACGTGGCTGCTCAAAGTCGATTCGGGCGAATTGAGCAGGGTAAGCACGTAGATGGCGACAGAGACGGCATTTGTCGAATGGGTCGAAGGGAACCCATACTCTAGCGCGGCTGAACCAGACATAGTAATGCGCTGGAGCGGAGGTGATAACGGGCGGGGAAGACATAGCAAGTCCTTGATGAATCCGCTGAAGAAGACTCCAGAGGCCAATACCTGGACAAATCTGAGCGGCGCAAGTTGTTAGCCGACATGGATCCATTCCCAGCAATGAGTTGCCCTCGTTCTCGACGGCTCAAAGAGCCTCCATTCCTCCCGCGAGCACCTACCCACGGCCCAAATTCGTATAACCGCTCCAAAACAACATCGGCAAAAAGATCATGAAAAAGGTATGCGTTCCCAGGTTGGCGGTGAATGCGAAATAGGAATCAAGGGTTGGAGTACGAATCTTCTCCTGAAACCAAGCCAGATATGGTGTCTCATAGCGCACCAGAGGAAGGAGTTTCTGTCGAGGCACATAACGCCATTGCGGGAGTCGATTCCGGTCTATTCAGCGATAGAGGAAAGGAGACCAGGTAAGCGAAGGCTCGAAACAAGTAGTGTACTTCATTCCGAAAGGGAAATGTCACACACGTACAGTGATCTAGGCTCCGGAGCCCGGCATCTGGATTGCCATTTGCGCCCTTAACCATACTGAAGGCGGCCGATTCGAACAAGTGGCGTGATTGCAGTTTTCCCCATAGAGTGCCAGCCAGTAACGACGTCTCAACACGCGCACGAAATTGATGGCATTGGCATCGCAATGGTGGATCAAGAAAAGGTCAACTGAGCGATATGTCCGCTTGCACCTGAATTTTATGCTTTTTTCAGGGGACTTGGTCACTCGGGGCTGACAGAACAGCAGATCAACCCGGGCGGGCCCACGACAATTTGTCCCGCGGCATAAGAGAGACTGGCGCTTGGCAGTCCAAGCGTCGCGATAACGATTGTGCGTTGGCCCCTTAGTCAGAAGCACGTGAGGAGAGGTACGAATACGAATGAATAGCAGCAAGATGATCTATCTGCGCATTGGTACAATAATGCTTTCCTACACAAGGTACAATTATTAGAAGACGAGTTTTATCGTCATCTTACAGGAAGTTTAGTGATGGCTACATGGAGAATGGCGACCGTGGCAACATCAAGCGCAGATATATATGTTGGAGTAAGCACCTTTGGACTCGGCCAGTCTTGACTCTTGAGGCCTGTCTATCAGATCCAGTCTGGACAGTCAAATCCTTGAGCTGAATCATCTGCACACATGGGGCAGAATAACACAAATCATCCATTGGCCTGAGTGCTCATGCCTATGTTTGAGATCTGAGGTCCCCGACGCCTGAATCACATGCAAGGAATGTTACTTGCGCACAACTCTAAATTCCTTATTAGCTGCGGACATGTGTAGATCACCCTCAGTGCAGGCAGCATGAAAGTCGCTCATTCAGACCCTGGATATTGGGGCTGGGGGTGTTCATATCCGACGTAGCAAAGCCTGTTGTGGTATCCGTCTGTTTACGATTAACCACACAAGTATTCATGAAGAAAGTGAGCGAGAAAAGCCTGGCAGTTGCTGAGATAAAAGGAACATTAGCCGAGGGCATAGAGAGGTCTCTCTCTAGGATTACGAGGGAGCCCAGTAGTTACGTGCTGGGGTCCAATTCTAGCACCGACAAACCACAAGCCAGTGTCAGCTTCTGATCGGGGCGGCTCAATGATCCGAACCACCAGCTCAGCCTGGCCAACGACAAGACAACGAAATATGGATAGATCAACCGGCGGATCTTGTTTGTATCGCTAGTACTCTAAAAATAAGACGAGCATTGAGAGCGTGCACGAATGGGGATTCTGGAACAAAAGAGTATGGTGCTAGGGTCAAGTGGCAGCGGAGCTTCGTGCGTCATCTCAGCCACGGGCGGTTGCCATGGCAGCCCTCCAGCCCGTAAACACCGCATTTTGAAGGCTGCAGTTTCATGTCACCTGCACTCGTTGTTGGAGCAGCAGCCATGCTCTACTCAAATGGGCGAAAACGATCTTACGAAGTGGCATCCCTTTCATCCTTCAATTGTTCCATATTTCAACCGCCCCTTATCCTCTAAACATCCATCGAGCGCAACGATTTACCATCTGTTTGTTCGAACCGCACCGCACCATCAGTTACCTGCGAGTCACCTGCGACTGCAAAGACGATAAACTCCGTTCTGCTTTTGATACGTCAGCTGGACCGTTACAGCAGCAGCCCGTACATTGGACGGATTTCTTCCTTTCTGGATCCGCTGGGTTACCTCGTGCCAAAATATTCTCCTAGATTCATGGACATGTCAGGACACATGTATGAAGATAGTGGCTACGCAGCCTCTCGACGCCGTTCGCTTGCAACTCCACCACCCTCCATGACTCCAAGACACAATCGGACCCGTAGTCACAGTGTGAGGGTGAGTAACGGAACTGTCAGCACAAACACCAGTGTCTCAAGTGGAAGGATGTCGGAAGCCACAAACATCACTCAACCGCCAGCGTATTCAAAAAAGTTTGTGGTGGTGGGAGATGGTGGTTGCGGTAAGACATGTCTTCTTATCAGTTATTCACAAGGGTATTTCCCTGAGGTAAGTGTTTTACCCTTGAACGTCGGATTTGATGAGACTCATCCCTCACTGCTCGAACTTCCGCCTTTCAGAAATATGTTCCTACCGTGTTTGAGAATTATATCACGCAGACCACCCATCGGACTTCTGGAAAGACAGTCGAACTGGCTCTTTGGGATACTGCTGGACAGGAAGAGTACGACAGGCTGCGGCCACTCTCATATCCCGAAACAGATCTTTTGTTCGTCTGCTTTGCCATCGATTGTCCTGCATCGCTAGAGAATGTTATGGACAAGGTATTTTTTAACTCATCTCTCGTCTTCCTGCAACATCTGACCAACATGAACAGTGGTATCCCGAAGTACTGCATTTCTGTCCCACCACGCCTATAATACTTGTCGGTTTGAAGTCGGATCTGCGCACGAAGAGGACTTGCATTGAACTCCTGAAAACGCAAGGATTGACTCCCGTCACACCGGAACAGGGCGAGGCAGTTGCCAGGAGAATGAATGCTTCCTATATTGAATGCAGTAGCAAGGAAATGCGCGGTGTTGATGAAGTTTTTGCAATGGCAGTCGACACCGTGGTGTCTGCAGAAGAACAAGACTGGATGGGCGCCAGCCAGAGTAACGGCACCAGCAGCAAATTCGGAGGAGGTGGCGGTGGCCTCAGGAGCGGCAGCAAGAAGGTCAAGAAGCGTACTTGCAAGATTTTGTAAATCTTGTGCTTCTTTTCTCCGCTAGCTTGACCTTTTCCTTGTTTCTCGGGTCTTCTTACAGCCGATTTCGAGGCCTGGTTGCCTCGACGCCGCGATGGACCAGATAAGTCTTTTTTTTTTTTTGTACGTGACATGCTGCACTGAGCCAGATAATAGTTGGAAAAGAAACATTCGGCTTCTGGCAGGTGTTGCGGATTGTCATTCCTTACTTCAGACATGCTGGTCAAGGTGGCTTTCTGATTTATGTTCCCTTCATTTTGCTATACCAGTTTGGCCTTGATGATTGTTACCATGAACCCAACGATTACCCTTTTTTGTCCTCGTTTCCATTTGCGCGATTGACTCTATTTAACATTTGATGTCTGTCATGAACTAGCCTGAGGCCACTCTTCTGCATGCATGGCATGGGTGTTTACCGGCGCAAGCAACAGTCCCATGTACCTGAAAGGGATAAACTATCAAAACTGATGATTCTAAACACGTGTCTGGTATTTTTGTAGCCAAAGTTCGACGTAGTAGCGGTATCAAATAGTGGAATATGCAACCCAATGAAATAAGGACATAACTCGTAAAAGATGTAGAACGATCATCATACGCAAGACACCGTGTGCTTATATCGCTAGTGACTCGTCGATGCTCTCTCGGCGAAACTCTGATCATGGCCTTCCCTTTTTTCCTCTCGCCCTTCGCCCTGCCTCGTGCCATTCTGCTCATTCTCTTCAGAGCGGCCCATGAAGTTCTCAAACTGTGACCAGAGAGCTTCGACGGAACTGAACTCATTTCCAACCTGCGTATCATGTTATTGACACGACTTCTAGGGTTCATTGGTTTCGCTGTCACTTACTGCAATGATACTTTCCAGGTTGCGGTTCAGGCGGTTGATGTTTTGGAGTACTTGCTCCATACCCTGTTGAATTCCGTCAGCGCTGTAGTAAATAGAGTGACTCCAATCCATCAATGAACCTAATAAAGAAAAGGATTTGACCAGGTGATAATGCAGTCATTTCGATCTCTAATGCAGCGCTGGATTGCTTACCACTGCGATTTCCCGAACCAGTTCCGCTCGCTGCTGCTCGAAAACTGTCGGGGTTGTTCTCCTCGGTGTTGTTGACATTTTGTGTGCTGTCCAATTGTTCTCACACCACGAGGCAAAAGGTCTTCAATCAGATCAATCTGTTTATTATCCTCTGTAAGGAATTGATGGCAAAATATTATATCTTGTTATACTGTGGAACTGTCTGATTTGTTCTTGGGACGCGTTGATTTGTTGCTGTTTTGCACTTTGTGGCTGATGCGGGGCGGAAAGTGGCAGTATCTGATTGGGCTTTGACCGCCTACCTTACCGCTTGTTTGGATGTCATGGACTCATGCTTGGCATGGTCGTAGTTAGCTCGTTCTTCCAGTGTCCTTAAAGAGATTTGAACTAAGGAATGCCGCATAACTTTTCTCATCTTTAAGGACGTAGATGCTACAGTACGCAGAGAGAATGTCATATTATGGCCTGGACCCGATGGCCCAAGCAGATTCTCTCCAGAGCTAACAAACAGATTATGATGGACTGTTTAAATCAATAGCTTCACTTTGAGAAACGGCGCTGCAGCAGATGTCGGCCATTGCATATTCACATGTCATACTACTCTTGTTACGAATTAATCTTTAGGATCAGTGGGCATGACTCAGTGGACTCTCAATGATCCTGAGACAAAGCTGGAATAGCAATGACAAATGTCAACATTCTCTTGAAGCAGGCCCTGAATGGACACACGGCTGTTCAAAGGAAATTATGATGAGATGCTCCTATCCGGCTTGCCCTCAGCATCAAGAGCCATACAAGCAGCACCCATTTATGGCTAGAAAGCAACCACTGGTGAAAGAAGACAGACAGACCACATTTGAACCTCATTTCTACGCCTTGTTAAGAAAGAGGCAACGGCAGTAGACACTACCAGCGCTGTTTGACATCAGCTTGTTGAAGAGAACACAAACAAGTAGCAAACACAAATTCCCAGAAATGCCCCTAACCCCACAACACTTACCTCCCATCTCACCGTATAAGAACCTGACACAAGCTTCTTCATTTTGCTGAAGACATTCCTCGCCTCAAACTCAAGCTAGTCTTTCCTTTCCACCTCGCAGCCGACATCGTGTGATTGAACCCCCAAAGAACGTCAAGATCCACCTACAGTCAGAGTTCGACAGTATGGGCAAATTGAACAGCCGAATGCTGTCAGACATTGATGGCTTCGACACAGAAGGGCGCGCACTCCTCCTCGAGATAATTGACAAACTACGCAAGTTAGGAATCAGCGAGAGCGTCTCACTTCCTCAGGTACCACATGCATTTTCTCACGCGTTGGGCTTTGTTTTGCTGAAAGAAATGGCAGCTTGTTGTCGTCGGCGATCAATCCAGTGGGAAATCCTCTGTCCTAGAGGGGATGACAGGCTTCTGCTTCCCGGTGGCCAGCGACTTGTGTACTCGGTTCGTAACACAGATTGTCCTCATTCGAGCCCCGGAAAGCGACGCAGGTGTTCGGGTTACAGTCATACCCGGTCCAACAACTCAGATGGATGATGAGTACAAGGCACATCTCCTAGGATTCGAGAGGAGGATGGCAGAAGACGATTTTGGGAGTGATGACCTGAGGCGAATCTTCAATGAGGTAGGCTCATCCTCCGAGCATATTGTGTCTCAGCTGCTCAAACGCACAGGCTGCAAAACACATGGGCGTCCCGGGGCCTGACACTGAGGACCCGAAGAACCTGGACAAGCGATTTTCCGATGACATTCTGAGAATCGAGATTTTCGGTCCTCAACATCAAAACTTAAGTGTGGTGGATGTGCCTGGCTTGTTCCACAGTAAGTATGACCCAAAAGGAGATTGGTGCGTGTGCTGAGCGAACTCCCAGACCCCACGGACGACCAGACGGAAGAAGATCGCGAGACCATTCGCAAGCTAATCAAAAGCTACCTCAACGATAAACGAACCATCATCCTGTGAGTAGCTATTCTTGAAACTAGGATCGGAGCGCTTACGATTTGTTTAGGGCAGTGATGGATGCGAGAAACAATTTTGCCAATCAAGAAGTGTGAGTTATCCAACATGTCTATATGGAGCACATAGCTGAGGGGTTTAGATTCTCTATGGCTCAGGCCGCAGACCCTGCAGGGGTTCGCACAGTCGGAATCATTACCAAATGCGACGCCTTGGAGCCTGGAGATGAGGGAAGGGTAAGTTGGCTTGTTTCTACCGAATGCAGACGTGTCTAATCGATATAGGTTCTGAAAATTGCTAGAAATGAAGTCGAAAGACTGACTCACGTTTGGTTTGCCGTCCGAAACCGCTCAACAAAAGATATCAAGGATGGTATGACGATCGAGGGCCGTCACAAAAAGGAAATCGAATTCTTTTCCAGCGTATCGCCATGGAACACCCTTCGAGCGGACAGAGTTGGGATCAAACCGCTGAAGGTCTTCCTGGGACAACTTCTGTATGCGCATATCCGTGGAGAGTTTCCCGGTGTCGTGAAAGACATCGAAGATTTCTTGCGAAACGCGCGGCGGGAGTTGGAACAGCTGGGGCCTTCGCGACAAACAGCTCCAGATCAACGACGCTATTTGACCCAAATTGCCGCGAAATATGAGCGGGACGTCTTGAACGCGCTCAGTGGCAGCTATGGTTCTACTCTGGAACCGGACAGTATTTTGAAGCTGAGAATGCACATCAGGAATCTCAATGACAAATTTGCAGAGTCGATGGCCCGTGATGGTCATACCAAGATTTTTCAGAATCTTGACGGTGGGCAAGACAAGGAGTACCAACGTCCCTGGTGCCCGGAAGACGACGACATATATGACTGGATTCGGAAATTATATCGCGATTCACGGGGTGCCGAGCTGCCGGGTATGGTGAATCCCAGTGTTCTTGAGGATATGTTCCGACAGCAAACCGTGGCATGGGAGCCGATTGCTACCAAATATATCGACAAGGTAGCTAAAGCCGTTCACGTTTTCAATCAGACAATCTTCGACAAACTGATCGGCGACGAAGAGGTCAAAGATCATCTCAGTGCACGTCTCCGCGAGCAAAACCGGGAAGCTGTCAACCGTGCAGCTTATGAATTGACCAATCTCCTACAGGGTGAGAGGGCGGTATCTTACAGACAGTCAATAACTATTTTGCTGAGACGCTGTCCAACATTCGTGAGGAGCGCACTTTCCAACGCCTCAAAGCAAAGGGTTTCCGCGACGGCGGTTACTTGTCTCTCAAACAAGTCGTGGGTGCGGTCCACCTTAGCAATGAGGACCAAGCTGTTGAGAATATCCACGATATTCTTAAGGCGTACTACAAGGTTGCTCGGAAAAGATTCTCAGACAACGTCATTCTCCAGGTAGCCGAACGTCACCTTCTCGGGGCCAATGGACCCGTGAGCACGCTGTCACCTGAATTCATTATGAACCTCGAGGACAGCGAGCTCGAGCATATAGCCAGTGAAAGCTATGTGACGTCGAGCAAGCGAAACGACTTGGCTTCCAAAGTTGATCGATTCCAGAAAGCTTTGCAAATTGCAACGTCAGCCAATATTCAGGTTGCCGCCAAGGATCAGCCATGACAGCGGCTTCAGTATCCGAGAAGATCGGGCCGAATGCTCGCGATGGCATTCCTGTTTCTGGCGTGCCACACAAGATCCATGTCGATGCTAGGTCTGGACTCATCTTTACTTGTCTGGCTCTTCCGTCTGTTGCGAAAGACATAATCGTGGCTCTTCCCTCAGTTAGATTTGAATGACCTACTGCGTTGAAAATGGAAATTCCTCTTACGAATCAATTAACTAGCGATGTAAACCGAGGACCTGTGGATCACCTTCTGTGGATGGTTTCACTGGTTTGCCATGGAGTCCCAAACTCTGTTCTTGTAAAATATCCTTGCTTGTCTGGCTGTTTTGCTTGGCAGAATAACCGTAATGGCAATGATTGCTTTGGCATGGGAGAAACAGTTCGCAGATAGGACAACAAAGCGTCTCTTAACCAGTAGTGCAAGCCCTTGACTGCTCTAGTTCATGGTGTGGCTGATGTTCTGCAGAATCCGCTCACAATTGAGCCAGATCAGACGCCGATTTTTCAGAGCCAAATAGTCCCTGCAGTCTGCATCATATCCTGCAACTGCAGAGGCTTCTTTTAACAGATAGAGGAGCTGGATTTCTTCTTCATCCATGGCTTTTTACGTCCGTTGTTTTGAGGTTTGAGTTTATTAATCGAGTGTTAAATGACCGAGAACGGAAAGATGACTGGAATTGGGAATCACTGGGACAAGCATCCCAAAAATCATCCAGGCTTGTTGTTCTATTGCATTCTCGGAATATGAGTCATACTTTCATTAGGCTCCTGTCCAAACTGCAACAGTTTTCGAGAACTCAACCTATGCCGTTCGGGATAGTGTCACGTCTTCCCGAACAGGCAACAGTGGCTGCAGCGAGTCAGCGACTTTAGCTACATGCGTGTAGCCTGCTTGCGTAGTGATGTCATTTACGATGAGGACTTATGTATCCTACCCTGTCTATAGCGGCAAAGAATGTCGAGACTAGCATAATTAGCCTTGAATGAATGAACTGCACTACGGTTACACAGTCTCTATTAGTGTAACCCAACTGAAGAAAACTATGTACGATGTCATATCAATAGCAATAAGCTGGAATTAATTCAATATCATTCCTATGAGCCGCGCAAGGGACGGCAGGCAGGGACTAGGTATGGTTTCCGAAGAATTCAATATAAAGAATGACAGCGACTGGTCTACGATGTAGTCAGTGGCTGTTGGTTATATTAGCTGAATTTTGCCAGGACAGAGATAGGGTGTTGATGTGCGTCATCTGTCCCCTGGGCTCGAGATACGGAGAAGAAGGAAGGGGCGCAGAGGGAAACGAACGGCTTTAGAGTTTCAAGTGGGCGAGAAGCCTCAGTGTCTCAGTCTGGAGAAAATAGATGAGTCGAGACTCTCTTGGGTTCTCTGATGCGGTCATTATGGTTCTCGATTCTTAGCGCTGAACGGCTCCCAAATCCGTAATGGACGGGTTTATAGATGAAACAGGAGTACAGGACTGTTTTGACTTTTGAAAGTTATCGCATGGTGGTTACAAGGTACAAGGCACAAGTCACAACAGAGGAGGCTCCTCTTTGACTCTGTGGGATGGGACCAAGGATCCAGAAAAAGTAGCTAATAGTCTGTCTCAAAGTCGAGATTTCCAAACAGCTCGGAAAGACCCGCTGATCAACCACAGGACGTCATGGCATTGAGTTCGTCTTGTTGTTGTGGAGCTTCCTGGAGTGGGAGTGGGACAGAAGTTAAAACACAGACATTATCTACTTCAAAATTCGAGAGGTAGTGTCTGAGGAATGTCTGATTGATAATAACACAAACCTTCCGAAACAGACGAACCATCAGGCTGCTTCATCCTCCATCTTCTCACATAATCATCAATCCTTATTTGCTCGTGCGCAGCCACATCAGAAGCGCCCACTCAGGATTCTGCTGCGGCCAGCCACAATGTAAAATTGCTGGGCGATCATTGCCAGTACGAGACACAGGCCCCCACCTGTGCATGGTAGGAGATCATCATACGCACTCCTAGTGGTGCCGCTGAGCAATAGTATCCCGGCGCCCTCGGTGCGGTGGGAGATCTGTGAGTCGGATAAGGTCATTCGCACCAGAAGGAAAAATTCTAAACCCCGCAAATTGGGGATTATCAGCTGCATGTTCCATCTTCTTCAGTCACGGGAGCCGGTGGCTGTCAATCTATAAAAAATGTTTATTCCTCACGCGGGTCTTTATAAAATCCTGGAGACCCTCCGTTCCCTTTTGATCTTTCTTTGCTTTTGCGGAAATAGTATCCCACAGCTCAGCGATTGTCTGTCATCCGCGCTTATTCTCAGCGGACAAATGTCTTTACCTCGTCTGACAGCATCTCTGAGCATACTTCCATCACTGTCAGTCCGCTTCTGTTGACTCAGCACTGCACTGGGCACCGCATAAGCAATCCATTACAAGCAACTACACTGAAACTCGAACATGCGAGACATGCCATCCAAGTTCGTTGAGATCCTCGATCCCTCAGATAACCTGCGCTCCTCCAACTCAGATGTTCGCCTGGAAGATGTCCTAGCCGATCACGAGGCCATCGTCACCACTCGGCCTCGGTCCGCCACGAAGACCAGTGACCGATCAGATCGTGATAACTCCTCCTCGCCGGCGCAGCGTTGGAAAAGACTGAGTACTATCCTCATCACGCCGCGACGACCTTCCACATCGTGATCGCTATTGCTATACTACGCTCCCAGAACCGAGTTCTGCTATATTTTCAGTTATCTTGCGACGATTAGACAGATACAAGGGACCGCCACCTTAGACACCCATATCTAATACCTCTACGATACGTTATTCTGGATTACCGGGATAGTTGACTGGCTCAACACAAGGGCTCTTCTTGTTGGCTGGGACTTGGTTGGAAATCCTCTGTTACGATAATGACGTTACGAAAATGAGCCCTCCTATACCCCGTGCATTATCCTATACACTTTTCTTTCTCCTTGTTCAATAAGAGTCGGCTGGCCTAAGACACGCAATCCTTCTCCATCATCCACTACTACAGTATGTCTTCTTGGATCATCCTGCGCCACTGCATCCAACCGAATTCGGACGGACATCCAAAATCGCCACTGCTGGCGTGGCCTGTACAGCATAACCTGCAAATCATGCCAAGTGCATTGACGTACCTGTGGATAAATCGATTGACGGATATAAGGGGACACATTGCGTACTCGGTGGAGTTCAAGGGTGTATGTCGATCCTGATCGTTTGGTGTCGATCGGATATGCCGTTGATCCGGATATACACATACAAGGGAACCAAACGAACTATATTTAGACTGAATACCAAAATAGATCAAATATTCTGCTGATTGAAAGGAATAAAGTACCTAGTATCTAGGCTACCTCTCTTCCAAGGTAATATTATCTTAACATGCATTCCTGCGCCTGTGACGTCATGGGCGCATGCTCAGCCCGGGTGTGCCTTGGCGCCTAACATCTACCTTTTCTCGATGTATGATTGTGACAATGGACATATCAAGGAATGGTATACTTTGAAGACAAAGATTGGTTACACTAGTCTGCAATTCGAAGGCTAAGGATTTCTGCAGATTCCTAGCTCAGCAATGCCTCAATCCATGAATTGCCACACCCAGCGCATGCAGACCCGAAGCTGTTCCTCCGCCAGGATGATGTCAGCCTCTCTGCCCTGCCGGGGTCGCTCGGGTGGCTCCTCAAAAGGAAGAACGAGAGGAGCGCCGGAAACAGACTCGGGGCTGATCGCAAAAGTCTGTGCAGCGTACGCCTGCAGAGAAGCCCCAGGCTGATGGGAGTAGCTGATGCTGCTGTATCGCCGCGCGCTCTTGCTGCTCCCATTTCTCGATAACCAACGTTCGTCTCTGGCGATGTATGCCGAGAACGAGGACCATCCGGACTTCTCCCTGCAAGTTGCGCAGCCACCACCGTGCCTCTTCGCGGAGCCGGGGAAGCGACGCCGTGACACCTGCTTCAATCACCAGGGTGGGCAGGCCACACCGTCTCTCTCAATCTGAGACTTGGGGAAGAGACATCCATCCGGCTATTTGCGCGGTAGGGTCCATTCCCATGCGGCTGCAGAACAGATCGATGGCGCGGGTGATGTTGATCGTCATGACATCGTGCCCGGAAGTGAGGATCTTGAGGATGCCAGCGGTATTGTCCCACATGAATCGGTATGGGATGCAGTGCAGGGGACGTTTTCTTCGCTGTCCAGCTCGATGCGGGCCTCCTTGGTCAGTCTGTAAATGAGGATGAATTAGTTTCCATTTCCGGTCTGGTTCAGGGAGGCGTGGACTCGCTCTGCTGTTTGTTGAAGGTCTTCTACGGTAGTAAAATGAACGACGATATGATCGTCTGGCAGATTTACCGTCAATTTTTGACTAGCCATGCTTGTGGACAGCCTTGGGCTGTTAGATAAGGCGCATTTGCATTCTGCCACGTATTGCCCTTTTGCTGTGGTTCTCAGGCTGTGGTTCCCGGTCGACGGGGTGAGCATGCAGCAAGGGTTGGGATTATTCAGACGGAACAGATGAGCTTGATGATTGGAACTGAATGAGGGGGACCTTGCACAGTGAAAGTACGGCTTTTTATACGTAGCCCAATGGCTTCAAGGTGTACCTTTGACGTGCTCATTACTCTCATATCTGTGTCAGAATCCTCAGGCAATCAGCACAGATATGGCGGCCACAAGTGAGGGTATTTCGAAGGTGGACCTGGATCAGCTTATACCTGGCCATTACAGTCACACTTATCCGGATACTGCTCCCATAATGTTACATTAAAGAGAAATCAGCGATTGATCTGCATCTTTGATCCAGATGTAGTGTTTGTTGATGTTGGCTAGATGATGCGTTATCAGTGACGTCACGGTATACCCGCGACATATCAACCATCAGTCCATCACCCACCCAAGTACACTCTCCTGTTTATACAAACTATCAATCGCAAAAATGCCTCCGAAGCGCACGAAAAAAGCTACCTCGGCAGCAAAAAACCCACCATCTCCCCCACTGTCCGAGAAGAATGCCACGACAACACACGCACCCGAGGCCGAGCCCAAACCCGAGCCCGAGCTCGAGTCCACTGACCATGCCAGCCCACCCAGCTCCCAACAAAGCGAGATAACGGACACCATCGCCTTCGAATCAGACGAAGAAATGCCCGAGGAAACCGAACACACCATCACCGAAGAAGCAGCCAAACAGAAAAAACCCGGCTACGCAGGCGGATACAACGCCCTCAAGTCCTTCAAGGGACAGGTATACTCCGGAATGGCAGTAGGCGGCTCACACACCTGGACCTACGACGCGGGAACCTGGAAAGAAACCAAAGAAGAGCCGGACCTCTGGCGGATCGACTACCGTACCAACAAGCGGCGAGCGCGCAAGGCGCCGGCGGGGAGCGGCGCCCCGTCGGGACAGAGTACCACTGGCTGATCGTGGCGCATCAGCATGTGAAGAAGGTGGATGCGAACACCTACGAGACGCACTTGACGGGCTCAAAGTACAAGCTGGCGTATAAGTCCGCGTCGTCGAACTCGTGGTCGATTCCTACGGTGAAGAAGCAGCGCGAGAGGGAGGTGGAGCTGCTTGAGGATGCGAAGCAGAGGGTTCAAGGGCTGCCGCCGGTGTTGGCGGCGGAGAAGATCAGGGTGGAGAAGCATGAGAAGGGGCAGCAGAGGTTGGATAGCATGTTTACCAAGGCTGGAAGTGCGGATTCGGGATCGAAGAAGAGGAAGATTGATACGACTTAGTTCGGGTTCACTTGTATTCTAATGTAGTTGTTAAGTGAGTGAATACACCAAGAAATTGGTCTGTTGTATGGTACTTACACTATGTTGTTCCTGCACTAGATATCCATTATCTGAGTGGTCATTGTCAATGCTGAATTACATGATCTCAAATACTCCGTAAGGGGAATTGTACGTCCTATACCGACTGACAGATAATTTCTGTCCCAGAAGACTCGGCATTGACGTTTACTCGGTTCATCACAACACTCCAGACTAGACAGCCTCAAGTATGAACAGACTCAGAAATCACGAATGAAATTGACCATGAGGACCATTCCAGCCAAGAACGGCTAAATTAACGGTTTAATTGTACCCCCGCAAATCTCGGGGTAGCAACAACCGATGCCGTCTTGGCTACACGAAGTCTGGGCTATAAAGCTCCAGGAATGATGAATACGAGTAGTGGAGGTCCAAACTGTCAATTGCTCTCAATATGCGGGGAATCACGTCGTTCTGTGCTGTGTTTCTTGCCGCTGCGGCACAGGCCAGATACATTGTCCCCGGAGGCCGATGGCGAGATACCAACGGGGACCTGGTCAATGCGCATGCTGGTGGTCTTCTGTATGACGACAAATCGGGCAAGTTCTGGTGGTTTGGCGAGTACAAAATTGAAGGACAGACGGAGGGTGGTGGTGTTTCCGTGTATAGTTCGGAGGATTTAGCAACCTGGGAGCCTCATGGGTTGGCTTTGAGTATGATATGACAATCGGTCTCCTTGAAAGCTGTCTGGCTGATACATCTACAGAACCGGTCGAGGGACATCGGTACATCTCCCCTAAGCACATCATCCAGCGTCCCAAGGTGGTCTACAGTGAGGAGTCGAATCAGTACCATGTATGATCATCCTCTCTAGCTATGCTTCTTCTAACGACACCAGATGTGGTGGCATGCAGATAATTCCACTTATGGATGGCTCCTGCAAGGATTCGCAACTTCCGATAACATCACTGGCCCCTATACATTTGTCGACGCCACAGCACCATTGGGCAACTGGTCGCAAGACTTTGGGCTCTTCACCGACTACAAGGACGGCCGCTCGTATGCGCTCTACTCGAACGGCGACAGCAAGTATGGACGCGATGTCTACCTTACTGCGTACAACAAGAACGTCACAGCGCTGGAGGAAGTTGTCTACCGTTTCCCGAAGTACGACCTGGAGGCGCCGACCATCATCCAAACGGAGAAGAGCTACTGGGCGTTGATGAGCCACAAGACCGGTTACCGGCCGAACAGTAAGTGAGCGGGAGCCTTGACGGTAATTGCAATGGCTGACCGAGAAGATGTCGTTGCGTTCCGCGCCGACTCGCTCAGCGGTCCCTGGTCCCAGCCGTTTATGGTCGCTCCCGTGAACACCCGTACGTTCAACTCGCAGTCTGGTTTCTCCCTCCGCATTAAGGGGACAAAGAAGACGACCTACCTGTACATTGGCGATCAGGTAAGTTTGTCGTTTGGCGGGATGAATGGAAGGTAACGAGTACAGTGGGATTCCAACTCCCTCTGGGAAAGCCGGTACATCTGGCTTCCGATGGATATCGATGAGAACAAGAAAACACTCGACCTTGTCTGGAACGACGTCTATGACCTCAACGCGTATGTCACCAACCAGTTGAATGAAAAAAGAAAATACTGACGAGTCCAGCAAAACCGGAGAATGGAAAGCCATTCGCGGCAAGACATACACTGCCAGGAAGGCCAAGACGAACGGCAATGCGTATAAACAGGAAGCGGTATGTCCTAGACCTTCAGTCACAGCTCAGTCACAATGCTAATTGAGTAGAACTTTGCAACCGACGGTGTCATCCTGACGGGGATCTACGGCAATGACAGCACAGTGATCTTTGAAGGCATTGAGGGAACCGGCAAACCACAATGGGTGTCTTTCTACTACCAGAGTACGTTCTCTTCACCTTATCAATTTTCCATACTAACGGTTATAGACACTGATGACATGGGCTTCGGCGATCAACGTAAGTATATTTCATCAGGCAGAACCAACAGCAGAGCTAACAAGACCAGCGGGAGGCTCTCCCGATCGCATCGGTGGCTCATGGCAGCTCCGTCGCATCAGCAGCGTCGTGGTCAACGGGAATACATCGAACGTGGAGACGCTTTATCACAGGGATACCCACAAAAGCATCATTCTTTCGGCGCCTCTACTGTTGACGCTGGAGAAGGGCTCGCATAATACCATTACTGTCGGAGGATTATACAATGGGTTTGATTACAAGGGGGCAGATCTGGATAAGATTGTGGTTTATCCGCCTGAGAATTGATAGTGGTGCTCGTAGTGGATCAGGATTTAGATTATACCCATAACATGGCTATATCGCTGGTGAGAAGTATAATGGGCATATTATCCATATTGGTCATCAAGAATTGTGTGCACTATCTCAATTGATATGTAGTAAATCAATGGCCGGCAACGGTCAAAAGGAAATATATAGCTACATAGAGAAGCTATAGACAGTTCCTCCCCTTCCCCTCCGATATAGAAATTATAATGCTAGATGGAATATCTTCACATCTAGTTCAACTATTTTACTTAAATCCCCATTAATTATCATATTATAACCAAGTGCTCAAAACGACATTCCTGTCAATTTATGGTTGATTCAACGAGTAGGTAAGGCTGGGTATAAATCTAAAACCGAGTGGCAATATCATCAAAAGGACTGGTACCTCAGTGGTAGAGGGTGAGATTGCAATAACATCGCAAGATGTAACTGTAATATCTTGAGGTCCCGTGTTCGATCCACGGTCAGTCCTAATTTTTTGTCCCTTTTCGGTCTGTTTTTCAGGCCGATCATTGCCAAGACGGCTTCTCCGCCAAAGCGTAAGTAGAATGTCTTATCTGCGGACTGTCATATATGGTCGTTCTCATCTGAATTCAACATGAATTTATTGTACTGCTAGTGAGCAGTTCAACTTGGATACCCCCAGCCTCTTCTCTCCTTATTATTAGGCTAAGGCCCGTAACATAGACACAGAGCGCATGATGCACCTATACGCATTTAGGATGAGGAGGTTGATCCTGTAGTATATTAGGAGAAGCTACCAGGGCAACCACAAGGGCTACTATAGTGACTTATAAGAAGCAGCTTTGATCTAGTAGCAATAGTGATGACCACTACGATCCTAAAGTATCTATTCCTAACACTACACAACAGCACTAGAAGAAGAAATTAAAACATACAGCTAAGTCCCTTTATTATTCACTAAGTGGTTCAGACTCTATTTCATGTAATTGTTCCCATGCTATCCATGAGGTTTATAGGAGAGCCATCCTTATAGTTAAATCCAGTAGACAGAAACCAGCATATTATTTCATATTTATTCCTAATGCTAGTCTAACACTATCTCAGACTACTCCAGCCAAAACCATGGGAAAACAAGGGCCATATACCTCAGACAAAAACACACTATTAGTGCAACTAAAGGAAAGAGAAGGAATGCCATGGGCAGAGGTTACTGCACACTTCCCTAGATAAAGCACAGCATCCCTCCAAGTCCATTACTCAACCAAATTATGCCACAAGGCAACCACTCAAGCTAAAAGGCTACAAAGACGCCAATGAGAGGCATTAAACTTGCCAGCGCCCAAGCCAAATACCCGTTAAGCCAAAAGACGCTAACAAGCGTATCCAGTTCCTTTGCCTCCCAACCATCGACCGTCCTTCCGCTTGATCTCGAGACACTAGTTCATGCAATTGTTCGATGCCTAGCACCGGCCCTTCCCCGGGTCTGGGCTACTTTGGGCTCATTGGCTCACAGCCGTGTTCTTCTGTCATTGTGTCTGTCTGACTAACTCAGGAATGACCAAGTTGGGATCAGCCAAGATACTGGACCATTTTCACCAAATATAACCCGCCCTCGTCGTCATCGGAAAAGTCAGAGTCATGATCATCAAGGGTATATCGTAGAGTATCCGGTTAACCAGGGGAGGAGAAAATCGACCGAAGTTCGGCCGTTCAGGAACGAGAGACTAAGATACATGTTACTTTCAGACTTAAAAGACATAAACCTAGGTTGGCTTGAACATCCATTGTGTAGAGCTCCATCTTCAGCACAATACCTTCCTTATGCCTTTTCTCTGGTACCTTTTTCGGAGCTGGCAATCGCCGCGTAGCACAATGGATAACTCCTCCATTCAGAGGAACCTGCCGCAGCTCGCGATCGGCAATAGCGCCAGCCAGGTCCAAAGCCTTGCGACCATGCTTCTCGGACCCGAAAATCCAGGAAAGATAAGGTCACCTTTACAGAAATAGCTGTTTGTTAAAACACGAGGTGACGGCTCCATCATCAGGAGAAAACACCCATGTCTTTCATTAATGCAGTGATATTGTTATATATCCATTCTCATAAACATCGCTGCTGTGGGTTTACATCATCAGCCGCCCGGTTGACACTCCGTTGTGCAGAGGGTGAACATCGATGAACACATGCAGCAATGTAATCACGCTCTGCGCCCAGCGCGATGTTTGTGACCTCCCTTGTCGAAATTGGAACTGAGACTTTCTCATTGATGACGTGCGAAGTCGCCGTTATAGCGACGGCTTGAAGTGATACACATTTCATTCATTGACTGGCTTGGACGCTCAGTGAAGCGGTACGATGATGACGATGCTGGTGATGAGGAAGCTGATTAACAAAATCCCAGACATTCCAGGTCCCCAGACAGTGGTCTGGCAGTGAGACCGGTTGTTCATTTGACGAGGCAGCCACGTTGGATTTGTACGAAGGTGCAGGCTCAAATACCGATAATTACTCTAATTGCGCAAAAAGCTACAACGCCAAGATAAGGGCGTTACTGTTCTTGTTTTAGCAGTGAACAGTGCCGCCGTTATAAATACCAGCTTTCCACCGACATTCCCCGAAGCCAAATCAAGCACCCTCTCCAACCATGTCCATCCATTCACTCTCAGACGAAGTCTTACAAGGAGTTATTAATAGTCTCTCTCATTGTGATGTTGCCTCACTTTCCCTGCAATCTCGCCGTATACATCGCCTGTGTGAGATGTCCACTCGGCGCAAATACCGCCGAGTAAGGCTCCGAAACACCTCAGATTTTGCAAAAGCCTTTGGGATGTTACTCTTAATTTTAAAGACACCCCGACTGGGTTTATATGTCCGTAATATCCAGCTGGAGCGATCACCAACAATACAGTATGAGGTTGTGGAGAGCTACCAACTACGCCCTGCAGAAAGGGTACTAGATTTAGATGACCTGCTTAGGCTTGAAGAAGCCATTAAACAATTGGGATTTAAGTCGGTAGAAAAGCAGGAGAAAATTTTGAATATATTACTACAGGATCCTGCTAACATGGAGTATGGCACCCTTCTTTGTCTTGACTTAAATTCTGACTTGGAATAGTGACAATGACCCACGATCTCCATTTTTGGCTCAGGCACTGGCAGCCCTCCTAGTTTCCATCTCACCTATGCTTGAGTCTCTTAGCTTTTGCCCTGTGGGATATGAGGAGCCCAAGCTCTTGAGACTAGAAGCAGAAGCTGATGGCGAACCACTTCCTATAGCTGACTATGTATTCAAGCATTTCCTAGAACTCGTCCGTGAGAAGGACATGCCGTTTTTACAGAACCTCCAAGCTGTCAGATTCCTAGTCGATCCAAATACCTGCGTGTATGAAACATCAGATTACCAACCCTATGACCTATTCAGCAGTCTAAACCTAGTGCGACGTCTGCCAGCTATGGAAACTGCCCACATGGATGCTATTTCTGATCCAGATCTCCCAAGCGTTGAGCCCCCACCTCAATCAGGAAATTATACCTGTATCACAATTCAGCACTCCAGCCTTCATTGCCTGTACCTGGTATATACAATTGAATCAGCCAAACGTCTGGAAAAATTCACATATGGGATCGGCGGCCGCTTCTCAAGGAACAGTATGCTAATATCGTTCCACCCAGAGTGTGTCTTTTGGGCACTTTTTGCTCACCGAGCCTCCCTGCGCCAGCTGGATCTTGATGTAGAAGGGCAAACTGGTCAACTAGACCTTGTTGGTCTGAGGTATCTGAAGTACATCCCAGAAGAAGAAGAAGAGCAAGGATCACACCGGGACGATCCAGTTTACCTGCATGAGTGGGCTGATGAGCTTGAGAAGCTTCCAGTGGAGGAGGAACAAATACCTTCTAATGTGTCTGTGGATGCTTGGTCTCTTCGAAGCTTCTTACAACTGAAAGATCTCAGTCTAGGGGTTCATATTCTTTATCTTTATGCTCGTGGATATGGTGTTGAACAGTGTGGTGACCAGTGGGGTGACCAGAGCGTTAATGATTCTTTTTCCCTTGTCGATCACCTGCCGCCGAAACTTGAGTCACTTCGCGTATATGGCTACAAGAAGGGAATGAAGCCGCGGCTGAGAGGTGTTCCACAAAACTTGCTTGAAGACCAGCTTGCTAAGCTGATGGCGGAGAAAGATCAAAAGCTCCCCCGACTTGCCGTTATTGAGGGTATCGACGAACTGATCCCGAATGGTGAGACGTTGGAGGGGGCCGGGAATGAAGATAAGCTTTGGAAAGGGGAGGCAGATGATGAATGGACGGACTATGAATATGAATAAGGCTTGGTTCCTATACGCTACCTGTATGCTATCCTACTTCTACGAAGCAGGATCGCTAAGTTTGCCCTCAAGCGGCTATAGGCTTGATTAAGATTTGACACTCAAAGCTAAGTAATCAAAAAGAGACTTAGAGACAGATAGTTAATGAATACATGTGAACTGACAAATTCTATATAATTCAGCGAATATCGCTCGCCCCTCTAAGCAACTACCTTATATCCTGCGTATCACTCTTCTCTATCTGTAGGTTCTATTTGAGCAGGCGGATCGTTCGCACTATCATCACCAATATCTGAAGCTAAACCATCGGTGCTGAGGCGAACTATGGTGTTCAGTCTATTTCGAATACGCTGAACGTCTTGCAGAGCGCGAGTGGCCGTGAAAGTCGAAATTCCCGTCCACCGGCTGTCGAGTCGATCCAGCCAGTAAGTGATACGTGTCCGCGTGTAAGTCACCATCTCCGAGAAATGATGCCGGACCCATAGATCCCAGATTGGGCGGACGTCAAATGCCTGATCTGGGTGCTGTAGATTCCATGCACGATTAGCAATCCGGTATTGTTGCCGGACGTTATTTAATATCAGCACGAGACAGTCGTTTACTTCATCAATGTTAAAGTATTCAAATACCGCCATAGCCTGTCAGTTGATTGTTTGATTAGAATTAGGAAGTAATTGAACACCGGGGAGCAATCATACTGCGCGTATCTGAGCAAGGGCGTTTTGTGCACTCTGGTCCTGTACATAGCCATTCATTGTGGCGTCTGGAAGCAATCTATTTTCGCGCCATCTCCAAATCTGTTTATGTGAGAACTCTGTAAAATCTATTTAATCTGGTGAGTTGAATCTATGGTAGAATTTAGCAATCTGATTGGCCTAGCCAGACTTTGGTTAGATATCCATATCCGAGAATCGCCGGATTCGATAGTGGTAAGATATGGCTGACAATATCCATGACCCTATTTTAGGAACATAATCGTGGCGACGATAGTCGTGGTGCCACCAGATTGTGCATGGATGAATCTGCATGCTTCTTCAACATGCATCAATATGGCTGCCTGATCACTGTCTGTACATACCAAGGAGATACATCGTGGACAGACATTTTAATTCTGGTTGTCAACTAGTTGTCGACAGTCACACCCCGCAGATCATGCAAGATGAAGTAAAGATTATGATATATGTAGTATCATATCACATGCAATTAATATAAGGTCCCCCACCCATCATCCTCATCAGTTGCCAACCACTGAAATGGACGAGAGAATATACGAACTAGACAGACAAGGCGACATCACCTTTCTCGTCTACGATGTCCCCGAGTCCCTCCCACGGACCCTGGACCAACTGCACCCCCTCCTGCTAGACGGTTCAACTCCAAACAGCACCTCTGCAGCAGAAGCAGCAGAAGCAGCAGCAGCAGAGGAAGAAGGACCCACCCAAATCCAAAAATCCCAAGCAATTCTCAAAATCCGCGCCTCCTCCAAACACCTCACGCTGGCCTGCCCCCAATTCATCCGCACCCTACACAGCGGCTTCCAGGAATCCCACTCCCTCGAGGAAACGGGCCACCTGACCCTCGAAATCGACAACTGGGATCCCGCCGCCTTTCTCGTGCTTATGCTGATCCTGCACGGACGCACGCGCCCCGTGCCCAGGAAACTAACCCTCAGCAAACTCGTCGACTTCGCCGTGCTGGTAGACTACTACGAGTGCTACGAGGCGGTCGAGGTCTTCACCGATATGTGGACGACGGCGCTGAAGAAGACGGTGACGGCTACATCTCTGACGTCGCTGGCGCGGGCGGAGGAGTGGCTGTTTGTCTCCTGGGTGTTTCAGCATCGGCAGACGTTTGCGCAGGCGAGCGGGTATCTGCTAGGGAATCTCACGGGCAGGTTTTGCTCGGAATTACCGATTCCAAGGCGGGTTTGCGGTATGTTTTTTTTTTTTTGATCTTTGTTCGAGGGCTCGTGGGGCAGTGCTGATGCAGGTAGATGCGATTGATCGGGCGCGGGAGGATGCTATAACCAGGGTTCTTGACAGACTGCATGACCGGTTCGCTGTGTTGCGCTCGGATAAGGTGCAGTGCTCGTATGAGTGTGACTGTATGCTTCTAGCAGCCCTCACGAGGCACATGCATCGACTTGGGATATTGGAGAGGCCGGCGCCGCCGTTTGAGGGGATTGGGGCCGGGCAGCTGGCGAAGGAGGCGCCGGGGTCCTGCTGCCGCGGTGGTACGAGCGTGGCGGCGAGATCCAGCATTCGTGTCTGCTGTCGCTGGATTTTAATTCCTCGCTGAGAGGTACGGGGGATGTGGTGAAGGTTGTGGACTTGGAGGAGTTGACTGAGCTGAGGAGGAAGTGACTGACAAGCCGACTGTGTAGTCATGCAAACGTTATATTCTATCTTTATGTCTATATGCATTACAATGTAATCTGAAACCGCGGATGCGTGCGTATCCTTGCCCCAAACTTCCAAAACAGCATCGGGCACAGGCACATCGCCAGCGCAATAAACGCCAGTACCGAATTCCCCCACCCCAGCCCCAGCGACTCATACATCGAGGGCCCGCCAGCGGGAGCACCGCACCGATCAACGACCGCAGGACCGTATTCGCGGCCGTCACCGAGGCCGCATGCGCGAGATAGGAATCGACCAGGTAGGTATTCGCCGGCATGAAGACCGTCATGAGCCCGATGGCAAAGACGGCCGTCCCGAGGATTGGCACAATCCAGTGCGTTCCTGCCTCGGCGGACCAGCCGTACCAGAATAGCCCTGCAGGCACGAACCAGCATCCGACTAGCATGGGCGGGAGCCGAGACTCCGGGGTGAAGCAGCCGCGGGCGGAGTGGGCGGCGGCGATACGGTTGGACACGACGCCGTAGACGATGAGGCCGATGACGCAGCCGGTGCCGAGGCCCAGGTAGGCGAGGCCGGCCAGGCCGGGGGAGAAGCCGTACTTGGTTTTGAAGATGGAGGGGATGGTGGTGAACATGAGGTAGAGGTAGCCGTAGGTGATGGAGCTGAAGAGGGACATGAGGAAGACAATGGGCGAGCGAATGAGCAGCTTTGTGGGGCGGGCGAGGGTGAACAGGAAGGTCCCTTTCGTGGGACGCGTGTTGTCATGGATCGAGTAGAGCGCTGGGTTGTTGGTTTCCTTGCGCAGGAGGGCGGCTTTGCGCCGTAGGAGGACGGGGGCGTAGGATTCGCGGTAGAGCAACATGCAGCTGACGGTCACTATCCCGGTCTAGAAAGACATTCGTTAGCCATCGAGACTCGACGAGAGTCAGGGAACAAACATACCGCGATAGCAATCACCCAAAACACCCAGCGCCATCCCTCTGCTTCGGCCAAAAACCCTCCCGCCACGGGCCCAATGACCGGTCCTAGGATAGCCCCCATAGCCCAGACAGCTATAATGCCGGCCCGTTTCTCCTTGGGAACCATGTCCGCCACTGTCCCCGAGCCGATGGTTAATGGACACACACCGGCGACACCCGCCAGCAGCCGGAAGACGATCAACTGCGGCAGGCTCTGCGCCACAGCACATGCGATGGTGAATATAAGGAAGAGGATGTTGCAGGTGTGGTACAGAGGAACACGGCCGTACATTTCTGACAGAGGAGCGATCACGAAAGGGCCGACCATGTATCCAAGAATGAAAACAGAGACGACAAAGGAGGCGAGCATGTCGTTGGTAGAGTGGAATTCGCGCATCACCTCTCCGACTCCAGGAGCAAACATAGACGAGGCCAGGGGACTGCATCATCTTAACTGTGCGTCGGATGGATTTGACTAGGGCTAAGGACTCACGTTATGAACGTATTGACTGCCATCAACAGCACTTGGCGCGCTTTCCTCTTGACCGGCCAGTTGAAGGGATTGTTGATATCGTCGGGGCCATCCCAACCGACCAGATTCGGGTCTTTGCTGGGGACATTACGTTGATCTTGCGAGGGAGTGCTCTCTACCTGCTCTGGAGATACTGAGGTGTCTCTATCCCGGCCTTTTTCCAGGTCGATGGATTCGCTGGGAGTGAAATCCTGCATGGCGATGTTTGGATGTTACTTCTTTCGGTCTCCAGCTGCAAGACATTGTGCCAGCAACGTTCCAACAGAGACAACTCTACATAAATACTGCAAGAGCACCTCTCTAGAGAGGTAAACTGTGAAGGACAATCAATACCCAACTCGATCCCTCACATTCTTCCGCATTGTGCTAGCGTGATTGCTTTTTCCTCCTTGCATAGTACAGTTATCGAATATTCACGATTCATCATTCTTGATTTTCAAGCATATGCATAACCGCGTGAGTTTTCCGGCCAAAAAGCCTATCATCTGTCGCGTTATGGCTCAGTCGTGGAAGTCGGCCACTACGAAGCCTGTGAAGCCTCTGGCGGGCGGGAATGGACGTTTATCTTGTCTTTTATGCCTTGACTTCATATCTGGCCGGTGCTGGAAAGTCTAGACAAGGGCCAGCTTACTCTAACTTCGTTTATACCGAGATTTCGTCTTTCCGGCTCCTCTTTCAGCTCCTCTACTATCGATCTAGAAATGCATACTACTCGGCCTACTCGACGCGTGTGATATGAATCCCTGAACCCCCTTACTTGACCAGGTCACCGACTCATCACAATTTTGATAAGTAATGAAATGACCTATCACCTACCCCATCCGTCAAGCCAAATATCGGACAGCCCCCACGAATCTCTTTCTGACGCAAGCGCTGATGGACGAGCTTGAAAGAGCCCGTCCAGCTCCCAGAATCTGGAATGACTCGAGGATATTGTATTGCCAAAGATCTCGCGCAGGCTTGGCAGGGACTGACGCTATCCGATGTCGATGCCGTAGAGGGCGTATGAGTGCTGCGAGTCTCAACAACTAGGTCGAAAGCTAGGTCCTGCATGGCCATATCGCCTTTTATGATGAATTGAAGCACAGGCCTGTTCGTACCACCTGCGCAGCTGCTCTGAGGACTAGCAATGCCTCATCATCCTCCGAGCCTGCTACTCCGACAGGGGAGTCCGACCATGTCGCGCTTACGGCGGCAACAGTGGCATATTGACAGAATGCTCCATCCCATCAGTTATCTACATCTCGTCTCGTTCGCCACGCCTCTTACCTTCTCGACGTGGTGAATTTACCATCTGGTCGACTGGCTCAGATCCCCCATACCCTGCCCGGACCCTACTACGAGACAACATCGCTGCAAACTTGTCAACAGACCACTGCGAATCTGCACTGCAATTCTCATTCCAGACCGTAAAAGCCTCACGCAAGATCATGCACTAGACACACTGAATCGGAGCCAAGATCGTTAGCTGGCAGACCAACATAGACTTGATATTGCGCCCGCTTGCCGACAGCTCCCTGTTTGCTCCCCCCGATTTGGTAGCGGCCGACCCGCTACCATGGATGGATGATCTGTCTTCTCTGCCGGGAGATATGGTCCCCGGACGCGGGCCTCCCGGACGGTATCGAGGATCCTGTCCTGATGCCCCTTGCACGATCAATCCAAGAACGCACTGAACGCTCCTCGATCCCTGTCAACGATGGACGAACCGTTCCGCATTGCCAACGGGATGACCATCTCCTCCGACGACTTGTGGCACGACAGCCTGCCCCAGAGCATGGACGACGACACTCCAAAGCAGCTCATTTTCGGGCAAGATTTCTTCCCCCCTCCGGGCAAGCTCAGCATGAGCGCGGCCAACGGCCTCAGGGCAGGGTAAAATCATGTATTTCTTTTTGTTGCTATGGTGTTACGATTTCTACGGCGTACGGTATGCTAAGGTACCTAATAATTTGATGCTTGACATATCCAGCCAGGTATGTGTATTGGTTAAAATAATTCAATCATTGGTATCACCAGTGGCCATCACTAGATACAAATCATATCAGATACAAAACATGAATTCGTCAATGGTGTCATTCGCGTAACTGGATCAGTCAGATCAATCCATCGTCAACAAACACATCAGTAACAACATACCACTTAAGAGGCAGATTAGATCTGCTGCTTGTGAGCGTCCGCCTTGGCGTCATGCTTGGACTCGTGAGCCTTGTCGCCGAGGGCATCCTTGGCGGCAGAGGCACTATCCCCTGTTAGAAAAGGCTGCAAGAATAGCTGCAAGATCCTGCAGAAAAGAAAGAAGCTTACCGGGTGCCAATGGGAGCATCGGAATCCTTGGCGACCTGCTTGTTGGTCTCCTTGGAGGCGCCGCTCGTGGCCTGCTGCACGCTCTCGGCAATGTAGTTGGCACCCTGCTTGATGGACTCCATTGTATTGGTTGTATTGGTTTGTAGATTGGACTGAATTGAATTGAGTAGTAGAGATCGATTGATTGATTGTTGCTTGTTGATGAAGATGGACATAAGAGGACAAAATATGAGGTTTTATATAGCTGGTACGGCATGATGATGTCATCTATACAGGAACCCAAATGTCGTGATGTCATCGTTAGTGGATGCGCAACATTCAGGAATTAGCCTCGCAAAACAAGATTGGCTGATAAACTTTATTGAGTCATTACGAATTGAGGAAGTATGGTACCTAGATTAGAGGTTAAGTCATACACTGCTGGGTACCAACCACATGCTATAGTAGTAACCATATCGTGCAACAGACCAAGCACAAACTTGGCTCCAGTCTCTTGCTGGTCTCTTCGGCTTGCACTAGCCTTTCCGACCCCGGCAAGCATTACGTTTCCCGGGTAGATCAGATCTTCCCCAGTAGCGCTAGAGTAACCACCGGGTCGTGCACGGGAATCACATGCAGCCCGCCATGAGGGGCAACAAGACTGTCTCCGCTCCTGGTTTTCAGGACGGAGGCTGCGTCGTAGATCACGGTGGATGAGGCTGATGATGCAATCAGTGTTGCTGCTGCTTGCCTGAAGGTGTAGCCATGTCCCGCGACCTGCCCCAGATCGGCGGAAACGCACTTGCCGTGTCCAGCTGGAGTTGCAATTTCAACTGCCGAACCATATCGGCCGATGACTGCATGCTGGTGCTTTGGACCCTGACTGCGGGTGCCGGAGTATTCTCGGTGCCGGCGGGGATCTCCACGAGGCGCAAAGATAGTAATCCTGGATCCGGTAGTCGAAGATGACGTCGGTTGCGTCATGGATCAGCTTGGCGGGAAGGTACCGGAGAAGATGGACGAGTCGGTCCACCGGCCTACGTCCGCACTGGGCTCACGTTGGGCGCACGACCATGTCCAGCAGCAGCGCAAATGCTTCGACCAGTTGCTGAGGCGTGCAGAGCCTCGGACTAGAGACCCCAGGACTCGCGAGGAGTGTCCTTCTCGTGCGCGCCGGCGTCAGGCTGGACGGCGATACTCTGGTCGATGAGGATATGGCTTGTTCATCCGGCACCAAGACCGAATAGGCGAAATGTGGTGTCTGCGGTGGCTTTCATAACAGAAGCTCTGAGCATGTCGTTGAAGACCATCTGAAAGAGGATTCCAAGGACAGCCAGACTCGGACGCATCGTGCCATTCCGGCGTAGTTATACCAACGACTGGAGGACGGAACAGCCAAAATATTGCGAAGACTGGCAAATGTGTACAGTTTGTTCTTTTCGGGCTGCGTGTCTCCGTCGTCTGGGGTCATCACGTCGCCGGAGTTTTGTGGTCGTCAACGACCACCAGCTCCGGCGGCCACAACAAATGTCTGTTAAACAAATTCCGCTGTCCAGACTCTGTTTCAACTCATGGAATGCGTGCACGGAATCATGAGTATGACTGAAGGATGCGTGTGATGGAGCGATGGTGGTGAAGCTATATCTGCAGTTGTCATGAACTCGTTCGGACTTATCAGGATTCCCTCTGAATGAAGGACAACATGAAATCTCCAACAGAGACAACCACGACACCATAGACCTGTCTGTGATCAACTTCCCAGACCTCAGAAAGGATGAACCGGCCACCGCAGCTCTCCCCGACTCTGGCTCCCTTATCCGAAGGAAACTGGGCTAAACCACCTTGTTCGGACACTTGAACCCAGACGTGTTGGTGTGCCTGTATGCCCTGGTGACAGAGACGAACCCGGCCCGCTTCGAGCCCGTTGTGGCGGACGAGCATGTCAAGGCTCGCGTGAAGCAGTTTACATATCACTGACCATTGAAAGAGAAGCGCCCAGCTACTGAGACGCAGCCAGCTTTTACCAGTGTGTCGGCTTGAGACCATGGAACAGTCGAAGCGATTGATGAGAGAGACATGTCGGGATCCGCTATTGGATCAGGTGAATGCATGACAACAAGTTGCAACATCCATTTCATCATTGCTCGTTCTGCTCATCGAGCCAGTCTACATGAGCCGTATGAAACGGGAAACTCAGTGATTACGCCCATGACCCGTTAAGCGTTACATTAATCGTCAGGTTTCATACAATCCAGTGCATCGCCAGTTTAAACCCCGTCTATTCACGCAAATTGCTCCAGCGCACAAAGAACGATAAACGACCGCAGCTCATTGGAGTCGGCAAACCCGGCATTCGTCGCGCAATTCGCCCGAAGATCGTCCTTGGCGAACTTGGAGAAAAGCACTTCGAGCGAGGGTTGGTGCTGATGATTTGGAGAGAGCTGCTCTCCGACGAGGTCACCAGCAGCTCCCAAGGTTGATAAAGCGTCGCTGATGCCCGGAGACCCAGGGGACGCGGGTGTGGCCTTGCGCCACTCGTCTTCGGTGCGGGCGCTCCACAGCGCTTGATCGCAGGGTAGAGGCATCTTCATGATGAGCTCATCGTTGAGGGGCTCGTAGTAGGGCGATTGGCGCCCGGAGTCGAGATCGCGGTTGCTTAAGAAGTTGACAATGTTGGCGAGGAAGATGGTGCGGCGGGCGGTTTCGGCCACGGCCCATTTGACCCAGGAGTTGGAGTTGGAGTTGGCGTCGGCTGCGGGCAGGAGGGCCGTATCTTGCGACACGAGGTAGGACCGCGAGAAGCACTGGGTCATCTTTGAGAGGAAGGGCGATTTCAGCCCTTTGGTGCGGCGCTTTTGTTTCCAACTCTCGGATTCGTCGACGGGCGTGATGCCCATCTCGAGGATCTCGTAGAGGAGCATTGCGTGCAGAGCGTCCCACTGTTTCATGCATTGGTAGGTGGGCTGGGCCTGTCAGTACGGGACCCTAACACCTGGAGGAAAGTGCTTACATATGACTCAATCAGGCTTTGTCGTTGCGCGTCCATGGCTCGCTTGACGTACCCCGCGGCGTCTTTGGCGCCCAAGGCACTTCCGCAGCAAATGGCCATGGATGTGTGCGGCAGAATCGTCATGTCCGCGACTTGCTCGTTGAACAGAGTGCGGTGCACGAACGGACAGTAAAAATCGTCCTGAAGCAAGAGTCTCGGATACTGCGCAAGCAGACGGACATAGTTGGACGGCAGCATCCCCGGCACGTCGGGAACGCCGCCCAGACCGGTCAGGGTGGACGTATCGGAGATCCCCGGATCTGGCAGCACCATGGAACTCTCCACCGGCGTACTGTACGGCTGCGATGGAGCCGATGCCAGTGGTAATGTGAAGCTTGGATGGCTGGTCGGGACTGCCGATGTCAGGTCCAAGGTGACTTCGTCGACTAAGCCTGCTGACGAGGGCAACGGCGGGATATCGAGTGTATCCAGGGTCCACATGAAGTTCTGGGAGCTCCACGAGTCGAAGCTGTCGTCGGCGCCGGGACCACCCAGCATGCTCCGAGGGCTCCATAGCGACGGGAAGTCGGTCGTGTTCACGCGGGTTTCATCAGGTCGGGGATGATCTCTGGTCGACGGGGACGAGGAAGAGTCGGAAGAGTCAGAGGGAATGGCGGCTGCTGTGTTGGCCGTAGACACGTATTCGCATGAGATGCCCCGTTTGGCACATCGCGAGCAAGTCGGTTGCGTGCAGCAGCATTTGGTCTTGGCTAGCACACAGGCATTGCACGCTTTGCGGCGTATCTTGGGTTTGCTTGACCGGAGACACCGGCGTCGATGGCGCAAGAGAAGGTCACCTGGGATCCATCGGTCTAGACATCAGCTCAGATGCAAGAAGATGGAGAGACAACAAACGGCGGAGACAAACGTCGTTGGTAGGTTTTGAAGCAGGAGTCGCACTGGTGAGCGTCGTTGGATGACTCGGATGCCGGCATGGTCGGAGGGCGGCATCAGGGAGACAGGAGACAGGAAATAACAAATAAGCCGGGGACTGCCAGGATTTAAGTGAATAGGCTCGTGTCGGAGAGTAAGCCAGAGAACACGACATATCCTGTTCTTTCGATCTTCTCGATCCTTCTATGTCTGTAGCCTTCGTCAAAAGAAAGACAAGGCATTGCTAAGAAGGACAGACAATTGAAATGGTGAGATTTACGAAGGATCCGAAGTCCATCCCCTGTGTGGTAAGCGCGGGGTCTAGCATTGATTAATTAAGTGCAATTCAATGTAACCTTTGGCTATCTTCCTGGCTTAGATCAGTGGAGCTATTATTACGTGCCAGTCAAAAGTCCCGTCTGTCCCGTCTGTACTATTCTTTGCCTGTCTTAGTGCTTATCTATTATCGCCCGGCTGTCCTTTCATGCGTTTGGCACAGAAGAAAGCGGATAGAGTAGAACCCACTGGATCAACATCGCTCAGCTTTCAATTCAAAGATCACCCTGGGAGCATTCGGTAGATTTAAGAACTAGAGCCTAGATTTGCGGGCCGCGAATCATGATCCACTACTGTAGTTTTGGGTGACAGTGATTCACTAGAAGCAGTATAGCATTTCTGTTAAGGGAAAAGTACGTGGTTAAGGCTTGGCATTATAGTGCATGGTTCATATAGCTTCCTCCATGCTCCCTCTAGATCACTGAGTGACCGGAGAAATCCTTAATCTGGATGAACTTTCGCAGAAAATCTGTTCAGTTATACACTTCTAGCCTGTGACAAATAAGGATGCTGCCAGCAGCAATCCTATATATACTTCTAGCCTCCATGATGCTATATGCATCCAGAGGTCTGTCAGGAAGATAAGGAATCTGTACTAGAGCAATGAAGCTCGATCCTGGGATATACAATCAGCGCGGCAGCTCTTGGAGGATGAATGGCTTTATCACCTCCCACATTGCTACAATATGCTCTATAGGACTGTTGACCTTCAAAATACCTGACTGATTTCTCTGGTCCGTCATCGCACGCCCTAAAAGCCACAAGGCCTTGACTTAACGAGGGGGAAACCACCAGGCGCTGTGGCGAGAGGATCCGTCGTCGACAACTGCTTGATTCCGTGGCGGAGCACCAATTGATTTTGATTGCGAAGGCAGTGCGCCCTATTCAGTATTACGGTCATAATAGTAGTCTTGGTTTCCGACCTATTAGGTACACTGTGGCGTGTCTATTATGCAGATGATTGAATCCTATTTGCTGGGCCCTGCAGCCTACCTCCTTAGCGTAGGGGACATAAGCGCCGGGCCAGAGCGCCAGACTCTCATGATCGTCCGATCCATGCTCGTGACAACTAGTCTACGAGAAGCATGGGCCAGATAAGATTTATGATAATGGTGGCAATGGATCTTCAGTGCAAAGTGTTGATAGTACATTCAGTGCAACTGATGTGCGAGCCAGGAATACTAGAGAAGATAACCAACGACCGCACCTGAAGTTTGGAAGTTATGAATTAATGGTTTTGCGGCGCAGCCAACACACATACATCTCAGTGTGTGCATGACGCCTACTCCATCAAGGCGCATGGTTAGGTAGCCTTAAAAAGAAAGGACCAGAAGTAATGGTGGGTTTCAGCTAACAAAATTAGCGTTTATGAACCACTGTGAACAGACTAGTAATGCTGATGTTAACTTGTCAGAGAGCCATGGCGGTTCCTTAATACCAGCCTCCTGGCCTCTTTGAAATAAAATTTTCGGCATCTCATCCTGCTATGCCTCTCAACACGCTCTATTCTATGTATATTTGAACCTACAGCAATTTTTGACACTTTATTCAATGCCTTTGCGTGCTCTCTGGTCCATATTGCTGCTTGTGGGGGTCTGTCGAAGCCAGAGCTGTTATTTTCCAGATGGAAGCTTCGCCGATGGGTATACTCCATGTTTCTCAGGAAGCAGCGGGTCACCATGTTGTAAGCCCGACTCTGTCTGTCTGACGAATGGCTATTGTATGGGGGTGGCCTTTCCGCCATACACGCTTTATCGGGGGCCTGCACCGACATTAAATGGTCTCCCTCAACGGCATGTAGAGATGTCTGTTCAGGAGGTGCGTACAAGAGACGGCAGAGTCATCGCTCTACCAGCATCATTATATCTAACATCCCGTTGTAGTAGCTAATACTCGAATGAATGCATGCTCTATCGTTCTTTACAGCAATGTCGAGGGCAACGCCTGGTATTGCGCGAACTCCATCGTCGCCAATTCATCCACCAGCGTAGGCTGCGCCAACAATCTCGACCCCTTTCAGATTCCGCTTGGCAAAATAGTTCTCAACAAAGCTGCCCTTGCTAACACTTCCTGCTCTGCTGAACCCACTGCGACAGTAACCATCGGGGCTGCGTCCGGTTCCAGCTGTCCGACAAACAGTGCCACAAGCATATCCATCCGTGAGACAGGAGGCTCTAGGACTGTCGCCGTTGGTGTAGGCGTTGGTGTTTCGCTTGGAGTTTTGTCTCTGGTTTCACTGATGTGGGCCGTCTACGAGCGGAGAAAGCGACAACAGCTGGTGAATTCGACCCCTCCGACGGTGCCGATGAGCTCAGACCCATACACACAAATAATGGTTGCCAAAGGAACTCGAGTTAACAACGAACCTCACGAGTTGTATAACGAACCTCATGAAATGGAGCCATAGGTTCAGCATTCTCCATGAGCGTGGCAGTAAAACCTGAGTCTATGTCCTCCGGGTGAACTGCAACGATATCAGGATGAAGCGTCATTCTTGCTTTATGGCTCCAGGTACAAAACCAAAAGCGCATGAATATATTAGCCTATATTCAAGACCCTCCAGAATAGGTTCAGAATAGGTTCTTACAGGGTAAATCCAGGAGTTGTGAGGCGAGCGAAGGGCAGCATCCTCTTATGGAGATAATAGGCAGTGGCAAGAATAAGTGACTAGCAGACGAATACTCAATCCCACCAACTATTTCCAGCTAGCAGTCAATACTTGTCGCGGTCTTCGCTTTGCTTGAATTTCCAGCAGCAATCCTGCACTTGAAGATTATTTCTTTCGCCTCCTCCCTTGCATGAACGATAGAGCCTTTATAATTTAATACTGTTCTTCGAGCCCGTTAATCAATTCATAAAATGTAGTATTAAGGCATGACCTCATGATTTGACCTTGACAAAGCCACAGCACATATGACGACCATAGAGTATGGAAGACAGGGCTTCACGTCGGCTCAGCCATACTTAAACCACATCAGCCAGCTAGTAGCTGGGAGCGTGACCACAAGCAAATCCTGGCTGTTGTATGTTTTTATCTTCAAGTCTTTTCTCCTTTTCCCCTAAAATTATATTGTCTGTGACTACAAATCTCAGAACACAGATCTGGACCTCTAATTTCTCTACTTTGTAGAGTACAACTCCTCTAGCAAGAAACACTATATACTCACTCTAATCGTCCTGACTCTTTGCACAGAAATATTAGGTTTAAAGAATAACTTCATCAGACCACTTAATGAGCACTCATGAAAAAGTATTAGCAGCACTAGTAAGATTATCTAAATACGAGCCACCTCAGCATCCGTCTAAGCGCACCCCTGATAGAAGCTAAACCTATCTATGCTACATAAAACTCTATCTCACCTCACCTTAGGGTTATGAAGACCACCCTTCACAGTCAGGCTAGTTTAACCACTAGCCCTTCACATCTCACCTCTAACCCACCCTTCTACTACTATCTGGGTCATGATGACTCCTGGCATTCACATCATAGTATTCTATATGTAACTATGCATTACTTGTCCTCCTCCAGGCCAAAGGAGCATGGCCATAAGGTTAGTAGGTTCTAGAGAACTAACCATAATAGAGATAAATTAAACCTAGCCCCCTATTATCTTTTGGTATTATAGATTAGAAAACCCTAAAGGGCTCTGATGGTGCATTTAGCTATAGAGCTTAATGTTATTAAAGTATAGAATATACAGCCACCTTTTTAACCTTATTAAATACAAGGGGTGCGCAGTATCTACTAGTCAGACAAGATGCAAATGCATACTAATGTAAGCCACCTAGTCAACTACAGGGATTGCATATGCTTGCTAGATCCAGCATAAGCTGCTTTGCGCGTTATCCACTCATCCGAGGAACCGTAGAATCGATCTACGAGCTGGTAGAAGTCTCCTTTACTGCTTGAAGAACCCGGGGCGTCTACCACGGCGTTCCAATACCCGGCACATTCGAGAAATCCATTCGTACACTGAACTTCCCGGCATCCCGGCGGACCAGGGCCGTGTTGTAGTCGAACGTGAAGTCAAACACGGGGGAGGTGGTCGCCCCCGCTTGGCCAGGTGGCCGGGGACCGTTTGGTTCTGCGAGAGGGTGAGGGAGACGGCGCGCGCCCACGATGGGCCGCCGCACTCTTCGGGCATCTGAACGACTGTGCCCTCGACGCCGCCCTCCTGCACCCGGAAGCAGTCGGGCACGTTATCCGAGTAGCAGACCACCCGGGCTGTCCGGTGCTCCTGGTCGGGCCGGGAGAGGACATCGGCCGGGCAGTCGACGAACTCGAGCCCCGGGTTGTCACGCTTGCTCATGGAGGTGACAGCAGTGTAGCTGCCGGCAACGAGGAAGAAGGCGACGCCACTGTTGTTGGGGTTTTCGTCCTTGGTTGGGGCCGTGTACCTTCCGCCAAAGCTCACCAGCTCAAACGTGGGCAGCGCATCTGGGGAGGGCCGATGCGCGGGAGGGAAGAGATTCTCCAGGTCCACCGGCAGGAACGGGGAGTTGAGGCCAACCGGTGGATTACAGCAAAAGGCCTTCTGGCGGCCATTGTGGCACGGGTTGTTGGAGGAAGTTTCACCGCGAGGGTCCAGATCCAGCGTGATCTGGTTGACACCGCAGGTGCTGGAGCAGACCTTGGCCGACTCCCACCCACAGTTCCGGAACGAGTCCTTGCTAGGACGGCATAACCGGCGCTTTTTGGCATTCTGAGGGTCCACGAGCGCGTTCGTGGCATCAGTGCAGCGGCTATTCTCCTTGGGGCCGGCGCTATCGGTGGTGAGCTCATAGGGCCGGTTCGACGGACAGTCGCCGCCACACTTAGTCCAGGTACAGATGTTGAGATATTGTTCCATATTGCCGGCTTTGCAGCAGAAGCTCTTGGCGCCACGGGAGCATCGATCTCCGTATTCGCCACCATGGATGCTATCTTTCCAGCCAAAGCTGTCGTTGACGATGAGAATCTCCCCGACATCACACTTAGGGGTTGATCTCCACACGTCTCGGGATTTTGAGAGCTACCTCCATGACCTTCGAGCTGATGGTTAATCTGTGCCGTGCTGGATTTCCGGTCCTACCTGGCATACTTTCTTCTTTTGAATCAATCGTATATCTTAACGTCGAAGACACGGCCTTTCCTTAACGCGTCGTGCCCACGGACGCTTGTTATTTGCCAGCTGGCTGAGGTAAATTGGGTGACCGCCCTTCCATTCGCAGAACCCACGCTGCATCAAGGCACTCATATCGGGAAAAAATTGCTCCATGTGGTAGTACCTTTCTGTTCTAAGGCTCGTGGGATTCAGGTTAGCGTTCGTAGCATACTATAACTCACCATAGTATTCATCGGAAAGGTCTTTGCTGAAGCGAGATCCAGGCCTGATATCGGGTTTGCCGGTTATTTTGGTAGATATGCAGCCCCCGAAGCGCCAGTGGCTTCTGCTGCTAGGGTTCTCTTGCAATAGAATCACCCTTTTCTCCTTCATGGGCTCCTCTTCAATACGCTCTCTTTCAAATGCGACTTGCTTGTTGGAGGCTCGTGGTACCTCTCGCACTCACTATCCACTTCATTGGAGGGATAATCGAGGTTGCGTTTCCTCCGGTGATAGGGTAGCCAGCCTCTTATGAGAAGTCATGCTTTTGCGACGTACTGTGTCCAATGTGTAAATATGGCTAGATACGGAGAGTAGATGAGATGGTGTATGAAGGATGCGGGATAGTTGCAGTGGCAGGGGACCAGGACGACCTAATCTACCTGAATCACGCGCGCAAGCTCAGCCTCAGTGGGAACGTGCTGTTCGAGCACGCCGACCTCCAGCAGGCGCAGGTGGAATTGCGTTCTATCTCTTCGTTACGGGCCAGGTGGACCGCGCCTTCAAATATTCCAGGTTGGCGCTCCGCTCTACGCTCGCCCTCGGTTGTTAACCTGCGACTCATCTACTACCGCGTGCACCACGCCTCCAAAGAGGCGCGCAGCCGGCTGTGGTGGTCAATCTACCTATTCCCAAGCTGATTTTCGTCAAACGGCATGGGTGTAGCGTTCAGCTGAGCTCCTCGTCCACGCAGGATAAGGACACGGCTGGCTTTTCAGGATGCTCAGACGCGAGGAGTCGCACCGATCATTGGCAGAGGTCCTCTATGTGCTGGACATGACTGGGTGGGATCTACAAAATGCGGGGAACGATGCGAGAGACACCATGGAGGTGATGGTCCGGTTTTTACTGGCTCATCGGCAGATGGGGACGTGCCTAATTGAGCGGAGATTACAGAGCCCTAGGGTTTCTCGGAGCTGTATTGAGATAGTTCACATATTGCATGGCATGATTTTGCAGAAGTTGAAAGCTTGTCGAAACTTTCAATAAATTCTTCGAGCAGTGTTGTAGACTATGAATTAGTAGTGAACACCCGACAGATTTAGTCCCAACTCGGGGATCACTACAATCCGAGAAACATCTCGACGTAACAACCAACCCCAATGGGCGGAAGCCAATCTGTTCCTCCATCAGCCATGTCAGTCTGCCCACGAAGTGGACATAAAAGCCGCGACTCGCCGTGCTATCTATTCATCCTGTTCGTCAACCATATCGTGGTCTACCTCCGACTCAAACGCACTCTCAGCGGTGGCTTTTCCCACATGATGTACACGCGTTGCTTGGAGATGTCGAATGCATCATCAGCTAGCTTCACGTCGAAGCGGAATAACAGCCGAGCCAGGACGAGCTTTGTCTCTGCATAGGCGAGGTTCATCCCAATACAATTGCGTGGCCCGACCGAGAACGGTTGACAAACCTCCAAATGATCCTGACGCGTCCATTCGGGTCGCTCGTCGGTCGTTAACCATCGCTCCGGGGCGAAAACGCGGGACTGAGCGAAATTGGCGTCGTTATCGTACGCGGCCAGGGCATAGACGGTCATGATTGTCCCACCGGGAATGAAGTGACCACAAACGACAGCACCTTCGGGGGCACCTCACGACGCAGGTCTGACGGCAGCGGCGGGTACATGCGCAAGCCCTCGTTGATGACGGCGCGGAGATAAGGCAGCCCGGCGAGGCGATCCATGGTGATGTCCGATTCCCGTGGACAGGCGGTGTCGAGTTCCATGCGCAACCGAGCCAGTGTAGCAGGGTTCTTGAGCAGAAGGTAAAGGGTGCCGCAAAGCGCTGAGGCAATCGTATCGCTGCCGGCGGGGATGATGAGCGCTGCGTTGACCTCCATCTCCCGGATGGACATGGACAAAGACGCTTCGTGCTCCGAGTTATACTTGCTGATATATGTCCAGAAGTCATGTCGAGCGCCGTCGGGGGGCAGCTTTAATCGTTCTTGCACCTTGGCGTAGCTGCGCCGTAGGTGCTCTTGTCCCTTGAGAAGATGGCGAATCGGACCCACAACAAGGGCAACGGGGAAGAAAATGCCGAGCATCTTCGCCGTGAGGAAATAGTGAGTCGATTTGAAGAAATTGATCAGCAAGGTCACCCAAGGATGGTAGTCCTCATTCAGGAGACAATCGAACGAGCTGCTAAAGGCTAGGGTCCCGATAATATCGAACGCGAGGAATTCAAACCACTGGCCGACGTTGACCAGACTCTCCTTGCTTTCACACCGCCGATCCATCCGGGTGAGAAACAGATCGATATGCTCCTGGAAATAATGCTCCTGCTCACGCAAGGCCCGGTCAGAAAAGGCTCGGCTCAGAGCAGCCCTCTGACGGGCATGATCTGGACCGTTCGCCGTGAGGAGGTCGGGTACACCCGGACGGAGCTGGCGGTATCCCGATTTCTTGAACTTCTTCACACCGGGGTATCCGTAGATCTCCTTCCAGGCTGTTGGAGCCGTGAAGGAGACCAACTCCGGGTTGACCCGCACCACTGGTCCATATTGAGCGTGCAGATCCCGAACAGCATGAGATTCCAGACCTCGAAAGCTAGCAAGAATGCAGGGAAGGTATGAGAACTTGCGGAGAAGAGGACCGGGGATCTTAGCCTTTGGACTGAGAGTGACCATGTACAAGGCGTAGCAGACATAGTAGATCACGTACTAACATCCGTATAAGCATCAATTCTGAACTTGACTGGACAAGTGAATCACCTACCGTAATTGTGCCGGCCTGGGCGATTTTGGCCCAATTCTGATCCTTGAGCATCCAGGAAGCCCCAACTCGTTGGTCCATGGCGACAAGCTCTCGAAGCAATGAGGCAGAAATTTGACTATTCGCACGGCAGACAAGCTGGGGATCTCAAATTGTCTGGACGCATTCATGCAACCCTCCGAAAACCCCCGAACCCGGCCAAGCACCTTCTACTCAAAATCAGCGAACGCCGGTACCAATTTGAATTTCGTTACCAAACTCCCTTCCGCATTTCCGAACACTTACCCTCTATCAATAGGCATCTCTTATCAATCGTCCATCATGGGCAAAGGAACAATTGACGTCCACCACCATCTCATTCCCCCACGCTTTAGAGAATGTAAGGAGCCAAGACCGGCCCGAACACGCTGGTTTGAGTCTTGAAAGGGACTGATTAATATTTCCTTAGTATGGTTCGCCAATATCGAAAAAGCCCGTGGCCTGCAACTCCCAACCTGGTCGGCAGAGGGCACACTCGAAGCCCTCGATGAGTGCGGCATCAGCACCGCCGTCATTTCTATGGGCCACCCTGTCCATCCATATGTGGACGATATTCAGCAAGTGGCGCCTATCTGTCGTGAAATCAATGAGTATACAGCAAACGTCCGGGACGCCCACCCGGACCGAATCGGGTTCTTTGCGACGCTTCCACCGATGGATCAGACCGATGCATGCATTGAGGAGATGAGGTACAGTCTGGACCAACTTCAGGCCGACGGACTCGTTATCTTCAGCAGCTATGCCGGCCGCTACCTGGGTCACCCGACCTTTCGTCCCGTCTGGGAAGAATTCAACCAGCGCGGGGCCGCCGTGCTCATTCACCCTGGCTTCGAGGGCATGGCGCCGATCGAAGAGCCACGGATCTTAGCACCACCCATCATTGACTGGACGCATGAGACGACACGGACAGCGGTGCACCTGATCACCAACAATATCATTCGTGATTTTCCCAACGTGAAGATCATTTTGTCGCACGCCGGTGGCACACTCCCGTACGTGGTGCAACGCGCGGCCAATCTGTGCTGCCGACTGCGGGTCGTGGACAAGACCGAGGAGGAATTTATCGAGGAGGCACGCGTCTTCTACATCGACGTCGCGTTTAGTGGCCACGAGCCGCAACTCCGTCTACTCAAGGAGTTCGCCAAACCAGGTCACGTCCTCTTTGGCAGCGACTACCCGTGGGAGAAGGCAGATGTGATGAGCGAGCAGTTAAAGGCAACCGATAATATCTTTGCAGAGGAGACGCGAGAGGCTGCTCTCAAGTTGTTCCCGCGACTGGCCAAGTATGAAAATTAGATGGATTAATCTCCGGGCATAATGTTTATAGTTGAACGGTTGAGCTGGTGACAAGAATATACCATGGGATTCGCACTTGCAATGATAGACTCCAGGAAGACCTAGGCAAGAATAATCGCTCTTACGCCATGTCCATCTCCATTGTTTCCCTGACAGTTTGTTCCAACCCTTTGTAACCGGGCAGGTTCCACCACTTCCGCAGCAGCGCTGCTCCCAGTTCATTGTCCACTGTACTTATATCCAAGGGTTCATTGGGATCTGGCTTGGGCAGTACCAAGTCAGGTCGGATCCGTTGGATGGCTTCAATGACCAGTCGCCAGTTGAATGGCGAATCGCATGCAAAGATCCTCTCGTTCTGAACGGTCGAGTCAATCGCGGTGGCGAGATGAATACGGGCATCATCAACCGTGTCCACCATGTACACTATGCCTCCCGTTAGTGTCCTAACGCTTCTGAAAGCCCCAAGCAAGTACTACTTACCAGAAGGAATCTTTGGAATGTTTCCATTTAGGACACTTCGAATCTGCATGCCACTAACCCCTGTCGACCCGATGACCTTGCCCCAATTCATGGCCGGGTTGACCACATTCACTGAGAATGACGGCTTGTGTGTCTCAACGAACCTCCAGAGAGCCTTTTCAGCCTCGATCTTTGAGGCCACATAAACCTGGTACCCCCACTCAAAGCCCATTCGCCGCCTCTCCTCGACCGGTGTCATGCGTACCCTCTCTACAGCCACCTCGTTCCATGTGTCACGGCCGATATGGAAACGCACTCCAGGCCGGGGACCAGATGCTGCCCCACTTGTCGAGGTAAACACAAAGCTTCGGACCGACGAAGTGGCCTGTGACACAGCTAGGAGATTCTCTATCGTACGCACCGTAGGCGGAATGACCTCTTCGACCGCGCCGGAGAAATTGGTCACGGCTGCTGTGTGAATAACAGCTGCCACATCCGACATGGGGTCGTCGAAGGCCCCATCGTTGGACATTTCTTCAACCACGCAGTATTCAAAATTCGCCGATTGCAGGATTTCTGCAACTTTCTTGCCTTTCTCACTGGATCGCACGGTACCGCGAACGCGGAACCCGGCCTTGAGGGCCTCGTCGGCAATGTGGATCGCAATCATGCCCGAAACCCCCGTTACTAGTATCAGGGAGCCAATGGGTATGGCGAGGTCAGGATGGGCTTGAAAGGACATAGCTGATGCAAGGGAGTTTGTTTCCCAATCTAGCGTTAGGAGGGGAGAGAGGGAAGCAGATGAAAGAAAACCAAACAATTGAGTACTACACGGGACTGAAAGCACCACCTAAAGCCCTTAAGTCAATTTCGACTGTCGTGGGCTCGTCAAAACTGCGTCGCTAGCTCAGTTCAGGGACTGGTGGCTGCGCATAATCGTGTCGGCGGAAGCCCAAAACTCCCCGAAGTCCAGTCGACTGCTTAGAAATCCTGGGACATACTAGGGTAGACAATGTGTGCAAAGATTTCGCGTTATATAAATCACAAACTTGTCTGTATAAAATACTGCCTACGTTCGACTTGACCGGCAATGAAATTGACCATCTGCAAATCCAAACTCCTCCTTCTCTCAACATGTCGGCGGTGGGTAAATGCAGTGTACGAAAGAGAAAAAAGAAGCATATGCTAATAAGAAAACAGAGTCACACGTCCGGTTCAGCATTCAACCATGTCGGAATCTCCGTCCCAGACTGCGATGCCGCAGTAGAGTGGTATAAAAAAACGTTCGGATATGAACTGCTCCGGCCAGTTTTGCATGTCAAACGGAACGAGATGCCTGAAGCCTTCATATTCAAGATCTTCGATACCGCATTGAAGGAATTCAAAATTGCCTGGCTGGTCTCTGAGAGTTGTGCGGTGGGCCTGGAGCTCTTTCAGTTCATTGAGCCCAAACACCGCCGTCCTGAGGGGAGCGAATTCGACTACTGTCGGAACGGATTCTTTCATGTGTCCATCACAGTCCAAGACCCGATGGCCGTCTGCGAGACGGTAGTCGCAGGTGGTGGTAGTATGCTTGGTGAACCGGTCTCCATGCCCCGGGGGAATGTAGTAGTGTATGTTCGGGATCCCTGGGGAAATACGATTGAGCTCCTGGATGGAACATTTCGGCAGATCGTTTCAGGGGAGCAGAGCCAGTGACCCTTTCTCTTTTTAAATAGCGGAAGAAGTTATCATACTTTTTTTTTGGGATTATTGAGAGAATGATAAGATACATGCCATGCCATCTTACACATTCGATTCCGAAAAACCCCCACAGCGCCCCAAAGCCGAGTACGTCCGTTCCAACAAAATCGCCGACTGCACACTCATTCTCTTCTTCTCTTCGAGAGGCCACAGATTGCATTGCGCTGAACCTATGACAAGATTATGAACATTACGGACAATGCGATTAATAGACAACAGGCAGCCTCGAAAAATCTCCTGTAGCACAAGCTTCCTCTCTTCAGCGTCCAAGATGAAGCGGTCCACCGTGACGATATGCTGGAAGCCGGTGATGGTTGGCAAGTCGAGCTTCTTCTCGATACCGCAATCGGGACTAAGAGGCACCCGAGGTTTGACTGTCGCACTTGGACTGGGAGCTGTGCCGAGAACTGTCTTCTTCCAGGCGGAGTCCTGGATGCTACATAAGGCATCGGTGGTGTCGAGGAGCACCTGCACATATTCCGAAAGTTGGAGGCAGCCACAGTTATCGCGGGAGGAGCGCTGGACGGAGCTCGTGAGCTCCTCAATCAGGTCCACGATGAGGGTGATGTCCACCGAAGGCGATCGAAGATATCGTTGCGTTCGAGCGACAGTGCCTCGGCAGACACAGGTCTGACTAGAAGCCTGATCTGGGAAGAAGGGCATTGTGCCTCGCATCATGTCATGCCCTGGAGCTCAGAAGGGGACCAGAGAATGTTCCTGGGGACAGAACCCCTCCTGTGAAAACAGCTAGGCCTATTTCATACAATGCTGCTAATGCCTTGGCGCCTCTCGGTCTACCGGCAAAAACCCCCGAAAGTCCACCGACAGGCGTAAGTTGTAACCATGCAATGTGTACTTTGCAATTTCGTCCGCTGCAACCCTAAATTAGCTCGCATCCGGCGTGCTTGGACCAGATCTGAAACAAATCCTCCGACGAGAGGGGAACTGAAGATATCCAGCAGACTATGGCTGAATGGGTCCGGATTCATCAGATTCGGTCCATTACGGACTTCCGAACTAGCTAACCAGCCAACCAACCCAAGAAAGGAGAAACCGTGATAGTAGGGGAAAAGCGTCTGGGACTTGTTGACGAGGTGTCAAGCTGGCAACTTTAAGATGCATGAGATCGAATACCTTTTCTTCTTCCATGCAGATTTGTGCTTCAGCGAAACATTCAATTCCAATAACCGCCTGCAACCGTACTGACCGGGAAAAAGACACGCCAACACAATGGATCCAGAAGTCTTCCAGTTGATTTCCAAACTTAGCAGATCAGGCCAGGCTCTTGAAGAACAAATTGCTGTTGATCCTAGCAGCTCCGATGCTCGTCAAACTCGGAGGCAACTCCTTTACACCGCTCGGCGCCTGGCAAACTATTTGCAGAATGAGGGACAAATCGTCGAGGGATATCTGTATGGGGTATGTTCTGCTCCTGGTGTTGGAGTGGTAGGGGAGGAAAATGTTCCCCAATACTAATGGTGCAGGTCATCGACGTCCTGCTCTTCAAAATTGGCGTCGACCTCGGTCTCTTCCAGAAGCTGGTGGACAGCGAAAAGCCTCTAAGTCTGAAAGACCTGGCCACAGCTACGGGGGCTGACGAGGTTCTACTGGCGCGCATCATGCGAGGCCTCACCTCAATTGATGCTGTTGATGAAACTGACGTCGAAGTCTATGCTCCAAATAAAGTGACTCGCGCATTTACCACCGTAAAGGCCACCTCTGGCTTGGATCTCTTGTATGATTCCCCGTTCCCGCGCTGCCCTGAGCCGAAGAAAAGAGGCTGTAACTGACAGCCGTTCCAGCCACAATGTCATTCATGCCGGTTGGAATATGTTCCCCAAGCATATCAAGGAAACCCAGTACAAGAATCCAGTCGACCCCGCCGCAATACCTTTCAACAAGCAATTCAACGGCGAGGCGTATTTTGACTGGCTCGGGCGCCACCCAGCCCTCTTGCACTCATTCCACCAGTTCATGACCACCCAGCGAGTCGGCCATGTTCAGTGGCTGGACTTCTACCCTATTGAGGAGCAGCTTCTCCCGGGCTTCGACTATAGTGACGACCCGAATGCTGTCCTGCTGGTTGACGTGGGTGGCAGTGTCGGACACGAGATCCAGGCCGTCAAAAAACGGTATCCTAAGATTCCCGGGCGAATGGTCCTCCAGGATCGGCCGGCCACGATTGAGCGTGTCAAGCCCGAGAATGGCATGGAGGTGATGGCGCACGACTTCTTCACTGAACAGCCGATCAAGGGCAGGTTTTCCCCCATCCCAACGGCTTCTCCAAGTGAAACACGGAATTTATCTGACAGCTTTGCAGGAGCCCGAGCCTATTACTTCCGGAGCGTGCTGCACGACTGGGACGACGATAGATGCCGCGTGATCCTGGGTCACATCAAGGACGCCATGAAGCCGGGCTACTCGCGGATATTGATCAATGAGTTCTCCATCCCTCTTCGTGGAGCATGCACGTTTGCCACGCATTCGGATTTCTTCGTCATGTCGGTGAATGCGGCTGTGGAACGAACAGAAAAACAGTGGTACGACTTGATTGAGTCTGTTGGGTTGAAGATTGACCGGATCTGGACTCTTGAGCCTGACTCAGAGAGTATTCTGGAAGTTAGCATTCCAGAGTAGAAGTGAATTTTTTACCAAATATCAGTTCCATGGGCCGACCGGGTGACGATATAGATCTCTCTACGCAGTCATTAGAAGAAATATATGACAAGCGGGGCGTTCGCCCTTCCTAATGATATAACCTGCTTTGCCCCTTATTGATATTCGCCGTTGCCATAATAGCTAGCTTTCGCCCGTTGGGTTCTAGGTTCGTTGTTCTTCAGCTTCTATTAGTTCTTGAACTTTCCCATCGATCGATTTCTTTCTTCCTAGCGGGGTGATATAACCGTCCCTGTCCCTCCGAGCTTTATCTTCCTTATAAATCTGACAGATCTTCTAGATTTGTGACGGAGAGTTGATTATTTCCATAATCTTCTCCATTAGCTAGTTTTAGAGCCCGATATATAGAGATACCAGCTTGTCAAATAAAAGGCTAACTATCAAGGTTGGCTTGAAACCCGTATTCGTTGAAGCGATATGCATCAAAGAAGGTGCGCTTCAAAACAGGCAATATTAACTTAGATCTGACCAGCGGAGTTCTCGGAAGGCCCGGTCTGCGAAAGAAGGCCGTCGAACCAAGGATGGCAAAGAGCATCAGCAGCGCTGATTCGGAGCTCCGGTCGCATCTGCAGAAGGCGCCCCAGAAGGTCAGCCCCGAGAGGATCCAGCGGAGGAATCACGAGTCGCAAATCCTGGGGAGGGTAGACGGGACAGTTGGGCTTGAATTCGGGCAGCTGACTGACCCCTGGCCATGTCTGTTCCGACGGAGTTCCCATGATGCGAAAGATCTTGAGTAATTGATCGTCGTTGGTCGTGCCGGGGAACAGAGGCCGGCCGGTAAACATCTCGGCGATGATGCATCCCGCGGACCAGGTATCGATGCTGGTGCTGTATGAGCGGCTCCCCAAGAGCACATCCGGCGGGCGATACCATAGAGTGACCACTTCGCTGGAGAAGGTATTGACCGGAATGCCAAAGGCACGGGCAAGGCCAAAGTCCGCCAGCTTCAGATGTCCCTCTCGGTTGATAAGCAGATTTTGAGGCTTCAGGTCTCGATGCAAGATGCGATTCGCGTGGCAGTAGGCAATCCCTCGCAGCATCTGATATGTAAAAGACTTGATGGTGGGGAGAACTAGGGCCCCGCCGTGGACGTCCATGTAGCGCTTGAGGTCTTTATCCATATACTCCGACACCAGGATGAGCCGGTCTGACGCGTGGATGACATCGTACAGAGCCAAGATATTCTCATGCTTAAGCTCCTTCATCAGGGAGATCTCGCGGATGGCGGTGGACGGGGTCCCTTCCTCGGCATCGAGATGGATCTCTTTCATGGCCACCAATTCATTGGTCTGGTTGTTCCGCCCTTTAAAGACCTGGTCTTATTGTAAGTGAATATTCTATTGAAGTTATTGTCCTTTTTTTTTTCCTTTTGGCCGATGAAAATGATGAGGGGACACTAACCCTTGCATACGTGCCTTCACCCAACTAGGCGATAGTCAGCGGGGAAGTCCTGATGTACAGGATCGGTACACAGTCACACAAAGAACAAACCTTTTCCAGTCGACTGAAGGAATTGACACGCTGCTCTGGCATGCTCGACGGCTATTCTTGGCTCTACAGAGCGAGGACTGGGAAAGAGATCCGTCGCGTCAAGTTGACACTGGCCCGTGAGTGAGCTAAGTAGACAAAGATGCAAAAAGAAAGATCAGGTAGGGGTCTGCATGAATACATATAAGATTGATGAATTTGGTTCGTATTAGTAATTTGCAAACATGTAACTAGTTATTAATATTTGTTTTTCCAAGCCCCATATTTATCCCCCTGATATGAGGAATTGTTCAGGCTGCCCGCTCTTTGTTGCTTAATATTAAATGGCCGTATACTTGATCTTTAGTAACTAATACTAGAAATATATATTTCTCTGCCTAAAAGAACGGATAGATAAGAGCTTAATATTGGTTTTCAGCTGTTTTTAAAATCACGCTTCCGCTGCACAGCTGTGGAGGGACCAAAAAAGGCCATAGCAGGAAGAGCAATCGACAAAGAAAAGAATAAAAAAAGGTAGGACAAGCCAGAGGACCATCCCCAACGAGTGTTCACTAGAGCACAAAGGATGGTGGCAGGCGGACATGGTACATATTCTCAGGCATTACAGTTCCGTCTTGTCGCCGGCTTCTGTGTCAGTGGTAGAGGGCTGTACATCGCTCTTAGGCTCCGGTGGTGCTTTCTTGATGTTTTTCCACTCTACCGACGCCGACCCAAGCAGGGTCATTGCCGCCATGATTGTGGCTACCAGAAACGCCCGGGTCAGGGAGTGGTTGTACGCAATTTTGACAGCCGGAAGATCACTCGCGGGAACGATCTTTTGGAGGCTAGTCGCCCCCGAGTTGACCACGAGATCCGAGTCCAGGTCCGGAACGGCCTGGGCAAGGTCAATTTTAAGCTGGTTAGCAAAGACATTCTGTCCTACAGAGACGAAGACCGTGCCGCCAAAGGTCTGGAGGAAGTACATCACGGCGGTTCCAATGGGGACCTCGGCGAGGGGGAGGACGGTCTGCACCACGATCAGGGGTTGTTGTAGTCCCATACCGATGCCGATACCAACCTTTTATAGAATACGGTCAGACAATCCGGGATCCTGATAAGGATTCAAGCATGATGGATGGTGAAATGGACTTACCATAACTTGGTATCCGATCCAATGCTCATGCGGCGTGGTGGGCTGGAACGTCATCATCAATCCTGTTCCGATGGCGGAAATCACAGAGCATGCGATCATGAAGGGGGCGTCTGGTTTTTGGATAGTTATTACCCGCCCGGAGGTCCGAGAATGTTTCGAACTTACAGTATCCAATCGCAGTCACGCCAATGCCGGAAATGATGGAAACCAACACGAGTCCAAGAATGAACGGGATGTTGCGGATGCCTGATCCGACTGCCGATGTGCCCTTCACTGCCTGGAACCAGATGGGGATGTAATAGATGAGCACCAGGAAGAACGAACCCAGAGTAAAGTTGAACCAAGAGGCAGCCGCAAATGAGCGCTGCTTGAGCATGCGCGGTGGGACTGTCGCCATATCCCCCTTCCAGTACTGAATACCTAACCACGCAATAATCAACACCCCAAAGAGAACCAAAAGGAGAATAAGTCGCCAGTTGGACCAGGTGTACACGGTACCCCCGAATTGGAGCGCTAATAGGATGCAGATGATGGCCGGCATGAAGACTTCAGACACATGACAATCGTTAATGTCTCAATGCTCCAGATGACGCTGCGTGATAGGAGGATTAGAATACATACCAGCACTGCCCAGAAAATCTAGTTGACGCAGGTTCTGCTTCCAATCAGCGCTCACCTTCTGCCGTTTGAATGGCTTCAGGAAGATGACAATCAAGACAACGGCGAGGCCTCCGATCGGGAGGTTAATATAGAAACACCACTAAACCCTCGGAATGAGTTCTTGCGTCACCTTGAGCAAGACAATTGCCTTGGACATACCCGCCATGTAACCATGTCCGTAAATGCGCCTCCGAGCAAAGGCCCGGCAACTGATGCGATACCGTACATGGCTCCGATCAGCCCAGTATACATCGGACGCTTGATCAGAGGAACCGAGTAGGTCACGACTGCAGTGACATTAGACTAATTTTCCTGGGAGCCGTCCCCTGCGGTTAACATACTAATGATCGCTCCACTGGAAATCCCTGCAGATCCGAGACCGGCGATCGCTCGACCGATAATCAAGGCCGTCGACGACGGAGCGACGCCGCAGACCAGGGAGCCCAGTTCGAAGATACCGATCGCAAGGAGGAAGACCCATTTGACTGGCATGAAAGAGTAGGCTTTACCGAAGAGCAGCTGCACGGATGACTGGGTGAGGAGGTATGCTGTGTCCATGCATCAGCCTGTGGTTCCATTGAAGGCAGCGTAGAAATCCTCGCCTCGACGAGGGAGTCCAAGTAGACATTCCCCCCGCAGAAAGACGAGCGGATCGTTTACCCACTCAGATAACGAGAAGGGTAACCAGCAATCCCACGCGTTCACGTCGTCGATCCATGGTCGAAGACCTTCACTCCGGCTGGCGGTGTCGATGGTGGAGGTAAAGAGTGGTTGGAGACAAAGAGCGAAGAAGGGAGAAGAGAAGAACGGGGAGCCCTACCGCTTCCGTACCAACCAATGTCACCCTGGCTGTTGAACTGATCGGTGACTGGATTGACCGCAGGGAGTGGTCAGCGGTCGGCACTGGCAGAGAAGCGATCAGAGTAATCTTTTCGGCAGGAACATACTTTTGGGGATTGCCTGTTCGCTCGGGTTAGTACGCAGGGGAGAAGCCCAACTGCGGCAGAGGGAGAAGACGGCGGCAGAGTTCACCTACCGTTGCAATAATCGTATTGTCCTAGGAATGCAAGTTAAACACGCCGGGTCAATGACAGGGAGCAGGGTTTTGCGTACCAAAGCAGTCAGGAAGACGGCGAGACAGAGACTCAGACAGATCACGAACAGTCGGAGGCCGGAGGGATAGTCGGCATCATCCTCAGCGGACTTGGCCGAAGACGACTCGTTTTTGACGAGCTCTGGAGCCTGGTCATGCTCCAGCCCGAGGCTTGCAGGAGCTGGATCCGAAGCATTCTGGGCCGTATCGGGGCGAGAAGCTCCCATGGTCAACGAAAAGGCCGGTACTGGTGAGACAGAAAACGAAGGAGAACCGATGCCAGAGCAAAAGGACGGACGGGCTCTGTAGATGGCCTGATGGAAGAAAGATATACGAGTCGCCATTAGGGGTAGACCAAGCCAAACAATGGGATCTATACCCAGGACTTTTACGGAGTAGAGAACCCTGCTAACCCGTCAACTCCGGCCCTGTCGGGGGTTTCTCAGGGAAGATCCCTGCATTCTGATAGGCCGTGCTGAATGCGTCACGATAGATTAAGTAGATGGCTTAGGTAGGTAAGCTAGGTAGGCATGATGATGGACAACAAAGACAGATGATGCACCCTGGCGGTTTTTAGCATCGTTGGCCTGTTGATCTGTTTCTGACACGCCTTGGATATGATCTCACGACCTTCTTGCTGACCTGACCAGCACTTCTGGGACGGGAGAAGGAATCGAGAATGATTCTGCCTGTCTGCATGCCTAACCCAGAACGATCTCCACGACCTTAAACAACCTTTCCAAAGGGCCTCGGCTCGCCGCTAACATGCTATAGGTTCCGTCACACGTCACACCAGCGCATCCGCTAGGGGAAGCTAGTGGCCATTATCCACCAACCGTATCAGTCAACTGCAGGAGATGAGGGGTAAAGTAGGTAGTTTATCCCGCCCAAGTCACTTTCATAACTGTCCTTAGTAAGGTAATTCACCGGCGAGCCGCCATCACAGGCGAGCCGCCCGCCACCTGTATTCCATATAAAATGGCACTTTTCAAGGCTTCAATATCACAACCACAGCTTCTTATGCTATTATCCTAGTAAGATATTCAGAATACATTTGCTTCAAGTATAAGAATACTCTTTCTTAGGATGCTAGAACAGTGTTCCTCTATCTTAATATCTAGGAGTCAAGATTACCAAATTATAGGCGGAATTTATGTTAGCTAAATGTACACATATGCTAGGAGGCTATAGATTATAAGTATATGACTATATACTATACCATATGCCTAGATTTGCCCCTGTACATACTTGGGAGTTGAGATATTGAAGCCTTGAAAAGTGCATTCTATAGGGAATACAGAAGGCGGGCGGCTCGCCTGGGATGGCGGCTCGCCGGTGAATTACATTACCCCAAAGTTCGATGAAAGCGATAAGCAAAGAGACTCGTTCTCCATGGATGATTGGTTGACGGTTGTTTAGCCAAAAGTAAAACCAAGCTTGGTCAATACAAAATGTCACACAGAGTGGGGTACCTAGGCAGTTCTCCATTTCACCAGTAGGCTGATTTCTGGTGATCCACTTTTTGCTGGGAGGCTTTGAGATTGACGCGTAGGCTGGCAAAAGCCGTGGAACTGATAAAGCCAGGAAATCTGTGGACAGTGCCTGTGACATTCTTAGTTATATCGGATTTCGTATAGCAGAGGTTTACTGTAGCATAAAATTGCTGATTGGCTAGTAGTAACACGAGTAGGTAGTAGTTATAAGGTACCTAATCCTGGCAAGTAATGGCGATGCGAAGGAGAACCCAGTCAAGATCTTAATAAAGGATAAGGGATTAGCTGTATTGTGCTGTTCATGCGACAAGGGGTGTGCATTGCTGAACTTCGAGTACTCCAACAGGAGCGACGGCATGGCAACGTCAACTTTCCCACCCATGGAACCTGCAGCAGGCGTTGAGACACGATTGGAACCCTCCTCTCGGGGCGAACTACGCAGCTCCTGTGATTTGTGCTATACATCCAAAGTCCGATGCCCCCGGGAAAAGCCAACCTGCGCCCGCTGTGATAAAATCGGGGTCCGTTGCACATATAGTCCTACCAAGCGGCCAGGGCGGCCACGGCGGCCACGGCGACGGGCTCCTTCGGAGGCTGCTACGACGGCAGCGAAGAGAAAGCCATCAGCGACATACGCTCCATACGTGTCTTCCAACCAAGGGCTGGACCAACCACTTGGTGATGAGTCCAGCACCACACCCCCGTTACCCTCCTATGACCCCGTCATCTTCCCCGCCTTCGATCTCTCCTATGCACCTTCCGTCCAGTCGTCCGCAGACATTGCAGGTGGCTTGTGGGACAAGGTATTAAGAGACACCAGCTTGGAGGTGTCGATCAATCCGGGGTTGGAAACTGCTGGGGTACCTCCGGGCGCAGCGACAAATGCCGAACTGTTGCCGAGCGAGTTACCTCTCACTCCCTTGACTAATGAAAGTATCCCGCTTCTTCCGGATGACCCTATCATTCGGACCTCAATCGAGGACGTCTGGTCCGCCCGTATGGAGTGGACCCGAGAGGAAGATGCAATAGTCGTGGATTCATCAGGTGGACCAGCATCCAGTTCCGGGGAGCGACAGACGAGTCCTGGAGCTTCGACCCCATCCCCGCTAGGCTTCGATCAGTTTATCGAGCAGTGTAAGATGGTCAGACACCTGACTTCGTCGACCACTGGCCCGCTCACGCTCCTTGCGAGTCAGGCAGACATTGGGATGGACCAGACGCCCGACACGACGACCACCAGCAGTAGCAGCAGCAGCGTTAGCACCAATATGCAGTGTCTCTGCCACGTTGCTCTATTCAACCTCCTATGCTACAGGCACAAACTGGGTCAGTTGCGGCCCGAGCGATTGCTGGAGACCTGTCTTCATGTCCAGCGAATCCTCCACTGGACCTCGACCTTGCACAGAGAGTGCCTCATCTGTCGGGACGATATGGTAGCCATACTGAACGTCACCTGCATTGCCCGTCAGATCGCGCAGGTCTACTGCAGCATTATAGCTGGCCAAGTGCAAGAGCGATACAGTCAAGGAAACAGACCTGCGTGTTCATCGTCTCCCATCGAGTCGACCAGATTGAGTCTGGGCTCCAAGGTTATCCAGGGGCCCTCCAAATTAAATGCCTTATCCCGCTTGATTGGCCTGAAGCTGCGGCAGATGAGGGATCTTCTCCAGGGCTTTCAAACCAGCATGTGCAGGGAGCCAATGTCAGAAATTACGGAATCCATCCAGCTCGTGATCACGGGGGCTCTGGAGCGGATCAGTGTCGCGATGGGGGTGCTTTCGACATTGAAATAAGGTCTGCGAGTATCCTAGGTCATCGATTTTGGCGAAAGTATTTGTGTCGGACTAACATGGCGTTTCCTTGGAGTGTTGCCCAGGCAAATCTATAATCGAGTCTAGCCAAAAGCGGTGCTGCAGTTGGCTGAGGCCTTCTCCGACCTGTGAGATGGATTGCCAAGGGGGGTATGTGGCTCTGCTCTACTATCGGGATACATTGGCGATGGGTGTAAAGGGAGTCTTAAGAGCCATAGTTACCTATCCGGGTGGAGAAGTAAGCAGAGTCTGATCAAATCAGCAATTTAGTGCGTTCACCTCTTCGGCGATCCCTCCATTCTACACAGTTAAAGGAGTCAAAATTCCGTTAGTATACTACCTACATGGTCCGGTATTAACATTGTCCGTGTCCAGAATACATTAATATTCAAAATATAGAGATGATGCGGCGAGGCGCTTGCTACGGACCGTGCCGCAGTCAAGCCCTAACAACATGATGTTTTCCTGTAGTCTAGTTTTCTGATGCTAGAGTTTCCAACTTGTCTCCGGCCCTGAGATTTTTGTCTATTGGTTCGTCGTCCCCACTTCCAGGTCCAGGTGCTTTAGCTCCTTGTAGATCTATAGAACAGATAAGCTAGGTCAAGCGAAATAACGCCGGAAAATCTCAGCGGGGGTTGGGGCGGGTTTAGCCCCAACAGGCTACCTTATGGCCCCCACGCAGACAAAGAGAGGAGATATGGCGCATCGCAAAGAACACTGCCTTAGATGAGGCATCTTGGGCATATAATCTGCCAGTTTTAGTCATTTCTCTCTCTTTGGCTGTTACCCGCAGTGGTTTTGTCCTTAGCATGGTACACATTGGGCACGCAGGGACCTACGCAGGGGAAAGAGAAAACTTCATGCAGGATTCACAGATAAAATGGGAACCACCAATCATCAGTCAAAGATGTGGTCAACCATTCACGCGCAATCCAAAATCCGTTGTAGGAACGCGTATCCGGGAGCGACATACTGCTCCCACTTCGGCATTCCTGGCCGCAATCCGACATCATGAATATGACTACCGTCAGGGACAGCCAAAAACCCAGTTTGGACACCAATTTTCTGTAGCAAGCTGTGGAACCGCTCCGCTGCACTGAACGAAGCAAGCTCATCCCGCTCGCCGTGGATGAGAAAGGTCGGCACGTGGTACTCACCGGCTCGCAGCTGCGATGTGGGACAGATATATGCCGTGCGCTCCGGGGAGGCGGCCTGGTCGAGCAGGGAGCCGATCGTTCTCTTCAAAGGGGGCAAAGAAGAAGAGGGACCATTCAGTATCAATGAAAGGCCGTAGTCACGGGTCTCCCGCAAGAGAGAAAGGAGGAGCTCGGATCGAGTATCGCCTGCCTGTAGCCAGCTGACCTCGGGCTGGTCAATTGGCCCGGTAACGTGGTGAGAGGAGGTGGGAGTTGATGCCAGTGGAAGAGCCCGGATCTCCTCACGAGTCATGCCGCCCGTCATCGAGGGCCGCGGTTTACCACGGTAGTCGAACGCGTCCGGTGAATTAAAATCGGTCGGTGCATAGAAAGCGAGGATCGCGGCCGGGGGAGCGTCGTAGCCTCTGAGCGTCCATGCCGTGGACATGGCCAGGTGGCCGCCAGTGGACCAGCCAACCACTACCAGACGCTGAGGGTCGAGCTGAATCCCATGGTCTTTGAGAAAGCCTGGAAGGAACCGGCGGGCCCAGACCACGGCATCGCGGGTGTCGGCCATAGCACCGTCAATGACGTTTGTCTCGGGGCAGAGCCTGTAATCGATGCTGACGGGGAGCATGTTTTGGGCCAACAAGTGAGCAATCTGCCCCGGCCGGATTGCCTTGCGGGAGAGGGTCATATGTCCCCCTCCGTGGATCATAATGGCCACACCCATGGAACGCGCAGCAGAAGTGGGAGGGAGGAAAACATCGGCTCCGATGGAGATGCCATCTACCTTTTTGTAGATAACTGGCAAGCGGTCTGGCTGGTTGGGGTTGGAAGATGATTTGATCGCAACTAATAGCTGTTGTGTATTCGAGTCTTCCGATTCACTCTCGGTGAAGAAGGTCGAGCGAAATCCGGCCTGGCGGAACGCGGTCATCCAACTGTCCGCTGGTTGGAGAGGGTATGATGTGCCGCCGTCGGCAAGCCACCAGCCGTCTAACAGACCGAAGACCAAGTCGTACCAGTCGATAATGCGGGTTACTTCCGAGAGCACCAGGAAGCCTCGGTCGTGCAGCATCTCGCGGATGTGCCGGGTGGTCCGCACGCGGTCGCTCGTGGCATGCACACAGTTGGTTCCAATGACAATATCGAACCGCTCCTTGAGATGCTCTGGAACTGGCTGTTCGAGGTCCACCTTTTCAAATCGCATCCAGGGGCAGGTGGCTGCAAATTTCTGTTTGGCCTTGGAAACCATACTTGGTGAGATATCCGTGAAGACATATTCGACGGGCACGCCAGATTGCGCTAGACGTTCCACCAAGCGCACGGTGGTGCCGCCAGTACCTGCGCCAGCTTCCAGAATACGGAGCTTGCCATGAGAGCCGTCCTGTGCTGGTGTGGACGAGATGGACCCCATTATGAAAGTCACCAGTTGGTCCGTCAGGGTAGATAACATGGGTGAGTGATGGTAGTACTCCTCCAGAATCTGGCCTGCCTTGGCAGTGCCAAACAGAAGTTTGATGGGATCTGCAGTGCCTCGCAAAACTGGAGCGAGTGAAGGGCCCGTCAAGGCCATGAGATGGGCTTCGCCCGCATAGGCAGGGTACTGGAAAACAAACTCTTGGTGTAACTGTGAGGAGGATGCACTCGGCACTGGATTGGGGCCGCGCACAAAGGCTAACGTGCTTGAGTCCTTCACGAGGACTCCGTGCTTTACCAGGATCGCCTCCAGTCGCTTCATGAGCTGGGTATATTTAGGCTGATATTGCACGGGCGCCACTGGATTCCCCGGAGCGAGGGTGGCCAGGTCCACGCCCAAAGATCGCCACGCTTCGACAATGTATGCCAGGGTCAATCGGCCTTGGTGAAGCGCCACATCATTCCAGTAATTGAGGAAGCGACGGGCCTCTGCCGCGCCCTGGAAACCAAGATTTGCCGAGTTTAATCCTGCAATGGGATCAAGTTGGAGCCGGTTGAAGTTATAGCCCGTTGTTGAGTTGGCAGCGCTGTAGATCGGCTTTTGTTGGACGTCTGGAGTTGTCTCCTCCGCTTTGGCACTGGCCTGGCTTCTTGTGACACTGATCGCCAGGTGAACATTTTCAATCTTTGATTGCAGTGAGATACCGTCGAATGAAAGACCGGGATGGTCACCGGCTTCGTCGGTTAGGGAGGCCAAAACTTCTGTGAGTGCCAACGAGTCCACTCCCAGCTCTTCTAGGGTCACTGATGGTTTGATGCTGGAGGGAGAACACCCCGTGGTTTCAATCAATAAATCGGCCAGCATCTGAGCAAGGTGAGATGGGTCAGCAGCCTCCGCAACGGATTTGGTTTGTTTCTCAGACGAGCTCTGAACGGCCCGGCTCTCCTTTTTGGTCGATTTGTGAGATGGAGGGCCACTGACGCGGCCCTCGAGTTCTTGAATACTGGTGGACACAAGATCTTGGCTGTTGATGATTACCCCGTAGGATGATTGTAGTTCCTCAGCCATCTCTGTGGCCGCCAAAGAATCTAAGCCAAGTTCAGACATCAACATCGCTCCATCAAGCACCTGAGACTTGGATACCCCGGTGTAAGTTTCAAACATCTCCCGGAGGCCCGCAATCCTAAAGCTTGCGTCTGAGCCGGGTGTATCTGGTGACTCGTCATCGCTGCTCCTATCCGAGACAAGGTCTGGTGGTGTTTCGCGGTCAACTAGACCTGGCGATGGAGGAGCGCTCTGTGTCGAAGCCGTTCGTGCTTTGGGGGTCTTGTTCGCCGTATCGAGCAGTCGCGCTAGACGGGACATGTCCAGTTTGGCAAAACGACATCCCACGAAAGCGGCCATGACTGTGTCATCAGGGGCAAAGACAAATGCGTCACCGAGCGCTTGTGAGGGGCCAGTGGGCACATACGAGGCATAGACCTTCCAGGAACTGCACTGGAGCAAATTGCAGGTGGGTGCAAGCATCGTCGAGTCAATGCCTGTACATACCATGACCTCGGTTTCACCTACCATGTCGTCGGTATTCATCAGCAATCCGATCACTTGAATAAAATTGTCCAATGTGACCGCATCGCACGTGGCCACTGCAGTACTCTGATTTCGCGCGGGTTGGCCATCTCCAGGAATAGTTACTCTTGCCACTGCTTCGTGGCCACGGATCAGGATCCTTGAGATACCCTTGAGAAAAGGGGCGTAGTCGACCACGCGGGAAAACATGCCATACACTCGTTTTGACAGCATCCGCTCCGATTCTTCATCGGTAGCCATTTCCTGCACCCGCGGCCCCAGGAGCCGTGCCATGGTTTCCAGCTTCGTTGACGAGGTAGCTTCCTTCAATCGCATAACTCGGCCCTTGGCGTGAGACGTGGCCGTCTTCTTTGTGGGTTCTTGACTGCAGACTGTGAACTGCCAGTGTTGGTTTGGAGCCAGCTCTTCCAGGATGATCTCGGTATGGTGCCCAGCAAGTCCAAGTGGGGACTGGATGTCAAGGGCTTCGAATTCCAGACGCGCCTGGTTCTTTTCACGCGCTTGATCCCCTGCGAATAGAAGGTCCAGGGCCATCGTGACACATTCTAGATATACCGAAGCCGGGCATAGTGCGCGCTGACAGACTACATGCCCGCATACAATGCGGCGGAATCGTTCGCTGTGGACAGAAATACTGAACTTTTTCTGTTTGTCATCGGTCGAGGGGATCATCGATACTAGTGTCTCCTCGTCCTTCTGTCGGGGATTATCCTTGACTGTGATATGCGGGCGACTCTCGATTTGCTTTTGTAACTCTGCAGCCCGGTCAATGTTGGGCAACCAGCCAATGGTCTCGTCGAACTGATACGGAGGCAGCCATGCTGGGCTACGTCGATCCAAAAACAGCCAAGGAGTGACATCCACCCCGCAGGCCCATAGCTCTGTCACCGCCGTAGAAATGGCGTTGGAAGCCAGCGCCTCATCTTTGGTCGTTGTTGCCACAAAGACGTGAGATTGGCTGGCTGCTGTCTTGCTTGCTACCGCCCGCTTCGTCATGGCAATGACAGGCGTATCCATGCCTGCCTCCAACCAGATACAGCCACCGAGTCTGCGCTCGGTGCGCCTGACGGCACTCATGAAGAACACTGCTTTTCTAGCGTGATCAGATGGACTGAAAGGACGGACGGAGGACTCCTCCTCTTCCCGGCACAGCTCGATAGGAATCTTTGGCGACTGCCAGTCCAAATTTGCTGTTTCTTTCTCAAGCTCTGCCAAAATTGGGTCCACTAGCGGTGAGTGAAACCCATTACTGGTATCGACTCGCATCCATTTGATTGCCTTCACGTCTAATCGTGCCTTCAGCTCTTCAATGGCGCTCGCGGGGCCTGAGACTACATGGCTCGTTTCTGAGTTGTAGCATGCGATTTCCAAAGAAGGGGTATCTTGCGCCCGGGCCCGATTTGAATCAGACAGAGTCTCTTCAACCTGATCCCGACGCGCAAAAACAGCTAGCATTGCGCCTTTATCCGGGCCCCAGCGGGTCCTCATCAGAGTTGCCCGAGCGGCCACCAGTCGAAGGCAGCTCCGGAGATCCAATACACCGCTCACTGCGAGGGCTGTCAGCTCGCCTAGGCTGTGTCCGATGAGCGCGTTGACCCGGAGGCCAGCGTCTAGCCAGGTCCTGGCACTAGCATATTGCACGGCAACAAACCCTGTTTGCAAAACCACAATATCTGACTGAGTTTCTGTATCAAAGACGGCAGGAAAAATTGGAGGGTACTGTAACTCTTGCAGAATATCGTTGCATTGGTCCAGGTAGGTTCGAAACAAGGGAAACCGGTCATAGAATTGTCTTGGAAGGCCGAGTGTTTGTCGGCTTTGCCCGCCGAACATGAGGACCACTGGAGGTAGGATTGGAGACATCGACAGCCGCTCGCGGATAGGGGGTTGATCCTTGTCGGCGCTTCCTAGTTTCTGCAGCAAATCCTTGTTGTCCGTCGCCTCGAAAGTGAAGAAGTGCTTGTGTCGCTGGCGCATCTCGCTCAAGGTGTAGGCGATCTCTCCAAGCAAAGGCTTCGGTGAATCGGCACTGGTGAGGTATCTGACGAGAGCCCTTTGATATCGTCGGAGGCTTGTCGCCGTCGCGGCACTTAGAATGATGGGATGTCTCTGGTTGGTTATAGGCCAGTCGAGAGAGGCCCGCGGCCGTGGCGGCTCACAGCAAATCACCGCTGCGTTTGAACCAGCCGCCCCATATGAATTCACCAGCGCCGCCTTGAAAGGTGCGGCCCAGGGCTGGAGTGTGTTCGCGATGGCCATGCGATCGGGTGACAAGGGGGGATCTTGGGGTTCCATACGCGATGCGAAGCCTGTGGAGGAATCCGGTTATGCTGTAACATGCAGATCACCTTGAGAAGCCCGGCTATTCCTGCCGCTGTCTCGCAATGACCGATATTGCCCTTGATGGATCCTAAATGGAGCTCATGGGTTCTGCTTGGACTCCCCAACACAGAACGAACACTGGCCACCTCAATGGGGTCACCGGCCTGGGTTCCAGTGCCATGTGCCTCGACGTAGGTGATCTGATCCGGGAGGATATTGGCCTGCCTTAATGCGGACTGATACAATTGGCTTTGGGCCTTGGGCTCCGGTACCGTAATACCGCAGGAGAGCCCGCCCTGGTTTGTGGCCGCTGCAGTGATCACGGCGAGAATATGATCGCCGTCCGCCTGTGCCTGCTTCAAAGACTTGAGAACTACTAGCCCAGCACCCTCCGAACGACAGTATCCGTCAGCATCCTTATCAAACGGCTTGCACTGACCCGTTGGGCTAAGGAATCCAGCACGTGCAAGGTCGAGAAAGTTGTTGGCCCCAGTAATCAAGTTGATGCCACCTGCCAGAGCCATCGAGCATTCGCCGCGCTGGACTGCCTTGACAGCACGGTTGACTGCGACCAAGGAAGAGGAGCATGCCGTGTCGATGACCTCCGCCGGGCCGGACCATCCAAAGTGGTAACTCAGTCGGCCACAGAGGAAGGCACGGATGGTGCCAGTCGAAGTATATGCGGTCGGCGGATGGGCATTGGTGTTGTCCAGATACTCGACAAAGCTGCCACCGATAAAGCAGCCGATAGGATCGTTTCGGTCGCGGATGTGGCTCCGCATATATCCGCAGAGTTCCATCGCCTCGTAGCTGAGCTCCAGGAGCAGACGCTGTTGGGGGTCCATGTTAGCCATCTCGCGTGCATTGATTCCGAAGAACGCATGGTCGAACTGCTTGATCGTAGAATCTCCCAGGAAGTTCCCATAGAAGCGGCGTGTCTTGCAGAAACTACCAGACTGGGACGCTCGCCATCCCCCGTACAGATCGAACCGATCTTTCGGGATCTCCTCGTGTCGGTCTTGCCCCGTGGATAGCAGTGCCCACAGCTGCTCGAGATTATCTGCCCCAGGCAGGCGACATGAAGCGCCAATGACCGCGACGGCATCTTCCGGGTATGCATATTCTGACTCGCTGGTGAAGCTCCTCTCCGTTCGCATTCCAGTATTGGAACTTGGAGAGTCTGGCTTAGTAGTTGTACCCCAAGTGATCTTTGTCACTTGAAGATTCCGTCGGTGAAAGGGCATGAGAGGCACGCAGTCTCCGATGCCAAAGGAGACCACAGTGTGTGAGTCCTGGCCAGATGCCTTAAGGTCTTCAGCCACGTACTCGAGCAACCGATACCATTCGCAACGGGATGCGAGCACTGTTTTGACAATCTCCTCGGTCGTGGAGCCGTGGGTGATAAGCTCTCCTGTCCGATTCGTGCGCACTGGTGCGTGCATTCGATCAGGCCCCGGAAGGTCGAGCAGGCAAGAGCCCACGCAGATGGCGGCGAGCTCCTCGGATAGCTGAGCGTTCTCAGGATTGTGCGTCTTGCCACGAATATCCATGTTCTGGGTTAGGAGACGCTGTTGAGTGGCCAGAACCTGGAGGGCCCTGATCTGGTCCACTGTACCGACCAGGCTGACTGATTTGGGATCTGTAATGGCTGATATGTGCACCTATGCAGCACATCAAACCCGTTAATCATTTCTGAGCTCGCCAGGGATTTGCTCGCCAGGAGGGATTCTTGCGGTTGCTTTCACCACCTACATTTGGAAACCCACGAAGTAATTCCTCCGCCTGCCCCTCGTGCTTCAAGCGAACTACCATGGTAGTCGTGCCGGGAATGTCGGAGTCATCCCCCAGTTCTGCGTACAGTCCAATGGCGTATGCCAGCCGGATCGCCGTGCAGATTGACTGTACGAGGTCATGCTCGTCGTAAGCGCTGGCGAGCGCAATTGCTGCGGGCAGCCCTCCGCAGTACCCTTGGATGCCTCCGCGGCGACGAACCTGGGCGATGAATTCCGCGTGGGAAAGTCCTTGGTTTTCGAGATACTGGAAGTATTGTGTGATTTGAATGATTGCTAGACGGGGTAGGGCCACGATCCCTGAGGATGTCAAGGCCACCGCCTCCGAGGCACCGGACCGGAGCCACTCAATAAGATAGTCAGCGTATGGGCGACCCTTGGACAGGTGGGCAATATCATCGTTTCGTTCTGACAGGAGGGACCACACTTGGTGTAGGGAATCTATCTGTTGCGGTATACAATGTAGGACCGGGTGGTTCAGAATGAACGTGCGAATGGAATCCAGATAGCTCGCGGATGGCGCCCGGCTTTGGGGCAGAAGACCGCCACGGAAACAGCCATGGCTTCACCCTAAGGAGTTGAGACTTGCCCAGAAAATATCTTTTCTTTGGTGTGTTAAACTTGGTGAGCAATATCTGTTCTTCGCGGTGGTATAGTTTTATAGTCATCATCGCTAGCGCACCATCTAACTGATTTAGTGCATGATTCGTATCCGTGTAGTATTATGGACAGCCATCTGCATCTCGGAGGGTTTTGAGCCAACCGGAGATTAGAACAACCCAGGTAATTTGCTCCTATCAAATGACATGTCCAAGTCCACCCTTGGGCCCTTTTTACGCTTGCCTTCGGGCCTTTTCTGTGCGTTGACTTTGAACCTCAAATGCCTTCACCTCTGCTGCCATATCATGTAATCCTACCGGTCCCGCTAAGCACCGTCAGTGCATGACGGACTTGAAATATGTAATATCCGAAGTGCACATCGTATTCGATGTGTGATCGGTTTGTACAGCGGCTGCGATACAGTCGGAGCTATTGTGACTACCAATCTGTCGGACGAGGAACCGGGAACACTCCGTGTCAATTATATAGTTTCACGCATCTCTTCCCCTTTCATCATCTTTCTGGCCCGAAGCGGTTCCTCATGACGACTGTTGCCCGTCTTTCCGGATCTTCCTGGGCTCACGTCCACTATGGAATCAAGTCTGGTCCGGGGACCCCACTTGTCTCAACCATTGCGATACTGATCCTGATCGTGGTGAGCTGAATGCCAAGGTCCGCATGAGAGGCCCATCCTAACGTGTATGTCATCAAGGCTCTCGTCACTCGGGCAGTTTATCTGGTCTTTTTCCACCCTCTGGCTAGATTTCCCGGACCAAAGCTCTGGGCGATTTCGCGCGTTCCATGGGCATACCATGTTATCAAGGGCGATGTCTGGCACTCCATGGACGATTTTCATAACCGTTATGGCTCTGTCATCCGTATTGCTCCGGATGAGCTCTCGTTCATCTCACCGACGGCTTGGAAGGACATATATGGCGCACGCCCCCAGTTGCTGAAAGACCCGCGCAGTCAAACCCCCCATTGAATGGAGCGGACTCGCTCTTCACGGCGGTGGGAGAGGAGCACCGACGAATTCGAGGCGCGTTCGTTAACGCCTTTTCCGACAAGGCGTTGCGGGACCAGTCTCGGATCATGGAGGACTATAGCGGGCAATTCATCAACCGGCTGAAAGACGAGGCCCTCGGCCATGGGCAGATTCTGGATATCCATGCATTCGTTGGCTCCGCCATCTTTGACATGATTTCCCACCTCACTTGGGGCGAGACATCTCAGGCCCTTCAAGAAACGACCGCGACCAAGTCTCCGGACTGGATTCGCCGTTTCTTTCTCCATGCTCGGTTCAGCACGCTCCGAAATTGTCTCAGCCGATTCTCCCCGCTGGACCACATCCTCCAGTCGGTCTTCCTCCGTGTCACTGCCCGCCAACGAATTGCAAACACCAAGTTGACTTTTGAGCGTATAGACCGCCGCCTGGCGGCCGGACATTCCTCCACGGGGGATTTCATGGAGCCAATCCTTGATCGGATCACTGAAGATCACAATCGCGCCTCCAAAGGGTCCATCACCAAAAGTGAAGTTCTCACCAACGGGGTCGCGGTCGTCATTGCCAACTCACAGCTGGGTACCATCGCCGTTACTACGGCCATCTACCTGCTCCTGTCCGGCCACCCGCGCTGCTTACGGCGGCTCGTGGACGAGGTCCGAAGCGCCGGTTTTCAGACCGAAGCCGGCATCCGTGTTGCTTCGACTCAGTCACTACCCTACCTCAATGCGGTCATCAATGAAACGCTGCGTCTGCATCATCCAACCCCGGGAAGCCTTCCGCGCATCGCCCCAGACGATGGTATAATGATCGACGGCCACCTTGTTCCCAGGGATACCGTTGTCGGGATTAGCTTATTCAACATCCACAGACGGCCGGAAAACTTCACTCGTCCCCTCGAGTTCCACCCAGAAAGGTTCCTGAGCAAAAACGACGAGCGGTATGATGGAACCTTTGCAAACGATCGACTGGATGCTTTCCAGCCCTTTTCAATGGGACCGCGGAACTGCATTGGAGGAAAGTAGGTTACTGTTTGCCTTTTCTGTTCGGGGACTGTGGGGTGGGAGTGTTAATGCAGTATGACTGACCGGCCCTCTCAATTTTAGAGTATTCCTGGCCCAGGCGAGGGTCCTGCTTTCGCGGCTGCTGTGGACATTCGACATGGAACTCGCGGAGCCTCCAGAGGCGGTAGCAAATTGGTTGAATCAAAAGGCATGGCTCGTCTATGAACCAAGATCATTGCGGGTGAAGTTGACCCTAAGGTCGGATCGGCCCAACGAACTTTTGCAGCGATGAGTTGGTTGTCATGGCTTGCTATATACACTCTAGCCAGGTGATAATAAAGAAGCGCAGGCCAGTAAGTAGATTATGATCGAGTGGATAGAAGAGTATCGCCGTAACAATCTCCCTTCTCTTGTATTCCCCTTAAGGCTCCATGAACTTGAAATGACTGGATAAAATCTACACAATACAGGGAAGGATGGGAGATATATCATGGAAATGATAGTCTTGCTTGTGTTGGGAGCATTAAGACTGGTTAATTAGATAGGTTGTCTTGCTACATAGAGTTCGTAGCAGGTTACAATATCTCCTGACTACATCACTGGCGAACCCCTCAGCAAAGCCTGGCCGAAGCTCTCTATAAATGAATATAGAAATATAGCAAGGCAGGCTATGGAGTATCTGCTATAACTGCACAATTTCTAGCTTCAGATATTCGCTTGTTTCACACTCGAGATTTACTCATGCACTGTGCGCATTTGTCTTTTTCTGGTTCTCTTCTCCACCTTTGATGGCAAAGCAGCTGCTTTCAGCTAACTGCTCCCTAGCACATCCGTCAAAGTCGTCGGGTGAGAGAGCGTCTCGCGATGGATCTCGGCTTGATGAAGCTAGCGGTATTAATGGGAATCGGCCTGCGAACTTAGTAAATTACCCCAGCATTGTTCAGGATAGGACTACCTCCCTTGGTACGAATGTAACTTACAAGACCAAAACTTTTGAGAGCAGCGAGAGTAATTGGATTGGTGGCACATTTGGTCAAAATTACTAGTACCTAGACGATATGATAAAGATGAGCTCGCATTGTCATCTACATCTATCCGTGTTCTCAAAAAATAAGAGAAGACTTCGATTGGCTCACCGAGTGGCGAAGTGAAATCGCTGGTGATATCCTATACGGCGTAGCGCCCAATGCGTATAGCATACTCCATTTGACAACATCGGAGCCGAGGGTGCTCACCAGCTGGGAGGTATCCAATATTTCCGCCAGTGGGACTCAGTATCAGCATCCTTGAACTTCTCAATCCCCCCCAACTCCATCCTCATCCACATCCCAATCTCCCTGTTCTACCCTTTCCGCCCAGCTCTGTAGCACCTTCCAGAGCTGCACGTCGCGAAGATCCGTGAAACCCGTGAACCCAGACTGATAGAGCCCAAAGGACTGATCGGTAGGTATGGGGTGCTCGCTCTCAGGATTGATGCCCATCTGCTCGCCGTCTGATTTGCGAGCCCACCCGTGCGCCCCAAGCCCGTATGGAAGCACGAGGACACACCCGTCACTGAAAGCTGTGTTGGTTCTGGGCACGACCTCACTGAGGTAGAGCCCCGCGGGACCGTGGAGCTTTCATTTAGCGGTGTCCACGAAGGATATTGGCCGCCGAGCCCATCGATATGGAATATGCGGAGGGACATGCCTTCCGGCTCGGACTGTGAGGATTGGTAGGGTTGCTGGTCGGGCTTGTTTGGGAGGTAAATCCCAGGGGCGATGTACTTGATGGGAATTGACCAAGCCGCAATTCTAGTCAAGAATTGATACGCAAAGCTGGACGTAGGTAGGAACTCCTGATTCAAGAGATCACACCACTGAAGATTTTTTTCTTCTTTCGGCGGCTTCTGCGCCGGTAGTCGGGTCTCAATCGCGTCGAGAAGTCGCCTCATGGAGATTACGGATTTCTCCAGATCAGCGTCGGAAAATGCGCGGATCCTCCATGAAGGGAATGACTCTAGGGTTTCGTATTCTCCACTTATTTGACAGTCAAGAGCTGTAAAGATCTTTCCTTCATCAATCATTTCGAGATATGCATCGAGAATAACCTCGAGGGGTTTCCATCCCCAACCTCGCTCACATATCGCCGTTATATCTGCGAGATCGCCGACAAATGCAGCTGTTGATGTCGCTTGGTCAAAGCTCAAGAAGTATGAGCAGAATGCAAGTCTATATATTTGTACATATGGATAACTCACAAGATGCCCTGCTGATCTCCTGCTTTATACGCGGTAGCGTAGTAAAGAAACACAAAGCGCTCATTATCTAGGTATGCTCCCCGCTCTGACACCGATAGAAGACCTTCACTGTTCACCAAACCAGCCACAAAGTAGAAGAAAGAATAATCAGGATTTTCTTCACATGGTAAGAAGCGTGCTTGCTTGAGGAAGGCTACCAAGGATGGCGATAGTCGGTTTCGAGTGTCCTCGGGAGGTGCATTGTAATCCCACCATGTCTGGGAAGGGAGCTCATCAGCTCGTCTGCCACTGCCCACCCATCCTCTATAAAGTATCTCATTGTGTAGAGCCGAACATCGTTCGTGGTCCATGCCGTCCAGGTTGCGACCTGGATTCGCCGCAGAGATCCGATGGCTGGATCTTGTCTGGAACATGAAGAGGGATATAATATCTGATCAGGAATCCTGCTAGAATATTGCATATATCAAAAGTTTGTCTCTCATGTATACCGTGGCTGGAGATCGCGGGCGCTGAATTGAATGTTGGTAACTAGTTAAGTGATGTGACAGTTGATGAATCAGCCATCCATTGGCGTTGTGTGGAGAATTTCAGTCTGAAACTCCTCATCCGTCCGACTGAGGCACATGTACCCAAACGACACTAAGCCGCGATGTAGTAGGCATCATTTACGCCATTTAATTCTTTTTATAGGCTAGAAAACCCTAATATTTATCCTGTTTAATCTCCAACCAACTTCAGACCAATTACCTAGTCTTCCTCGCTAAACATTCCACAAATGGTCAATGATTGTACCAACAGCACGATCTGCCTCGTCATAGACTTGAGCAGCCCTGCTCCATCCATCCTGAACAGCCGTACTATTTAGTTTTTGAAACCTGGAAGTCCACCACTAGATTGATTCAACGGCTCATTAGTCCCCGTTGGAAGAATCCGTGTGTATGTGTTAATATCAGTAGTAATGACCATGCTTGTGCTGTACCTTTGAATGGCTCCCAACAGACGTCGGCCGGTTGATTTCTTGGCCTTGCGCCATGACAATCCAGCTACCAGTTGCAGTGCTTCCGATAGGCCTGTTGCCTAGGACCAGCGAGAGCAAACACAACAGTACATGGAGTATCTTCATAGTGCCCGGAGTGGAGGTGATGGGCATTAAGAAACCGAGAATCAGCGTGGTTGACGGATAGTCGTTCTTTTATGGTAGATTGGTAGCCTAAGAGCGCCCGACTCCGGGCATACCACGCCTAAAACATAGCCCGGATTGGTGGTTGTGGTCCCCGGAGTTTGAAGGTCGATCCCCGGAGGACTGCCGCTGCTGGCTTCCATATTCGGTCTTGACATGGTGGGTGCATACGACCAATTTCCGTCTGGAAAGGAACTATATTTATGGACCTTCCTACATCTCTATCCTTTGGAACATCAATTGTCAACATACATTAGCAACAGAAAAGCTTCATGGCTGCCGAGTCGAATCCGAGGACCAGCGAGACCCAATCGGTCTCTTCCCAGGGAGGTACGAAAGGTGAGTTTTCTTAGATGCTTTTGTCTGTATTCTAAGAGAAAATAACAAATTCAATTAACAGACACCCTTCCTGGTGAGAAACACCCCAAGGACAAACATGTCTACATCGCGGATACACTCCCTCTGCATCGACAGATCCCCTTCATCCTGACCATCTGCTCGGCCATGTACACGAATCAGCTCGGACTGGGCCAAACAATGGACATTGTCCGTGTCATTGGAGATTGGTACGGAATTACCAACAGCAACGAGCTGTCATGGTTGGTGGCCGGCTACAGCTTGACCATTGGCACCTTCGTCCTGATCGCCGGCCGACTGGGCGACGACTTTGGACATAAGAGAATGTTCATCATCGGCATGGGCTGGTACGCACTGTGGACGCTCGTCTGCGGTCTGGCCGTCTATTCCACGCAGGTTCTCTTCATCTTCGCCTGTGTCTTCCAGGGAATGGGACCAGCCGTGATGCTGCCCAACGCGATCGCCATTCTGGGGCAGTCGTACGCCCCGGCCCACGCAAGAACATGGCTTTTGCATTCTTCGGCGGCAGTGCGCCCTTTGGTGCCATCTCCGGCTTTGCAACGGGCGGCCTCTTTGCGCTGGCCTGGTGGCCGTGGGCGTACTGGAGCGCGGCCATCGCACTTGCTTGTCTGGCCGTCTTCGCCGTCTAGTCCATCCCGCCTCAACCGATGAGTACTACATCCAAACCTCGGACAATTATCCAGAAGATCGCACATCTGGACCTCTCAGGTTGCATTACTGGCGTGGCCTCGCTGGTTCTGATCAATTTTGCGTGGAACCAAGCCGCCGGGGTCAGCTGGCAAGAACCATACGTCTATGTGTGCCTCATCCTGGGGTTCCTCTTCGCGGCCGCCTTCTTCTGGGTGGAACTGCACTGGTCTAAAGATCCCATCCTGCCCCTGGCGGCTTTCAACTCGGATATTGCCTTCGTGTTAGGCTGCACCGCCTGTGGCTGGGCGACCTTCGGGATCTAGGTATACTACGCTGCCGTCTTTGTCATGGAGCTGGATAACGTCAGCCCTTTGCTCCTCGCGGCCTGGTACAGCCCAGTAATACCTTCGGGACTCACTTCAGCACTGGCAGTGGGGAAGCTGCTTGGTCGCGTCTCAGCCGCATGGGTCATGGTCATCGGCATGGTGGCGTACCTGATCAGGTCAGTCCTCATTGCCACGATGCCGACGCACCAGATCTACTGGGGAATTTCTTCTGGAGTGTGCTTATCATCTGTGTTGGTATGGACTCATCTTTCCCCGCTGCGACAATTATCTTCTCCGATGCTGTGCCGCTGAAGTATCAGGGTATCGGCGCTAGTGTGGTCATGACTATCGTGAACTATAGTATTTCGCTGGGGCTGGGCTTTGCTGGGACGGTGGAGCGCGAGGTCAATCGTGGGGGCCACACCTATGATGATAAGAAGAGAGGCTATCGTGGTGCATTCTACTTTGAGGTTGGGTTGGCCGGATTGGGCTTGATGATGAGCCTGGTCTTTTTGGTCAAGGATCACCTGCGTAAAAAGGCCAAGAAGGCAGCTGCGGATGATGAGAGTGCTTAAGAAGAGTGCAAGTAAGGCGAAAGTGGGAAGAGGAGGTTATGGTCCAATGTTGGTGCATGTCAGACAGTGAATGAATTAGACCTTTGACTATTGCTAATTCCTTACCTTTTCTCTCCCCTCGTAGTTTTATTTTTTAATTTTGACCCCTTCCTGCCGTGTATATCTTGAAAGTCTGCTGTTGCCTGGCAGGAACTACTAAATCCAAACACCCTCGTATAGTCTCACACTAAAACTGTCAACCACGGATGACCCACCATAGACAACCAAGTATAGCCAATTGTTGTCTTTTAGTTGAGTATAACCCACGCAGCGGGGACTCTACCTGCTTAAGTTTAGCGGTGATTTTATTCTCCTTAAAAGGGGCATCCACCCTGGACAGGAAAACAGGAAACAACCAGCACACAATACATACAGAGAAATGAGCAGCATGGTTGAGCCATTCAATGATATCGAGGCATGGGCCTCTATGGAGAGCCTTTATGACAAAGCAATTCATTCACCATCGGAGATAACTCAGGAAGAGAAACATGCTATACTGGAATGGCCATCTTTGGAGCAAATGGAGGAGACAAGTCAAAAATACGTTGGCAAGTCTTTGCAAGATCTCATTCATACAGCGGCCAATGATCCACGCGCTCTCACCTATGCGGAATGCCGCTTGATTGATGAGGATTTCAAGATACTTAGAACTCTTGATGGTGTTAAATACAGGAATGACCGAAGGAAACTCATGATCTGGCATCAGGACCTGTGGAACAAGTGGCAGCAGGCAAGGGCTGCTGTATTATCACCAGATGAACTCAAGGCCATTGAAAACATCAGACAACCTGAAGTCTATCTTGCGAAGCTGAAAGCTTACTCAAACCCCAATGCAGAGAGATACTGGACTCATCCCCCAGATTGGGTGCAGAGAATTCTTGACCGTAAGGGCAAAGGCTGGGGGTATGTGGTCTACCATCCTTCAATCATTCACGAGGAAGAAGGTACCAAGGTGGCATGGAGAGCGTGTTGGGATAATTTAGTGAACTAAGTTTTCACCCGGTCATGGTTATCGGCGGCGAAGAAATTCAAGATTCCAAGATCCTTGATTTTGTTGATTATGAAGCGGAACTGGGCCGGGTGGATCAGCTTCGAAGGTGTGCACTCTTACGGATGATTCTTAGTACCTGCTAACTTAGGCTGTCAGGGACTTTCGCGACCGTCGAGATAAAGGTAGTCTTAAACTAGGTGCTCTTTTGAATGTATTCATCCATGTGCCTACGGAATGCCGGGACACCTATCTATGAGAAGATGGATATTCTTGGGCTTGGGCTATTGATCCTGACTGGTCGTTACCAGGTCCCAACGCTGATGGCTACGACGGGCGTGTTAAGGTTACCTGGGCTCAACTGTTTAACAAATTCTACGACCTAATGTCGACCAACAAGGTCACCCTGAAGGAAATCTGGGAAGAGTTCCACGAGGTCAATGAGAAACTCCATGATGGGCCATTGCCTGGCTGGCTCTCCTCAAAGTTACCCAAAGAGGTTTGGCCAGATAGTTGACATATTATAAGATGTCCAGACCGGTTTGACATTACAAGCTGGGTGTTTCACCTTGGAGATGGAGCAGTATAGACGTCTGGATGTTTATGGCAAATTAGGGTTATCTTATCCGTTTCAACGTGACATCATCCCTTGATCTCTTCACGATCATCTGCATCTACATCACTCCATCTTCAGACGACAATGGCTAAACGGACACTGGAATCCTTCTACAAGCCCATCAGCAAACCGAAGAAACCGCGCATTGAGGACAATCCTCCATCATCCTACTCCCGTCATCCAAGCTATCCCTTCGCCATCGCGGATCTTCCCCCATCCATCGCCGACGCGCTCCCAGATCTCCCAGCCACCACCCCTCGCAGCATCACCAACCAGCCGCACCTGGATCTACTCTACTACCAACCTTTTATCCCGTCAACCACCGCCCAGGAGCTCTTCCACTTCCTCCGTCGCGAACTCCCCTTCTACCGCGTCCAGTACACCATCCGCCGCGGCCCGACCACCACCCAGATCACCACCCCGCGTTTCACCACCGTCTTTGGCGTCGACGATACCTCCCTCTTCACCCATTCACCCAGTGACTCTACCTCCCATCTAATCGACAGCAAATCCCAAACCCCCATCCCACCCACCAAATACAAATCAACCCCCGCCCCATCCCGCCCTGCCTCGACGCCCTCCGCCAACGCATCGAGGCCGCTACCAACGGCGCAGCTTACAACTTCTGCCTGGTAAACTACTATGCCTCAGGGGACGACAGTATCGCCTACCACTCGGACGACGAGCGCTTCCTCGGCCCGAATCCGTGCATCGCGTCGTTGTCGCTCGGCGCGAAGCGGGATTTCCTCATGAAGCATAAGAGCGCTGACGGTGTTGAGGCAGAGCCGGTCAAGTTGGCCTTGGCGGACGGGGATATGGTTGTTATGAGGGGGGAGACGCAGGCGAATTGGTTGCATTCGATTCCGAAGAGAAGAGGTAGCAGGGGAGAGGCGCGCCAGGGGAGGATTAATATTACGTTTCGGAGGGCGGTTGTGCCTGGTGGAACGGAGAATTATTATAGGTATAATGTGGGGAGGGAAAAGTATACAGATGGAGTGAGGAGGAGGGGAGGATGGTAGAAATCTCCTAATATGCGATATGTTGTAGCAGTTGCTGTATGCCAGCAGGGATGTTTGCAAGGGCCAACCAGGATTATTGCAACTGCATGGTCAGCTTTCCAGTCCCCGAGGCAGGGATACGTGGTCAGCATGAATACCCCGCTCAGGCTGACTATATATGTCAGGTCTTTCTGGCGATGATAGACCAGTCAGCATGGCTTCTTCGCTTCCTATCTATTCGCTGCAGGATGTCTCACAGCATAATACTGCAAAGGACCTCTGGATAGTAATCGACAAGGAAGTTTACGACGTCACCCGGTTCCAGGCAGAGCATCCCGGGGGTGAGAAGAGTGAGTTATCTACCGATAGACCAAGAAAGCAGTCTGACAAGACAGTCCTGCAGAAGGTCGCCGGAAAAGATGCAACTGACAAGTTCCTCGAGCATCATGACGCATCAATCCTCACCCGTTATCGAGAGCGCTTGCAAGTTGGAGTCTTGGTGGAGACCAAAGCTCAGGAGCCAAAGAAGGGTTTCCTCAGTAGACTATTTCGCGCATGATCTATCCTCCCCCTGTATTTAAGCACGGTCTACAGCTTCGGCCTCAATCCAGCCTCAATATCCCTCTTACTATCCTCCCTCAACACCCGCTTCAGGATCTTCCCACTGGCAGTCTTCGCAATGGCATCCACAAACTTGACACCCCCAGTCAGCGCCTTGTACCTCGCCAGTCTCTCCCCAAGATACTTCCTCACATCCTCCTCCGTGAGCTTCTCGCCTTCGCGACCAGGCCGTCTAACCACATACGCCCGAGGATACTCGGTATCCGCCCCAGGAACCACCACCCCAATCACCGCCGCATCAACAATAAGCGGATGCCCCAGAAGCACAGCCTCCAGCTCCGCCGGCGCAACCTGAAACCCCCGGACCTTGATCAGCTCTTTCCTCCTGTCGACAATGTACCACTTGCGCGTGCGCCCGTCGCAGTAAGCGATATCGCCTGTCTTGAACCAGCCCTCGTTATCGAAGGACTCGGCGTTGGCGGCGTCGTTGCGGAAGTACCCCGGTGTGACAATGGGCCCTCGAACGCAAAGCTCGCCGCGGACGTCAAATGCGGAGATGTTGTTTCCGTTTTCGTCGATTAGTCTGAGCACAGTTAGTGAAATGGCTTAAGAAGGTAGAGGGAGGGGGGCGACTGTACTTGGCTTCGAGATTCGGGACTAGCCGGCCCACGGACCCCGTGTCGTCGTCTTCCGGGTACGTGAACATCGTGGCGATGGCGGAGGTTTCTGTCATTCCCCAGACCTGGGTGAACGGCGTGCCCTCTTTGAGGAGGGTGTGGAACCGCGTTTGCACTTCTTTATCGAGCGGGGCGGCGCCGCAGTTGACGTTCTTGATGGAGTGCAGGAAGGGCCTGGTCTGCGAGAACGGAGACGCCAGGATGGCGATGGCCATGGGCGGGACGACGGCCAGGTCGGTCGCCTGGTATTTCTCGTTGGCCACCAGGTACGTCTCGAGATCGAAGCGGCGCATCATGTAGACGGTGTGCCCGGCTTTGATGGCGCTGAAGTGGGTCACGATCGCGGCTGCGACGTGGAAGACGGGCATTGCGACAACGCGGGAAACCTGGTATGGTCGGGGATGCACCTCGAAGACCAACTCGTGCTGCGCGATGAGGTTGTGATGCGTGATGGTCACGGCTTTGGGAGGCCCGTCGTCCCACTGCTGAATAGTCGTGCGGCGGTGGTTTCCTTGGCTCGTTGCAGGTCGTTAAAGGCTACCCAGTTCTCTTCGCCGTGGTTGAAGAGATCCTTCCATGATCGCCGACCGGCGGGTAGTACTTCCTGTCCAAGGACACTGAAGATGAGCAGATTCCCTTCGGGGATGCCTCTCTCCTTGACGGCTGCAAGAACAGACGTGAGAATCTCCGGCTCGGAGACGACAAACTTTACGTCTGCGGCCTTGAAATGATGCACTAGCTCCATCGTCGTGTAGGATGGGTTGGTACCGGTGTAGATACCGCCTGCGCCAACGATGGCCAGAACCAGCATGCAATAGTAGATCTATTATGCATTAGCCTTGCCAGGGATATCGGAGAGGGTGTGTGGTACATCATTGAAAGAGTGGATGGCAACGCAATCGCCTGGTTTGACTCCCCAGGCGCGTAGTCCGGCAATCAACTGACGGACGATCTTCCGAGCCTGAGCGCAGCTGATCGATCGGGAGGGATTATTGACATCAACGTAGATCTGTTATCGTCAGTATTTGGCTTCAGCTTTGATGTGGTCTGACCGTCTACCGGTCGGTTGGGATCATATGTATTGTCGAAGATGTACGAGATGACATCCACAGAAGGGAGGAGGACGCGTTCCGCCGGTTCAAAGATCATCTTGACGTGTTGACAGTGTAATTGAGGAGTCTAGCTACTGTGGTGTGGAGTGGTTGGAGATTGAGGTTATCCAAATCGACCTGTTGTTTGGCGCACGGTTGTTACCCCGCTCCGCCGAGCCCTCAACTCGCGGTGAATAGGTGCCTGATCGACGGCGTCATGTGGACCCTGCAGTTTGTGCTCATGCATATTATTCCAATGTAGTAAGCTTGTATTTATACAGATGAACCGATGAACCCACAGCAGGGGTCATCACCTCCAGATTATGTATACGAAACAGGTCCGCTAGGTACCTAGATTACCGTCCCCATTGGGGAACATTCAGCGCCATCCCCATGATAATCCCACTAATGAGACCAGCACACGGCAGCGTCAGAACCCAACCAAGGAAGATCTTCGCCAGCTGTTTCCAATTAATGCTCTTCAGATCCATGTTCACCAGCGCAACACCCAGCACAGCACCGGTAATGCACTGCGTCGTGGAGACAGGCAGACCCAGCCGCGACGCAAGGAGGACCGTAATCGCAGCACCGAGTTCCATGCTGTACCCGCGGGTAGGAGAGTGCTTGGTAATGCGGTTGCCGAGACTGCGCATGATGTGGTAGCCGAAGGTCCAGAAGCCTGGTCTCGTCAGTAGAGAGGACTGCAGTCAATAGGGAGGAAGAGAGACTTACCAACTCCCAGGCCTAAACCGCCAACAGCCTTGATCCAGGTTGGGGTATCGGTTTTGGCGGAGGCCACGCCGGTGTGCCAGGTCATGTACTCGGTGGTGAATGGGCCGATGGCATTGGAGATGTCGTTTGCGCCGTGGGAGATGGACATGATCTGCGTTGTTAGAATAGGTATCCATGAGTGTGGGGATCATAAGTACCATAGCAGAGCAGACCTGCGCCGTTGTCCAAAGATGCTCAACCTTGTTATCGAATTGGGGAGCCCGGCGATGGATATGATCCAGACCCTTGGACTGGTGGTGGATGACGTCCCGGGTAATACCATACGTGAAAACAAGCTTGAGGGTCGCGTAGATGCGCTTAGGGTGGGCCCAGGGCAGCGAGTCCAGAGCCTGGAGCTCCTTCTGGTGCTTTTCTGCGAGCTTCGCGTCGGCACGCTGGGCTTCGCTCTCGGCGGTGTCGCCGTCACCCTTGATTGGCTCGATTTCCGGGCTGACGAGAGTGGACTGCTGGCCCTCGGTGACGGAGCCAAGGGTATCGGTGTCGCCCTTTTCGTCGGTCCCTTTCAGGTCGCTCTCGTAGTAGTTGGGGACAATGCCCTTCTCGGGGTTGCCGGGGAAGTAGAGGGTGTAGCCGTCGCGCCAGAGGAGAGGGCCCATGGGGATGTGCCAGAACCGGAGGCGACGGTCTTCCTTGACAAGGCTGTATAAATTAGCACAGCTCTAGAGACCGAGTGAAGGTGACCTACCTGCGCCAGTAGTAAGGCACAAAAAAGACAGCGCTGATGACCCAGACACCGGCAAAGACACCAATGATGATACCGCAAGCCTTGCCCGCACCTAGGTCCTCGAGTTCGGGAACGCCATGTCCACCACTGATGACAATGAACAATGCGAGAATTCCAGCGGTAAGAGCATAGTAGAATGGAAGAACGCGCAGAGCCCACTTCATCGGGTCCTGGCGCGAATGCACCAACAACCGGATACTCATGAAGATGATAGCACCGAATCCAGCCGAGATAACGGGCGCAATACCCCAGGAGGCAGCAATCTGAGACACACTCTGGGACTTCCATCCCCAGTGAACAGGGAGATCCGAGGCGATGGCAACACCGATGAGAGCGCCGACAATGGACTGGGTGGTGGAGACGGGGAAACCGAAGTAAGTGCAGACGGTAAGCCAGATCGAAGAGCCTATAACACGTCAGCAACGAAGAGGTATCTAAGCCCGGCAATGAGACGCACCAACTTCAGCCACCACCATGGCCATGATCAGAACTCCAGGCGAGTCGAGGAAGCGGTCGATGGAGAAGACACCGCTGCGGATGGTCGAGGTGACCTGCTGTCCAAGGGCAATGGCACCAATGAATTCTGTGATGGTCGCGAGGATACCAGCTTGGATCAAGGTCAGAGATCTCGAACTGACCGACGTCGCGTAAGAGTTGGCCACATCCTATCGAGGAAGATGTCAGTACAGGGTCAAACGAGGGAGGTTCTAAGGAAAGGAAGCGTACATTGGCACCAATACCCCAGACAGAGATCAAGAAGAAGATGGTACCGACGGCAAAGAGCCAGTCCAGGTCGTGATAGACAGCCATGCTGGTTGTTTAGACAGCAATGTCGAGTCACGACGTGTATTGATGCAGGACGATCCACCGGGGAGAGAACGTTGCCGGGAGGGACATCCTTTATACACGTTAGGGGTAATATCATTCTCTCATTCATGCTGAATTCTAGAAAGAGACCACGCGAACGCCAAATCCTGGCCATGTGGGAGTACCGACCAGCGGCAGAGCATTGCATTAGACAATCCGACCATCAAATCACAGCGCCGCAGTTCAAAGCGTGCACTCACACGCAGTTCCAATTCCTCGACGAACCGTGATTACAACGACTCGCAGCACAGACGTATGTCACTGTCCAAGACACCAAGCGGAGTCTTCGCCAGGAGAAGCTTCCTTGTCGAGGCCCCAGCGCCCCGCCAAGTCCTCCGCTACGCTTGGCGTAATTTCCCTTAGGTTTGCGGGGCATATCAAGGTTATCCGCAACGGAAACGATGTGGGTACAAAAAAGTGGACTGCTGGTCTCTAGCAGCAAACGAGATGCAGATATGCAAGCACGAGTTGTGCGTGCTCCTGTCATTGATTCTAAGCTTCCATAAGAAATGACAAGGAAGTCCAAGCAATGCCAACCACGTCTGGTTCGAGAGATTGCCAAGACTGAGGTTGTGGACGATCAATGCAGCAAGAGCCCACGTGTGGTGGCGCTTACAGAACGAAATGTGTTGATTATGGGTCTATGGCTCGTGTTCTAGTGGATCACAGGGTACTATTGTAGGTGTTCTGAGTTTGACTATCGCATAGGCCGCTTGGTTTGGGATCGATTACAGAGAAGCCACTTTGCTGCCACTTACATCGCAGCTTCACGCCATGGCTTGAGATTATCTTGGGATGATTGGTCTCCAGTTCTCGATTCCTTGATTGCGCATTTGCCAGTTTGATAATGAGAAAGATATTCCAGTATTAAAGCCGAAGGGGATTACTGGCATTCTTATCCGCACTTTATAGCAAGACTCCAGAGAATTGTGCTTCTTTATAGCAATTGTCAGAAAAGTCATCCACAGTTTTAGATACCCTAAGCAAGGGCTGTAGTCATTACATGATTATATGATTCAGTTCAGTACGCGCCGTAACTACACAGTATAACAGACACCACTTAGACTTGTTCAGGGTCACGAACTAGTGGGAGGAAAGCCAGACTAATAAATGGACTTTCAGCCAGTGCACAAGTACCATACCCCTGTAACCCAGACCCTGAGGCCCGGTCGCAAATGCATAGAATCCCGTTCTGACGAACGGGCACGCCTTTTGTCAGATACATCAGCGAGACCGAATCAACTTGCCCGCTGGGTGCTCATGCTGTTCAACAGCCCTCGCGAGGTCTTATCCAAACTGGACACCAGCTGTCAGTCACGTGACTTTTGTACTAACCAATGTAATAACCCACGCTGTCACATGACCCAGCCTCCCCTTTTCATGTCCGGCCACGATGCGCCCCCAGTTAGACTTCTTAGCGATTTCTTACCGTCCAAACCTAGGTCATAGGTCGAACCGGCTTCTAGCCCGTGACAACTATCCTACTTCCCTTAATATTTTAGAAGGTAATTAATTATGAAGTAGATATAGCCTTAAAGAATATAAAGTTATTTCTTAAATTTTTAAGTAATTAAGCTATAAATATATAGTTCTAGTTAATGTAAACTAGAATATATATAAAATAGTAAAAATACAATGTATTATTCTGATGACTGAGCAGCTTTATAATCAAAATTATATAAAAAGTTGGGTCAAGTTAGGTCTTAATGGGTTTTATTAGGGCCCCAGCATTGGGTCTGGGTTAGGTCTGGGTTAGAGAAGTTCAACCCAGACCCAGGCTGGGTTGGGTTCTGGGTTGAGACCTTCGACCCAAGTTGGGTTATGCGGAAGTCTAATTAGAACTATAAAGGATGATCTATAGGGCAGGATAGATTAGCCTGTTGACTAGGTAAGAATCAGGAATGGTAGAATATTAGGCCTGAATAGTATAGGAAAATAGTAGATCACTTGATAACAAGACTAGTCCTTGTCTTCTCTAATATCAGACAAGGGTGACACTATATATCTTCACTGCATATCCTAGATGCTTGCAGTGATGATACGAAAACAGTCCAAGGCCTGAAAACAGAAGACTGAGCACAATGACAATAAGGGGTTAAAGCATAGCACTGCTTAATCCATTACACTCCGAGGTTGAGTTTCTCTGGAGAGAAATTCCCTGGAATATTGGTGCGCTTTCTGTCTGGATCCGCTCAGGGTAAAGATTCCCAATGAATACGCGTATTTATCAGATTGTGCTAATACGTAGTATGATCTTGGGCCCACTCGGACGAAAAAAAGGAAAATATTCCAATACGCGTATTGAGTAACTGCGTAGGCCGGGTTTATTGCGGAACGGCCACCAATAGAAATGGTCCAAAAACTACAGAGCCAATTACGCGAGACAGCAGGGTCGCCATAACGGTGATCAGTGGGGTTTTTAAGGGGTCGTATTGTAACGTATATGGCTCAAAAGAACGAATTCGTATGATGGATTAGACAGTGCATACCAGATCAAGCCGCAATATCACTGTGGTTTGACAGTAGTTGGAGCTTGGATGACAGTAATGGGCTATGATAATAACTTGTTTGATGAAATGGAAAGGATGAATATTGTGGGGCTCAGCTGTTTCCTAAGGTCCAATTCATCTAGAGAGTACGTCTATATAAATCGTTACAACCAGCTCATGCCGATAATCAAATATCCTCTCCGTTACTCCAGTTTTCAATCAATATGTTGGTATCCCTGAACATCTTGTCCTGTCTAAGTGCGATTCTGGCGGGGCTGGCGTCCGCCTCCAGATGCTCGCCCGCCTTTATCGACAAGCCGGACTTACTCGGGGCTTCAATTATCAATATCGAAGCAGAAGAAGCCCATAACTATTCTGCTGTCAGTATTGCCCCGGGAAGCAACGAAGGCGGCCGATATACCATCAGTTTTTGCAACGTCACAGTTACCCACACTCATTCTGGTTGGAACGACACAATCCACACTCAAGTTTGGCTCCCACTCGAGGGTTGGAATGGTAGATTCCAGGCGTTAGGTGGTGGAGGTTACAGCGTCGGGTTTGGTTCCACATACCTCACATATTCAGTCGCAACTGGATTCGCATCTGCCTCTAGTGATGGAGGTCTTCCTGGTGGAAGTGGAACAGACGCTATTCCTACGGACCTATCCTGGGCTCTTAGCAGCAAGAACAACGTTGACTGGCTTCACCTGGAAGATTATGCTGCAACGGCGACAAACGATATGGCTGTGATAGGACAGCAGATCACCAAATCTTACTACCAAAAGCCAGCAAGTTTCTCCTATTTTGCTGGATGCTCTGGTGGCGGTCGACAAGGGCTTCTGATGGCGCAAAGGTACCCGAACGTTTTTGATGGAATTTTAGCGATCGCTCCAGCTGTCAATATACAAAACTTCATTCCTGCTGGTATGTGGGCCTCACAAGTCATGAATGAGCTTGGCCACTATCCGTCGCCATGTGAGATTGAGGCGTTCACAAAGGCAGCAGTTATGGCCTGTGATCGTCTAGACGGAGTTGAAGATGGCATCATCAGCGATCCAGATCGCTGTCATGTTACTGCTTATGACTTGGTTGGAAAAAAATACACCTGCAACGGGGTCCAAAGAGCATTCACTCGCTCCAGTGCAAAGGTAATCCAAGCTGCGTGGTCCGGTTCGCTTTCGGTCTCCAAGAAATATGGCTGGCCTGGGGTTAACCACGACGCCACCCTTGGCAGCCACTATCTTCCCACCGAATGTTCTACAAACAACACATGCCACCTTAGCCAAAGTGCATTATTTGGCAGCTGGATCAAATATCTTGTCGCCAAGGACCCGGAATTCGAAATTAACAATATGACTCGAAATGAGTTCTTGGAAGCCTTACACTATTCGGCAGTTTACTACACATCTATGCTCGGAACGAATGACCCTGATCTCTCCAAGTTCAAGGCCAACGGCGGAAAAATGATCACCTGGCAAGGACTGGCGGACGAGGCTATCCCGCCGAATGGACCAATCGCATACTACAAGGAGGTCCTCAAGAACGACCCCAAAGCTCAAGACTTCTATCGATTCTTCGAAGCGCCTGGTGTTGGCCATTGTTATGGTGGACTCGGACCTATCCCGAACGGGGCGATGTCTCAACTCATGGAATGGGTCGAAAAAGATCACCCTCCTGCTACTCTGCATGCCACCAAAGGCAGCAACAACACAGCTAGAGACCTTTGCCCATATCCCCTTCGACAAAAGTTCATTGGAGGAGATCCCCGAAACGCAACCTCCTTCACCTGCACTGACGAATATTCGACCAGGACTTGAATGGGTATTTCCAGAGAATCCATGATTGGTAGCATGGACAGCACTTTGAAATCATGCCGTATAATCTGTTGTCCTACCTTGTCCTTTGTGTGTATCACACTTTACTTTCTTTTATTTTCGTGCTTTTTGGCTTCTCGGTTTGCATATGTGCGTTCTAATAATCAAATATTTTCGTCTCAAATATCTTCGGAAGCATTGGGATTATTGCAGATTGTATATTGCCATTCTTGCCAGAGAGCCATTTTCGGCATTCCAAATTGTCGTGCTTCTCGTCAGTGCTTGCTTCAGTGTTTACAAGATCAATGTTATCCAGGTTGGTGTATGTTTGACATTACAGTTGTTGTAACACTGTGTATCACAGTGTTTTTTGGTATCTTCCAACCTAGCTCATCACATCCGATCATTCTCCAATCAATCAATGTGTTTTCGTCTTCGTGCGTACTGGTAGGAAACAATTACTACCGTTCGCTCTCTCCCTTTGCTTAGATAGTATATTATCAGTCCTTGAGAGAGGGAGAAATATTTGGGCAGCGAGCTGGTCGCAGATCATCTTGTTCAGTTATCGCCTCTCTGTCCGCGGAACCTGATTAGATAGAGACCTCTTTGCTATACGCGTATCACCGCGTTTCTTTGTCTTTCCGGAACAGCCAGACGCCAGACTAACCATTCACCAGTTGCCCCGAAGTTGATCCGAATTACGACTTTCTAAATTTCGGTGGGTTGATACGATACCTGGTTCCTTTCTACCTGCCCTTAGGTAGGTACGTAGTGTGACTGAAAAAGGATTTAGTTATAGGTCCCAGTGATTACTGGGAGGAGTTTCTGAAAGCAGATCTCGAGAATATGTTACAAACAAAAAGAAAGCGCCACCAGCAAGTTCGATCTAAAGGCACCGCAATTATAGTATTAGTAAATGACCAGACACAGAGCCCTCTCAAAAAATTATGCAGCTCTATTAACATCAATTAGACGCCAGTCAAGAAGCAACTACATAAATGGAGTAATCTGCTTCGGATTAGAAAGAGGCTTAAGGTTACTATTGCCTTTAACTATAGGCAGGATGATGATGGTACACCAGGAAGAGGAGACAAAAGGAGCTGTGTATCAGCGACCAGAAGAATACTCACTAAGCATGAGGCACAGATCAACGCGGAGGAAGAAAGAACTAGACAGCCCTCAAGTTAGAATCTTATATATGGGTTAATGTGATGCAAAGCTCGCTCATATCCTTTAAAATCCAAGTAGTGCTGGGAGGATCCTACGGATAAGAAGCACTATAAGCTTAGGGCCCCGCATCTTGGACGACTTGTGGATTATATTGATGACAGTGGCAGCTAAGAGAGTCATGACAACATCCCTAATGATATCCACCAAGACCTGGTCCTGGAAAGTCAGGCAGGAAAGAAATCTAGAAAAGCAGACAACGTACCAGCAACGGGGTGCCATATACTCCAATCTAGCCAGCCATTAAATTATAATCTCATAATATCACCCACATTCATTGACCCATCCACTTCCACTGCCACTTGCTCCATGTCTTGGAGTATTTGCTCTATATAATCACCCGCGCCACTGAGTTTCAAAATATGTGCAATAGCACGGTGGACGCCGAGAATTGGAGAAGCATAATGTACCGTTATATTACCAAACACATTCCCTCTAATCTAATCAGCTACAGACTTATGGCAGTCCCTCGGCGGTGGCAACGTGATACTGCAAGCTGAAAAGCTATTAATCCGTTCAGTCGAAGGTGGTAGTGCCACGCAACGAGTCAGCTCGACAGAAGAAATCTACTCCAATGGATGACGGGTACGGAATTTGCCCGGATTCTCCTTTGCGGTTGCGGCGCACGCCACCTGGATGAATTATCGAGCTCTGACCCAGGTGAAGATTGGTCTGGGACCGGTGATTGGGTGTATAAGCTTTATCGAGGGTTGGCTGATCTTACTAGTGCAATACAGTCTAGACGATTGTATGTGGCTGGCGCTCGGCTTGAGGGCGTGACTGTTGAATTTGGAATGGTGGATAGCAGACAAGATAACAATGTGCTCTTGAGCTGCTACATTATTATAGCGGATGTTTGACAGAGAATTCCATCATCATGTTGAATTCTATTCCGATCGTTAGACGTTATGTGGACATCATATGTTGAACCAAAGTCAATAATGTGCGCCGCTGGAATATCAGGACCCTTAAAAGTCAAATAACAAACGCCTACTCTACCTGAACATCTAAATTCTTTCGTTAAGCATAAGTCCGCCTACATGATCATATGAAGCAAATGTATCAAGCATTGCACCAAACTCCATCGAGCCCATCCCTGCCAGTTCTGGTCTATACGCAAATCCTGCAGTGGGAGTACTTCCAACGAGAAGTCCATATTGTTCGTAAGACTTTGCCTGCGCTTCATGCATCTTCATGTTGAAGTTTCCATCTGTGGGAAAGGAGGATAATCCCCCGGAGGGATCACCTATGAATGAGACAGGAATACCTGCATTCAATGAAGAGCTCTCGAGTATCTCAGGTCCAAAGGTCGACGCAGTAGAAGTGGTTGTGAGACCTGGAGAATCAGGTATAGAATTAGGTCTGGAAAGCGATATTTGGTGCGCGAAATAGCCATCGTCTAGCGTTTGGATGCTGAGAGCGATGTTGCTACAAAGACCGGCCATGTAGGCGGCTTTGGACGCTTGAGATGTAGGGGAGGATTTGGTGGAGAAGAAGTTCATGTGGGCAGCGAAGGACGAAAGGAGCTCGGTATCGATGCGGTGGTCTTGCTGGTACTCTTTCATGATTGCAATGAAGAGCTCGAGGAACAACGTCGTGGAATAATTCAGGCAGATACTGGGACTAATAAGATCAAGATGTCCACTGTTCCCGCGAAAGACATACCTTTGATACAGTGCAAATTCAACGACGCTATCGCCACGGGTATCGCATGTCTCCTGCAATAGGCGAAGGCCGGCCCGCGCATATTCTAAGCGTGAGCTTCGGTTGTTGGATGTATGTTCCAACCTTTGAGTCAGGACCCGAAGTGTACAGAGTGTGTAGCGCAACTCAGTGAGGCGGAAGGCTTCTTGTGCTGTCATAGTGCTTGCAGGAGAGAGGATATGTTTGTGTTGGATTTCCCAATCGTCCAATGTTCGGTTGATCTGCTGAGCTTGACGAATGATGTAGTCTCGCCCCTTGCGAGCAGTTCGTGCGGAGTAGAGACGTTGGTACACGTCTTCTTGAATATGTGCCAGAGAGATGTGTGCAGAACGTTGATCCCGTGGGATATGCTCCGAGTTTGCCACTGGGAACGGCAGCCCACAGTCATACGATGGAAGAAGGCAAGGCTTGCCGGCCACGAAAGACGCGTGCTTCTATTCCGTAGTTAGCAGGGGAAAGGGACAAAACAATAGCTAGGCTTACATCGACGATGAACAATGACCACCACAGATCTGTCTGTTCTGCATTCTCCGAATCCGAACTGCTTTGATGGAGGCCGATGGATTTGGCTAGCTGGCATGCCTGTGCAAAGACTGTCTCGAAGGTCGCGAGAGAAAAATACTTCAGGGCGATCAAGGCCTGAGCATGTTAGTCCATGAATACTGTCAATCAAGAAGAGCGCCTACCATGCTCAACAGTGCCTGCACGTTAGCCAACTGCGGTCTCAAAAGTCTCTCGAAATTGTTGTACCCTCGTCGATAGTTTAGTAACAGACTTTTGATGAGCTCCTCTTCCAGTATGTTGTGAGTGATCGAACCAGCTCTAGTCGCTGCACTATATCTTGCATCCAGTGTCTGTAGAAGGATATTGTTGAACGAGATCACCCAGGCAGGGTCCGGACTGTTGATACTGGGTCCATATTGCTCTTCGATTGCTGACGTGACGCTCTGCCGGTCGTAGATGGGCAGAAAGGGACTCAGGCATGCAAAATATGTTTCTAGACAGCTCTCCAGAAGTGCTCGTGGTGGTAATGAAGGCAGCAGGCCATCTGACTCTGGTATCGACAGGATTGGGCTTTCTCTGGTCAATTTCTCAAACAATTCGCTGGATTCTTGAAGCCGTGACTGCAATGAACAAGTCTGGTCTGGTATGAAATCCGGTGAAGCTGGACTATATTGGCTGTCCGAATTCGAGAACGGTAACAACGATCTCAGTCTATCGCACGCAGCCTGGGCCTCTGTATATAAAAAAGTGATAGGGGTTGATCCAGGGAAGGTATGGTCATTGCATTGTTCGGAATTCGTTTCTAAAGAAGCATCTGTGAACGTGTTTCCGTCCGTAGGTGGACTATCGTTGGGGTCGGTATGACTGTCGTCGGACGGGATAACCGAGCTTTGCCGTGTAGCAGCGTTTGACGGCGTCTGCGAACGCTCTACGGCTGACAAGCAGCGAAGCACGGCCTCTTCAATCTTCCCGAGACGGTTTCCAAGTACTTCGACATCGTTCACCCTATACAGGCACAGGAGATTAGAATGATTCGGGTCAATTAGACGATACAGAAAACGCAAAGACGAACAGTTTCTTGGTGTGATTGACTCGCTTCCCCTTGTTAGAAAACCCACATGCGAGGTTGGATTTGCGACAGCTCGAGCACTTGGGATATTCCTTGTTGCAACGGACCTTCCGGATACGGCACTCATCGCAGGCCTCCCTGGACCCTGTTAACGGCGGCACGTTCAGGACAGTCGTGTCGTGAGACCCTGGCTGACTGGGAACAGACTTCCCCTTGGTCCGTTTCGCTCCTGTCTGGTGCTGTGTACCCATTGTGTAGTACAGAAACAAATACGGAATGGATGATTTCGCATGCAAAGCAGAAAAAGGGGAGAGCAAGACGGTGATACACTGGGCCAAGAGTCGAAATGATATACACAGCGCACCACGGTATAAATGATCTGGCGGGAGAATCCACCAGAAATACGAGAGGACTCAGCAGACACGAAATCAAGGCTGCGGAGCGGCTCGAATCCTCTGTCAGCACGGGGGATAAGACCCTGATCATCATTTAGAAGATGATGATCGGTATATATTCCGTACGGACCGTCCTTGTCCGACTGGATGGACATCAGTAACAGTGCAGGGGTCTCGCTTCTCAAACCCTGAAAGAGGAATAATCGGCAGGACATCGAGGGATACCCCTCCCACTTTTCGTGGAGTAGAGGACCCCGATCCATGTGAAGGGGGAAAGCCAGATGTAGTAAAAGTGGTCGTTCGTAAAAAAGAACGCAGCATACTATGCCGTTTCAAGGAAATGTGTGGACACCTTCCGGGCGGATGAAGCACTCAATCCGAAAAGGCATATATCCCTGTCGACCAGGGGTATTGTAACATTCATCCAGAGCCACTCCCTTTTGCACCGGCCCATCGTGACTGGCTGCAGTGCTGCATAATCGAAGGTGTCTACTGCAGCGGATGGGCGGCATCAACCTCCACATCCACATGTATTCGTTGCACGACCTCGTGGCTGCAGAAGGATCCGAACCCTTCACTCTCCAGCAGTGCTTGGACGGCAAAAGGCGAACTGAACGGGTGCCGTCGAGCCTTCCAGAATTTCGTTTCTTCGTCGTCTGACTGTAGGTTATGCTCGACCTCGAACAAGCTTCAGATTCAAGAGTTGTGGCTGGAACTCAGTATTCTACTCAGATAAGGAAGGTTCGTTGTTTCCCACATACCAGCAATTTTGGAAAGGCCCTTTTGAAGTGGTTGGACATTGCAGAACTTCCATTAGCTACTAGTCGAAGAGCAACCGGCTGTGCATGAGACCCTTGCTGTCTTGCCAGGTTTTACACCTGCAAGCTGAGATGGAGATCTTTTTGGAAATTCGGCAATAATACGCAACCCAGAGACCGTCGGATAAACTGCGCCAGACTGCAACAGATCTTACTCGGGGGTTGGAAGAAGGAGGGGCGGCGGGAAGAGTCCGGGTTCCGCCAAGTCGAGGAGAGACATCTTCAATCTAGCAATGGCGTTAGGGGCTTCGGACTACGTGTGATTGCGGACATTTCCTCGGACTTTCGCATTCTGCAGGATAGAGAATCTCCATTGCAGGCTCGCAGCTCCGTAGCCCAAATTTTAGCACCTCCTAGCCGGAATGGGTAATGCTCGGAATGCAGAATTGTCGAGATGGATTGCCAAGTGCAGCCATCAGAGTGCGTGCTCGATTAGTCTCTGATACTTGCCAATCATCCTCCACCGTCTCTGGCGCTCTTTCGTATTTCGCTTAGCTCTCAACGCGGGAGATTGACATGCCGAACGATCGATGTAACCTGGTAAGATCATACTCTAAGGTGAATCGTGTTTCAGTGTCCGGAAAAGTCAGTCATGATGAGTGAATATGACGATAGCTCGGCGAGGGTCAGTGCCGTAAGCTGAGAAGAATATGCACGATATATTCCTCATGTGGACAAGAGGTAATATTGAGGGATGCGTCTTATCTTGATGATGGCGTGCAGAAAAAGGACCGGATAATATCGACAGCAGCTGCTGGAATACGCTACAATCTGGGCTGGCTGATGGGTCTGCTCCGACCTAGCCAGCTCAACCCCCTGAATTAACAAGGGGAGTAATACCGATTGCCCACAATGTATTCTCGGTTGATGCCAAAGAGACAATGATGTACTCCCAGGATGACCAGATGGAGCCTCATCACCACATCAGAAACGGGACAGCAGATAAATGCTGCCTGTTCTGGGTCGTATGCTGGTTGGACAACAGACGTATTGTATTGGCCGCAATGACCTTCGCATCGTGATGCTTATCTGGCGGCACATTGCTCATACATTTTCAACCCTCATCACTGTGCCATCATGTCTTTCCCGGTCATCACTAACGAATCCCAGTGGACCGGTATATCAGGATCCGAGCCTCGTTGTATGCCAGCTGCGTAAGATCTCGTAATATCCTTGATTAATCTCACTATCGGTCGGCGATGATTTGTGGAAAGCTCCATATCAATATATTGCTTACTCCAGTAGCAGACCGAAGGACGTCCACTATCAAGGATTCTTCAGCATTCCCCGTCCTTCGCTGGGCTCTGATAACGAGCCCTGCAGGATTGATGACGAGTGCGAAATCACCTTGTGGACAGATACATGCAGCATGCCCATGCTGGATATTCCCACAGCCGCGATGGCTGAGACAAGGCAGGGATCTCTCTCACGAGCTCGTGTTGGCCTATGGTGTACATTCTGCTCAACACGCGGGCTTGTGGGAGGATCAGCGCTGCACTCTCCGCGGGGGAATCCGCTTTTCTGCAACGCTCTACGGCCGTCTCCACTTTGAAGGGCATTCTGCAGCTTGAATACTCCAATGTTTCACCTAGAAGATCATCAAGAAAGACGGAGGGGAATGCCGTGGCTGGAGGGGAATCTTGGCAAGTCCAGACGCGTTCAAGCGGAGGGAATCTCCAAGAGCAAATCCGTGGTCTAGTCTGCCTCTACTCTGCACGAGGAATGCCAAGGTCGCGCAGAGTCCGAAGGAATAATGCCCAAAAGGGCAATAAAGCGAGCAGAAATACCTTGGCATCACCGCGAATGCGAAGTCAGAGTCGGAGAGTTGCGGACGAGCAGGTTACTCCAAATGCCAAGTCGCTGTTAGCCAATAACAGTGCCCAGTCGGTGGCTTTGCCGAGCCCGAGCACGGCCATGATCTGGTTCAGGACCAATTATGTTGACTGACTGATAGTCTAGATTAGCCTGGGCATTCTCACATCAATATGGTTCCTAAGGTGGGTGGATTGCCAAGGGAGGGGACAACTCATCTGCAATTATACGAGAGTCAGCTGCGCTCGTTCGAACGGGCAGGTTCTCCGGAGTCGCGAACTTGAACCATGCAAGACGAACAAAGCTATGAAACGTCAGCATATATTAAAGCAGTCTGTCGTGAGGCGATTTCCGCGCGTCCTACCCGTATCACACGACGTTCTTCCAAGATTGTTACATTAATCCAAGAAAAGATCGACCGGGTAATCACTCATTAGCCTGTTATTCTCCAATATCGCCATTGTGAGATTCGCGTTAACAGATGAAGACTCAGCACTTGTAGGTGCTGCTAGATGTCTGGGGAGAACCTTACTCAGGATGATACGCCAGTGGACGCCACTTTGTTTCTGACACTTGCGACCGAGGAACTAACTTACGGACTGATTCAACTCATTGGTTCTGGTTGTATACGTTTCAGCGCTCATTGCTGGGAATCCTGGCATCGCCATCATGGTCGCAATGTATTCGACTACGTGGCGACCAGCGAGGGCACAAGGTCATAAGGTCTGCCGCCTATCGAGAATGCATTGGCTCAGTTCCGTTACACCAGGAACTTCCGGAGTCGTTTCATATTTTCTTCGATTCAGTTTTTGAGCACGCGACCACAGTGTGCTGCGGACGTGTCAGCGTCTCTAGGCCGTCAGGACGAACCATGCTAGCTCAAGGTCACTGAGAGACAGCGAACGATGGCGCTAAAGCTCTCTATATCTGGCCAGTGCGCCAGAAGAGTGTGTCCAATAGCAGGATTTCTACAAATGCGACACCGTGCATGCGATCGGACAACACATTGCTCCTACTGAAGTGCTACATCTGGGTATGATCTCTCCTCACATACCTCTGTAGTGAATTGCATTACCATCAACATAACACTAATACGGGTCTCATTAACAGTCATATGACAGTATCGATTGGTCTATTCTTCAGCCCCGGCCGAACAGCTGCTTGTGCTTCTCAGCAGCGCCGCGTTTGCCCTCGTCTGCCCTCCAAGCCTTCAATCCAGCCTGAATGAACGTGATATCCGCCTAATTCGTCGGCAAGGAGATTCTGAGCGTACTGCTTGGCCTCCTTTGAAACTCAGGGATTGCTCGGGGGAGTACGTTCTTGCCAGGGCTACCTTTTGGAGGATTGGAACGGATAGACCTGCGGCTCGCAGTCACTGAGGGCGCAGATGGTCTTCAACGCTACACATTGTGATCGGAACAGAGTTTCTGATTGTATTGTGTGCGATTTTGACTCACACGGCTACTTAAAACTGGTAGATAGTTGCTGTTGCTGCTTCGACCTTCCTTTCGGTAGTATATACACCCCCTCGCTAGAGCTGGATTCACCAGCGTCCAACGCGCAAGTCGGGGTTTATCCGTTCGCACAGCTGATTTCCATGGACAAGACGTGGAGGATAAACTCAGTGATGACATCGATACCCCACCAAATCCCTTATCATAACGTCAATTGGTTCCCATCGGGTGATCGACGGGACAAGTTTCTTCAGGTATTCTAACTGGACTTTGAGAGGTTCGTGTGATGAACTAGGATCCCTAGTGTAATAATAATGACCTAACCTAAGTGAACAGACCCTCGGTATGCCGAGTAGGACCTGGTTTTGGGCACACGGCATGAAGAAACTCTTATCATCAACCGATGGAGACTCCGCACTGTTCTTTGGCCTATACTTGCGGCCTAGATCCGGTCTAAAGACTAATGATTCTTCCACCCTCAGTGCGCCACGTACGAATTCAAACACCGACATCCCGAGTCTAAGTCGAGGTAAAAGTACGGGTGGGGTCAGCAGTCAGGCCTTTAGGATGCGGATCGGCCATCCTCCGAATATTATTTCGGGCAGTGAACTAGTGATGAGACATTGCCTGATGTACTCTGAGTAGGCTATTTGTTCCATGTTGCGGTAGGATGGGATTGGCGGGTGGACTATTGTGGCTGGACCGCTGGAGTGGGTTAACGTCATGATGAGGTTATCGAAAAGATCATCAGGAGGGCATGATTTCTCCACAAACATCCAGCATGTGGTCAAAGCGGTCAACACTCTACTATTATTGAATAATGATCATGTCAAGGGGTAGATCAAGGGATAGATATACAATCCAAGGGACAATCCATTGCCGCTTAAGGAAACCTTGGAAGCATGTCGTATGTACCTGTATTTTATCTGATTCGAGTCACCCACCCAGTTGATCCCTCAGCCTTACAGGTTTCAGGTTTTGCTTTCATACCTTGGGACAGGAATCTTCTAGGCGTCAGAAGGGTCATAGCTCCAGCTAAACACCACCCGATCAGTGAACGAATGTGGCTGATCCCCATTGTCGATGATTCACTGCACTTGAGATAGATTACGTCATTTACCGCAGGAGTGCTGCTCACCACCAAGGCTCCAGGTCCATGACCCTGCTTGGCTGACGATTCATCCTGACGACAGGGTTTTATACTTTCAGTGACTATGAATATAGACTTTCTTGCACTTATACCCCACGGCACTACTTTGGAGTAAATAGTTTGGCGCAAGTAAACTCAACTAAACCAAACCATCAACAACACAACGACATAGTCATGGCGCCTGAAGAACAGAAAAAGCGCGGCTTGATCATAGTCTCCAACCGTCTGCCGCTGTCGCTCAAGAAGGTCGATGGAGGTTTCGAGTCCAGCCTCTCCAGCGGTGGACTGGTGACTGCCTTGTCTGGCCTGACCAACTCGACGACATTCAAATGGTTCGGCTGGCCAGGAGTCAACATCCCCGATCCCGAAGAGCAGAAGAGGGCAGCAGAATCGCTGGAAGGAAAGGGCGCAAAGGGTATCTTTCTGGAGGAGGAGCTGGGACATGCTCATTACAATGGATTCTCGAGTACGTTACCCAACCCAAGTTGGCAGAACCGAGCTGATGTAATCTAGATTCCATTCTCTGGCCGATCCTCCATTATCAGTCTGGTGTCGTCTTCAATGAGGATTACTGGAAGGCCTACCAGCGCGTCAATGAGATTTTCGCAGATACGGTCGCCAACGAAGCACAAGACGGCGATCTGATCTGGGTGCACGACTACCATCTCCTGCTTCTGCCTGAGCTCCTTCGTGAGCGTCTCAAGAGCCAGGGGAAGAAGTGTCCGATTGGGTTTACGCTGCACACTCCCTTCCCGGCAGGAGACTTCTGGCGCTCGCTGCCGGTCGAGAAGGAGCTGCTCAAGGGAGTTCTTGCGTGCGACGTGATCGGATTCCATACCGAAGAGTACAAGCGGAATTTTACCGAGGCTTGCGAACAGAGTTTGTACGTGCCTACACTCGATTCGGATTGAGTCGCGCTAACAGTGGACAGGGACGCTCAAGCTACAGACAACAATGAAATCCAATTCGGAGGTCACCGTGCTCAAGTTGGTGTATTCGTGGTTGGCATTGACCCCAGAAGTTTGACGATGCGTTGAAAGACGAAGGCGTCATAAAGCGTATCCAGGAATTGGACGAGGAGTACAAGGACAAGATTGTCGTTGTTGGAGTGGACCGACTGGACTACACCAAGGGTCTCGTGCAGAAACTCCAGGGATTCGAGGAGTTCCTCAAGGAGAACCCGGAGCTTGCGAAGAAGGTTGTCTTGATCCAGGTTGCGGTTCCCAGTCGCGAGGACGTCAAGGAGTACCAGGAGCTCGAAACGGAGATTTCCACCCTCGTCGGGAAGATCTGTGGGACTTATGGTAAGTTTTGTCAGTCCGTTCGCAATTGCTTTGCTGACTGTCCAGCCACCCCGGAGGGCGTGCCTCTGATCTACATCCACCGATCCGTCTCCTTCCCCGAGCTGACAGCGCTGTACTGCGTCGCCAAAGCCTGTCTCATCACCTCTCGGCGGGACGGCATGAACCTCGTGGCCTCGGAGTACGTCGCCTGTCAGGAAGACCGATATGGGGTGCTAGTGCTCTCGGAACTGGCGGGCGCAGCGTCCTTCATGGGCCATGGCAGCGTCACCTTCCATCCCTCCAGCACTCGCGAGCTCGCCAATGCCATCCACCAGGCGGTCACGATGGACGACGAGGAGAAGAAGCGGCGCTACAAAGAGCTAAGCGAGTTTGTCACGACTCATACAAGGTAGGTCGATCTGCTGGCTGTAGAAGGTTCATGACTGACAAAAGCAGTGCCAAATGGGGCGAGACGTTTGTGGATACTCTGGCGAAGCGTTCGTCTTGAACAGTGTCTTGCTGGTTCTAATGCCTTATGAGTTATGATTTGACGAGGTATCTCGTTGTTACATCATTCGACGTCAACTGCTTCATGCACGGCACCTGTTATTTCTTCCACTGATAATTTCGAATAATTTTAATGGAACGGTACACTGTCACAACTTTTATCATCCCTGTAGGCTGTAGAACTAGGTAGCGGATGGATATTCTGCACTACATCACCTGTCAAGATGCTAAATATCTCGACTGCATAGAAAACCATTAAATGGAAAGTTCTGGAAACCCAGAACTGAAAAGGCACTCTCTCAGAGAGTTTGTTGTCATTATTCAGTTAAGGTTATGTTTGAGATGTCATACGATGCCATACCAGTCCATGCCGCAATGCCGCAATGCCGCAACCAATAAACCGACCACGGGCAAGAAACAAGCAATATCCACCGTTATCTCATTCTGCAGAATAGACCAGTTACCTATCCTATATGAGACAATTTCATTGTATGAAATCCTGCTACAGCCAGCATCTGATCTTGGCGGTGCTCTGATATCATCATGACGATCATCGAGTCCAACTATAATATATCAACCATACTCACCACTCACTCCAGTACAGCTAGGCTAGCAAGAGCATACACAATTCCATCACCCAAGCCAACCTACCTACCTATCTAGTAATAATAATCTAATCTACAAAATGCAATCCGTCCTCCAACCCGTAATCGGTCCCAGAAAGGAGATCCACGATCTCAGCGGCCGAGTCGCCCTAGTGACCGGCGGAGCCCTGGGCATCGGGTAAGTCAATCATTCTTCTTTCCTAGGATCCAGCTAAACAGATAGATATGAAATCTCCCGCGCCTTTGTGCTCAATGGCGCGCGCGTCATCATGGTCAACCGCAAAGAAGAACAAGGCCAGTCCGCCATCGACAAGATCAAAGAGGAGGCTGGCGCAGATGCAAAAATCGAATGGATCCCCTGCGACATGGGCAATCTGAACGAAATCAAGGAGGTGTTTTCTGGGATTCGCGAGAGAGAGAGTCGACTTGACTTGGTACGAGCACGTTATCCACAAAGACATGTTGACGCCAATGCTAATGCGACCAGCTCATCCTCTCCGCGGGCATCAATGTCAACCAATACGGCGAGACAACCGACGCGCTAGACCGACACTTCGAGGTGAATTTCCTGGGCCAGTTCTACGTCGTTAACCAGCTTTGGCCGCTACTGCGCAAGACGGCGAAGATGCCTGATACGCCGCCGCCGCGGGTTGTCTTCGAGTCCTCCGAGCAGCACCGCAATGCGCCCAAGGTGGTGCATTTCGGGTCTCTGGACGAGATCAACAACCCAGAAATTGGCACTACGGAGGTCTACGGCCGGACAAAGTTGGCGATTATCCTGGGGGTCAAGTATGGGTTGTTGGAAAGGGTGATTAAGCCGAACAAGGATAATATTTATGCGCTTTCGGTGCATCCCGGCGCGGTGAGTCAGTTCCCTTCTGGTAAATGATATAGCTAATGTAGGGAAACAGGTCAACACGGCGATGCAGCAGCAGTGGAAGGACGCGTACCCCGGTTTACTGGGCAAGCTGCTCACGACTGCGATGCTGGCTGTGGGCCGGAATGTCGAGCAGGGCTCGTACAGTGCGTTGTATGCGGCGACGAGTCCGGAGATTGAGGAGAGGGCTGGAACGGGTACTATTTCAGCGACGTGGCACAGCCGGGGAAGGAGTCGGCGCAGGCGTCGGATCCGATGCTGGGGCTGCGCTGTGGGATTTGAGCCATCGGCTCATCAAGGAGAAGGTCGGGGACGACGGACTTGTGGATTGGAATGCTTAATCGCCATATAGCCTGCTGGCCATTCAATAAACCTGCCTAGAGGTAATCGACTAGCTACGCTGTATCCTCTCGCCGCGTATCCGCTCTCTCGCAAGCTTCTCCCTCTTGATCCTCTCCCGGCGACACTGAGATATAGCCGCAAACATATTAAACACATAAATCCCACTGAACAACATCCCCAACACGCCCAGAAAGACGGCGACCGCCACAATCGACAGAATCACAAACCCATACGTCGTATCCTGAAACGCCGCATTGCCATTCAGCCGCGGCACATCCGCGGCCACCTGCATGGCGGACAGCACCAGCGAGAAAACCGCAAAAATCATCAACATCCAGGCGAAGTTGCGCTCGTAGAACACCACGTACCGGTTATACCCGTACAGATAGCCGCGGATGAAATGCGACAGGAAGAAGCGCACGCGGTAGATGGTGTTGATGCGGCCGAGCCGCAGCTCGCCGAACTGGTAGCGTTTGTTGACTGTGTCGAGGGCGTTGACGTCGACATGCGCGTAGAACTCGGTGATGAAAGCCTTCCACCAGGGCCAGGTGAGGTCTTTGGGGATGAGGCTGTGGTCGTGTGCGAGTTGCAGGTCCAGCGGGGTGCAGATCAGCCACATGTACGAGAGGAGGAGGCCGGTTGCAGACTCGTGCAGTGTCCGCGAGGAGCAGAGATGGCGTGTCCAGAAATCGTGGTCGAGAATGTACTCTGGGAGAGGTTTGACGAGCAGCTTGGTGGAGAAGAATTTCAGGAGGTGCAGGTCTGCGCGCTCGGTTGGGATGAGCTCGTAGCCCATCATTCTCTGGCGCTGGAGGGGGCGCGCGTTCATCGGTCGCCCGGCCATCCAGAGGAGATTGTGGATGATGTTGACGCGAGAGAGATCCAGATCCGTGCTGAGGAAGGTTTGGATGTCGTCTTGCACGAGAAAGACGTGGTGGTTTGCTGTGCGAGAGATGGTTGGTAGCGTCAGCAGCACATCTTGACTGCGGTCGGTGGTTTCTGTGACGCTGCCATCTTTAGGTCGGGGATTCTGTCCTCCGGTCTCTTGCTTTCTGGAATCGTGCAGAGACCGCGAGAAGGGAGGTTGTAGTCGAGACTGTAGATGTTAGAGGTGCGACAGATTAGAGTTGGCGGTCGTACCTTTTCAGCTTCAGCCACTTCAGCCATCGAGCTTGTTTCTCGCAAAACAGACAAGTGACACGTTAAGTTACGGAGATGCTAAGCATTTATGTCTAATGTTGTGTTGTACAGATGATGTGATGACGGAATTGAGCATTGATCGCTGGGATGCATCATGCGGCTGAGACGAGGCTGGGTGGCTGGGCAATGTTAAAGGTAAATCAGCTGGACAATTGCATTGTACAACCCAATGAATTAATGATTGGACAGGAAATAAAGTAGAATTAATGTTTGACATATTTCATATGTCTATAATGCTATGCCAGTTTAATTTACAAAAAAAAGAAAAAGAGAAAACAGCGCTGCCACAAAACCACCCAAGTATATATGCCGAAACATCAATAGCGAGACGGGTGACTATTGTCACTACCGCTACGACTACGATTCCCATCCAACATCTCGACAGTCTGCGACACATCAACCGTCTTATGAATGCCAAGCGCTGCATCGCGCGACTCGCCGTCGACGGCGCCCGCGTACGAGATCAAATGGCTCTGATCGCACCCGAGCTCGGTCGGATCCACGTAGGTGTCGGACTTGGAAAACCCCATGGAGAGACGCTTCTTGGGTGCCGACTTCACATGGCCCAGTTGCACGGACGAGTCCTGTTCGGCGTATCGGTTGGAGCTGTAGCCGGTCTTGCGCGCTCGCTTGATGAGGATGTTGATGCTCGGTAGACAGGCGCAGATGAGGCCGACGCCTCCTTCGGCGTTTCTGCGGGGATGGGGGTCAGATAAGCTTATAGAGAGATTGGAGGGATACATACCCAGACATAATGACGCAGGTGAAGAAGATGGTCATATCCGTTGTTTTCCCGTCGCGCACCACGAGGATCAACCGGTAGATACTAAACGCCGTGGCCAGGCCTCCCGCCGACAGAATCCCTATCACCCGGAGTTTCTTGTTGCGCGACATCTGCAGCGACCAGGTCAAGGGTAGCGGAAGGATGAGGATGATGAGATCGCTCACGACACTGATGACCGAGTCGGCTAGCAGAGCGGCGCTCTGGTCGAGACAGCGCCGTCCTGGTGTGCCCTCCCAGTAGGACGGAATGGGATCGCACATGCGAATCTTGACAATCTCGGCGATGATGTAGTAGATGCACAGGCAGCCGAGGAGGAAGTAGATGAAGATGATCTTGCTTCGGTACGGGGCGAAAATGCGAATGATGATGGAGAGGAGGGCTATTTTGACGAAGAGCGCCATGGGACAGTAGAGGACGGTGGCGATGTAGCAGAATTTATAGAACGCGATGATCATGGCCGAGTCGTGAATGTCGGATTGATGGTATCCGCCGCCATGTTGGCCGACTGTCACGGTTAGATGGGTTAGAGACGATACAGAAAGGGTTACCGACTGATGATGGCGATGGCGCAGTATCCCATGAACAGGGCCTACATAGTGTTAGAAGATGCCAATGGCAGATAGACGAGCAACTTGCCCATGCGATGAAACATGACCCTACTGAGGTTAGCATTCTTCTGTTGAGTGCAATCGGCCAGCACGTACCGTCTTCAAGTATCGTGAAGTGGCGGTACCATAAGCGGACGGACAGCCGCATGGCCACGAAGATGGTGACAATTGGTATACACAGACATTGTGTCACCAGATTGACCGTGTGCAGGACATCCACAGGCTGTTGGACGGCGTCTGCACTCATTGTGTGCGTCAAGTGGGCATGACGCAGAGGGCAGGAGAACGAAATAAGAACCCCAATTCGAAATCAGACAGACCGAAGAGGAACTGAGGTAAAGGAGGCTTTTCTGGGCGCCTCCGGATATGTATATTAGTGTATTTTAGCTCGACTGTTCCGCTCAATCTAGTGAAGACTGTTTAATTGTAGCCTGTTTTCATCTGTGCTGATCCCATCGGAATCCACTATGCAGCCGACCCGCCGTTCAAGATTTTTCATAAACAGTTTTCCTTTCTCCGAGGGAGGCATGTGATAGGCTGAACTCACGGCCATTATGAAGAAAATTGCCATCATGCGTTAATTCTCGTCCATCCTTCTAGTTTCAGCGGACGGAGTACTTTGCAGTGGGAACTGGATGAGGAAATGTCACGTTCGTTCGAGCCAGATCGATCGTGATAGGGGAACCGGCAATAGACCCGGACTATTCTAGTACGTACCATTAAGCGTACCTCCAGAGTTACCGGCACAGACAGGGAAATGATGAACATCTGGCCAAGGGCTATCCCGCTTGCATCGCTGCATCTCTCTACAGAGTACGGCAAATCTGAGACAGTCGTTCGATCTCTACATGTCTCACTTCTACTATAATCCTGCAGACCATCCTAACAATCCTATTGTCGATTCTAAAGTAATAGACGACAAAAGCTTTAAGTAATCGAGATGGAAAGCACCGGGTTGACAAGCAACGCCAAAGCCGTAGTGCGGAAAAATTTTGCCATGATCTGCAGGCCTGTCGCCATCTCGTCTCAAACCCTGGTCACGGGAGGATTTGTGCCGTCTTGAGTTGCTACATGATTAGCTCCTCTGGGCTAGACTGCGCAATTGTCCAATAGATGCGAATTGGACAATTGACATGCGAGGGAACGATAAAGATAGGTTTGGTGACCAGCGCGGAGGGTTTTTGGTACACTGGACTGGACTATTTCCTTAGTCGAGGCTAGTTAAGCAAAGAAATACGAGATGGCGCCCAGCCCGCGGCAAAAAGAGATGGAAAACCCGAAGCTTTGCCGGGCGCAATCATTGGTTCATATCAAAATAGCCCCGTTTCCCAAGACAAATGGTTTCTTCCGATTGGGATATTCGGCCGCTGACATAGGGGAACAGAGTTTGACGGCTGCTGTAGCCGGACGTTCTGGCTTCCAGTCCAAGTGACGATCTGGACAGGAATTGAGTTCCTTCTGTTGGTTAGACACACTAGTCGAATAGTCTGTATTGATCATCATCATTTGAATCGTGCTCGTGTGTCGGGTGTCAAACTGGACGGCAGACGACACGACACGACACATATGCCGGACTTGATGATCTCCATCCATTGAACCCGGCAAATCTATTGCAAAAGCAATTCTAATTGATTGACCTGAAACCCTTTATTTATCAAACTATTTGTCTCCTCGTGTGTTCGGCAGAGGGATTCATAAATGGCTGTGGAGCCACCGGTGGAGAGACCGAGACAAGCCCACCTGGTGCTCCGTCCGCTCCCATCTCCAACACTATGGTTGGACAATTCGCTAACTCCTGTCATCCTGTCAAATGGCGTTGTTTCCAGCCTAAGACTTATCTAGAAAATGATTAGTTCATCTAAATGGTCTGCGTTTCAGGGGAACCACGAACCGAGGAGGGGCAGTCACTCCATGCTGCTGCCCAGTTATGGCCGCTGTGTCCTTGTTTCATCTCCACCATAAATTCTATTATCAATCCTGCACCCAATTCTTCAAACTTCCCTTTCTGGTCAGTCCATGGTTTGCCTTCCATGGTAAAGCTACACATTATCTAGCTGTCGACCCACCGCCGCAGAGTCACTGTTTATCATCCGTAGTTACGGTTTAGGTTGCCCGACCAGAGACAGCACCGCCAAAATGACGATCCGCAAGCTCGACGGCGAAGACTCGATGCTCTTCCAGCCCCTGGAGATCGCAAACGGCAGGATTCGCCTCTCGCATCGGGTGGTCCATGCTCCCATGACGCGCAACCGGGGCGTTCCGCTCAATCCCACCAGCACCCCGGAGCAGCCCAATCGTATCTGGTATCCGGGCGATCTCATGGTCCAGTACTATCGCCAGCGCGCCACCCCGGGCGGATTGATCATTTCTGAGGGTGTTCCGCCGTCGTTGGAGGTGTGTACTTTTTGAGCTTGCTAGAGCGCAACTGACCCTGACCACAGAGCAATGGCATGCCCGGTGTCCCCGGTCTGTGGACCCCCGAACAGGCCGCCGGCTGGAAGAGAGTCGTCGACGCCGTGCATGAACAAGGCGGCTACATCTACTGCCAGCTGTGGCACGCTGGTCGCGCCACCATCCCGCAGATGACGGGCTCACCTGCTGTTTCCGCCTCCGCCACGGTCTGGGACTCACCGACTGAATGCTACTCTCACCCTCCTGTGGGATCAACCGAGCCGGTGCGGTACGCGGACCATCCGCCCATCGAGCTCACCATCCCGCATCTGAAGCAGACCATCCGCGATTACTGCAATGCGGCTAAGACAGCCATGGAGATCGGCTTCGATGGTGTCGAGCTGCACGCGGGCAACGGGTATCTGCCCGAGCAGTTCCTGAGCTCCAACGTCAACAAGCGCACGGATGAGTACGGTGGCTCGCCGGAGAAGCGCTGCCGGTTTGTTCTCGAGCTCATGGATGAGTTGGCGGCAACGGTGGGCGAGGACAATCTGGCTATCCGTCTCTCGCCATTCGGACTGTTCAACCAGGCGCGCGGCGAGCAGCGTGTGGAGACCTGGACATTCCTGTGCGAATCGCTGAAAAAGGCGCATCCGAATCTGTCGTATGTCAGTTTTATTGAACCAGTGAGTTTGTCTACAAAACAACCCTGATCCGTCATAACGCTAACGTGCCTAGCGCTATGAGCAAATCTTCAGCTACGAAGAAAAGGACAATTTCCTCCGTAGCTGGGGACTTTTGGATGTCGACCTGAGCAGCTTCCGCGAGATCTTTGGAACTACTCCCTTCTTCTCGGCCGGAGGTTGGGACCCGAGCAACTCCTGGGGCGTGCTGGAGGATGGCCGGTACGACGCGCTTCTGTACGGACGCTACTTCACTAGTAACCCGGATCTGGTCGAGCGGTTGAGGAAGGGCATCCCTTTTACGCCGTACGATCGTTCGCGGTTCTACGGTCCGTTTGAGGATAATGCCAAATGTTACGTGGATTATCCCCCCGCTACTGCTTCTTCTTAACATGTTCATAGATGTATATAGCGATTGATCTAAGACTTTATTGCTGACGAACTATTATGCTGTCAAGCCTCCATCTACCACCATTGCTTCTCCACACATGTAGCTGCTCATGGGCGAAGCGAGAAATAGAATCGCGTTGGCAATCTCGTCTGCCACTGCAGGACGTCCCAGAGGAATCATCGCAAATTGCGAGTCGAGAGCGCCGCATTCGATCGACCGACTTATCATAGGCGTTTCCACCCATCTGGATCGTTAGTAGAGCACCAATATCCAGGGAGGCTGCATACCCGGGACATATGGCGTTGATACGGATACCCTGGCCGGCATATGATTTGGCGTCCTACTACGTCAGCTAGTCCACAATCCTACACGGAATGACTTACCATCTTGGTCATCCCCACGACAGCTATCCGACTCGTTAGCATAATCCAGACCAGTAGGGACAAACGCACCATGTTTCGCAGCCACATAAGGCGCAATCGCAATTCCCCCGGCGGCGCCCTAACCCCATACATCGACGCGACATTGACAATCGTGCCGCGTCCTTCGCGCGCTCCTCGAGACCTACATCCTCAGCGCCAGCATATCAGAATCACAAGCAAACACATACTCCTGCTTCAACATCTGCCTGATCAACGCCCGCTGACACATCCACACCCCCGTCTGATTGATATCGATCACCCGCTGCCACTCCGATAGCTCCGTCTCATGCGACGGACCAGGCTTGCCGCTGACCCCAGCGGCATTCACCCCGATATCGATCTGTCCGAATTCCTCCGCCGTCTTGCGGACAGCATCCTCGACGGAGACCTCGTCTGTGACGTCCACCTCGAAAACCGCAACACGGAGCTGGGCATTCTCAGAGAGTAATTCCCTTTTCGTCTCCTCGAGGAGTTCGAGGTTGACGTCTACAAGGGCTACTGCGCTAATCCCGTTCCTTGCAAGGACGTGCGCGGTGGCTTTGCCGATGCCTGATGCCCCGCCGGTGATGAATGCGGTGCCTTGGACTTGGGACGCCATGGTTCTGTGAACTTACTGAGTGCTGAGGACGGGATGGGGATCAGCCGCTATTTAGAGACGGCTCAGGCGGGGTAAGCACGGCACGGCACGAGACTATCTTATGGACTGGGCTTTTGTTACGCTTTCGCTAGTTTCCTTTCAGCTAAAGGTCTATATTGGACTGGCGAATGTATTTTCTCGCCATGCTATTGTTAACTGGTGAGGTGGTTGATGCTCTTGGTTTATGATTCAAGTAGCGTTGTTTGGGTGTCATCTAAAGTGTACAGCAACATCGCTTAGAGGCTGTAATAGACAATATCGAGGCTTGTAATGCAGTCTTCTAGGCATTAGATTAATGTGAAGGATTGTTGTGTCATAAAAGCAATGGTTAGCGTCACAAAAGGAAGAGCACTTTTTTGTTGTCGCAACAGCTATATATTCTCCAGTCTCCGGAGACTACAGCTGCACACCTGAGTTCACAAGAGAGTATAAATTTGCACAACCGATTAAATACCCGAATACTTATCCGCGTATCAGGTCGGATCCAATTCCAATATTATTCTTGAATCCCATAAATTACTATGGTTCCACTGTATCGCAAGAAGATGAACCGTGGTCGCCGCGTTCTCCGCGGCCTCCGCGGTGTCCGTGGTGACGCGCCATCGCGGATGAAGTCCTACTTCAAATTGATAGCATTATTATGTCAAGGGATGCGCTTGCAAGAGGATATAAGTCAGGATCCTGCTCTCCGTTTTTGGTGCGTTTGAACGTGAGTTTCAATTGTTTCGAACGGACAGTGGTGAGTGCTCCTATACTCCCCTACTTTGGCGAATAAGTACTGACTTTGCGAAGATCAGTACAATAGTGAACCAGAGACCAAGATGACAGCAAAAGATCCGAAAAGCCGCGATAATGCTCCCACGCCTGATACAAAAGTCGAATTCGAGTTCGGCGGCGCCCCCGGCGTGACCCTGGCCATGATCGGCTTCCCGCTGCTGATGTACTACATGTACATCGGTGCTACCCTCTACGATGGCCACCTTCCCACCCCTGAAGAAGGACAATCATGGACCGGCTTCCTCTCGCACCTCGTCAGCCTCGCATACACCCATGCCTATCCTACCCGCAAAGCCTGGACGATTTACTGGACCTTTCTCATCCTCGAAGGCGCCGGGTACCTGTACCTCCCGGGCGTATACGGCAAGGGGAAACGGCTACCCCATCTCGGTGGGAAACAGCTTCCGTATTACTGCTCCGCCGTGTCCTCGTGGTATGTCACTATTGCCACCGCGTTGGCGCTGCACTTCACCGGTATATTCAAGCTGTACACCCTCATCGACGAGTTCGGACCCCTCATGTCCGTCGCGATCTGCTCGGGATTCCTCGTGTCGATCGTGGCGTACATCTCTGCTCTGGCGCGGGGAGCGGAGCACCGCATGACTGGCTCGCATGTCTATGACTTCTTCATGGGCGCGGAGCTGAACCCGCGGCTGTTCGGCTGGTTGGATTTCAAGATGTTCTTCGAGGTCCGCATTCCGTGGTTCATCCTGTTCCTGTTGACGTTGGGAACGGCCCTGAAGCAGTTTGAGGAGTATGGGTTCGTCTCTGGGGAGGTACTCTTCTTGCTCATGGCCCATTTCCTGTACGCCAACGCCTGCGCCAAGGGCGAGGAGTTGATCATCACCAGCTGGTTCGTTTGCTTTCCTCGTGGACACATGGAATCATACTGACTTGGACAGGGATATGTACTATGAAAAGTGGGGATTCATGCTTATCTTCTGGAATTTGGCTGGTGTCCCCATGAGCTACTGCCACTGCACTCTGTATCTGGCCTTGCATGACCCATCCACTTACCACTGGAACCCCTGGGTTCTGGCTGTGTGGGCCGCTGCATACCTGTTCATGTATTGGGTCTGGGATACCTGCAACAGCCAGAAGAACTTTTTCCGCGCCCAGGAACGCGGCGTCACCGTCGACCGCAAGTCGTTCCCCCAATTGCCCTGGAAGTACGTCGAGAATCCTCAGTCTATCCCGACAAAGACCGGCGATTCAATCCTATGCAGCGGATGGTGTAAGTGATCTCTCCGGGTGCAAGTTTCACAGCTGACGAGGGTAGACGGCATGGCGCGCAAGGTGCATTATACATGTGACCTGTTCTTCGCTATATCCTGGGGCCTCGTTACCGGGTTCGACTCGCCGTTTCCCTGGTTCTATTCTTGCTTCTTCACCGTCATGATTATTCATCGCGCCAGACGGGATATCATACGTTGCCGGGAGCGGTACGGGGAGGCTTGGATGGAGTATGAGCGTCGGGTCCCTTATCTCTTTATCCCAGTAAGTTTATGCTGAATCCTTCACAAGGATGAGCTGACCAGTTTAGTACGTCATTTGAGGTAGACTAGAAGGAAAAAGTTGAATTGTACCATAGACAGATAGTTGCGATCAAGTCTCATTCATATAGTCAGAGTTTAATATATCCATCACTGAACGATGTGTCCCGATGAAATCATTGAGGAACATGGAGATGTCAGTGCTGTTCATATGCGAGTCAAACACATTTTCTGGCCATTCAACGTTGGGTAGAGCGATGTTGCTATCTAGAGCCGGCATGACAAGCGATCCGTCCCGGTGTTGGGTGAGACCTTCGAGCGTCTCTTCCGAGTCCACGAGAATCTGAGCCGTCCTAGAGAAAGCCGCGCAGATTGTGTAAAGACGGTCTGAGCCACGGGAGAGTCCCCTGAATAGCTCCAAGGATTGAACCGTGTCCTGCAACAAGGCCAGATCGAATGTGCTCGCCGTCGTGATGGCATGTATGAAGACAATGACAAACGGTGTGAATGATGGGTATAATAGAATCCTATTCCATTAGTGCGATCTCAAGTGAGTGGTCAAAAATGGCATACCAATTGACATATTCAGTTTGCTTATGGGTCTTCCGGTTGCGAAAATACGTAAAGCACTCCAGGTGACTCTGCAGGGCTCGCATCGCCGCCTCGTAGCATTGGGACGTGATGGCCATGGCGTCACTGGCCCGCGTCTGCGCCCGGAGTATTACGGTCATGACGGAGTGCGTGATGAAATCTGCGCAGGCAGCCATCCCGTGAAGCGACTCCGCATAGAGACCTTGGCTCACATCGATCTGGCCAAGGTTGGTAAAAGTACATCGTCAACGATCAAGACACTTACCCCCAGAAGGCGTTCGCGAACCAGCATCAAGTCATTCGATAGCTCTTCTATTGACTTCAACCTTTCTGTTTCAGAGGCCTGAGTCGCCGAAATCGAGTAGAGTCGATCGTAAATGCGCCCCTGTAAAGTGGCAAAGTCAATCGTGGTGAGAGTCATCAGGTCCCAGGGGCGGTACTGTGGGTTGTCCGAAGGTGTGAAGAGCTCTGCATCGATGTCATGGTTCTGGAAATGCGAAGCTAATCCGAGATTCAATGACAGATTCTTGTCAATGGTATATAACGACCAGAAGGCATGGCGTTTGGCGTCAGCGACCGGGACAGGATCGTGTTTCAGGGCGGCACTTCGGTGGAGACCCATGCTTTGACACATATTGAACGCCAAAGCGAGGTAGGTCCAGCACAGCTGGAGATCAGACTCTTCTTGGGCTTTGATGATCTGAACATGAATTAGTTATGTCCACTAGAAGTCGGAAGCACATACCCCGATGAGCAGAGCCTGGACTTTCTGAAGTGTCGGATCGCACATCATCTCGTAGCTTTTCAGCCCGGCCAAGAAACGACGCTCGCAGAATCCGGCGTATGCTGCGAGGTCAAAGCGTGCAAGATCCGAGCACTCTTCATGGAGATAGTCACGAATGATGTAGTATAACAAACCATGCAGAAGAGTGAGAGAGCCCGCGGGAATAGGATCTACTGGGAAATAGATCGCATGACACAATGACTCAATTTGGCGAACATCTCTCCATGAATGGACGGTTAAAAAGAAGGGCGGATGCACTTGTAGCTAGGTCAGCAAGACAGGCAACCGAACGAGAAGTCAGACTACCTTTGACTTTTTTAATAAGAGTAATGAGGAACTCTTGAGGTAAAAGTTCAACCTTCGACTGCGAAAGCGGCTCGATAACGGTGGACGATCCCTGCTGCCGGTCGAGACTGTTTCTAAGGGAAGACAAGACTGCTGAAACATGGGCGTCCACTCTTCTCGGCTGCGATGTTGCAATAGCCGAGAAAGCCGCATCTCTAGCAATGATGACCTCGTTGTTGAAGGATGATTGACCTTCAAAAAGCGGCGCAGAGGGAGTAGACGGGATGTCCACAGCGACAGGATGAGTGGATTGAGGTCTCGAGGGAGGAATGGGGGACTGAGTAATCTGCTGCAGAGTGTTTTGAATGGCTGCTAGCTGCTCTTGTAGCGCATCGATTTTCTTTTCACTGAATAAATTATCAATACATCACTTGGCCACAAGCTTTGGTATTCCATACTATTGTCCAGAGGCAGTCCTTTGCGGCGGTTCTGGAGTGCTCACAGTGACACCATTCGCCCGACATGGGATTCCAAGTGCGCCACAACTGGAGCATGGAATAGCTTTATTGCATTTGATCTATGTTGGTTAGACCTGCTGTGCCAAATGAAGGAATTTCAATTACCTTTCTCTGTCGGCAATTGTCGCACTGTACCGGTCGAGATTAGAGTCATTCTAATCTGCCTGTGGGGGTTGAAACGTACCGCGCGGGCTCGAAATGAGTTACGAACTCCCGAATTGGGCCTGTCTGTCATGAGGACAATCCTATCTTTGATGATTTCACATCGATTCTCGCTTGCAGGATGATCCCATTCGATGCGACGAAATGGAGCGACACACGTGAGGAAATTCGGGATTCTGTTGTGGCTGCTGACTCATCCTTATAGCGGATCCCCAGGACCCCAGCTTCTGTCCTTTGATCCTTCTCGACGATTCAATAATAACGATGCTCACTTACTGTAAATTTTCTTGTGTCAGTGGAACCGAGCCAATGCGTCAATGGATGGACGTTGTCAGAATTAGGCTAAATCCATCAAGCATGCCCGGAGAAATCTCCGCTTCTTGTTTGTGTCCTCCACATCCGAACTCCGCACTCCTCACTGGATTGCTCCTCTCAGCTTCCTTCATTTTCGACACTACTGTTTTGCCTGCTTTGAGGTAGCCCAGAGATTGAAATGCTACAAGGCTGATGGCATGCCGCCGAAAACAAGTCGAGCGAAGATATGTTGAGAGAGTTACAAATGGCGGTACACCACCACCAGACGGAACACGACTTCTCCTGAAGATCAGCGTTCCCCCGCATTTTGCGTATAGCCTGAATTCAAATTGGCTTCAATAGCAAAAGTAGCGGCTGCTGGATCATGGCCGTCTAACGCCACTATGCTATGGGCTCGTGGAGCCTTTAAATGCAGCGCTGACCCTGGCTCACCTGAGCCGATCATTTTACGCAAAAGCCGTCAAAATGTGGAGCGGCATTCATATATTTGCGCTCTTATCCTCCATCGGCATTGCGGCCGCAGAGGATGGTCTCGATGGCTGGCTACGGTATGCATCCGTTCCCTGCAATGGACACTGCCAGCGTGCCCTCCCGTCGCACATTGTGACGCTCAATTCTACAAAGTCGAGCCCAGTGTATGTCGCTGGACAGGAACTCCAAGATGGTCTGCACCAGATCCTCGGAAAACATGCCTCCGTCAAGTCCACCGGCTGCTCGGCGGATTCTTCCATCATTGTCGGCACGGTCGAGGCGTATCGGCAGGCCTGCAATACCGGCAGCCAGGTACCGGAACTCGACGTCGACGGTTTCTGGCTCAGTGTCAGAGGCAATTCAGTACAGATCGTTGGCCAGAGTGAGCGAGGGGCCTTGTACGGTGCATATGAGTACCTTTCCATGCTGGCGCAAGGCAATTTTTCACAGGTCTCGTATGCGAGCAGTCCGCACGCGCCCATCCGCTGGGTCAACCAGTGGGACAACATGGACGGTAGCATTGAGCGAGGCTACGGCGGACCTTCGATATTTTTCAAGGACGGCGTGATTCGTCAGGACCTCTCGCGTGTCAAGCAGTATGCTCGTCTGCTGGCTTCGGTACGCATCAACGGCATTGTCGTCAACAATGTCAATGCGAATGCATCACTTCTCATGCCGTCGAATATGGATGGATTGGCTCGCATCGCCGATATCTTCCGTCCCTACGGGATCCGGGTCGGCATCTCCCTCAATTTTGCGTCCCCCTCGACTCTCGGCGGTCTCAGCACCTATGATCCCTTTGACTCCTCCGTCATCGCTTGGTGGGGCAACGTCACGGATCAGCTCTACGCGCGCATCCCGGATATGGCCGGGTATCTGGTTAAAGCCAACTCGGAAGGCCAGCCCGGTCCAACCACATACAATCGCACCCTCGCCGACGGAGCCAATATGTTTGCACGCGCCCTCAGGCCGCATGGTGGTGTGGCCATGTTCCGTGCCTTTGTGTACGACCACCATATTAGCGAAGACAACTGGTACAACGACCGCGCGAACGCCGCAGTAGACTTTTTCAAGCCATTGGATGGCAAATTTGACGACAATGTGGTAGTGCAGATCAAGTATGGGCCCATCGACTTCCAGGTGCGCGAGCCTGCCTCGCCCCTGTTTGCCAACCTGTACAAGACCAACACAGCAATCGAGCTGCAAGTGACGCAGGAGTATCTCGGACAACAATCACATCTTGTCTACTTGCCTCCACTCTGGCAAACGATCCTGGGGTTTGATCTTCGTGTCGACCACAAACCCTCCCCAGTGCGAGACATCATCTCCGGACAGCGGTTCGACCGACCCTTGGGCGGCTGGGCGGCAGTTGTCAATGTCGGGACCAACACTACCTGGCTTGGCAGTCATCTCGCCATGTCGAATCTCTACGCTTATGGTCGGCTGGCCTGGGAGCCGACGCTGGATTCGGAGCACATCGTCCAGGACTGGATCCGCCTCACGTTTGGCTTGGATCGCCGCGTACGCGATACCCTCACGCAGATGTCCATGGAGTCCTGGCCTGCGTATGAGAACTACTCTGGCAACCTCGGCATCCAGACGCTGACAGACATCCTGTACACACATTACGGGCCCAACCCGGCCTCCCAAGACGGCAACGGTTGGGGCCAGTGGACTCGCGCGGATCACCTATCTATTGGAATGGACCGCACCGTTAAGAACGGAACAAAGTTCTCGGGCCAGTACCCCGCCGAAGTTGCAGCGATGTACGAGAATATCGAGACCACGCCCGATAACCTGATGCTCTGGTTCCACCATGTCAACTACACCCAGCGTCTGCACTCCGGTAAAACCGTCATCCAGCACTTCTACGACGCGCACTACGCCGGCGCCGAGGCGGCCCAGACCTTCGTCTCGCGATGGGAGTCGCTCAAGAAACGCATCGACGCGGAGCGCTACCAGCACGTCCTCACCCGCCTCATCTACCAAGCGGGGCATTCTATCGTCTGGCGCGACGCCATCAACAACTTCTACCATAATCTCTCGGGAATCGCCGACGAGAAGCAGCGAGTGGGACACCACCCCTGGCGTATCGAAGCAGAAGATATGCAGCTCGATGGCTACCTGCCGTACGCCGTTGGTCCATTCGAGGCCGCGTCCAACTACACCGCAATCGTCACTGCATCGAATGGCACCACGGGAACAGCGAGCGCTACGCTGGACTTTCAGACAGGCTCGTACGATTTGGGCATCAACTACTATGATATGTACGGGGGCAAGTCTCAATGGACGGTGTATCTGAATGATCGCGTTGTGGGCCAGTGGCAAGGGAACAGCGAGGATGTGCTGAGCCATACGCCGTCGATTTATCTGGATGGACACTCGGCTACGCGCATCACCTTCCGAGACGTGAAGATCCACAAGGGAGATCGGCTGAAGATTGTGGGTCAGCCGGATGGAGTGGAACCGGCGCCGCTGGACTATGCGGTGTTGCTGCCCCGAGGAATTGTAGATTAGCCGTGCTTGAAAACATTGTGATAGCATCTCAATTTGGATTCTATGGATATTATAGAGCTGATCATCAGGTCCGTGGCTGGCAGGTAGAATGGTTGTCCTCATTGCCAAGATTCTAAAGCAGGGTATTGATGAGACACAAGTCTGCGTACGAATAGCCATTTGGGGATGTTGTCTCGCTAGGTTGCGATGGTACCAGCCACGACCGAATGACACGTAGATGTTTGTGTCTGAATCTAGATCCCACGCTAATGGAAATAAATCTTTGTGTGCTTGACTCGGAGGCTCTCGCGTCTTGACGTACACTATGCGACCACACTGCGCCTTAATTTAGACAAGTGAGGTGGGACGAGTGGAGGACATCGCGGATAGCGGGAGCAGATGAAAAGTCGACCGAACAAGGATGTATTGGGAGCTGAATGCGGTGAGATCAGGCATCCACCCGTCCGATGCCATAAGAACCGCCTCTGCAAGCTGGTCTTCATGTACACGTATCGAAAGAAATAAACCCCTTGGGGATTGCATCTACTACATGCTCTCGAGGGCCTAAAATGCCGACAGCCGAGTCCCGTGTCAGTGAGAGTCACGTCATGTCAAACTCCGACATTGTACTCAGCAACAAGGGGTCACTGCACGTGGGATCAATATACGCCGAGAGCAAGCCCGGCGAGAAAAGAGACTGAACATCCCCGTTCATCCCTTGACCAGCTGCATTGTACCAGGCACTCTGATCGGCCGAGGAATCCTTGTAAGCGTCATTCCTCGATGCAGAAGGCAGACCGGCCGCTCCCTGGGGATGCTGCGATTCGATCCAGGAGGTAAACGAGTCAGCCGCTGCACGTCGAAGATGCTGCTGGGCCTGGCGCGCAAGAGGCCAGCTCGAGCTGAGGACTTTTAAGCATCCCAGCACGAGCACCACGCGGTTGCAGTGATGGTCTAGACACTCTGGGGAATGGATGCGGCTGGTTGCCAGCTGGACCATGCCGCAGAGGACGAGCGGGGACACGATCAGCGGGCTGTATCCCTGTGCGCTCGGACGCATGGATAGAAGATTAGAGAGTTGCTTCGAGGCTTCTGTTGCTTTCACATCGTGGACGTGTCGGGTACATGATGGTGATAGACGCAGGGGAGTTGTCGGGCAGATGGGGACGTGGAGGTCAGGGAAATCGGGGCGCAGATTGCTGCGTGGAAGGTGGAGCAGCATTGCGGCGTACTGAATGGTCGTGTGTGCCTGGAAAAGCATCTCGTCGACGTTGCCGTACATGTCAACTATGTCGACCTTGTGCCTTGGTAGGTGGTTCGTCCAGCTGATGAGCGCATTCTCCACGGCCTGCAGATGGTCACGGTGTGTCTCGGGCAGACTGTTCAACACGAGCACGCGAGCCAAGATGAGTGCTGCTTCGATGCGATAACTGAATGATGAATACCGCGAGAAACGAGCATCTCCGTCTTCTTCTAGGAACACGCGCATCTTAAACGCCGTAAAGGTCGCCGGAGGTGGGATCTCCTTTCGATTGGCGTAGACATACTCCTCACAAGGTAGAGGGACGTCGTAAGGTACATTGCCGCAGCGAAGGACGACCTTGGTTGGTCGCGTCGCCATGAACACGTCGACAATGAACAACTCCCACCAGGTCCGCCGTAAACTCTCCGCTTCGGTCTCGTTTCCGTTGGAGAACGTCGTCGCAAAATCTCGACGGAACATTCCCAGCTCCAGGGCGATATCGCTTGCCTGGGAGAATGCTCTCTCCGCCTCGCTGCACTCACTTCGCGCACACAGAAAGATCGAATACAACAACAAAGCCTGCACCATACAGGGCGTCCGATCGCCAGAGTGGCTCAGTTGCACCGTCGTAGCATCCTTGAAAGAGTCGCCAGAGACATGCAGCGAGTAATGACTCCCGATGAATCGCACCACATGCTGGAGGAAGCTGGGATAATTCCGCTCCTCATATGAGGAGGCCGGAACCAGAATCGGATGCGCATTGTGGAAATGCTCATAGTAAAGACGTACCAACCGAGAATCCGGTACCACAGGTTGTGCGTTCTGCGGTGAGTTCCTTGAGTCGACTGATGAAACCTCTTTGCCAGTAACAGGGGGACTGGATGGCCCTGCGGTGGGATTCCCGCCCGTTGATTCCGACAGTGGAGTCTGATACGCCATGCCTGGGAAGTCTGGGGTTACTCCCTGCAGAGGCTGAAGCAGGCTGCTACGGGGTTTGCGTCTGCCGCCCCTTCGCGATGGGAGATAGTTGCACGGTAGACGAGCATCCAAGCACCGGGAACACGAAGGCTTTTTGGCGTCGCATTTGACGTGGTGTTTGCGGCACTCGGTGCACGCGAGAGGAGAGGGACGCAGAGCATTGCCTTGTGGAGAAGCTGTTCTCCTTCTTCTGTCGCTCATCTTGAGCTATCTGCATCTCCTGGTATCAGAAGTATCATATCTAATGCATAAATAATATACCGGTGGCAGTGCAGACGAGGAACGAACGAGGCTCACCTCCATTTCGGGGATTTCGGCGACCAACTCGGCGACTGGTTGCGGCCTGAATACCCAGGCCGAACTTGCCACCATCCGATGAGTCAGCATTGTAAAGTCCTCCGGTCATGAGGGGGACAAGTGTATGCCTCAGGCACATGCTCAAGCAGGCATTCCCTCCACGGCATTACTGAATACTGCCTATCGTTTATAGTAATAACTGAAAAGCTATCACCCTATTATTAACCTATAATATTATTCCCACACAAAGCATTTAGAAATCTAATGTAAGTAGCAAGGAGAGGTCTAAGATCTTAGAATAGTAGAGCTAAAGTACATTCTAACTATTAAGCAAGTTGTTGATGGGTTTATAAAGCCTCTTACATAAGAATAATCTGAATGATTTTAGAGAAGGCTTAGTATTAAGTGACACTAGTATCTTACTTTACAGGCAGAGACTAAGCTACACAGGTGTCCTTTCCTTCTTTTCCTTTTAAAAATTTTTAAAGTTTTTTAGTGGGGGCTTTCACAACCATGATGGATGGTTACTGGCACCCTTAATAGTAATCGCCATTAAGTGAGAGTGTTGAGCATCACGGTGGCTGAACCTTGCGGCGGGGATCAGAAACAGATATATATATATAAGGCATCCCGCCCCTGTAAAAGATAACTGACAAGTGAAGTCAACCAGAATCAATCTTACCTCACAACCATGGATTGCTTTCACACCGCCTTCAAGCTCCCTCATGCACCAGTTTGTGATAAACTCATTCTTAAGCCCCAGATTTTGGACTCGGGACTGTCAGATTCTCTGTGCTTTATCAAATTTGAAAATGACTCTTCTGAAAGCTAGAGCTCTCTTCAGGTCAATGTGGTCACCTGGCTGTGAGCAGACCGAAGGATCATCGTCGCTGAAGGGAGCCAATTTCACTGGTAAATATTTGGAACGAACAGTCGCAGTGTGTCCTGGCAGAACGGCTAAAGTCGACTAACATAGCAAGTAATACGTACTAATGAATAATATGCAAGGATGGGCATTCAAGGGGCTACATATGGGTAGTGAGTCCTTTCCCATTGGCTGGAATGGATACTACATTGATGCCCATGGGCCTATAGGTAAGGTAAAGGGGAGTGACCTCTATCCATTGGGGTACTCAAACAGAGGTCTAGACCCATGTCGCTTGCTGACGGGCATAATACTGCCATGACTGGGGGGGTTAGAAAGATACGCGAGTTGATCGAAAGACAGATTTCCATCCGTACCCACAGTGAAGGGAAAGGAAAATAGTTCTTGCTTCATGCTTTTGACCTTCTTTGCCCTCTCCACCATTGTACTTCAGTTGTGACAGCATCGGATGGAGCGACAGCGTCTGCAGATGTATTGTCAGTGTGTAAGGGCGTTCGAGCCATTTCTCTATCGACGCACGGTTTTGCCAAACTTCAAGAGTGTAATAATTTCCCGGGACAATCCAAGTGGCTCGCGGATCATATCTAATGCTTTTCCTCGCTGTCTTGCTCTGGACCCGCGGAGCGAGATGACGAAGCATAGTAAAAGAGTGATCGACTCAAATTTTGTCTGAAGGTCCTAAGTGGTTCCTTCTTGTCCGTGAGGTAAGCTCTTGACCTTTTAGAAGAAACTGGCATTGCGCAGGTTGAGGTCGGAGCAGCCTCAGGAGGCTCGGATCTAATGATCAGTGTCGGCAAAGAATTGGGCGCTGACGAAACACCTTTGTCAGAAAGGATCTGTGCAGCTTTTTTGGGATCTAATGATCAGTGTCGGCAAAGAGTTGGGCGCTGACGAAACACCTTTGTCAGAAAGGATCTGTGCAGCTTTTTTGCATGTTAACTTACCCCGATATTGACTTCTTGTGCACGGTAGCTGAGGAACATCGCCTCCTCGAGGATCAACCGAATCTTGTTTTACAGGAAGCTCGGCATTGCTGCTAATGATGTTGCAATGATTAAGTTGGGACTGGTTGGACGCCTCTCTAGGAACTGCTGGTTTCTCCATACTTTTCGACACCATAAGGCTGCCTGGCGGGGAACCAGCTTGCAGCACCCGTGAAGGAGTCGAGGCCGGGTTCGCTCCAGATGCCGTATGTGACGCCTCTCTCACGGAAGGCAGAAATACCGGCTGTCTAAATTTCCGTTCTATGTCTTCGAAGATGTCATCTGCCGGTATTATGTAGGCGGTTCTTGTGCCAATCCCTCCGCCAAAAATATGTCCGTAGAGATGACCAGAAACCTCGTCTACTACCCATGACCCACATTCACCAGGCTGCACATCCCTATCAAGCTGTAGGGCAAACGCCTTTCGAGTTGTAGATGTTCCCGCCAAACGCATGTAACGAGGGGTGGCAGATAGAGCACCTTTCGAGATTCCGTGAGATGTCGATGGAATGATTACTTTGCGATCCTCATTGCCGATTGAAGCAACCTTATCGACACAGATGTCGTGTGAATGAATATGTGAGGCATCAATCCTATTCATCTTCTTTTGATCCTCGTTCTGGAGCTTTATTAACAGATAATTAAGTGATTCACTCCCGAAGGCAGCGGATGAGGCTAAGTCGGTGGAACCCAGATATTCAATTTTCGTTTGCTCTGTGGGTGGAGGGACTTGGAGTGAAAATGACGGGTCGTTATCAAGGTCGGTGGAACCAATACAAGCGCCACTCATGTGCTCTTCACTGAGCTGCATGCTGACCTCCGAATCTCCGCTGCCGTTGTCACTGTCGCTCGTCGTAGACATTCCATCCGAATCGGATTGGATACTGTCTTCAAATCCAGAATCATCGACCTCTTCATCCTCCTCTCCCCGGTAGCTCACCTGATACTTTTCATCGTCTAGGTCGATAAGCTTTCCGTGGACTTGAAGCTGGCTGTCCTGCTGTGATACCTGGTGCTCGTTTCGCTCGAGGATATGATATACTGTGAGATAGAAGAATGAACCACCGACGCATATGACTCCGCCAGCTGTAGCTTGTCTAATTGGCTCTTCGATTGTTGGCTTTCTAACATATAATTGTAGGCTCATGACGTTGCCGGAGGGTATGTAGTAGACCGTATTGCCGTCAATATACGCGCAAGGTATGGCGTCTTGACTTAGTTCTAGGCCTTCGTCGCCGAGAAGTCGCATCAAAGTGCTCATTTCTGGAGTATAGCGAGTGTCTTTCAATCTTATAGCAGGAAATTTTGCAAGGATTCCCTTTTCTCTCACCATACGTAGCGCCCTTTTCCGTGTCCTCTCGTTGGTAGAAGAAAAAACCAGATAAGGCTTAGCTTTACCCGGAGTACGCCCTCGCATGTACATAGACCAGTATAAACCAGCCGCTGGAGGTTCGAGGCATCGATCGAGATAATCCTTTACAGTCTCCGCGAGCTCGTCAATAAAAAGCTTTCGCATTGGCCCAACTGCTTCCCAGTAGCTTTTTCCAAGCTTTGAAGACTGTACCAACGGGCCCACGGATGTCGGAAGTGACTGCATTGCCCAGCAAGGCAAAATGCAATATAACAGAATAAAAACCTGCTGTAGAAAAATTGTAGTTATCGTTTCTTAACGCAACGAGAGGGCGGATATATACGTGCTCTGGACCGCGTGGGCAATCTTGGTGATCTCATTCTCGCGGAAAAATTGACTGAGGCTGAAAACTGCAGGGCTTCTTCAACCCCACTCTGGCTAGGTGGCAGTGCATACATCTTGCAGACACGGATGCTGATCGAAGCCCCGGTTCCAGTCATGATTTATTGATCTCGAGAGAGTCAAACAAAAGAAGGAGGGTTGGGAAAAAGAAAAACCAACAACGGCATTTGGGACATTCAGCGGTAGCGCTAATATCAATATTTAAAATGTTCTGTTGGTCGCAGTCCTTCTGTAGTTGAACTACATGCACTTCCACCCTGGAAGCGTGTCCTAAATGGCTTCCATCGACGATAGTATTTTTAGCGAACCCCCAGCAGCTACAACAAAGCATTTGATAGCTGAACGACTCTGGGGACCCCAACCCATCGTCCAGCAATTCTCAAACGGTGTACGATCCGATGAGATTGCGCTCGATGCCTACTTCCGTTTCTACATTGCTTCCTGCGCTCGCACTTTGCATTATAGCGGAGGCCATATGTCAGTTCAAACGCACCGGCAGCTTATGGATATAGTCCAGCAACTGCGCAGTGGCTGCTCTCGTGACATCATACGCAATTCTTTATCACCTCCAGACTCCCTTTCCCGGGCTGACGCAACAATCGATTTGGCGGCGCAGCTCTTGCTGATGTTGAACTTTACAAGTCCCCAATATGCCATCTCGGGGACCGAGCAAGTCTTATGGGCTGAGGGTGCTCTTGAAAGCTCAGTTCACCTACACTTCTCCTCCGGACCGACGCTCATTGATGCCGCCGTCACTTTGGATGCGGAGTTCACAGGGTACAACATTGAGAAGGTTGCGGATATTGAAATATTCTGGACAGATAACCTTGCTGATCACCTACGCTTAATCGAAGGGGAGACAAAGGTAGCCATATTTCATCACGTCACCTTTCTCGAGTGTCAAAAGCAGTAAGTTGTTCACCATTTCTCATGTATGTTTAAATAGTTAAATCAAACATTTAGTTCTATGCTCCCCAGTGATCTAGTGAAAGAGACTTTGCGGACAATCTCACTTCTTTTCCCAGAGGGGGACAAAAAAACAGCTCGGAAATACCGGTCTAATGCAGAAATTGATGGAAGGATATTGCGATGTGGTCAGTTGCATGGTGCCCAACGCGATATAAACTTTTTTTTTTACTGGAAGGATCGATTGGTGATGCTGAAGCAAAAGTATGATGGTACGCATCCCAAGACGATCAACCAGTGGTGGTGGGATAGGAGAAACGGAGTTCAGTGGTATACATTTTGGGTGGCAATCCTGATTCTCATATTGACGACATTTTTTGGCTTGGTACAATCAGTGGAAGGCGCTCTTCAAGTCTATAAAGCTTTCGTTCCAGGTTAGAGACGATCTGCATTGCTATTCTTGCTCCAGAATGCTGGACACAATCCTGCGTCAAAGTATCAGTGATTCTTCTTTAACCTTTGGGAGATAGCTTGAGTTTCGTGATTTAATGTTAATGGAAATTCTGCCTTTCCTAACTACAGATTGACATACTTTTCAGACTTCCAGCCTTGTGATTAGAATGTTGATTGTCATTTAGGGACTATTGTTGAAGCACAGTGAGACCATGGATCAGGCTGACATCATACGACGCCGGCTCTTTCAAAGGAGAATAGAAGTTCGATTTGTCCATATGCGTACTATTGAGAAGTCATGGCCTGAGCGCACTAGGAAGTCAAATCAGGCTGAGAGCTCGTGAAAGCCTCTTGATAGAGCAGAAACGTGTCTTGCGTCCATCCATATATTATCATCGGGTATTGCTCACGGATTAGATCAGGCTGAAAGCTCCCGAATTACCTGCTTTTAGTTCAAACGTGTCCTTCGTCTATTCGCATATGACTGGAAGAATGATGTCTGAGGGTAGCAGGGCGTTGGATCAGGCTGAGAATGCTAATGCTGCTTTGCCCAGCCCAGCCTCACAGTTATGGCCATTGCCCAATCATTTGTCCCCGTCCTACCTCCAGACACTTTGTACTCAACGGCACGATCATAACCAGGCTGTATGCTGGACCATATCTGCAATGAAGTACGTGCACTACATCAGGTCTTCAAAGATGAGGCTTCCATGCCGCGATACAGCCCGGGCGAAAGATGTCCGGGTCTCAGCCGCAGAGATCCAGACTCATTCCACTGAGGCAGACCAGGAAGACACGACTGTAGTGGCTATTAAAGTATCGATAAGTTCATATCCCACTATTCATTCTCCGAAAAGCAGAAGAAATTTCAAGCTTCACTTATTATTTAGACTCCTATTTGGGTCATTAAAGCTCCTCAGTGATTGATCCCCTTTATCAGTGCTCAATATAGAGGAAGGTTCAACCCAGTTCTTTCGGCGAATCACCTCGAGGAGATTTCCTTCTCGCCCAAAACTCAGTTCTCGGATCGATTAGATCACTGAATAGGATGGCTTCCCCGAGCCTTTCGGACGTGTACTACGCCTGTGGTAAGAATAAAAGATAATAACCCGATCTGATGGTGCTAATAATTCCAGATTATGTGATTGGAAAAACATTGCTTTCGACTTATATTACTCTAGAAAACGCCTCCCAGGTGGAGCAAAATACAGAAGGGAGGGTCCTTGAGGTTAGTTGAATAGCTTCAACCAGCGGATTTCTTTACTCGCTTAATTACTTTTCTACCTCTTTGCTGTTCTGCTCTCTTTCCTAGTGTACTCGAAGCTCTACTAAAACGAAAGATAGGACAAAGTCAACCAGTTCCTAGAGAGGTTCGACTATAGAAGAGCACTTCAAAGCCTGAAAAATGAGTGCACCTTCCCAAGCGAGAATGTTCAGTATGATTTCAGGAAAGACTTCTTTCGGGCGTTTGGCTTTCTGCATCGCACAAAGCCAGAAGAACTTTATAAAACCATTACAGAGAACTGCATCATTCCAGAGATCCAAGATCTTGACGCAGAGAGACCTGAGGCTCACGCGGGGACCCTGCGAAGTGCATCAAGCTCTAACCATCGCGACGAAAATTCGCCCCCGCCGTACTCCTATGTGAGGACGGAGTCTGAGCAGACAAACATCGAACTGCACCTTCCAGAACGATCCAGTGTTGAGATCTGGAGGTACACCTCTCGTTTGTGGGAAGAAGTCCAGTGCTGTAATGAAGTACCTGAGGTCTATGATGAAATGATAAGCAGCTATCCGACTCGATTTAGATGCGCGGTGAAGTTTCGTGGAAGGCAAGGCAGAGGAGAAGCTTCTAGCAAGAAACAAGCAAAGCACATTGCTTCGAAAGACGTCTGCGAGCAACTGGGAATTCACCTGTGAAATACATGCTGTTTATTTATCCTTTCTGCGATTACTTGAGGCCTTTCCTTTGCACGCTGCTTCTAGGAAGAGCCTGTCCAAACAGCAATTTGAAGCCAGTAAACGTCATATGAGCAGCTTGCTGGGATTTCACTACTCTGACTTCGCATAGCGTATATAATGACCAAAATTTGTAGCCTAGCAACCGAGTTCAAGGTCGTCTCCGAATTCTGGCCAGGCTAACAATACAAGCTAATTATTGAAGATTGGAACAAGATAGCTAACTTTGATATTACTGTGTTCTACTTTCTCTAAAACTTCGAATTAAGATCAATCTAAGAATATCATTAAGACCTTAAGCCTGAAGAAGGACTCTTTGGCTTTATCTGACCTCCAAAAACTGGTCTCTGATGCTGAAAATATAATAGGGCTTGAGCTTTTCCGAAAATAGTCAACACCGCCCGCGGCGGATGGCCATTTAACTGAAAACAACCATTATCACTAGTATGTTGTTGTCAGAACAATCATAATCCACTGTGACCGTTGGTTCAAGCAGAGAGGAATCCTACGGATGGTGTACTGTTCCACTTATTGATGGGGAGAAGGCTATACTAGCTATTAGTGTCAAACTTAATTTGATCTAGAGAAAGGTTGGTTATTCTCAGTCTCGGCCTCATCAAGATGTACCACCAGGTAAATTAATATCAGCCCTACTACATAGAATACATACACTGGTGAGTTAAATCAACATCTGAAGACGTGCATTTTGCGTTTCCCATGTAGACCTCCATCTCAGGGAGAGGAATCGATGAGCTGCTTTATGGATTCCATTAATCATCTTTTCTAAAATGCCATGTTTCCGTGGGCGACAGCGTTCAGTACTTAGGTTCAGATCAAGCATTAGAACATCTGGACGGAATGAATTGCACCTTCATGTAGAAGATGCCAGCTTGGGAGGCTTGCTAGATCTCCCGTGCTAATTCCTGCCGCTCTTGTATTTTGGAGGAGTGCAATTTGGAGAGACCAAGATAAGAGTGCTCTCAAAACCCACCTTTTGGAGATGCGGGCTTGGTCGTGGTTGCTTGGTCGTGGTGGCTTGGTGGAAGCATGGCTACAGCGTGGATGGCGGAGAATGTTTGCCAGCTCGATTGAAAGACCGTTTTTGCTACGGCTTTGAGATAATTCTGGAGGCCTGCCATCAGTCTTATTCAGCGAGTAATAAGGAAAGTAGGAAGTCCTTGTCACGCGCAACCAGCAGCAACTAGAGGCTTGACAGACAATATGATCTAGGGTTTCTAAATGGGTCATATCTCTCTCCTGCCACGTATGAGTCAGGTATGTCCTTGTTAAGTACGGCTAAGGGAATAAAGACCACAGATAGGTCAAGCTCCATTCAGAAAACATGCCTGTTAACAGGCTGATACTCAAGAGTAAGTTAACCCAAACACAAATAGAAGAAGGTGCATATCCAAAAACATATATTCCGCCTGTACAAGGCAGGAAAATAGATCGCCAGAAGTCAGCACTATGGAAAGGCAACGAGGCAACGCCATTCCAACCCCTGCCTATGGTATATAGGATAAATTTATTTGCGCACCAATTAATGTTAAGTCTTCTCAGTAATGCTTTTCGGAAGCAGCAGGGTAGCAATGACCCCATAGTATATTAGATTAACGAAGTTCCTTCCTTTACTTGGTAACGTCCAACATATACACAACAAAAAGGCACAGGTTATTAGTAAAATACCCAAACCACAGAGAACCAGATGTGGAGTATTAAAAGGCGAGCCTTACGTTCTGCAGCGATGTTGAATGAACATCCTGACAATTTCAGATTGAACAGCCAATTCAGTATCTTATAGGAAAGACTCGTCATTATTCTTGGCCAAAGGGGGCCGGTACGTGGCCGTTGTTCCAGGCATTCTTAGATCGATATCAAGCTAACCCATGTAGCAATTACCGGTCTCGGTGATGGGAATATCACCGAAATCGATGTGGATTTTGATGCCCGCATAGACACTGCTTTGCTCAAGGAAAAGCTCGTCGCCTGCGCCAAAAAAGGTCAGGCCGTCTATGCTGTGGTAGCTATTATGGGCTCAACTGAGGAAGGAGCTGTGGAGCGGCTAAGCGAGATCCCGGAAATCCGGGAGGAACTGCAGAATGAATACGGAATGCCATTTCTTGTTCATGCCGATGCCGCATGGGGCGGCTACTTTGCTACAATGCTGAATCCAGAAAAGGAGAAGTCTGGAGAACCGGTTGATGATAGGCTTGATCGATCCAAGGGAAAGCTTGTACCATCCTTGTGTCTGAAAAAGGATACCGAGGAGGATCTCCGGAAACTGAACGAAGTCGACTCCATTACTATTGATCCACACAAAGCCGGCTATGTTCCGTATCCAGCGGGAAGTCTGCTGTACCGCGATGGGAGAATGAGGTATTTGGTGACGTGGTCAAGCCCATATCTATCACAGGGATCATCAGAAAATATCGGCATCTATGGGGTAGAAGGCAGGTAAGGCCCAATGCCACTGCAGCCACCATTTTTGGGAGCCAGATGCTTAGCGATTCCTTCGAACAGTAAACCTGGGGCCGCAGCTATGTCCACGTGGCTTTCAAACAGCATCATTGGTCTTCATCCTGACGATTACGGCACGCTTCTTGGCGAAGCAGCGTATACCAGTGCCAGAGTAGGTTTTCCCGGAGATGGCCTCAAAATGGAGCTAACAAGTGCCAGCTATCTGCACACTATGCTACGATGGGTCATACACCTAAAGAGAAGGAGAAAAACAAGTACTTTGTCTGTGTCCCTTTAATATACTGGACGAAGAAAGAATGAAGGGAGAAAAGACAAAGAGAGAAAAGCCAGGGGAAGAAAATACAGAGGAAGAATATCCCAAAGACGGGAAAAGCTTCTTCACCGAAAACGTGCTGCGGAAGAGGCAACACATCCGGACACATATCATCAATAAGGATAATTCAGAGATTCAGAAGGACCCAGAAAATATTAAACTACTCCGCGAACTTGGCTCGGACTTGAACATCAATGCGTTCGCACTCAACTGGTATGATGAGGACGGGAATTTGAACACTGACCTCGAAGAAGCGAACTACTTAATGAAACAGGTTGTGGACGCGCTCTCTATTACTTCCCCTGACATAAAACCGCCGGGAATACCTCTATTCTTAACCTCAACTAAATTCGAACCAAAGCTCTACGGCAAATGTGTCCGGAGATTTTTGAATCGATTGGGTGTCAAACCATGTGAGGAGGATATGTTTGTGCTACGAAACGTGGTCATGAGCCCATTCCCAACCCAAGGGGATTTCATAGGTCACCTTATGAAGGAGTTCGAAAAAGTTATCATCGCAAAAGTTCAGGTCTGCCGTGAAAGAAACAAGAAAGACAGCAGGAAGGTCAAGTTTCTGGTGCAGGGCAATACTAAAGTGTTCCTGGTCTTGCAGACATCATTCCACTGGGCTACTCTACGACAGCAGGTAATCGTCGTGGCCCAATTGGACGATGATCTCCATAAGAGCTACACACGTCTCAAGGCCGACTATCCGGAGGACACAATCATACTTGAATCCGAGAAAGAGATTGACCTGGAGGCGGAGCTAAAGAAACTGGAGTCTGGCAGCACCTTGGCGAAAGAGACAGCCCCGTCATTTATGGCTAAGATTTACAGGAAGGAAGATCAGTACGTCCTGGTCTGTGTCATTAGCATTACCACCAGACTAACTACTTTGCAGGCCCACTCCCACTACCTACAAAGGCAAGGTGACGATAACACACGTCGTGAAAAGCCGCCCTCTTAACTCTATTTATCGGGACCTTGAATATCCTTCCAAATTCATGCCTTTCTATCTCTATGGCACCAAGGAGGAAATGCACATTACGCATATGCTCCTCAAAGCCCCTAACGCTGCGCTGTCCGCCAGCAATGTCACATTCAGAGAGATACTGGAAGAGGAGCCAAAAGAGAAGCTGGGAAAGAAGCTGGAAGAGAAGCTGGGTGAGGATGCTGACGTGCAACTGGCTTCTGGGCTCATAGTCACCCTGTCGAAATTTCCCGAGGCTTCCATGCAGCCATTCCTAACAGGCGACGAGTTGCGGAAACCCGAATCTGAGTATATGCTGCCGGAAAAATTCCCTTTCAAGAGCCAAGGGGAGTTCGAAGTGGAAGTCTGGAAGGATCCAAATGAGCCAGAGTAAAAGGGGCCAGGGCTACTAAACGGCCTGGGCCGCTCATTTGGCAAGTTTAAGATGACTATGGGTGTTGATGTGGATGTGGATGCAAAAGGACCCAATGAACTCCCACAAGAAGTCAGACCTCGCCCGGACGGGGCAGTTGAGGAGGAGCTCAAACGTATCGAAAAAATGATCAAATATCCCGAAAGCGCTTCTTAAGGTATGCTTGAAGGAAGGGCCAGAAAAGCAATTGTGTTTGGTAGTAATTCAAGAATGGCTTATATATTGAGAACGAGACCCGAGAGACTAGTATGAGTAGAAGAACCAGATAAACTACGGATGTTCAACGTTGCTTTGAATCATAAGTGCAATCGGCATAGCCTGGGATAAATTAACGAACATCGAAAGGCATTCACAGCCGTTTGACCTTGAGCAGTGCCGACCATACCTTCCAAGGGTGTCTTCAAGCGTCAGTGCCCTTGTATTTGCAAAGGGCGGGGCGCCGGGCTATTGTCGTCTCTCTGATTATCTGAAGACACAGTCTGGTGGATCTAGTGGCCCTACTTGTCTGTCCGTAGTTGGCCCAGTCGAGAAGACTACCACTGACATACCCAGGCGGTTTGTAAGGTTTATCTGGAGGTAACTAGCTACCAGGGACTAAGTAGAATGCGACACCCTGGTCCTAGCCAGTGTTTAAACACTATATTATATGTCTGTGGCAGATGACCCGTGATTCCATGCCGTGTGGCACCATGGAGAACAACGAAAGAACAACAACCTGTTAAGGGAGGGACCAGGCCGAAGGACTTTCTACATCGAAGGCGCGCAAGATATTCATATTTGCGCGAACTCGCGCTGTACAAAGCAACAAGTAATCCATGCGTTTAACCTGAATACAACATAGCGCCAACTTCCCGTAGCTATGATCATTGTTATACGTCCCCTGTTCGACGCGTGCCCTGGCTTAGTATTTCTTCGCGTCATTCCGCTGGATGATATGCAAACCGACTTTTGCCGTTGCAATGTCCATTGGGTATTGTGAGCACATCAGCAGCTTCAATGACCAGCCAAACAAGCCTATCTCCTTATAACCCATAATGCCCGTCCCTTTACTAACCGTATCATCAACAGATTGACGTCAATGCGTCCCATTCACCGCTTCGTTAAAGTGCGGTGATCCTGTTGACCGCATAGCCACGGCTATCGCTGGCCATCGTACTACCCCTTGAGCCAATCCTTCAAATGCATTGATAATGACAAGCTGTCCATGTTTTTCTTCGCGATCCATGCCCAATTGTATTGCTGATCCTGAGATGGGCTGTTCCACTCACCTATGTAGTTTACCGTGCGCTGATTGGCTGTTCTGCTTGGATCCCCGGGTGAGTCGCCGTTCAACATTTTGAGTCGGCGATTGGCCCAGATAAGGGGTACACATATATCGCCTCAAGATCTGGCTGAGGTAGTTGTGCCAACTATACCACATTCTTCTGTTTAGTGTATATCCTCTGAAATCATTGATTCAATAACAATTCTGAAATACCACAATAATGTCTCCTGCTCTGTGCGCTCCCGTCGCCGTGACCAGTCACCCGGCCTCGCTTGATCGCGTCCAGAACTATGCCGTATCCCGCAAACCCAACACAAACTACACCCTCGACAACCTGGTAGAAGATATCAAGCAGTACCTGGGAAGCTCCGGTATTGACGACGACCATGTCGACCCGGCGGTCCTCATGGGATTCATGTCCAAGTACACCTCCAGCGGCGCCGACTGGGCACGATACATGCGCAACGACCCCAGCAAGAACTATACCCGGAACCTGGTAGCCGATATCAGCGGGCGTGCAAATCTGGTACGTCATCGCTGGATCTCTCCCATCTTGAGGTCGGGGGTTAACTCAAGTAGTTGCTGTTAGTCTGGAACCCCGAGAAAGGATCACTCATCCACGACCACGCCAACGCGCACTGTATCATGAAGATCCTCGACGGCGAACTGAACGAGTCGGTCTATTACACTCCCACAGCGGAGGACCAGGACGCTCCCCTGAAGATCAAGAAGAATACGACATATCAGCCTAATGAGGTGGCCTATATCAGTGATCAGATTGGGCTGCACCGCGTTGCTAACCCGTCCAAAGAACGGTTGGCTGTTTCGTTGCATTGTACGTTCACAGATTATGGCAGCTCTGACGAGTATGGACTAACTAACGACCCTTAGTGTATACGCCTCCAAACGCAGCGGACTTTGGATACAATATCTACGATCCGAAGACCGGAAAATCCAGTCATGTCTTCCAGGCGTAGCGCGCGGATGATGTTTTTTGCGCAGAATGATACCATTTCCCGCCCGCGTGTTTTTTTTTGTATTATAGGATACCATCTTCGCGGCTGTCCAGATTGCATTATTTCGGTGCCTGTTTCGTTGGAAGTTGAATGCGCTGCATCATGTGGCTTTACCAGTTAGTGTCATAGTAGTGGCCTACGCTATGAATTCATTGAGAGGGTTTATATTGAATTCTCCATTGCGGTTGTAGATGGTAAACGACCTGACCTATCTATTCCCAGTGAGTCGACTGTTCCTCTGTCGTACAGTAACAACTGTGCTTATTTCGCCCGGCAAGAAGCGGGGTGCTTGTGCTTGAGGTGTCCATGTCCGTGAGACCCTTTGCTGCCGGATGAAGCGGTAGGTGCTGGGGCCGGGGTTTCAGCAGCTGGCTCCGTATCAGCGTTTGCCGACACGGCTGCATCCTGAGCAGCGGGTTCGCTGGCGTAATTGGTATCCGTGTTAACGGTGGAGTCAGAAGAAGCCGAAGAGGCACCAGTGGGAGCAGCAGCTGGTTCAGAGGAAGCTCCTGCTTCAGGGGTAGCAGTGGCAGGAGCAGAAGAGGAATCCTCTTCTTTAGGAGTAACAACATCAGAAGCGGAAGAGGCAGAAGATGCAGAGGATGCCGCAGAAGAAGAAGAATTGGACGAGGAGGATGCCCCGCCAAGTGAGATACAAGCAAAGCTCATCTTCTTAGTGGTGGATGATGAGTAGCCGACGGGCTGGGACAGATCCCAGGTCATGCTGACATAGGGCCAGCAGACACGACCGTCGGCCATGGTCACCATGTCACCCGCCACATAGGTATCGGTGCTGGTGAGAGCCTCGCCAACCTTCTTTCCACTCGAGTCGACCTGCTGGAAGAATGAGCCCGCAAATTGCCCACGGCAGCCCATGGCGATGTAGTCACAGGTAGGATTTGAGATCTCCTCCCAGGTGATCAGCGCCGAATCAGCGCCAAAGGTAGCCGCGTGCGCGTTCGAGCAGTCGTTCGAGCCGCTGGTGATCCAGGTAACCTGGCTGTCGCCATCCTCGGCACCCACCTGGGACGTAGCCTGAGCGCCGACCTTGGTGTACTTGTCGGTGAAAAGGGCAATGGCGACGTTGCGGCCGTTCGTCCGGTTATTCACGTGGGTGTATCCGGCACCCATCCAGCTGTTCTCCGTCACGTCCATGGCGCCCCGGGACACCCAGGCGAAGATGTAGCGGGCGGAGTCGGCGAACCGGGCCAGAGCACTGTAGCTGCCGGACATACCGCCCATGGGCTCACCCGAGCCTCCGTTGGTAGTGTTCTCATTGGAGATCTTGACCCCGGTGTTGGACATTCCTTGCGTCTTGGTGTTGAGCCAGATGGCGCCCTGGTCCTCGGAGCAGATGCTGGCAAAGGGGGCTCGTCCGCTGCCTCAAACGCGATGCCGGTGTTGTGGCTGCAGCCCCAGGAGCTGCTGGCACCGGGAATCGTGACGAGGGTTCCGCTGTCCGACACGTACTGGATGCTGTCGCCGAAATGGCCCTGTGCCGAGCCGGCGTAGTCCGTGACGACGAAATAGGCGCCGTACATCTTTGCGCTTTCGGAGTAGGCTAGATCGCCGTTGAGGTCGGGAGAAGCCGATAGGCCGTCGGCCTCGTGCACTCCGGGGCCACCAAGCCAGGTCTTCCATGTCTGCTTGCCGTTGGTGTAGCGGTAGAGGACTGGAACAGGGGTGTCGGACGGGGGCGCATTGCTCGTTCCGGAAGGCATGGCCTCGTTGGTCAACAGGGCAAAGCCGTCATTATGAGCGATCAGTCCACCGGCTACATTCGGTCTTTGGTCAATAAGAAGTCATAAGAAACATCAGTCACACTACATACCTTCCTTCCCCCCGGCCACAGTAACCGTAGTTCCTGTAGCCTGAAAGGTGGAGGGATCCAGCTGCTGGACATGCACGTCAGTCTCACTGGAATCCAGATAGGCGAGATAGGCGGTCTTCCCATCGGGCGAGACAGCGAAAGGAGTCCGACGGTGGTGAGGGTAGTTAGTCCAGTAGGCAGCCTTGACGGGGTTGAAGTTGAAGTTGAGTGCCAGCACATCAACATGCTTTTCGAGATTTGACGCAGTCAAACCGGCCGCGACGTCCAGCGCCACAGAAAGCAAAGAAAGAACGAAAAACCGACGCATGGTTGCTTGGTTGGTGTTTGCTTGTTGACTGTCCACTTTCGGGGAGGATTGGGGGGGAAGTTGACAGGGATATATAAACCCCCTGGAACAAGCTCATCTCGCCATATTGATTAAGGGGATGATCCTGAACTAAAAGTCTAGACGCAAAACGGTTCCATAACAGGAGCTTAATTGCTTTGTTCCAGGCATTACTGAAGAGGATCGGAAAGATGCCGAACTCGGTGCGGCCTATGTTTCACTTCAGCCAAGACGATCCTTAATAGTTTCCTGATTCGTCCATCGCGTATGGATGTCTCAGTTAACAATCTACATGAAGTAAACATGAAGGAAAAGTGTTCACACGTCGATTCATGATGAGACAACCCCGGGAAATATAGGCGACCATTCCTTGTACGAATACGATACCTCTTCTCACCAACACTATATATCACTACATATTAGACCCCAAGTACGGAGCGTACGGAATAGTGCAAGCCAAGAGTTTTACTTTGGAGATTGTAAAACTATATATTTACCCAGTTGTTTTCGTCGCCTCTGTCTCCTGTAGTATCCCCAAGTCTCATTGGCAGCAAGGTCCTCAGACGGAAACTCCAATAGTAATGAGATGCTATTTACAGCCAATTCCTGGCCGTATTGTTGGCAAAGCACTAGATATGCTACTGCCGTATATCTCCTGGAGTGCGGCAAGTATAAGAAGCTAGCCAAACACTTTCGTCCACGAGGGGATGTCTAAACCCTTGCCTTGGACAAACTCCAATTGCTGATGTGGTCAGTTATGTTGGTATTCTCACATAGACAAATCCATCTCCTCGCAGCGCCCAATCACTAACTATATTTAAGCTTAGATTTGCTGTTCCCAGGGTCCTCCACGTATTGCCATAGCAAGCTGATTCTTACACCCTCGACTTTGTCTTCTTTTCTCCATTGCATATACCAACCACCCTGCGAAACGGGGATAGCCATGTTCTTCCAGTTGCACTCTTAGTCGCCTCCGCCATTCGGTATCCTCGACGCCAGGAATTGGAAGATAAAACTGAGTGCCGGAGAAGGGAAGGCCTTGTTGAGATCCAGAACCGAACGTAGAATCAAGCAGACCCCCAGTCAATAATTGCCGATAACTTTTGATTCGAATCCATGATGTTACCGGTCCCAGGTCGGGGCAATAAAGGTAGAACTGCTGTACGACATCTAGATTTCGATACAGATCAGCACGGAGAAGGTACCTCTTGCATTCAGAGACTGTCAGAGATTCCAATAAATCTTTACTCGAATGAGAAAGGTAAGCCTTTACAACCGGACCACAGTGTACATTATAGGCAAGTGGCGAGGTTACAGAGGCCAGAATGTCGCAAGCTGGACAACCCTTAGCTCGCAACCTTTGCCCCCCGTTCGATAGGACCTCCTGCTGTCAACAGGCGTCTTAGTAGATATTCCAAACCTTCTCTTGTCTCGGAGATGCCACTTCCAGTAGTTTGTGCCTGAATACACTGCAGGAGCATAAAAACCCACGAAGGGTTACAGGTGGCAGGGCAAGGTATTAACATGTTAGGAGGCTGAGTATGGATAATGTGCCCAGGTTGTCCATACAAAATGAATAGGATTGGCGATACACATTGATCACTGACGTAGACGGTTTATTGCATAGCAAGGCCATGTTGGGGTATACCCATTATTGTCCAAGAGGGCTCCTTAGAGTACAAGCACAATTAGGCTTTGGTAACTATTATAAAAACATCTTTAATCTTACTCCACCTCAACCCCGCTACTTAGAGACTATCTTGCCGGGATTCTAATAAGCATGGACCCCGTTTCGCAGGGATCGAAGGTGGCTATGACCATCACATGGCCGCAGCTCTTCTTCCTAGCCAATGGCTTATGGCGTGCCGTGATATCCTTGCTTAGGTATTAACTACAGATAGTTAGAGAACGGTTTATATGATCTCATTTCATGACTCGGAGAAACTGTGCTGCCTAAGATTAAAGGGCCAATGAGACAGATATGTATGCTCATTGATCACCTTCAAGTTGCGAAACGAATTCAGGATTCAATTCTTGACCATAATATTCCTGTTCTGTTTACCCATCCATAATGGCATTTCAAACAATCACCATCACTTATACCGACGGCAAATATCTATCCCTAGTAGACGCAGCCTCGCGTACCCCCCTGTACCACGTCAAGGTTTGCCGTCAAGTGCCGCAGATGGAAATGATTCGCCTGAGTCCAGCCCCGACGATACCGACCAAGCGTTCCCTCAAGATGAGAGCGCCTACTTCCAACGCCGGGTCTACACGGCAAAGTTCAGGATGACAAGCCTCAACGTCCAACTTCAGATCCGCGAGCACCGGGATGTCTTGCTCAACAGGAAAAGCATCCTTTCCACCAGCTACTCATTCACGTCGCCAGCAATGTCTGCCGCAAATACCATGGGCTCCTTATCATCTCCCATTCTGACATGGGAAGCCGACCAGACGGGTAGCCTGGGGGACTTTCGACTCATAAACGAGGCAGTGAATGAGTCAGATAGGAAGCTGCTGGCTCGCTTCCGGAACAAGGCTTTTTCCAATGAGCAAGTGGGCACATTTGAAGTAGACGCTGGTCTCAATCAACTGGTCAAGGACGAAGCAGTGATTTCCGGGATGTTGTCGATGGTGCAGAGCATCAATCTTGCTGGTATGGTCATGCTCGGTGGAAGTTGAGCTATTCGTTTATGTGGTATCGGAGATGGCCGTGGACCAATACAAAAATTGGCGTCTTCGCCTTCGCTCTTTTTTTTTTTTTTTTTTTTTTTTTTTTTTCCTGCATCAAGTGGGGTAATATCTCCACCATAGCCGGTAGCCAACAAATGATATTGACTGGTTTATCGTATCAGTACTTGCATTAATTGTGCTAGAGCACTATAGGATTAGTGGTTCACTAAAAGAAAAACCATTAAGATTCAGGTCTTTGACTCAGACTCTCGCGTGCCAGGCGATCTACATATCGACAAACACGGCGACCTGGACACTGGTCAACATACGAC